CAAAAAGTGTAGTTAAAAAGTAGTTAAGAGCTTTATACAACCGGCCCCTGGAATGATAACTACAATACATTTTATAGATATAAATTGAAGCCAAAGTCCTAGTCTCTTGCGCGGTTTGTACGTCAGTTCCAGTCCTTCAAAGTCGAATATTCACGCGGTTTGTACGTCAGTTTCATTCCCCTGAGTGCCAAACATACACGGCCACTATAAATTTGAATACAAACTGCAAAAGTATAAACATATAAACAACATCACGACCAACAACACACTAGGCCAACTCTTCGCAAAAGGTTATTTTTTACAGCTAAAACTTTACTACAGTGAGTTCGTTGTAACTTACAACTTGTAACGAGGAAAAGCCAACTGAAAATTACACTTTATGCTAAAAAGGCAATACAATAAGAAAATATGACGAGGAAATATTCAAGCATAAATTTTTCTTTCGTCGGAAGGTAAATTTTCAAACGGTGTCAGACAGTGTTTGTCTTTTTTGTCGTTTCAATGGATTTAAAGATCTGTTTTTCCGAAGAAAAAAGAAACTTGAATATCCAGGTTCATAAAAAATGTTGAGTCTATAACTCGCATTTTACTTTTTACAGAGCGATTGTATCTTTCATCGATTTTGATAGTGCTTGAAATACTAAATGGTTGTCATCTCGATATCAGTAATTGAATATCCTTAAAGACTTTGATATGTTTTAAAGGAAAACCGCAGCGTAAAAGCAGATCGACTAAGTTCACCTCACCCTGCTTCTCGATTTATCACTTTGATTCACTTTCCGTGAACCTTTTCATTCCAAAAATTTCGTTATTTTTACGCTCTGATCAAGATCCGAACTCTACCATTACCAAGGGACAAATGATTTAAAAAAATTAAAATGAACACGCGAGAGACTAGAGCCTGACGTGTGATGACGAATGATGACGACAAAAATTTTTTTGGCTTCAATTTTTGGCTTCGGTTATCATTCCAGTTATTCAAATGTCGAGTTCACTGGGACCCCGTGGTCAAAAACATGGCGGTAATGGCGGATTTTGGTGGTCAAAACTTCCACTTTAAAAATTTTTTTCAATATTCACTCCCTCCTGATTTCTAATACTGTTTGTATGAACGAAAACAAGTGAGAAAAAAAACAATTACGATACCGACAGCATATCATGTGAAAATAATGCTTCAGCATTGCGTGAAAAACACAGTACAGACACACATCAAAATAAAGAAGATCGACGGTAGAGAAACGCATATTTTGATGTAACATTTAAGTTATTTTATGACATTTTAGCCTTTAAAAGTGAAAATCAAACGGCATTCTTTACTAGACCTGTCAATCTCGTCAAACTTATACATTATTTCATGCTTTTGTGTGTTTGACTGTTTGTAAACAGTTTGGTGCACCTATTTTTCTTGCTTCAAATGGATAAATCTGTGTAAAATGCTCCTAAGGAAGCGAGAAAATGTTTGCTTCAGTCCTACGACATAAGTCAACTGAAAATTTACCATGGATAAGTATCATAAGTGTATTGTCATTACCTGATAAATCTACTGAAAACTCATAAAGAAAGTATGTTGAACTAGAAGAGCTACAAAAAAGAAAAAAATTCAAACACCATGACACTGTTGCTTGGTAATTTGTTTTTTGTAAACAGCTTGGCAGAATCTTGGATCTATTACTGAACAGAACTACATTAATTTTCCATTGAAATTACAAACTTGGAAACTAAAGTGCATTGGTTCCTCTGAAAAAAACACTGTCTATTGCTGCATGAAGGCAAAATAGTTATTTGACAGTGTAGGTGAAGAAATGTATCAAGTTCTATAGATATTATTGTGCATTACTTACAGTTTTTTGGAATTGTGTAATTTATGTCATGAACAAGATATAATTTTTCGAAAAAGCTAACCCTTCGAGCACTGCTCTTCTGTTTTGCTTAAACAACTTACAGCTACCAATACTAATTATTTATATGTACAAACTAACATTTGGGAATTAAATGATAAACAACTTGTTAAATCTTTGTATTTTACATCAGGCCTTTGAATTAGTTCCTTTTATCTCTTGGTAAAAAAAATATTAATGAAAGACTTACAAATCAAGTTTCTCGAAAATAGTATTTTGTACAAAGAAACTAAATAATTGGAAAGGTCACATGTTGAAGACAGACTTTCCTTCTTTGACTAGGTTGCTTGACCATGAGCAAATTTATATTTGTTTACAATTTGTTTAAAGAATTCTTTTATTGATTTCTACTAATTCTTCATAAGACACAAAGAATTTCTTTGCCATCTATTTTGCTTCTTCTACATTCAACTTCATTGTAACCAATGCATCCGATGTGAATTTGTGGATCACCTGGAATCATACCAAGTATGGATTTAATGAGATGAGACAATAATATGTTTAATTTTTCATGCATATTAATGATATAATCATAAGCTACTGTTGAACAAAATTTCAAGTTAGAAACAAATCTTAGCACATTGTTCAACACACTACTTTCATCTTGGTTTTGAAGTATTAACCTGTTTACTATAACAATAAATACTTCATTTACAGAAACGCTAAGTAGTACTTTAAAATTGTTTGCATAAATCCAACTTTCCAATCCCGTTATAATTGTCTACACTATACAGTCAGTCAAATTGAGCAGGCAAACAGGTTAATAGTTATTTTTATTATACAACATATACCATAGTTCTCATTAATTTTGCATGGCACTGCATTCAATTTCAACACAACTCTGTTGTAAACTTTCCCTTCATCTTTTCAAAAAAAAACATGAACAAATAATGCCCCATTTTTGAGAGTTTAGCTTGATGCCTTGATCATGATACAAGATGGATGCAAAACTCGATAAAAATTGACAGCTTCGCCACGTCTGGCGAGCGATTAAGTGAAGAATAAACAAGACTGGACCAAAATAACTTGAAATTAAAACTTAGTAGTAGAAACACTCTTCAAGTATCGTGTTAAAAACAAAATAGTAAAACTAATATTGTGCTACTTACCGGAGTCAAGAAATGTTCCCTTTTCTGTCGCTATTTCAGCATCCGCAAACCACAAAAGTTGGCAGTTTAATAAATAAAGTTTTAAAAAAGTGTTTATGTTAGGAAAATAAATAGTTTTGATATTTTCTATACTCGCAATCGTGGTGGTCAAATCAGGGTGGGCGACAAAAATTTTATTTCATGAGCCCGCATCTCTCCGCTGACTTTGACCACCAAAATCCGCCATGTTTTTGACCACGCGGCCGCGCGCTAATAATTTATACTAATTTTGTTGACGTTTCCCCTCCAGTTATTATAGAACTCAATGCATCTGATATCTAAAGCCGCGCTTGAGATATAGCCGCTCCAGTTATTATAGAACTCAATGGAGGAGACGGAATACGGGACTATAAAAAGAAAGGCTTGGAAAAACCCGAAATCTTTGATAGGAGGAACGAAATGATGAAAATTCCAACCCAAATTTATCCGACTTTGTTTCTCTTGATTTCTTTGCTAGTGGATTAATATGTGTTACTTGCTTCATTATTCCAACTGAAAGGGTATATAAAAATGTATTTACTGAACTGTGAATACAAAAAAGTTGAAATTATCATTTCAAAAATCATGCAGGTTAGATGAAAAATTTTTTCTCCAAAAGTTTGTTGAATGAAAAAAAAAACATTTGTATTTGCTGTTCGGTGCCACTTCTTTTTAGTTAATAAAAACATAATAAATTAATTTTTGTTTATCTTTTAAATGTATTAAATTGTCAGATTCCAATAACCTTAATTTATTTCATATATGTTTCATTAGGAGCATAAGTCTTATTTACAGACTTGTAAACCATCCAATGAACAATGAGAAAAAAAACTATACACACAGTTTACTTCATTATTGTGTATTTTGTCAACTATGAGTTGTGAATGAATAAATATCATTTTATTAATTATATAATACTTGTATATTTATGTACAACATTGATGGCTTTTCTGTGTTTTCAATTCACAGGAATATTAAAATAACTTTCTTGGTAATGGTTTGTCAGGGGGATCTCTAATGAAGGTTTTTTTAAAGGAGATATTACGCCAAAATGATAATCCTCGTTCTCCTTGTTGTATTGTTCATCTAGTATACTTAAAATATCGCGTCGATTGTTTTCGTCCTCCTTTATGCTTGTTAGATTGATTACTTCGTTCATTTTTTGATTGTTTGAGGTCACCTGTCAAAGTAAAATTGTAGGATATTTTGAATTCTCTTTCACTTGCTCGTCAGTTGCGATGAGTACTGTCTTAGGATTGTAGTGCACAAAAGTGTACCTTTGGTGAAAACGGCCGAGAAAGGTTATCCTCAAATTCATGGAATTGAAATGAATTGACGTCTGCAATGTTGACAATCCGATTAATTGAGGAAGGAAAAATTTTTTTCCCTGTTTCATTTAAAGGAATGACTTCAACTAAATGTTAATTTACCATCATTAGAAATGTAGATATTAATGACGAGTGATGCTACAGAATTTGCAAAAGTGGATAAGAATTTACCAGGAATTCTTCTCTTTGGAGCTCTCGTCTCTAGTAACGAATCACACTGGAGTTTTTCTAACGAGCTGCAACGATACTCATGTTTATTAACTTAATTGACCACTTAGGCAACGATACTCTAGTTTTAACGATGAATGCTGCTTTGGCTTTCTATGAGCAGAAGTTTATATAAGTTTCACACCTGTTGCGATAGCACTTTTTAATTTCTTTGCGTATATCTTGAAGGTAATCTACAAAATAGTTGTTATTGTTGTAGGGTGAATATTTAAAGACATTGTGAATCACAAATGGCTTTTATTTCACCTTTTCCGAATATTACTGAAGGTTTTAAACTGTTGGATAATCTTTTGATATGTCATCGAGACAGGGCTAGACAGTGCGTATAGATATTTTACTTAAACATATGCAAGAGAATAAGTAAAGAAGCTAAAATTTAACAAGTTTTATAGAAGTCTCCTTTTGTGTCTTTTAGATTGCCTACGCTAGTTTGGAGAGATTTCAATCCACTCTCTATCAGCCAATGTTACCAGAACTAGGATGCAAATCTCCAAATAAGAAATTATCTCTCAACATTTTGACCTACCTTGTCGCTTGCTACATGACACATAGTGCGTATTTCACTCACGTGAAACATATTTGCTTTGCATAGTTTCTCATTATCACTAACAAATGTAAAAATATTGAGTTCTGGATTAGTTTCCAACTCAGCTCATTTGAAAAAGAAACACATACCTTGTATTGCTTTTTCTGTTTTGACTGTCATAATCATTTTCATTCCTAAAGTAAATGTAATAAACATGATGATATTAAGAAATAAAGATGTTTACTGTGTTTGCACAGGCTTATGCAACCTAGGAGACTTTAAGAGAACTCGAGAGCATCAGTGGCAATCGAGATTTGCACCGACTCGAGAGTTCTCACAAACGTCGCCGAGGGTTTTGCATGTTTGCAAACACGAAAACATCTTTTATTTCTTATAAAAATTAATAATGCGAAACAGACAAATCTGTTAAACAAACGTTTTAATATTTCTCTAACATGTTCATGTTTGATTTGCAAATCTTCTTTTGATCGATGAATTGATTTGATTGGTTGAGCTCAAATCGGTTTGCACAGGCTATAGACCAATCCCTACGCGTTTTATTGCTTTTATTTTATAAAAATGATGCAGCATAGTTATCATGATTGTCTATGGAGGCGCCATATACAAAATACGACATTTATTGTGTCCATAAATATAACCCTCTTTGACTTACTCCATTTGAAGAACGGAATGATGGCTTGAACTTGAAACTGAGGAACTGTAGTCGTATGTGTGAGCGATACTTGCTTTAAGCGGTTGTATTGAAAGGAGGTACCAACCAACTGACATTCTTCCACTTCACTCCAGCATCATGATCCCGTAAGGATCTCCAGTTGGCCTTATGTTTCCATTTGTACTGTTTTACTGAGAAAGAAAACACGAGATTACTTGTATCTCACTTTCATTCATATAATCTGCTGGATTTTATTTACCTCTGTAAATAGTGGTCGATTGTTTTCCTTTGTTGTAAAGACCCATCTGTGCACAAATACAAAATAATATAGCTACATTATGACAGGTCGTCGTGTGTACGTTCAACATGAGTTTATATACCGTTAGTCTGTTTTTCGAATTGATAAAACTTTTCTTTCTTCTATTTTGATACTCTTCCTTTTATGTCTGTCTTCTGTTTGAAGTTCATTTCATCATGATATGCATTTTAAAATGGAAACTGCGGCGAGAATACAAATGGCATAAAATAACTTACTGGTATTTTTCCTGTTTCTTTCGCCCTTTGTCGATGAACGAGCTCACGGGTCTGCATAGAAAATCATTGACAACACTTAATGGTAGCACTGTAAATACAGACAAGATCTCTTTTTCATTCCCTATTCGTGTAATTCCAAAATGTATTGCCCTGTCATCTACACCGACATTAATTGCTTCTTGCCACTTACTTTGGCCAGAACTTTATTATGTTGCTGTTCACTAATGTCTGTTGATCCTTGGCTTTTGTCTTTTGTAAGTCTTGACATCTTGTACAAGTGAATGTTTTCTTTATCAGAGTAAAAATCCTGGGAAGGTAATTTCTGTTTTTGAAAATTTCACGTTTTCTAAAACATTACAAACACTAATAGAAAACCTTTCCCAGGTTGATCATCGGATTTATCATTACAAATCAAATTGTTGTTGAGCTTGATAGGGCTTTAGCGTTTAAAACAAACATTTACCTCTCATTCCTTGTAATTCTTGTATGCCGTGCTTGGAAAAGTTAATTATTGGCAAATTTATCCAAACGTCGAAAATGAAATTTGACAACCGAACATGCCATTTAAGAATATCACAACGAATCTTGTTGTAAAAGTAGTTTTTTTTTGTATTTCATTTTATTTCCCATTGCCATGTTTGTTTTCTTTTTTGCCTTCCCGCCAAAATATAATCGGGTAAGATGGTAAAAACCCAAACTAACTTTTATCTTTATCCATGCGGTTAATCAATAAGTAATCTCATAAGCTGATCTTAATCCTACAGACTGATCAGCAAAATCAACCCAGTTTCAGATTGTTCTATCACCTATCAAGATCGTCATCTTCATATATTCGGTAAAAGAAATGATAACAACCAATGAGGCATAAAATTTACCACCTGAAAAATGTTTAAAAGATTTAGAAGAAAGGTAAATTTTATATTATTGTTTGAAACCAAAGGATAATCGTGAATAATAATGTTGGAGGACAAAGGAACTGTAAACATAGTAATACTTGCTATGTGTTCATTAGATCAGAGGAGTTTCGTTTATTTTTCTTCCAGGAAGAATCACCGAAACATGGAGATCAGACCGATGATAATGACGAGGAAAATTCTGTATGTAAATGCGTATTTTATTTTGTTCATTTTTATTTTATTTGGTCACCACTCGTTGGTAAGAAATCTTGTTGTAATGTTTATTCCGGTCTACGATTGTAAATTTCTTTATACTATGTAAAATATTCTTTCTTATTGCCCTTGAAGAGATCGATTTATTTGTTTAATGTTATCTAGGGTTTTATATGTCCTGTCTGTTACTGGGGCTTCCTCAGTGCAGATGATCTTCAAACACACTGGGAGAAACACTGTCAAACAAATTTGTCAGAGAAATCTCAGGTTCAAACCTTAACATAATGAAGTTTAAATACAAAGCACATTTTGTACTGGGTAGCATTGTGTGTATGTAAATAATCAATACTGATTAAGATTTGAATTTCCCCTCCAAGAACACTTCAGAATTGATAAAGAACGAAGAAGATACACCAAATGTATGGAAAGAGCAGAATGGTTCATCCCATAAAAGCAGCAATTCTGAAGAGATCTCATTATTGGATGCGACATTGAAAGATTTAGAAGAAAAATCAACTGAAGTTGTTGCTTTGCAACAAGAGATAAATGATATTAATGCTGCATTAAAAGTAGGTTTTACCTAAAGATATATATACAAGCCATGTATACTTTTATGATATTGTTGTTGAATTTTAATTGTGCTGGTAAGTGGTAGCTTTCACACTACCATCATGAATTGGGTTTTTGTTCTGAAATTGAAGAAACAACAATTTTTTATGTAAAGCATCAAAGAAACTAAACATGCAAAATAATTTGTTATTTAATAACATTTTAAAATCCTGTCATGCATTTTCAGATTTATCTCTTATTTGTTGTTTGTGATTTTTTATTCAATTGATTTATTTTCATTCCAAAGGAAGAGAAATGGTACACCAGTGCCTTAAAACAAGAAGTGGATAAACTAGAGTCTGAAAAACAAGAAAGACTTTTGGCTTATCAAGACTTAGAGCAAGTAATTGATTATGGTGTAGGGTATACGATTGTTGTCAATCATTTACATAGGCATAAAGGAGTTTTTGAGGGGGCGGGGGTGACTATTCCCCTAGCTCACAATGAAACGCAAGACTTCTGGGGGACACCTGCCCTCCATCCTATATGCCTATGGTTATATGATCAATCATAAAATATGTGTTTGTAAATGTAGATCGTCCAGGTTGGTATAGTCCTGAGAAGGACTGTTTTTGTTGTTGTTGACTGACGTTTCAACAACCTTGTGAAATGTCAGTCAACAACAACAAAAACAGTCCTTCTCAGGACTATACCAACCTGGACGATCTACATTTACAAACATGTAATGATACTTCCGGGTTCAAAGCATTTACTTCATAAAATATGTAATAATTCAAGTACATTATAATTTTTTTGCTGCCATTTTGATAGTATACTTTTAGTATATGCGTTTTTCAAGCTTAAACATAGGAAAAATATCAGAGATTCCAACAAGAACAGTCACTATATTTTGAATGTTTCCTGGTTTTGGAATAAATATAATTGCCCAGCATGAAAATTTTGAAAAGGCCATGAATGAATACATAATTGATGATAATGTGTCATCTTTGACATAAGACATCAATTGTCAATTACATAGGACGTTTGAATGATTAATATGTCAGTTATACGATGTTTACACACTTGTGCAAAGTTATATTGAATGCTCATGTTTTCTATTTTAAAACAAGATCAAATTAAGCTTAAAGTTTGACTGTCAGGTTTTTTCACATTTATCATAAACTATCTGTTTCCAAGGAAAAACATCAAATGCTGATGGACATTGAGAACAAACTAAAGAAGATAGAGCAAGAAAAAAATTCAGGTATTTCTAACAATGATGATTGAAATTTTTTGTGGTGAACTTCATCCTTACCATTATGAAGTTCATAAAACTTGTGCTTGAAATTTTTTTGCAGAAATCAATGTCTTGAAAGAAAATCTGGTGAATGCATTGGAAGCAAAGTCTGGTAGCCAAGAAGAACAACTGTCATTGGTTCAAAAATCGTCAAAAATAAACACAGAACTTGTAGAAATTCAATTGCAACTTAAAGATACTGAGGAGAAAAGAAAAGTTTTGGAGAAATTATGTGATGAATTGAAAGTTAGTTAAAGTTTCATTTAAACAGTTCTTTTGAGAAAAGTGTTCTGTACATCAAATGATAGCCTTGTTGAGATATTTTCAATGGCACTTTTGCCATCATATGTTATCAGATTTCTAGCTTTCTTAATAAAAAGTTTCGTACTTTCATTGTTTAAGGTCGAGTTAGAGGAAAAACATAAATTCATTTCTGATCTTGAGAGTGATATAGCAAATAGGTATATGTTTTGAATGTTTAGCACTTAAAGACTCCATATTTAAAATTCACGCTTTTCGTTTTTCCAGACCAACAGCTGAACACGTGTCATCATTACAAAAACATGTTACATCACTGGAAGCTCAGTTGAAGACGATCAGAGAGGAGAAGGATGCCGACAGAATTGAACTGAATGAAAAACTTCACAGTACTGCGGAAAGTAATAAAAGGTTTAATATTGCATTTCTAATATTATCTTCAGCCACGTTATGGAGAGATGTAACGCACATTCATTTCATATTACAGATTGGAAGCAAGAGTGAACGAACTGACAATTGAAAAAACGTCAAAAGTTGAACAACTACAAAGGTATTTCAAAATCTCAGAAGAGCAGTTGAATCAATTTTCGTGTAATTGGCTATTTTTATTCCCTCATTTTGTTCACTTGGATTTGGTAGTCTTCAAACGGCGATTGATGCTTCTACGGATTATCGTAAACAAGTTGAGGAAAGTCAGAAAGAAAAGCATCAAATGATATTAAACCTTCAACATGAGTTAGATCAAGTAACTACAGAACATTGCAGATTTTTGTCGTTAGTAACCGTTAATCAATTACATTGTGTTCCGTTTATCAGACTATTGTTGCTGTGAAGGAAAAGGAACAGTTTGTTGAGTTTTTGCAGAAACAGCTCAATGAAACAAAGCAAAATTATCAAGTCGAAGTTAGTCATCTTTATTGATAACGTGTTGCTGTTCCCTTCACATTGAAATTTGTCATTCATCTGGCTTTTCATTTTAAACGTCGTTTTTTTTTGTTCTCTATGTAGTTAAATGGAAAAGACGAAGCTAGGCAAGAAGTAAGACGTTTACAGAACACTCTCGAAGAGCAAGATAGATTGTCAGCAATACGGTAAGTACTACGTAACATATTTATTGTCGTGAAAGCGTTCATTCATCTAAATTCAATCTTTGTGTTGTGTTTTCAGAGAGATGAAATTGAGTGAGTTGATAAAATCGCTAGAACAGGCTAAACTTGATGTTGAAAGAATGGAGGAGGAGAGAAACGATCTTATTGGAAAGGTAACTTGCGAAAAGGAAAGGAAAATTGTAGCAAAAATATTGTAAAGAAATATGCTAACTTTAAATTATGAAGATGTTATTCAACAGTAGAGGTGACTTATGGCGTTTACTATCTTGAAGTCATGACTTGATGATGATGATAAACATGTGTAATTTTACATGATCGAACAAGAAGAAAACATCCATCCTTGTAAATCTCAAAACTCACTGTACAATGTTTCAACTTATTTAGATTGAAGCTGGAGAGGGAATTAATACTGCAATAAATCAATTGAATCAAGAAAAGGTATATTATTCTCAATCTGTTTTTTAAGCCTCGAGTTGTCTTGTGTATTACAACTTTATTCATTATTATTAAGGTCTGATTAACGTAACTAGTTCAAAAACATCATCTTATAAACTCAAAATTCAAGCTTTATTGACAAGAGGCAAAATCTTAAAGCAATATTTCGAATATATTTCAAAGTCATTATCATGCCAAGTCAACGACTTTGAAATAAAGCCGAAGTATTGCTTTTAAATATTTTTTTTGTCAACTCTATTATAGGATCAGTTAGAAGAAAGGCTGAAGAACAATGAAGCTTTACTAAAATCTCAGAGTGAAGAAAATTTGAGAATCATTGAAGATCTTCACAAACGTACCAATGAAGTAACTATGATCTATATATTTTTTTTATTTGGCTTTGTTTTTATGAAACACATGTACCAATGCCGAAGGACTTTCATGAAGAGCGCTTTACTTTGTTTTTGATTTTTTATTAAAATCTTTTTGTACATCACAATAATTTTATACTTTTCAATCTATATAGTTAATTGAGGAGGTGGAACGTTACAAACAAGATCAGAGCAAAATGAGTGTTCACTTGAAAGAAAAAAATGATGAAATAGAGAATCTAAGTCATACCTTAAATGAAGTGAAATCACAACTACAGATAAAGGCATGTTTATCAACACTCGATAAAAACAATATTTTCTTTATTCTACTCAGTAAATAGTCATTAGTTTTATTTTTACGGCCCAAATTTCCACTATTATGGATGTTCGTAACTTCAAATTTACGTAACATATGGCTACAATTGCTGCTCAAATATATAGAAACGTGTTAGTTGTAATCAATTATGTTTAAAACAATTTAAATGACGAATATGCAACTAAATGACCACCCATTCCAATTTCTAAGGGGGATTATCATAGTCGTATGTAGAACTTAAAATCAAACTGTTTTTTCCAACGCGACAAAATGCTCAAAATGTGTGCTTTTACTTTACTTGAAATATGTACATTTCTTATGTTTTAGACCGAACTTATTGCTGCTCTTGAAACATCAAAAATAACGGAAAGGAAAGTTCTTGAAGAGGAACGAATGCTAGTTGAAGAAAGATTGCAGCAAAAGATTGATGAACATTCGTCCTCAATGAACGAAAATCATTTAGTATGTCTCACGTCTCTCCGTTATATAATGACTGCGGCGGGTTGCGCCTCTCTTTTAATCCTGATTAATTTTGTATTTCATTGTTAGATTAATGAAGAATTGAGCTCATTGAAAAATGAAAACACGAATTTAAAATCACAAGTAATTTCGCTGAAATCTCAAGTGGATGGAAACAACGAACAATACGAGAAACTTAAAACAGAATTGTTAGACAAGGTTTTATATTTCATCACCGTACATTGAAGATAAACATAAAGAAAAACATGTTAATAATCTATTGCCGTTGATTTTAAAGGAGAATAGTATTTTGAGAATAGAGAATGAAAAACAGAAATTGATATGGAGTCATGAAACATTGCTGTGCGAGAAAAATAATGAAATTGTTAAACTAAAGGAACAGTTTGATCAGGTTGGTTGTTTATTAACGATGAAGTATTACGTTGTTCTTCTGTCAATTTAAGTTTGCTTGACTACGAAGCTTGAAAATAAGGCAAAAATCTTGAAGATACAATCACATTTTCTCATGGAAGTTTACAATTAACGGCTGGTCACTGGTATTTCTTTTAACTTCTAACTCTAACTTTTTGCTCATCAGTGTCTTTGTTTTGTCCAGTTGACAACGGAGCACGAAGTAAAAACAAAACATCTGGAAGAAAGTAAATCACAGCTTGTCATGAAAATGAATGTACAGTTGGCGACATTGAAAGAAAAAGTAACCTATGAAAAAGCTCGTTTCCCCGTCACTTCTGAGGATGTGTTAATATAAACGATTCTTACATTGTTGTAGGAAGATGAATTGAAAACATTGAAAGTTGATATAACGGCCCTTATTAAAGAGAAAGGCACGCTCCAGGAAAGACTGGACACGAACATAAAGGTAACTTTACGATCACAAACCATCTTATGTGATGACGTTATAGCGCGATGTTTTTGATGCTCTTTTTTTACTTTATCAATAGTTGCTTGATGAAAGATCCTCAGAACTGAAGAAGAAGAATGAAGAGTTTGAAATTTCGAAGGTGTTGTGAAATAATAATCGATAACTTTAAGAAAATAGTACTTTCACTAGAGTTTGTGCACAAATACTAATTGTTGTAGTGCAATAAACTTACTATTTTAGGAGTTGCTGGACAACGCTGAAAAGACCAAAGAGGAGTTAAAGAATCAGATTTCAGAATTAATGTCTAGTTTGATGTCAGTGAAAGAAAAGTTGAACATTTCCGAGGTGAAACTATGTTTTCATCATTTTTGGCGAACATAAAATTACTAACTTCTTTTGTCTTCTTTATATCAGACAAAATTGCTAGAAATGAAAACAGAAGTGGAGACTCACAAAGCTCAAGTATCTTTTAGTATTGTGTTGCAATACGTTACTACATATCTCATCTCAAAACATTTTGTTCTTTGTAGCTTGATGAAGTTAAGCAAGATAAATGTAGCGTAGAGGAAGAAAGAAGAGGGGAAGCGAAGGTTCTGCCATTGTGATAAAGTTTTAGACTGTAAGAAATCATCTAACAGACATGTTTTCACGCATTTGTAGATTCACAAAGAGGAAATCGAAAAACATCAAAAAGAAGCGAAAAAGTACCATGATATATTAGAAAAGAAGGTGAGAGTATGATATATTGACTTAGTACAATAGATTATAGAGGGTTATTCATTGCAGAGGAGGAGAAAGAAGTGAGTGCGTTAACTGGTGAATATTTTATACTTGACGCGATGTCAATTTGTAACACAGAAATTTTAGGCAACAAGCTTTTTATATTTTTATTCAACAGAACGAAGAAATTGATGAATTACGTCGTGTAATCGACCGAAAAGACGAACTGTTACAAGAGCATCGACAAAAAATTGAGGTACTGGTGTGTTTTGCACAGAATAGCATCGTTTACAAGAGTAAATTTTACATGGAGATTGTCAGTTTGAGCTGAAAGCTTTGTTTACTTATAAGCTCATGTAGAGTTATTGCAAAGACCTCAACTGTTGCTTATTGTAAAGATCTCAACTATTACTTATTGTGAATATCTGATCTGTTATTTAATGTGAAGACCTCGACTGTTACTTATTCTAAAGATCTCAACTGTTACTTATTGTAAAAATGTAACTGTAACTTATTGTAAAGATCTGATTGTTAGGCACAAGAAGTAGCAATGAAGAAGATGTGTGAAAGTTGCAAGGATTACGACAACAAATTATGTCGATCACAAGAGCTGTTAAATCAAGAGAAACAAATTGTTGAAGAGAAAAATAAAGAAATCATTGTAGCTAAACAGATGAATGAGGCATGTTAACGGTTTTTGTACAGCCAGTTTTATGGCGTTTAATGGTTTACTGATATCTTTGATCTTGTCATCTAGGAACTTTTGACGAGGATATCATTGGCTGAAGAAGAGAAAAAACTATTGTCTGCCGAAGCTAATGAATCACAAGAAAATTTGCGAAACGAGATCAACAATCTTTCTCAAGTACGCTTTCAACTATCATGTAATTAGTCATTAAAGTGCTTATGAAACGAAATTTTACCGCACAGTTTTTGGATTGCATGGCAAAAACCATTTGAAATGACTCAGTGACTCCTTAAAGTGGTTATGAAACGAACTTTTACCATGCAGTTGTCTAAGTGTATTAAATAGAACATTTGAAATCACTTAATAACTTAATGAGTAGATTTGTATTATTTATTTCTTTTTAGAGATATTTCTCTTAATTAATCATGCAAAAACATCCTCGTGACATCACAACTCATAATTAGAATTTGTAAAATAGTATTTTTTGTCGACAATGTGTTGGGAAATATCTAACTTTGGCACCTATGCACATATTCATATAGTCTTTAAAATGTTAATATGCAATGTGATGTAACAGTGATATTTTTACATGATGAATTAAGTGAAATAAGTACCTCTAGAAAGAGATAAAATAATACAAATCTATTCATAAAGTTATTACAGTAAGAGATTTCAAATGCTCTGTACAATACGTACACTCTGATAACTGCATTGTAAAAGTTTGTTTAATAACCAATTTAATATTTCCAAGCTTTTCTTCCATATGCTTTAATAATAGCCATATAAGTAGAATAAAATGCAATTTTATTAGTTAGTATTAGTATTTGTCAATAATACTATGATTAGTACTATTATTTATTAGTCTATGCATTACTTAATACTGAAGTGCATTGAAGTGTTACAAAAGTAGGTTATGATACAAAGACGTAAAACTTTAGACTTCTTAAAAGTTTTTTTTTTTGTTAAAGGAAAAGCTTGAACTCGGAAAAAAATTATCAGAACAAAGTTTGCTGTTGGAAGAAACTCAGCTTGCCCAGGAGCTTCTTATTCAAGACAAGGTAAGTGAAACGCTTTTTGATCTGTCAAGAATATGTTGAAAATTTATCATCATCATCAGGGGAAAATGGAGGACGATTTGCGACAGCAAGAAAACGAGTGGAATGAATTGATGTGAGAATTTTATAATACTGTTTGATTTACTATTTAGTTATAAATCCTTATGAATTTGATCACGTCAATCGTAGAGCGAACATGAAGGGTGAGATCACATTATTACAAAGAGAAGTAGACGATGAGAAAAGGAAAAGACTAAAGGTCACCGTTCAATGCACGAATATTGTAATGAAAGCTTTTACTAGAAATTATGTGATGCTTGCAGATTGTCGAAGAAACATCAGAGAAAGAAAAAGTGTTCATTGATCAAAAACTTCTTCTTCAAAATCAGTTGGAGCATCTACAAATAAATTTACAAAAGGTGAAACTTCTGTTGCGAGTTATTCCGATGTGTCTTTTATCGTTTTTTTTATCATGTTTTTTTATTGAAACTGTGCTGTGTCTTCTTGTCTTATCAGGTGAAAGAAGACTCTGAAGAGAATAGAGAGGCGTCAAAGAGAGCTCAAGGAATCCTAAAGACGGAGATGGATAATCTAGATGCGAAATTGGTGCGTTTTGTATGGTATTTGTACCACTTAAAGGTTTTGTTTAATCAATAGCACCCGTGTTGTACGCTATCTTAAAACTTACGACTTTAAAACCGAGCAGATTTTTTTAGCTGTTTTTCTAATAAATTCCTGGGTTTTTTTTAATGCACGAACGACTAAATCGTGCTAATCCCTTTTCCACAGCAAAACGAAAAGAACATAAACGAACAACTGACAACAAAATTAGGTAATACTGAATCAAGACTGAACACGAAACTCGCGGCTGCCAATGAGAATCTTGTCTCGGCGAGAAATGAAATCGGCAAATGTGAAGAAAAAATTGTTGAGCTCGAAAAAGTTATCAAGCAAAAGGAAACGCAACAATTTGATTTGAAAGGGGAGATAGCAGGTAGGTATGCTTGTGGAAATCGCCAATAAAATATACTTAATCAAAAATTATTTTAATATATGTTTGTCACTAATTATTTCAGAAGGATGTTAAGTCAAAAATCATTGTTTTCTTACTTACTATTTCAGTACTTGAGGCGACCATCGAAAATAATCACGATGAAAAACGCAGTTTACTTGAAAGGTAGCTCAAAATAGTTCCTTTTAGGTTTTTTGTAAAGTGAAACTTTAGAAAGTACTTAAAATTACTCCAAATCATGTGGCCTCTATCGATAGACTGGTAACTAGTTCTCTTGTTATTGATATACTTTACCTTATTTTTGTCAGATGCATAAGTGCTGAAGACAGTTGCAAAAAACATCTTAAAACGATCGAACAATTGAATAAAAACGTGGATGAGTTGAACTCCGCCATGATTGAACTTGGACAGGAAAATCAAAACCTTCAAGTTGAACAGAACATTCGCAACAATCGAAAATGGGAGAAAGACAATGACGTTGTGCAATGTAATGCCTGCGCTAAGAAATTCTCAGTTAGCGTAAGAAAGGTTCGTTGTAACTACGAGTTTGCTGTTACTATAGCAACAGCAATGTGTCGTGACAATCATTTTTCTTTTTATTCAGCATCACTGTCGAAATTGTGGGTAAATAAGACGATTTCTTTGAATGACATTTGTTGAAATTTCATTTTTTCTCTTGATAATATTTGTAATTCTTATTTGATTTTACTTCCTCTAGAGCAATATTTTGCAGTGAATGTACTTCAAAAACGGCTACTGTTGCTGGAAGTAAAAAGCCTGCAAGAGTTTGTGATTCTTGTTACAATGACCTCAATGTTCCGGTCAGGGTGAGTGCGAGATAGAACAAGGTGTCTTTAAGGTCAGTGACTGCGGAGCCTTAACAAATGTGCGAGATGCTGAATTTTATTTAATAAATTGCTTATTGATTGAAAGCAGGGGGTATGTATGCTCCCCTCGGCCCTCATGCTCCGCGGTCTTGGCGGGTGTTTTGAAGAAAGTCGACTTAAGTATAAATTTTGTTTCATTTTTTCATTCTAGTCGTACTCCCTCACTTCTACTTCATAACATGGAGCATTTACTGCATAGGAATGAAGTAATGATAGGTGAAACTGCTCTTAATAACATTTCTTGCCCATCATGTTCACGTAGAGTCTCGGAGACTGGAGACATTTCACCAATCGATCCATGTGAAATTTTTTAGACTGTTTTATATAATAAAATGTATTGAGTTAGCACCATTGAACCAAAATACATGGAACGCTACCTGTAATAGAAAACCTTAATAATTTTTTGAAGCCAAATCTCACAGCCCGACACGCGAGATTACACTCAGACACGCGTGTGTAGTCAATCATTTTCAGAATGTCGAAACACTACACACGCGTGTTTGGGTGTAATTTCGCGTGTCTGGGTGAAAGATTGCCTTCAATTATTTGCTTTAGATGGCGTTCCATGTATTTTAGTTCAATGGTCACAGCCCTTAATATTGATACCATTTTTTTTGCACATCATGGAAATATAAATGCAATCGATCTATTGAAATACGAAATGAACGTCTTTGTAAATATTTCATCCATCAATCATTATAAATGTGATTTGCACTTCAGTAACTTCGTTTCACCACATTTCACTGCTTCATTTTCATCTGGGCTAGTTCCAGGCTTTTTGCATTTTTTATCACTTTTGCGCATAGCATCATGGGAAAAAGAGAAATTTCGGCCAAGTGAGATATTTTGGAGAAATCCCAAAAGTTTTTCTAAAATCTTACTTTTAAAATGAGCGCAGGTCTGCCAAGAAGAATTATTAAGGTATGAAAGGCATTAATATATTTAATGACCGTCGATATTAATTTTCTCGAGAACTGTACTTGCACGAAAATGATGAATTTATTGCAAGCGATTTGTTGTCTGTGTTCACATAGGAAACTCAAAGACTTATTGCCGAACCAGTTCCTGGCATTAAAGCGACTCCTCACGAAGAGAATGCAAGATATTTTGATGTTTTAGTAGATGGTCCTAAAGAGGTTTGCTACCAAGTACAAACTATGTAATACTTTTCATTTCATATCATATGTATTGACATCAACAAGTTTGTATCATTCATGCAGTTTTTTGCACAAATTTTCTTAAAGATATACGTTTAATAACCAAAGTTGATGTAAGCTTGTAGAAAATCTCAGGTTGTATATAAGAGCCACCACCATTTTTTGTCAAAGAAGAAAGTTACTGCTGCCTAACCCATATCTAAATGAAAGCACCATCTATGAGGCAAAACAACACAATGTTTGTGTTTTCTTTCCTCTGACTATAATTTTGCAGTCTATAGACTACTTTTAGTCTTACCATAGACATTTTGCACAACACATAAAAGCCAAAGTATAAGTTCTTTGTTAAATGAAATCCTCCAAGACACTTGTCACTGCACACAAAGTAAGCATTATTTGTTGTAAATGTTTTGAAAAGTGTTACATGACATTATCAGTAGAAATAGAGTATAGTAGAAGTGTATACGGTACGTTTAGATGGTATATGGGTATAATAAGAGTGTATATGGGCCCAGTAGGATAGTATATTGGTATAGTAAGATGGTATATGTGTATAGTAGGATTTTATATGTGTATAGTAGGATAGTATATGGTATAGTAAGATGGTATATGGGTATAAGAGGATGGTATATGGGTATAATTGGATGGTATATGGGCACAGTTGAATGGGTGCGTGGCATGCCAATTAGCTATTATTGAAAAATGTGATTTTAATTTTTATGAAATGTTTCTCTGTTCTTTCACTAGTCTCCTTTTGAAAATGGTTGTTTTAAGCTTGAACTGTTTCTTCCTGAGGAATACCCCATGTCTCCACCAAAGGTCCGCTTTAACACAAAGATTTACCATCCAAACATTGACAAACTTGGTCGCATATGCCTAGACATTTTAAAAGGTAAAATGAACAATTGAGTAAAATGATAATTTGAAATTTTGAACAGAAGAGGGAAAAGAATTTACATAAATAATTCAAGTATAAATTATTGTAGATTTGATTACTATTATGGAGAAAGGGGGAGAGACCCCTTGTCCCCCTTGTGTCTGCTCCTGATTGAGATATATAGTGTTGCTCAGTTATCTGAGTTATATTGTATGTGAAATCTTATAGATAAATGGAGTCCGGCTTTACAGATTCGCACGGTATTGCTTTCAATACAGGCTTTATTGAGTGCTCCTAACCCAGATGATCCTTTAGCCAATGATGTTGCCGAACTGTGGAAATCAAATGAAGTCAAGGCAATCGAGACTGGTAATGATAAAATATTTTTGCATGTGTGCTTTTGTTTTCAATCTTAAAATTTGCACTTTTCTACTTTTAAATAGCCAGACAATGGACTATGATGTATGCTGTTAATAAAAGTTGATGCTTTTGAAGAATGGTCGATGCCTAGATAATTTCTCCTTCACTCTATACTCTGTCTCTGAGACATTTCAAATTTTTCATTAAATGGTGATATTTAAACTTATAATATTATGGAGCAAATTTTGCTTACTGCTTCACAAAATCATTGAAAAATGTAGAGTTGAGTGTAAGGGTTGTAGATTAAAAATTATTAACTAGGTTTGGTAAAATAGTCATTTTGTTGAAGTAAAATGAAATAATGGAAAACATTTTTTTTTGTAACATAGCAACTTGTCATGACTTTTATGGGATGTTTTTATGAAAATATATGTACAAGATAATTTGCAAACAAAATAAAGACATTGAAAGATTGTGGGGGACTCAAAGAAAAGGAAAGAAAAGAAGAAATTTTTTAAATTTACATCTATTTGTGCGATCATTACAAACTTAGGATCAGACAACTCTGACAATTGACATTTTTGATAATAAATGAATAGGAGGCATCATCCAAAAACTGTTTTAATATATTGTAGTTCGATCCCCACCCCACGTCCCCACTTTCCCCACTTTCCCCATTTTCCCCACTTTTCCCCACTTTCCCCGTTGATTGACCAGTGAGTTAAGACAATGCCCATGACGCCACGCGGTCGTATGAAATTGGCGGTGAAAAATCTAAGAAGAAACGTGGCGGTTCAGTATACTTGATGTAGTAGTGATGAACATCCCAGATTCTCTGTTTTATTCAAGGTAAAATGAAGTAAATTGTTTAAATCAGATTCGAAGTGTTTCAAGTTTTTCGCGGTTTACTAAGTTTGTGAAAAGTTCTTCGGAAAATATGAATTTTCGTCGTTTTCAACGCGATCATATGTATTCAGGCTCATTTGAGTTCTTACACTTGGGTAAGTTTAACTGTCACAAACCCATTAAATCTTTACTGTTGAGCAAAACTAAAATGATAGTAATTCGTGATTGAGATATAGAAATGGCCATTGAAGGGCCAATACTCAACTAAAACCAACTTTTATGGCTTGAATTAGTATGAATCATTTGCCCGATAGCAAACTTTATGCAATAAACGTCTGCTTTTTGTAGACGTTTATTTGTTATCTTGCTGCTTGGTGTATGCCATAGTATATATATCAATGAGGAAGCCAACGATATTGTTCAGTCAATACTCAAAAGTTATGAAGAGAACCCACAAGCTGCAAGATTTGAACATGTCATTGTTATTTCATCTGAGAAATGCCATCTATTTCCAAAAGTAAGTTTCTTCTCAGATTTTGTGGTATATTTATTGGCTTTGAAAAAATCAACTATTTTTTTTCACTCTACTTGAAGATGTTTATATGGTGTCCAATGAGTCGATTTAAATTGGAACTCCGTTGTCCACAACATGATGAGCCTCTAAAGATATCCAGATGGATGGGAAATCTAAAATCTGAGGGAAGTGATAATCCAAGGCTTGTCTATGACATTGGTGGCAACATATTGCTGATTCAGCGACATTACAGTTGCAGCATGAACCTTGAAGGCAGCAACGGAAGTGGACATAGGTGAATTGAAAAATTTTGTCCCCAATTTAAGATCAAAAAATACATTTTTTAATATTTTTTATCACATTATACATCACATAGATACATGTCTGGGGCTGTTGAAATCATGCAGATGTTACCAACTTATGCTCGACAATCATTTCCCATTGAAATCCATTTTAAGTCAGCAATCTCTCGACAATTATTGGATTATCTTTTAATCCAAGTTCAACAAGGAACAAACTTCATGAAGATATGTCAAGGTTTGCTAATAATGTTAGCTTCATCTTTCCTCTTTAACTCAATATGTTATTGCATTCAAAATGGTTATTGTTTAGGGATCGGTTCGCTTAATTTCCGTGAATACATTGCTCGACATTTTAACCAGCCAAATCGTGAAGGAAGCTCAGAGGATATTGAGAGTGCTTTTTATCAGAATTTTCTTTATTCATTTCCAAGCAATGACAAACTGATGCATTTGTTCCTAAGCTATTATGACAAGACAAAGGAACTTCTTGAGCAGGATATGAGAAGTCATATTGGAAATATCTTGATATGTGATCATACTTTCAAACTGGGCAGCCATATTGGAGAGCGTTCAAGTCGCAAGGAGCCAAGCGATGGACAGTTTGATAGGGCTTTCATTGGATTAAATGAACATGGTGAGGTGATGTTTCTACGTTTGACAAGAGAAGCTGGCTTTGAACAAGTTGAAGATCTATTGCAAGATTTCAAACTACGACTTGTAAATGAAGGTCAGTGAATTGTTTAATTTGTTCTGATAAATTGTAAAACAAGAAAAAGGTGGATTTTTTCTGTGAAAAAAAGTAGCTTTTAAACTCTCCATATATAAATAATATTAGTAACTCCTTATGTACTAAAAATTAGAATAGTATTTAATCTGAACATCTTAAAGATTCTTTTAAATGAAAATTTTGAGATTTTTTTCTGTGAAATTATGTTATGTATGATAAACCTTTCCGAACATGTTACCTTTTCTTTGTGGATTTTCACAATGATTTTTTATGCTTCGTGTTAGAAATGAAGGCAAGGAGTGAAAATACGAACTTTCAATTTAACATTAAAGTAGCAAAGTTTTTTTTCGGTAGTTCACATGTTGAAATATTTTAGTAAACAAAATCTGCTTTCTTAAACACAGGCTTGTGATTTTAGCACCTCCATCATAAAATTTTATATGGCTTTATTTGTCTACAGGTATTCAACTGGAATTGATTTTGGTTGAAGATTGTTGTATTTCCCAAGATCATCTGTCACATATTTTTGGTGATGTCCCAGTAAAATTGAGTCCTTTCCATGCAACGCAGCGTGTTCTCGAGTCTCTTCCACCGTGGTTCAAAGACATGAAAAGATTTGCGAAGGATTTTCGTTTGGTTTTCAGAGCTAAAGACGATCGAAACGATGAACGATTTCAAAACACTCCTGAAGGCAGTGTTATCAACGATAATCTAGAACACTTTATGACAAGGTAATATCTTTGAATGGTAACAAAGAGTAATGTATTTACCTTAGGTGCAGTGTGCATTAACCATTGAACTAAAAATAGACTTGTATTATAGTTCATTGGCATGGTACAATGATGTTTTTTCCTGTTAAGTGACGTTTCCTCGCCTGTATACCAAAAAAAACATAGTTATGAAAACGATGGTTGCACGCTTTCAATTTTCTCAATAGATGTTTTGAGTTATTGAGATCTTATGTTCACCTACTAATTTGGGTGGATTTTGTGGGACCATAATGAAAACGGCAATGTTGAAATCGGATATTGTGTTAGTAAACTGGGATCTCTTAAAACATGGCCATAATGAATAATGGTCCGAACAACTTTTGATGAAAACAGACAAGCTTAAAGTTATACTCTTTGTAAAATGTATTCTTGTTTTGTAGATGGTCCAACAAACTGCCTGAGGAGACTGTCGAAAGAATTCACGATTTACGTGAACATATCGAGCGTGGATGTCTTTCAGGAATTCCGCCTGGTGAGGGTACGGAACGAAATGAAAAGTTACACGACTTTTTGACGGAATCTCTGCTTTGTGCTGCGAAATCTCTTTCACCGGAGCTTGCGATTGCTATTCTTGCTTATGTGCTTTACGTGTGGAATTGTCAACGAAAAGCAAGAAAACACAACAGCAACTGCAGGTTAATCTTTTATACTGTCCAATTATCAATCATTCTCGTTAGTGGCATGCTAACCATTGAACTAAAATACATCTGGAACGTTACCTGTAATAGAAAAGTCTAATAAATTGTTGAAGCCAAATTTTACTCCCAGACACGCGTGTAGTCAATTTTCAGAACTTGAAACACTACACACTCGTGTCTGGGTGTAATCTCGCGTTTCTGGGTGTAAGATTTGGCTTCAATTATTTGCTTTAGGTAGCCTTCCATGTATTTTATTTCAATGATGCTAACTGAAGTCTTTGCCATGTTTTATCTAGAGTTGTTCCCACAATTCCCATCGAGACAAAACAGCCATTTAGCTCTTCAGATATTTATAAGATGTGTTTGAAAGCGGATGGTAAACTGAATACAGAACTTATCTGGAGGAAAGCATCAGAATTGGGAATTCATCAGTTTATACAAGTGGAATTTGAAGCTGTAACTGACGTTGCGTGTTTGGAAAATGAAAATCTAGTTAAGTACGCCATTACGAGAGCGTTACATCTGCAAGAAATATTCAATCTCGTTGCTCAAAAATCTGATAAGAAAAATTTGAACGTCGTCGAGTTTCCTTATTATTGGGTAAAAGGATATAGTTTTCTTTTGAGGTAAGAGTGCAGAATTCTTGATAGGAATGTCTATAATTAAATATAAAAAAAAGTAATGCCTTGTGATTTAAAGACATTTTCTATCTTTTTACTAGATGTGTCACGACGGAATGTGAAGATATTCTTAATAATGGCGCAGAAAAAACAATTAATGAAGATGCTTTGGAAAGAAATTTGGCTTCATTTGGTTTAGAGAGAAATGCTGTCGCGTCAGACGGAAATTGTTGTTTCACTAGTATTGTTTCACAACTTTTTAAACTCAAAGATTCTCAAGCAATTTCCAAGGAATATGACGATTTTCTCATCGATTTAGGTAAGAAAGGCAACTAGAAAACTCATAAATAAATATAAAGGCAAGAGAATAAAAATAAAAAGGCAATAGAAAACTAATAAATAAATATAAAGGCAACAGAATAAAAATAAAAAGGCAAATAGAAAACTATTGCCTTTAGATATTTTTCGTCATTAAAATGTACGTTAACTTTTCCTGGTGGAGAATAAAATTATTTTTATTATGACGTCGATAATTATTGTGAACCGTCCTTATTTCTTGTCATTATTAACGATTTACGTAAAACCATCTTTGTCGCATTTAGTCTCATACTCTCTCTTCTCACGTTTACTCACGTTTAGGCTTGTACCCTATCTTTTCTTCAAATTGGTGTTATGCTCTTTATCTTTTGATTTAGGTTTGTACAAAAGCATCGAGGAAGATGCCACAACGCTCCGTCTACTTTTTACAAAGGAAGTTTCCGAAAATCTTGATGTTTACAAAAAATGGGTTAATCTCTCTGACTGTGAAGCTCAGTACGAGATTGAGCAATTCTCGAAGCCTGGATGGTTCAGTTCAGATATTGGTGATCTTTGTGTCATGGTTTGTAGTCGTATCGTTCAATCTCCAATAGTCGTGATTACGTCATACATTCACGCTCCTTATCTGCCTTTTGTACCTGAGAAGCTATCATCCTCTCAACCGTTATTCATTGCCTTCGATCATACGGCACCAGGCCACTATGACTCAACACAAGGTATGACGTAATAACTGTCACGAGTGTTTGTGTAACTGTGCGTTATTAGTCCCAGTTGATCTTAATTATTTATTATTGACATGATATATTTTCCATAATTCAATTATATTCAAATTAAAATGAATTTTAATTCATGAAATTGTGATATTCATTTTGGAGATTTTCATAGGCAATTACCGTACATCTTATGTATTTTGTACATTTTTATAGTTTTTAACTATAGAAAGGGCTTCAATTTACGTCAGGTTGAGAGATTACAAATTGAAAGGTTTTTTCAATTACGCCATGTCTTTTTAGAGTTACTGTTGGTAAAGAACACAATGCTTACAAAATGCTGTTGTGGTAAAAGTCGCCGGGGAGAAAAATCTATCGGATTATCTTCTTGCAGTGAAAGTGAAGCCGGTCATTCAAAATGCTCGTGTCTTAAACTTGGCCAAGCTTGCAACAGAATGTGTCGTTGTAGAAACTGTTGTAATCCGCTGAACGAAAAGGAAAGAAAGTTTCGTCCAGCGAGAAAGAATAGGAAAGCATGTATGTGTGGTAATGGAAGGAAGGTAAAAACTTCATATTTTTTCCTAACTTTAATATTTTTTACTGCTCGTCTTTACAAAGATGTGTAAATTAATAAATAAGAGTTTGTTTGTGACTATCGAAACTCCACTCGTCGTAGAAGAAATAATCATTAGAGTTAATGTGGATTTTTTACTCGTATTGATATTTATTAATTTTATTTTCATCGAGTATTCATCGCGTGATATCCTGTGCATTCTCACGCGATATCCTGTGTATTCATCACGTGATTTTTCTACTCAGGAAAGCGATGGCATATTTATCTCATGTAAAGATAAAGACACACGTAAATCAAAGTGTCCGTGTTTACGTGACAGTGTTGGATGCACAAACGACTGTCGATGTCGTAACTGTGGAAATATATACAACTCACCTGATTTTATACCCGGTGGTAAGAGAGGATGCGAGGAAGAACTTTCGACGTTTAAAGGAAAAGCAAAACGCAGACGAAGCAATCCTCAGGTATGGTTAATGTACAGCGTTGAAACATTTATTTTCACTACAAACTTAAAGTCACGTAGACAGAGAATAAGGGTTTTTTGTCTATTATCTAGTCACTGTTACTTGCATAACCATTGCGCGTTGTTCATCAAAATGCATCAAATATTCTTTTTAAAGAGATAATATAGTGTACTTAATGTTTTTTCACCTCGTCATCAAGGTTATTTAATTAACTGTACTATAAATATAGATTGACGTTTTTACAATTTTCTTAATACAGTCTTATAAGCGGATCAAAGGTGCCGTGTTCGCATCGAACCAGGATGGCGAGGTTTCAAGTGGAGTGTGGTCAGAGCTAGAAACCATTATGCTAGTTGTGATTCAAGAAATTTTGTTTTTGACGGAACTACCATCGGAAACATCCAACATAATATCACTTTATCAGTTCATCGCGGTATCAGAATTTGTTACAGAGATGAAACTTCCCATCGTTAAAAAGGAAAATGTTGAAATTGAAGCAAAATTGGTTGAAATGATCGCTAAACAACAGCTAATGCTGGAAGGACTTAACCCAAGAACTTTAACCGTTAGTGACGTGGCAATGAGTGCTGTTGAAAACTAGTCTTTTTACATTTCTCGAAAGAAAGACTTATAGTTTTTGCCATTCAATGAAAACTATACCTGTTCGATAAAACTTGCTTAGAATTTTATAAAAAACAATCGTTTTTTTTCTGTTTTAAGAGCTATTAGTGGTTTTTTGAATATTTTTTTATAGATACCATGCTGTAATAAAACTGTTGCTATTGTGTTCGATGAATGTTTAATGCTAAATGTGAATGATGTTCTTTGATGAATGTTTAACGTAGATTTGAGTGATGTTTTTTAAAGAATGCTTTTGTTGCAAGACAAGTTTTTGAAATGACGACTTGTATGTTTGAGAAAATTGAACCTTGGTTGACCAATATATAACTACGTAGGTCATACTGTACTCTGCCGTAAAGTATAGAGGTACGTTGGCATACTGTTTATAAGATGAAGAGATGGGAAATTGCTGAAAGTGATATATTTTGTATTTGAGAAAACGCATTTTAAATATAAAAAGTTGTTTTCATTATTTGAGTGAAATTCAAATGTCATAGTTATCCTACAATGAAGCATAGGAACATTGTCATACTGTATAGTGTAGAATGAAATATACGTATGTTGTGATATGTTCGTGAAATTTCTATAACTATTGTGAAATATAGGTATGTTGTGATACGTTCGTGAAATTTCTATAACTATTGTGTAATATACGTATGTTGTGATATGTTCGTAAAATTTCTATAACTATTGTGAAATATACGTATGTTGTGATACGTTCGTAAAATTTCTATAACTATTGTGAAATATACGTATGTTGTGATACGTTCGTAAAATTTCTATAACTATTGTGAAATATACGTATGTTGTGATACGTTCGTGAAATTTCTATAACTATTGTGTAATATACGTATGTTGTGATACGTTCGTAAAATTTCTATAACTATTGTGAAATATACGTATGTTGTGATACGTTCGTAAAATTTCTATAACTATTGTGAAATATAGGTATGTTGTGATACGTTCGTGAAATTTCTATAACTATTGTGAAATATACGTATGTTGTGATACGTTCGTAAAATTTCTATAACTATTGTGAAATATACGTATGTTGTGATACGTTCGTGAAATTTCTATAACTATTGTGGGATTGAATTGCAGGTATGATATCCTAAATTAACGGAGGCATGTGTTGGAAGGCGGTGTCTTTTAAATGTTTTTGTTGAAAACATTCGATAGTGCTTAATTTTGGATTGTTGTTTGATAAGAGTTAGTTTTTTCTTGTGAAGTGAAAGATTTCGTTTGTTTAAGTACAAAGAATGCAGAGGCTAAGCCAGCTCCATCTTTTACTTTTACATTGAAAATTTTACAAGTACACATAGATATTCGTTTTTTTTTAAAAGGTAATTAGGGGATAAATTTTGAATTACGAAAAAATTATTACAGACAGATTATTCAATCTCTGGTATTGGAGGCTCTGTGGTATTTGGAAAACGAGAAAGTTCTTGCTGATGAGGAAATTCAAGTAGTTGGGTAAGGTGCAGTCTGAGGAAGAAGGGTTAGTGCGGTTTGTCTTTGAAGAAAATTACGAAAAGTAAAAATCTTTTACATTGAAAATGTGTAAACTAATGTCTTTTACTTGATAATGCATGAACTATAGTCTTTACTTGAAAATGTATAAACAAAAGTCTTTTACTTGAGAATGTGTACAATTATATGAAAATGTGTCAACTATAGTTTTTTATTTGGAAATGTGTCAACTATAGTCTTTTACTTGAAAATGCGTGAACTATAGTCTTTTACTTGAAAATGCGTGAACTATAGTGTTTTACTTGAAAATGTGTGAACCATAGTCTTTTACTTGAAAATGCGTGAACTATAGTCTTTTACTTAAAAATGTGTGAACCATAGTCTTTTACTTGAAAATGCGTGAGCTATAGTGTTTTACTTGAAAATGTGTGGACCATAGTCTTTTACTTGAAAATGCGTGAACTATAGTCTTTTACTTGAAAATGCGTGAACTATAGTGTTTTACTTAAAAATGCGTGAACTATGTTCTTTTACTTGAAAATACATGGACTATAGTCTTTTACTTGAAAATGCGTGAACTATAGTCTTTTACTTGAAAATGTGTGAACTATAGTCTTTTACTTGAAAATACATGGACTATAGTCTTTTACTTGAAAATGTGTGAACTATAGTCTTTTACTTGGAAATGCGTGAACTATAGTCTTTTATTAGAAAATGTGTGAACTATAGTCTCTTACTTGGAAATGCGTGAACTATAGTCTTTTACTTGAAAATGTGTGAACTATAGCCTTTTACTTGAAAGTGCGTGCACTATAGTCTTTGCATTTTTACACATTTTCATGTCAAAGACTATAGTCTTTGTATTTTCACATATTTTTATGCCAAAGAATATAGTCTTTGTATTTTTACATATTTTCATGTCAAAGACTATAGTACTTTCATTTTCACAATTTCTCATGTCAAAGACTATAGTCTTTGCATTTTCACACATTTTCGTGCCAAAGAGTATAGTCTTTGAATTTTCACAGATTTTAATGTCAAAGACTATAGTCTTTGCATTTTTACACATTTTGATGCGAAATACTACAGTTTTTAAATTTTCACACATTAGATGCCAAAGATTGTAGTCTTTTCATTTTCACACATTTTCTTGTCAAAGACTATAGTCTCTCCATTTTCACACATTTTCATGTCAAAAACTATAAACTTTGCATTTTCAAAATTTTCACGTCAAAGACTATAGTCTTTCGATTTTCACACATTTTCATGTCAAAGACTATAGTATTTTCATTTTCACAATTTCTCATGAATAAGTTCATGCATTTTCACAAATTTTCACTCTTTTTCACACAAAGACTATAATTCACACATTTTCACAAGTCTTCATATTTTTTCACACAAAGACTGTAATTCATGCATTTTCACAAATTTTCACTCGTTTTGACAAAAGACTATGATTCAAATATTTTCACAAAATTTCGCATTTTTTCAAACAAAGACTATAATTCATGCATTTTCACAAATTTTCACACTGTTTCACACAAAGTCTATAGTTCATGCATTTTCACAAATTTTCACACTTTTTCACACAAAGTCTATAGGTCATGCATTTTCACAAATTTTCACACTTTTGACACAAAGACTATAATTCACATATTTTCACAAATTTTGCATTTTTTCACACAAAGTCTATAGTTCATGCATTTTAACAAATTTTCACACTTTTTCACACAAAGACTATAATTTACGAATTTTCACAAGTTTTATATTTTTTCACACAAAGACTATAATTCATGCATTTTCACAAATTTTCACTTTTGACACAAAGTCTATAATCCATATTTTCACAAATTTCATTTTTCACACCGACTATAGTTCATTTCTTCACACTTTTTCACACAAAGACTATAATTCATGCATTTTTTCACACAAAGACTATAATTCACGCATTTTCCCAAGTTTTTATATTTTTTCACACAAAGTCTATAATTCATGCATTTTCACAAATTTTCACACTTTTTCACGCAAGACTATAATTCATGCATTTTCACAAATTTTCACACTTTTTCACACAACGACTATAATTCACGCATTTTCACAAGTTTTCATATTTTTTCACACAAAGACTATAATTCATGCATTTTCACAAATTTTCACACTTTTTGACACAAAGTCTATAGTTCATGCATTCAATTCCATTTTTCACATTTTCATGCATTTTTCACACAAAGACTATAATTCACGCATTTTCACAAGTTTTCATATTTTTCACACAAAGACTCATGCATTTTCACAAATTTTCACACTTTTTCACATGAAGACTATCCACGCATGTTTTCATTTTTTTCACAAAAGACTATTCATGCATTTTCAAAATTTTCCACACAAAGACTATAATTCATGCATTTTCACAAATTTTCACACTTTTTGACACAAAGTCTATAGTTCATGCATTTTCACAAATTTTCACACTTTTTCACACAATGACTATAATTCACGCATTTTCACAAGTTTTCATATTTTTTCACACAGACTATAATTCATGCATTTTTTCACACAAAGACTATAATTCACGCATTTTCACAAGTTTTCATATTTTTTCACACAAAGTCACGCATTTTCACACAGACTATAATTCATTTTCACACAGACTATAAGACTATAATTCACGCATTTTCACAAGTTTTCATATTTTTTCACACAAATTGTTCATGCATTTTCAAAAATTTTCACACTTTTTCACACAAAGACTATAATTCACGCATTTTCACAAGTTTTCATATTTTTTCACACAAAGACTATAATTCATGCATTTTCACAAATTTTCACACTTTTTGACACAAAGTCTATAGTTCAAGCATTTTCCCAAATTTTCCCACTTTTTGACAAAAATACAGTTGTTCACGCATTTTCACAAGTTTTCATATTTTTCATTACAATTTAAACATTAAAGACTTATTTTCACAATTTTTCATTCTTTCATTTTCACAAATTTTCACACTTTTTCATGCAACGACTATTCACGAATTTTCACAAGTTTTCATATTTTTTCACACAAAGACTATAATTCATGCATTTTCACAAATTTTCACACTTTTTTACACAAAGACTATGATTCAAATATTTTCACAAAATCTCGCATTTTTTCACACAAAGTCTATAGTTCATGCATTTTCACAAATTTTCCCACTTTTTCACGCAAGACTATAATTCACGCATTTTCACAAGTTTTCATATTTTTTCACACAAAGACTATAATTCATGCATTTTCACAAGTTTTCATATTTTTTCACACAAAGACTATAGTCTATAAATTTTCAAACACTTTGATGCAAAGACTATAATCTTTGCATTTTTACAGATTTTCATGTCAAAGACTATAATCTTTGTATTTTCACACATTTGACGACAAAGACTATAGTCTTTGCATTTTTACACAGTTTCATGTCAAAGACTATAGTCTTTGTATTTTCACATATTTTTATGCCAAAAACTATAGTCTTTGCATTTTTACACATTTTCATGTCAAAGACTATAGTCTATAAATTTTCCTACACTTTGATGCAAAGGCTATAATCTTTGCATGTTTTCACATTTTCATGTCAAAGACTATAGTATGTTAATTTTCACACATTTTCATGCCAAAGACTATAGTCTATAAAATTTCACGCACTTTCATGCAAAGACTATAGTCTTCACATTTTTACACATTTTAATATCAAAGACTATAGTCTTTTCATTTTCACAATTTCTCATGTCAAAGACTATAGTCTTTGTATTTTCACGCATTTTCGTGCCAAAGTGTATAGTCTTTGCATTTTCAAAATTTTCACGTCAAAGACTATAGTCTTTGTATTTTAACTAATTTTCATGCCAAAGACTATAGTCTTTCGATTTTCACACATTTCTATGCCAAAGACTATAGTTTATTAATTTTCACCCATTTTCATGTCAAAGACTATAATCTTTGTATTTTCACACATTTGATGACAAAGACTATAGACATGTCAAAGACTATAGTCTTTGTATTTTCACATATTTTATGCCAAAGACTATAGTCTTTCGATTTTGACAAATTTTCATGCCAAAGACTATAGTCTATAAATTTTCACAAACTTTGATGCAAAGACTATAGTCTTTGTCATCAAATGTGTGAAAATACAAAGATTATAGTCTTTGACATGAAAATGTGTAAAAATGCAAAGAAAATAGTCTTTGCATGAAAATGTGTGAAAATTAATAAACTATAGTCTTTGGCATAGAAATGTGTGAAAATCGAAAGACTATAGTCTTTGACATGAAAATGTGTAAAAAATGCAAGAGTATAGTCTTTGACATGAAAATGTGTGAAAATGCAAAGAATATATACTTTGGCATGAAAATAAAAAGACTATAGTCTTTAGCATGTAATGTGTAAAAATTTAAAACTGTAGTCTTTGGCATCAAAATGTGTGAAAATCCAAAGACTATATACTGTTGCATGAAAATGTGTAAAAATGCAAAGACTATAGTCTTTGTCATAAAAATGTGTGAAAATACAAAGACAATTGTCTTTGACATGAGAGTATGGGAAAATGAAAAGACTATAGTCTTTGGCATGAAAATGTGTAAAAATGCAAAGACTATAGTCTTTGTCATAAAAATGTGTGAAAATACAAAGACAATTGTCTTTGACATGAGAGTATGGGAAAATGAAAAGACTATAGTCTTTGACGTGAAAATGTGTTAGAATGAAAAGTCTATAATCTTTGGCATGTAATGTGTGAAAATTTAAAAACTTTAGTCTTTCGCATCAAAATGTGTTAAAATGCAAAGACTATAGTCTTTGGCATGAAATTATGTAAAAATGCAGACTATAGTCGTTTGCGCGAAAATGTGTGAAAATGCAAAGACTACAGTCTTTGACATGAAAATGTGTAAAAATGCAAAGACTATAGTCTTTGACATGAAAATGTGTAAAAATGCAAAGACTATAGTGTTTGGCATAAAAATATGTGAAAATACAAAGACTATGATATGTAAAAATGCAAAGACTATAGTCTTCATGAAAATGTGACTATAGTCTTTATAAAAAATGTGTGAAAATGAAAAGACTATAGTCTTGGCATGAAAATGTGTGAATATTAAAGACTTTGACATGAGAGTATGGAAAATGAAAAGACTATAGTCTTTGGCATGAAAATGTGTAAAAATGCAAAGACTATTGTCCTTGTCTTTTCATTTTCACACATTTTCGTGCCAAAGAATATAGTGTTTGCATTTTTACACATTTTCATGCAAAGACCATAGTGCAAAAATGCAAAGACTATGGTCTTTGCATGAAAATGTGTAAAAATGCAAAGACTATAGTCTTTGGCACAAAAATGTGTGAAAATGAAAAGACTATAGCCCTTGGCATGAAAATGTGTGAAAATACAAAGACAATTGTCTTTGACATGAGAGTATGGGAAAATGAAAAGACTATAGTCTTTGGCATGAAAATGTGTAAAAATGCAAAGACTATTGTCCTTGTCTTTTCATTTTCACACATTTTCGTGCCAAAGACTATAGTGTTTGCATTTTTACACATTTTCATGCAAAGACCATAGTCTTTGCATTTTCACATATTATCATGTCAAAGACTATAGTCTTTGTATTTTCACATATTTTATGCCAAAGACTATAGTCCTTCGAATTTCACACATTTTCATGCCAAAGACTATAGTCTTTCGATTTTTACACGTTTTCATGTCAAAGACTATAGTCTTTGCATTTTCACACATTTTCGTACCAAAGACTATAGTCTTTGCATTTTTACACATTTTCATGCAAAGACCATAGTCTTTGCATTTTCACACATTATCATGTCAAAGACTATAGTCTTTGTATTTTCACATATTTTTATACCAAACACTATAGTCTTTCGATTTTGACAAATTTTCATGCCAAAGACTATATTTTTTAAATTTTCACACATTTTCATGTCAAAGACTATAGTCTTTTTATTTTCACACATTTTCATGGCAAAGACTATAGTCTTTGCATTTTTACACATTTTCATGTCAAAGACTATAATCTTTGCATTTTTACACATTGTCATGTCAAAGACTGTAGTCTTTGCATTTTCACACATTTTCGCGCAAACGACTATAGTCTTTGCATTTTAACGCATTTTGATGCGAAAGACTAAAGTTTGTAAATTTTCACACATTACATGCCAAAGATTATAGACTTTTCATTTTCACACATTTTCACGTCAAAGACTATAGTCTTTGCATTTTTACTCATTTTAATGCCAAAGACTATAGTCTATAATTTTCACAAACTTTGATGCAAAGACTATAATCTTTGCATTTTTACACATTTTCATGTCAAAGACTATAGTCTGTATTTTCACACATTTGATGTCAAAGACTATAGTCTTTGCATTTTAACACATTTTGATGCGAAAGACTACAGTTTTTAAATTTTCACACATTACATGCCAAAGATTATGGACTTTTCATTTTCACACATTTTCACGTCAAAGACTATAGTCTTTGCATTTTTACACATTTTAATGCCAAAGACTATAGTCTTTCGATTTTCGCACATATTGATGCCAAAGACTATAGTGTTTGCATTTTCACACATTTTTATGTCAAAGACTATAGTCTTTGTATTTTTACACATTTTCATGCCAAAGATTATAGTTGATGCATTTTCACACATTTTTATGGCAAAGACTATAATTCATGCATTTTTATGCCAAAGACTATAGTTCATGGATTTTCACACATTTTCGTGATAAAGACTATAATTACATGATTGTATTAAAATGTAGATGGTCCAGTTATACCAACAGGACCATCTATACCTGAGAAGGGCTGTTTTTGTTGTTGTTGATTGACGTTTCGACAACCTTAGCGGCAGTCATTGCGTAGGTAGTTCTTGCGTCATTGTATTGTGTGTACAGGAAATGTGTGGGTGTCAATTGTGTATTGTCATTGTGAATTTAAGTGTGTGTGTGAAGTGAAATGTTTTTAGTTGTGAAGTGTGATTTAGGTGTGATGTTTTTAGTTGTAATGTTTGGGTGTCACTTGTGTATTGTCATTGTGAATTAGTGTGAAGTGTAATGTTTTTAGTTGATCGTTTGTTTGTATTGTGAATAAGTCGTTTGTAAGGTGCCGGTAATTGCTGTGATCTGTTCATGGGGGGTTTGTTCCAAGTTGGTATACCAACTTTCTAATGTAAGCTGTTGTTTATAGTCAGTACTGTAAGTACTGACCATAGACAAATGTCTATAGTCAGTAAGTACTGACTATAGACATTTACTTTAAAGACTATAATTCATGCATTTTCACAAATTTTGCTAAAAATGTGAAATATTGCAGAAATGTGTGAATTATAGGCATTATTCAAAAAATTGTGTGAATTGTAAGAATGTGTGAATTATAGTCTTAGTGTGAAAAATGTGAAAATGTGAAAATGCGTATATTACATATAGTCTTTGTGTGACAAATGTAAAAACTTGTGAAAATGTATGAATTATATTCTTTGTGTGAAAATTTGTGAAAATGTGTGAATATCTTTGTGTGCATAATTGTAAAAATTTGTGAAAAAACTTTGAGTGAAAAAATGAAATTTTTTGAAGATGTATGAATTGCAGTCTTTATATATAACTATAACTTATATATTACAACTATAACTATAATTTTAGGTATAACTTTGTGTGAAAATTTGTCAAAATGCATAATGCATAAATGAAAACCTTACACAATTTCATGCAAAGATTATGCATTATATTATGTATTTTCACATTGACAAACTGGTATTGAAGCCCTCATCTGATGATGGACATTCGACATCAAAATGCCTCAACTATCCCTATTGCATAGAATACAAATAACAAATACACATTCGTTATCTGGACTAAATAATGCATCCAGTTTTGTACTTTGCTTTTGACTGATATCATGCTCACAAATTCAATTCCATGTTTTACCTTTTCCATCATCATTGTGGTTGTCTGTTGTTTCCAATCACATTTTACCAATTTCAATATAAATGCAGTGTGATATTATTTGCCATTAGTGAACTACACCTGTTTTTTTATGGTTGGTAATTAAATAATTAAAACTGAAAACAACATTAATAAATGTTAATGTCACCATGTTTTCAAACCTAAAATCTTCTTTCATTTCATTTATTTGCTAAATTTTATATTACAATTAGTAGGCTAATAATTAATGAATTCTTCTCAATTTTAACTGCCTATGTTAGTCATGTCCAAATACCCTCAATTTTGAAGCATTGAGCAATTGAAGCTGGAAACTTACTTTGCCAGTCATATCAATTAAACTATAGCAAAAATATCTTTATTGTAATTACAAATGAAAGATTGTCATGTTAAATTATACAAACATAAAAATCAATACTGCAGTTTGTATTGTAATGTTAATGATGAATATAATTCATACAGCAGATTCTTCTCCAACAATATATGGTGGTGGAGGTTCATTAGGTGGCTGTTTTGTTGCCGTTGTATAAGATGGTGGGAATTCAACTCTACTTTCCCCAGAGTCAGGCAACTCAAGTATATCTATGATACAAGAGGATATTTTGAGGACATTTCAGGTCATTTATTATATAACCACATAAACTGAAAATTCTCACCATTTTGTTCTCTTGATATTTGTTCCAATGATTTCACTTTGCTCTTTTGTTTTTCAGCACGATTTCGCCCACGTCGATAGCAAAGCAGCAAAAATAAGATGAAAAGCAACAATAGTAATCCTGTACCAAGTGATAGCAACACAACAAACTCTGTCTTTTCTGGCAAGTCATCATCTGAAAATTTTGTTGTAAATATGGAGCAGAAGCAAACATCAGAAAGAAAACATCACACACAAGCCTCCTCAAACCTTTAATACATTCAAATTGGCAACAAGTTCCCACAGCAGCTTTGTAGGTTTTACAAGTTGGTTTCTGGAGGCATTTCTCAAAAATACAACCAACTGCTTTTCCAGCGACACATTTACATTTCTCACAAACATCTTTTCCAAATGGTATAAAATATTCACCAGGTGACACAGGTTGTTTCAAATTGCTCCAACACAATTCATCTAAAGGAGCATATTTGCACTAATGAAGTATGAGTAATAAAATAGATGACTCAAAGAAACACCAAACATACCTGTACTGGACATCTTTCAAAGTTTCTAAATTGAAAACAAGACAATCGTGATACGTTAAATTTACAAACGCTGAAGTCCTTAGTTTTGAAGACCATTGCTTAGATGCGCCACCTTTCCGAAATTATATTCATGTAAATTCTTTTGGGCAATCAACAAGTCAATTATTTTAATAGCGCATGGGAAAATGGAAAAAATATTCAAATTAGCCTACTTATTAATAAAAAAAAATAAATGAAAAAAACACTTACGTTAAATTGATGTGTGTAAAACGGTAAATTTTGGCTCAGTCCAGCAAATTACTTCGCCGCAACGAACGTGATTCGGTAAAGAAAAAGTATACTCATCTGTCGTCATATAATTAAAGACGTTTCAAATATTGACAAATATTTTAAATAGATAAATATTTTTATGATAAAAACTGGTCGGAAAAACAAAATTTTAAATAAAGTGAATTCAAAAACTGCACATTTCTTGATATATAGTACCAAAAGAAAATTACGCTTTTTGTTGGTTGCGAAAAGTCAAATAAACGTAGAAAAGCCCAATGTAAAAGCACCATCTGATATTTGATACATGATGGTATCAAATATCGCGATAAAACTTTTGAAATAAACAGCACAAATTGAAAAGCTTTATATAACTTAAAACTTCCATAAATTTGACTTACTTGTCCGAAAAAATTAAAAGCGACGGTAGAAATTTCTCTTCTTAGTTAAACGACAAACGAGCGTCTGGCCATGGCAATAAATAACTTATGATATGGATTATAATTATATATTCTGTATGTACCTGCGTTGCCTAGCTATATGTATACACATAAATTTTTGATGTAAGACTTTAGTCTAAAAACAAGTTCAAAATATCAAAGCATGCTAAGACCAGTAAAACCTCATTCTGACATCGATTCTTCATCACTTTCTTCCTTTCTAGACTTCTTACCACCTCTGGACAATGATGGTTTCTGCAGGACAAACATGTACAAAATATTGACTGTTAATGTATATCCCAGCAATCAACATAACCCCTTGTCCATCGTATGTAAGATAAATTATTGCTTAGATCTCCGTATCTTACCTCCTCTTTAGACAAACGTTTTTTGTTAGATTTTGCATCATCCTCAGAGCTACTTTCCTCTGTTTCCACGAACTCCGCGCTCTTGAATTTCCCGGAATCATCCTTCTTGGGTGATTTCGTTGAATGTTTGGTGATTTTGCTTGATTTCTTGGGACTGCACAAGAAAAACATTATTATGTTTAATGACTTATGTGCAGAGACGAACATTATCGAAATCAAGATAATGTAAACACATCTCAGAACTTTAAAAGAAAGCTATAATATGTCACTGTTCCTGAGATACGCAGGCGAAATTCACATTCCTAAAAATGTTAGTTTTAAGTTTATAGACTATGAAATCATAGTGAACTTTGATCATCATATAATTTTATTTCTTGATAAACGAGCTTTGCTCCTAACTTTTGACGCAACTAAGCATATGAATAAACACCTTGTGGAAGAAGACTTGTCTTTATTCTTGTTATATTCTTTCATTTGTGCTTCGTATTTGATCTTCGCTTCGGCAGCAAGATTATTCCATTTCTGTGAAAAAATAACACGGAGAAAAAAATTCTAGTAAATTCCAGTCACGATAAAAGAAAGCGAGAATAACTTACTGTTTTGTCATCAAGATTCTTCCATAGTAGACCAGCTTTTTTTGATAATTCAGTGATTGATATACCAGGATTGTCTTTCTTTATTTCTTCCCGCGTTTCATTCAACCAGATCATATATGCAGATAAAGCTTTCTTCGGAGCATTTGGATCTTTTTTCGCTCTTTTCTTGGATTTCACAGGAGGCAATTCTTTCTATATGAAGATAATTGAAAATGTCTAAGAAATTCAGAGCATAACATGATCAGTATCATGCTGAAGTTATCCTATTTGATATTATACATGTTTGTAAATGTAGATCGTCCAGGTTGGTATAGTCCTGAGAAGGACTGTTTTTGTTGTTGTTGACTGACGTTTCAACAACCTTAGCAGTAGTCATCTTCAGAGTCAAAACGTCAGTCAACAACAACAAAAACAGTCCTTCTCAGGACTATACCAACCTGGACGATCGACATTTACAAACATGTAACGATACTCCCGGGTTCAAACCATTTACTTGATATTATACAATTAAACTACTCTGCACTTGTCAAAATTTGATGACTCTTTCTTATTTATTGAGTGCAAAACTTACTTTTTGCTTCTTCGATTTCTCTTGGACAAAATTTTTTTTCTTTCCGTTGACTTTCTTTTTATCCACGTTCTTTTTCTTTGGTGATTTTTCTTCCTCTTCAGATTCATTCTCACTGTCTGTAGGAGATACATCACTCGCGTATCTTTAGAAATAGAGGATATGTTGCTCGTTATAATGTCCCGACGACTATGGATGAATGTATAAAAATCCAATATATAAAAATCACTGTATACTCTTCTCTTATATCTTTTTCCTCTTCTTCACCAGGATTGAACGAGGCATCTGACTCATCTAGTTTGTAAAAAAAAAGCGTCAACAACAATTTTACAAAGTATAAACCAACTAAAAAACAGCATCGAATCAAGTATGCATGCAACTGCAAGTGTAATTATAGTACATGCATGCTCGGCTAAAGCCAATTTTGCTCTGCATTGTTGTAAAAAAATCTTCCAAGAAACATCGCCTTATCCTAAACAGTAATACACCACTCTAATCTGGGTTATACTGTGGAAAAAGTTTACAAAAAGACTACCATCAGAGTCTGAATCCTCGTCATTTTTCTCCGCTCCTTCGGCTTTCATCTGCTCCAAATAAGCATCATGCTCTTCCTCATCCGATCCAGAATATTCCCCAGACGTCCGCATCTTGTTCTGACAACGTACAAATGTTAAATTCTGCATTCCCCAAATTGCAATTGAGCTCAGAACGTGTGTGGTTCAGTGATGCAGTTACCTTGATTCCCTTGTTCTTTATTTTCAAACTCTTTCCGCTAACAAAGTCAAACAGTCGACTGTATTCCTCTCTAAAACCGACAAACAAAAATTAACCTGTGCTATCACAAAGGGGCTACGTCGATAAAAACAGCTTTATACTTGTCTATACTGCTGAAGGTTACGATGCTACCATTCTTGTGCTCAACTTCAAAATCAAATGATCTGCTCGATGTGCCACCACCACTTTGCACACGGGCAAAATTTACACATGAAATTTCTTCAAAACGAATGTGAACAGGAGGCTTGGGGACGAACATAAAACCTCGTTCCAGAGGGTAGAGAAAGCCACTCCCGGCTTTGTAACTGCATGATATGGAACTGAATGAACCATGACTGAAAAAACATTAAATTGAAGCTTAGCGAGTCTTAAAACTACATAGCAAAGAGCTGAATGAATGATGGCTGAAAAAGAAAATCAAGCTGAAACAAGAGTTAAAACTACATGATGATGTGAACTCAAATCAGTGAAGAGGCCAGCCCTTTTATTGAAAAAAATCAAGTAGAATGTCTTACCTTTTAAAGGAGCCTGGAATAGTTATTTTGCTTCCTGTAACAGCTTTAATTAATCTACTCATAACTTCATGAATTGGCCCGTTCATTTCAAGAGATAATTTTGATTTATATTTTTCTTGGATCTCTTCCCTGGAAATGATAAATTATGTTAAACTTGAATTGAATTTCAATCATATTTAAATTTGAAATGATAATTAAGTCATGTTAAACGTGACCTGGTTGGCCTGGTGAGCAAAACAGAAAAAAAATCATACATTTACATTCCAAAGCAAAAATATTATGTGCATACTCTGTGATGTTGAGTTTTGCTTCAACTTCTTCATCTTTATCAAAGCGAAATATAATGAAAGGATAACGTGTTTGACCTTGTTTGATAGGAGGGTCGGTGCTCACCTAAATCATACGGGTGTAATTGTCATGTATACATAGAAATGAAAATAAAACCAAACTACAAAATAAAGTAAAGCATACAACAAAGAAAACAAATCTGTTGTCTCGATGAGGAAGAAGAAATATTCGAAGAATTGTTGTGTAAGGGATCTTGTAGTCATAAGTTTTGCCATGAAGTTGTAGAAATGTTGGATAGATTTTTGTTGTGTATCGCCCTCTACAAAAATATTTTCATTAATTCATTGCAAATACATTAATACTTAATGGAAAAACTTTCTTACCTCGGTGTCAATATTGCAACTTCTTCAAATGTAACAATGGCATCGCCTGTGGCTTGTATAACATCTGCTTTTGCTAAAACTTTTTCATGAAATGTCTAAACAATTGAAATATTTGATTAACTGTCTATGTATCCACGGTGATGGCAATAAAATAAGTTGTAATAATTAATTTCTAAAGATGTGAAGTATGATGATGATGTGAAGCTGCATTCTCCCCTGAGAGATATTGTTCTCAAATATAATAGTATATAATAGAAACATGTTTATTTTGCTACAATCACTACATAACATACATAGCATTTACGTGAATTTACCTTAACTGGGTCTGCATCAGTGCCATCATTACTAGGAGGAACATAAAATCTCATCTCCATCAAAGCTATCTCCGTATCATCATGTTGATGAAACTCTAGGGTAACTTCATTCTTGCCTACATAATTATTGATTTAATTCTTTCAATTAATTCAAATCAAGTGAAAAAGAGTGGTGAGTAAGTATAAATGACATTTTACCAGTTGTTGCAGCTGAAACATCTTTTAAAGGGATTTCAAATGCTGGTTTATTATCAACATCAAAACTTAGAACAGAATCTAAAGATTGAAAATTGTTCATTAAATTATTAATCTATTGTTAATCTGTCCATAATCCAATGTTATCCTACTGTCATGATAACATCTACTGTAACTTACTGTCATCTAACATAACATTATGTCATCCATTGTTTTTTGCCATAATCTACAGACACAAACAATGATCTACAGGTACATTTATAAAAGCTAACAGTGGATGAAAGTAGGCTACAGTAGATGGCAATAAATTACAGTGCACGATAGTAGATAATGTTTGTCATATTTATAACGTAAAACTATTACCACATTACAATAAATCCAGTGTGAATTTGATCACATATTTACCAGTAAATCTTGGGCTTCCCCAATTCCAGCCTTTTACAGATAATTCAACTTCTTCCAATTCAATGTTGAACTGGCTCGAGATGAAATTTGATATTTTATCAAAATCCTAAAAAACATAAACCCAGATGCAGACACCTGTTTATTTCGTCAAAAAATTTCATATTGCAATAAATAATTATAACTTATACAATAATTGTTAATGAATGAAGGAACTGTGACCTCTCTGAATGCTAAAAGTTCTAAACATGCTGGATTGGGTAGCAGAAGTTTGTCTGATAACTTTTCCCAAAACACACAATCAACAAAATCTTTAATTTTCCTATTATCATGGAGTATCAAGTTGTGAATATATAAGCATGAACATAAAAGAAATACGAAAAAAGTTTTCAAAACTGATGTGCTGTTTCTAAGTGACCAGCCTTACCGACTCTTTGAATCCTTCAAACTTAAACTGTGATCCTGTTTCAAGAACAAATTTCACCTCATAACCGAATGCAACTTTCATCCACTTCACGCAACTCAGGTCGCTTGAGTTCATTTGCTCAACTTTACCAGTTTTATTGTTTTTAAATACAACACCATTTTTATGAAGTTTCAATTTACCACCGTTCTATAAAAGAATAACCAGCTCATGTATGAGATATTGAGAACGAGAAGCAGAACTTTTTAAGGACTACTCACCAAGCACCCTCTCGTCAGCAAACAAATATCACTGAACTCCAATTCAGAACTCATTTTCAACAAACATAAAAAAGTATATTACGGCTACTCACTCCACAATCCCCACACTACAGTAAAAATAGAGCCAACACATCGAGGACTGAATGAGACGTAAACGTAGAGCACTACCAGTCGACCACTACGTTCATAATTATCAATCATTCAAAATGACAAATTTTACATAACTAAACGGGAAAATAAAAGCACAGTTTCTTAGATTGCTTGGGAATAAAATGCAGGTTCACTGAATCAAACTTTGCAAGAAAGCATGGACGGGTAATAATGATATACGTATATGGTTTAATACAAATATTTCGTTGTTTGTCATTTTCAACGATTGAATATGCTGAAAGGCTGCCATTCTTGATAAATTTCACTTAGGTCCTTGGTTGCATTTTCCCGCCTTAAAATTTAAAAATGACTACCAAAAAAAATTGTTGGTGACTTTAGTAAATTTCTAGTAACACAAATTTTGGTAAATTTTTGAGTAAAATCTGAGCAAAATCAAAATATTACATTTTAAAACATTACAGTACATTGGGGTAACCCTTATTAATTCTGCAAGACAACCAAAGATTAAAGTATGTCTATAGCAATTAACTCTATTTCTATGAATAAAGTTTCTTTATGCCATGAGCTAGGCCATAGCATAAGGTGTATAATGGGGATGGATGAAAATTAATAGTTTCAATCTTGCAAAATACACAAAATAAAATTTATTTACAATCTGTTCTCTACACAATTGGCTTTTTTACATGGACCACTGTAAAAGTAATCTCTGCTATTATAAAATTATAAGCTCTGATAAAGTTTTGAGTAAAAGTCCTTATATTTCAATTTGTCTAAGCTTACATGTTAACTCCCCAAACGGATTAGACCACATTTCCTTGAGATCATTCTGATAATTTTTAAATAAATGCCAGTAATTAATAATGGGAAGAGTTGTTATGGTTATGCACAGTACGTATATAAACTTACTTGCAAATATCCAATAACAAGAACAGGGAGTAATGTTGAAGGAACAAGAAACAACAATGCCGGCTGTGCTGTCTGGTATACTTCAGATACTATAGTTGCCCCCAATAAACCTTAAAACAAAACCAAAACGATCAAGAAAAAATTTCAAGTTTAAAAAGAAACAAAAAAATCTCACCAACAAAATAGCCAATTAAGGAACAATGGAAGTATTTTATCTTGGTTTCCTCACTTGATTTCTGTTTATGGTTATCAAAACGCAGAACAAATGATAATAAAAGACCAGGCATCACCTGTCAACAATATAAGATAACTGCTGATTGGTCAGTTCCTGAGTTTGCATTAGCGTATGCAAACCTATCTGAACTCAATCAATGAAAACATGTTGAAAAAAATTAACACATTTGTTTCAACTTTTTCTGTTTTGCATTATTTTATATAAGAAATACAAAATTTTTTATATGTATGCTAAGGCTTGTGCAACCTTAGAGATGTTCAGGAAAACATCCAAGCAGGTTGCATATATCTCATCTCAAGTTCTCTCAAACATCTCCTGAGTTTGTTTAAGCCTGTGCAAACACAAAAAAACATTTTTTATTTCTTGAATGAAAATCAGTGAAGTATAATGAAAGCTTTTTCATACAATATCTCCAAGACCAAGCATGGACATTCTCCCCTTTTCACTGTAACTACAAACAGAGAAAACCATTAAAATAGCAATAATGCAAATTAATGTTCTCCAATATAAACTATGAATAGAATGTTGTTTTACCTTGGAAAAACAAGTTTGCCAGGCAAAGAAAGGTGTTTATTAGATGCAGCACCTTTATATATCGTTGAGCCAATTTTGTCATCAACAAATGAAATCTTACATGAATACAAAAAAGGATGGTTTTATTGCAAAACATGATTTGATGATGTTCTATAACAAAACAACTTACAGGATTATTTGCTGGTTGTGTAGCAACTTTCACCATTACATTATCTTTAAATAAATAAGCTGAAAAATATACCTAAAAATATCGCAGGATTATTTTATCATAATAGCTGTCCATTGCATATTTGATATTCTTACCCAGAATACATCATAGAAAACCAAACCAAGTAGAAGAATTATTGAAACCTTCAAACTTGGTAAACGTAGGTAAGAAATCATAGATATACATAATCCCATAGCCATTGCTAAAGAGGAGTGAAGTGTAAAGTTCTACATTTGCTGAAGATGTATCTTATATATAAAATGTACAATTGGGAATGCCAAAGCTAGTTTGCAAGTTACAGTTATGCTATGTAGAATTCAGAATATTACTATTTTTCATCTCTTTAAATGCATATGAAAAATGATCAATAAAACCTCACCATCCATTAAAATCCAATGACCTGTAAACATCCACACACCAACCAAAAATATTGAACAAATAATAGCAAGGAGCTCGGCATGAGTGAAACGTCCCAATGAACCAAAGGAAATTCTGAATTGTACAAAAATACATGGTCCTTCAAAATTCTTAAATTAAAAGACGTTGATGACAATTCAAACTCACTTGTAGTTAGGATTTGTCAGAGGCAATATAGCATATTGACAAAGAGGAAATAGAAGAAATGAGAAAGCTATTGTACCTAAAACTATAAAAATAGATTTTGGATAAGTTTTAAGGGTATGAGTTTTTTGATAGTTTCTTTGATCACATATGACATACCAACAGTACAAACTGCAAATATTGACTGGAACTTATCAAAGAAAAAGAACATGAACAACAACGAACAGGAAGCTCCGAGTGGAAGTAACATGGCTTGTGTTGAACTGATGGTGTGGGAGTCTATACAAAATGAGTGAAAAACTGAAAACACAAGACAGAGAACATGAAACGAACAAAAGCGCAAAAGTGTTTTACCTGGTGATATTGACTGGAAGAAAAACACTGATTTTGAGGATTCATCGGAGTTGTCAAATTCATTTTCTTTGGCAGCATCAACACCAAGTGATCTGTAACATTAATAATTATTTTTTGAAAAACAAGACGACTATGTAAGAAGGCTTTCAAAGTCACAGTAACTACGAACCTAAAACATCCGTAAACAATGAGAAGGACAGATACCAGCAAAGTAGCAACACGTGAGCTATCTAGCAGCATCAGACACCTGGTTAATAATAATAAAATTGCAACCATTAATTTTCTTCGTTCGTAGTAATTACGCGTGTAAGTAAATTTCTAATAAAAAATAAACAAAAATTGTATTTTACCATTTATATACATGATCTTCCATAACAACCGTTAATGACAAATGACAATATTAAGGTCTCCCGTTACATGGACGAGCGCTTTTCTAGTGGAAACGTCAAAAAAGGATCAACATTCCATACCCGTAAGTTGCAACTTGATGAACCAGTAAAATAACATTCTACTAACTATCTGTTGTTGGGATTTTTGGGCTTCTTCGTTAAGTGGCTTCGATATATTTGCTTTCCGTGTGTTCCGCGGGTTAAGATCGGATGTTTTCGTCGTTTACGATGTTTATTAGAAAATTTACAATTTACCCTTTTTCATTGGAAACCAGATCTAGTCAATGGTTCTAGTCCTCGTCAATTAATATACTGACTAGCATAAATGACAGGACAGGAAGTATAGAATTGCTAAATTTTCTCAACACACGAAGACGGGAGACTGCTGTGAAAATATTCTGTTCTCCGTTTTACGCTCGGAAATTCACGTAAAACAGGGTCAACGCTGAGCGAAACATGAGTAATATCTAATGTCATTTATACTGGAGTAAATAAGGAAAAAATTATCCATTGATTCTTGGTTTTTTTACGAGGATATGATATTAAAGCTAATTTTATGGACAAGCTTTGTGGGAATTATAGCGTTTTTCTGCCAGAAACAACTTTCCTCACAAATTATCGTTATGCAACAAAGTGTTTTTATCGCAGGACGAACTAAAATGGATGTTTATGAATATTTTAAAGACGTTCGAAACAGCATGAAAAATACGCAGTATGGTGACACGTAAGGCTTATATCACGCTAGATATTAATTATTTTTAGCGCTTTCAACCAAGTATTTGTTTTATTTTTTTAGTGTATCCAAAATAGTGTACATCCCAGGTGTTGGAGGAGAGGCCGACAGAATAAAATTTAATCAACTTGAAACATTTTCCATTCAAGGCTTATATGAGCAGACTCTGGAGTCACCTTGCATTGCTAAACTTTACCCAGACACCCCAAAAATTCAGCTAGAATTGAATTTATTTGAGGGTCTAATGATTGGGACAGTCAATATTCTGTTTAAAGAAGATTCAAAAGATGGAAATACTGGAACAACTGTTACTCAATATTTTGAGCTAGTTACTCCAAACTTTTTTGCCAATTTTATTGAAGCACACACTAAATCACGCTACAAAGTCTTTTTAGAGCATGCTCAAACACGTTTGCAAGATTTTGCTACTGAAACGTAATAGAGATGTACATTAATTTATCATTCAATATTTATGAAAGTTCATGAAATTGTAATAAAAAAAATGTAAAATGGAAGTATTGAACTTTATCACGTGATGCGCTTGAGCAAGGAAAATTCGTATTTGTAAACGAAAGTGAACGAAGGATAATATCGTGAAGTCCAGTTCCAACAAAGCAGAAAAAATGTCAAGAGAACGAGATAGTATGTATCGTGGCAACAACAATGATTGTAGAATCTATGTTGGGAATCTTCCTGAAGACTGCAGAGAACGGGATGTCGATGACATATTCTACAAATATGGAAAAATTTCAGATATTCGTATAAAGAGAGGTGACGTGGCCAGAGCCAGAATGAGTCGACGAAGTGAAGTTTTATCGTACGCATTTGTTCAGTTTGATGATCCAAGGTAAAAAAGAAAATACTTTTACGTTTAGTCTTAGCTTACTTGTCAATAATTGGCGGGAAATTGTAATCCCACGTGGTCATCACATCACCTAGAATTTTCCAGTATAGTAACTTAAAACAATTTGGTTTTAGAGATGCTGAAGATGCTGTAAGAGGAAGGGATGGTTACGAATTTGATGGTAGGCGAATACGTGTCGAGTTCACTAGAGGAAGTCAGAGTGGCCGACGTGATAGCGGTCGCAGCCATGGAAGTGGTCGCCCTAGCCGCGGAGTTCCACCAAGAAGATCAAATAACCGTGTTTTGGTCAAAGGTCTTCCTCCCACTGGTAGTTGGCAAGATATCAAAGATCACATGCGTGATGCTGGGGAGGTACTTTATGCTGAAGTCTACGGTGATGGATCTGGCATTGTTGAATTTGCTCACCCTGATGATGTCAAATATGCTGTTAAAAACTTGGACGACACAGAATTTCGATCTCATGAAGTATGTATATGAAAATTTGTTTGAAAACATCAACCATGTTTTCAAATCACTTAGTTAAGTGCTACGAATAGTTATTTTTAACTATTATAAATTTTTACCATTTTAGTAAATATATTGCATCAGCACACTTTTTACACACTTTTGCTGCTCATTCTCATCCCTGAGGATCATTCAATGTGAATGAGGCTGATCAATGAAGGACACATGTACAATGGTCTTTTCAATACCAGGATTCAATTTCAATAGATGAAGGAATCATTTGTGGTCATATCCATTCATCAAAATCTAGTGATAAAAATCCTTGAGTAAAGGAAATTCAGTTAAATTTATCAGCAATTTGATGTACAAAATTCCTGGTCGGTACGTTAAAAAAGAAAAGTAATTTCCTCCAAATTACTTAGGTTAATGTCATTAGCCATGTTTTCCCAGTGAATCATGTGAAAAAGATCGTCCCTTCATATTATATTTGTCATTAAATGTCCCAAACTTATTTGCAGAACGAAACAAGCAGAGTTACCGTGAGAGATGATTCTGGAGGTAGTGGAAGGAAACGTAGTTATTCACGTTCACAAAGTCGTTCAAGAAGTCGATCACGAAAACGATCACAAAGTCACACCAAAGACAAACGAAGAAGTAGATCAAAGAGTAGATCAAGAAGTAAATCAGGAAGCAAAAGCCGTTCAAAGTCACCATCTAACAGTCGTTCCAGATCGCAAACACCTAGAGATTAGAGACTCTGTTGTGCTAAATAACCGCTGTGCTTTACTGACAAATTTACATAACTCTTGTTCTTGTTTAAAACTTTACAATGACCCTCTTTATAATTCAGTTTTTTTTCTTGTTAAAAAACATACCTTTAAAGAGAAAGGCATAGTCAAAGATCAATTTGCATAGGTCCTCCATTATCCTTGCTATAATCCTATGCATCCATATTATACCAATAGAATTGAGTATTAGTAGAAATATTATCCAAGCTAAGTTGAAAATCCATGGCATTCCTTGTTTACCAATTTTTTTCCAAAAACCATCCTTCATTTCCCTCTATTTTATCCATTCCTATTCTTTAGATGAACTAATTATCACTTCTTTTCCACTTTAAACATCCAAATTAATCCGTTTTAGAATTGATTTCAAGTTAATAAAAAACTGGAAAGGAATAGAAAGTACTCAATATCAAAATGTTGTGAATATTTTGGTAGAAGGGAGTTTCATACCCAGTTAAATAGTAATTCTATCCTTCCATAATCCTATGTTCCAGTCCAAGTCCACATAAATGAAGACAAAATCATCTGCAAAATGCATAAAACACTAAATGTTCATCAAAAAAAGGAATTAAGTTGAAACATTGCCCTTTACAAAAAAATTCGGTTGACACTTATTGAAACATTAATATATTCATGAGATGTTATATTGCAATAGTGATGTGTTCCGTTTCCTTGATATAATTGAATGTAACACAAACGACATGCAAGTCAACTTTATTCACCAAATTTATGATCTGGAACGAGAACGACTTCTTGAAAATGATCTTTTGGGGGATCGAGAATATTTGCGAGGTGAGTAAGAACGACTTCTTGAACGTCGCGGACTTCGAGAACGACTTGCTCTCCTTGATTTGGAGGACCCATCTTCTTCAACTGTCACATAAGAAGTTTCATTCTAATAGAAAATAAAACAGTTACTATAATTAAATACAGATACACATAACACCTGAAATAACCACACAAAAATAATCTCCAACAATGGGTTCCACATATAACAGGGTTATAGCCAAACCTGATGAGATCGAAATTTTGTGTCATTGAGTACACGAACGGCCCTTTTCATGTCTTCATATCGAGCAAATTCCACAACTCCAGTACAATCATTGAACACATCAGTGAACATGACATCACCAGCTTCTCTCATATGATCTTTGAGATCTTGCCAGCTACCACTTGGAGGAAGATTTTTCACTAACACTCGAAAACCATTTCCACGAGGGATGAAGGAACGGCCTCTTCCACGGTTTCCTCCCCGACTACCACGATAGCCACCACCACCAGCAGCACGAGGAGATTCAACCCTTAACTGTTTTCCATCAAGATCGTAGCCATCACGACCACGTATTGCATCCTGCGCATCTCTTAAAATAATCATGGTTGAGTCAACATAGACATAGTCGTTGGGTTTGTAGTTATGAGAAATTTTAATAGAATCATTTTAACACTCTCTTTATATGCATCCATTTAACGTAGCTAATGACACAATATTAAATACATTTCATTTGTCGATTACAAACCTTGGATCCTCAAACTCAATAAAGGCAAATGGCGGACCACCTCTTGTATCTTTTTTCAAACTAATATCTTTGATGGTGCCATACTTGTAAAAAATATCATCTAATTCCTTTGCCCTAACATCAGATGGAAGATTACCAACATATACGCGGCACTCAGCGTTTCCACGATTCATTTCTCGTAGCACTACCAAGATTTAAGAAAAAATAAAATCGACGCGTTCGACAATATACACGTTGAAGAAGTAACTTTTGTGAAGGAAGTGGCCAGTGCTTCCATTTCTATTTTTTCATCAGTAAACGTTCCAAAGATTTTTTCAAAAAGTGGAAGATACGAGATGAAATAGGACACTGAAATAGGACTCCGAAATCCCACGAATCGCATGCTCGTTTTTGTCTGGCGTCGTTTTTAAAGCAACATCCGGTTAATGAGATTGATTAAATTGCTTTGGTATATCACAGCTAGAGCGTTCGCAAATTGAAGAGATTCTCTAAAAGAAACTACTTAAAGGTAGAGAAATAATGACAACAATAATGTGCTTGACAGATCGAAAGGGTTACTTACACCATTTCTTATTTTACAGATGTCTGACCGAAAGGCAGTCATAAAGAATGCTGACATGTCTGAAGACATGCAACAAGATGCGATCGACTGTACTACGCAAGCAATGGAGAAGTTTAACATCGAAAAAGATATTGCCGCATATGTAAAGAAAGAATTTGACAAGAAATTTAATCCAACATGGCATTGCATTGTAGGCAGAAACTTTGGATCTTACGTGACACACGAAACAAAGCACTTTATATATTTCTACCTGGGACAAGTTGCCATCTTGTTGTTCAAGTCTGGTTGAAGGAGCTGAGAGTGTATTGTAACCAATGAACTTAAACCCTTAAGTGAAAATATAATATATAGATAATCCGAAGATGTATCAAAAATAAGGTTGTGTAATAAATGTATTCCAGACGTGTTTATAAGCATGTAATTGCAACGATATTTGAGGAGGTAAGACCTATCAGTCATCGTTGTTGCCATAGTAAAGAAAAACAACTTTCATACATTGTTCAAAACATTGTAATTAACAAAATGTCATAGCTTGAAGCCGGAGTGAATGGCAGCAACACCAAAAGTTAAATTTTCATATTTAACAAATTTAAAACCTGATGTTGTTATCAGAGCTGAAAATTCAACCTAAAAAGGAAAGTTAAAATAAAAGAAGGTCAATAAAAAAAGATAAGTAAATTATGTACCTGGTCAGGAAATTGACGAATACTTTCAACCAAATATTGATATGATGACCAGTCCTTAGCAATTACTTCTCCCATTACTGGAATTACTTGAAATGAATATTCATCATACAATCTAAAAAAAGAAATCATACATGTACAAAAACCAACAGGAAAAGAAATTACACAGATTAATTTACCTTTTTAAGAAAGGATTTTTTACCGCACTGAATTCAAGGCACAAAAATTTACCCCCGGGTGCTAAAACTCTGTAAGCCTCATCCAATGCCTAATGTCAAGAAAAAAAGCATCTGAATTATCTTTATGATGAGCACACAATAACAACAACAAAACAACAAACAACATTTGTATACCGGCCAGTATTACATATGAGCACACAATAACTTTCTTCATAAATTGCATGACTTTTTTATTTTATGTCTTGAAAATCTCAAAAATGAGCCAAAATCTTTTCATTAAAATTAAAATCACATGAAAGTACTCAACTTTTTGAGTGTTCGTGAAGTTTCGTAGCCCAAATGCAATGGTATACACATCAAAGGAATTATCTTGGAATGGTAAGTCTTCTCCATTTCCACAAACCCAAATTATTTCTAAAGAAAAATCAGAAAGAAACCCATCAGAACTGGCTAGATGAATTGGTTTACCATCAAAACAACTATGACAAATGACTAACCCTGACTTAATCCAAGTCTAGATGCTTTTATTTTTCCAACATCAAGCATTGCTTGATTGATATCACAGACAACTATATCACCTGTGGACAGCGTTTTATTGTGATACTTCAACTGATTTATATATCGCATGGCTATATCACCAGTGCCCCCTGCCACATCCAGCATTCTGTTGCCATTCAATACATTAATTTGTGATACGAGGTAATTTTTCCAAGCTCGATGTATCCCACCACTCATTAAGTCATTCATCAGATCATATTTCTCCGCAACATTTTCAAACACCGTATGCACTAAAAATTGATATGGAGTGCTCTAAATCCAAAGATATGGAGTGCTCTAATTCCCCCTTTCGGTCAGAGTGTCAAGAATGGGAAAAATTAACTTCACACTATTTACAAATATGAGAACTTACTAACCTCTACCTGCCTTGGAAGATTTTGAAACAGTCTCGAATCCAAAATGTGTTTCTTGTGAAACGTTTGAATGACAGTTGCATCGAATATTAGCTGTAGCGGCTCTCAATGTTTTTAGCAAAAATTTCTTCTGAGCCGCCATTTTGTTGCTCCACGCGGGAAAATATGAATTTCGGGCTTGAAATGTGAAAATTACGTGGGAGGTTCATCTTTTCAAAAAAGTTGAAATTTCAATTAATTTCAATAATTCGAAGAAAAAATTGCTAAAAAGGAACATATGCGTGTAGAGACCAACAATGGTAGAGACTAATTCTTTTTCTTAAGTCTGAAAATTTTCCTTCGTGCATTACACAAAAGGCAAAAAATGCTAATGAAAAGTTTAACTTATGCTGCTGTTTCTAAATTAAAAATAAACATTTTATTGTATATAATTTAATGTAAATATTTCAACGTAAAGTTAGTTGAAACAAAATACAATGTGAAAAATACTACTCATATACTGGCCCACCAACCATGAATTTCTTCACTTTTGCACAAGAAAATCCTGCAGACTTTGCAAAAATTTTAAATAATGTTCATGTTCCAGAAGCGTGCTTTTCTTTAACAGATCTGTCAAAAATTCATTATCAATGCCTCGTTCACTGAGCATTCCCATAAGCAGCTCATACATATTCTAAAAATAGACATATGGCCCAATTGTCACAAGGTATATTTTGAAAAACTTATGAAAACTTACACAGTCAATGGTTCGAAAGAACTTACATAATCCATGTTTTCAGTTTCACAATGATAAACATTGGAATGATCTGCATCTGGGTGCGGTAGCAAACACACATCAATGATTGTAAATAAATGAACACCGTGTTCATCTTTACTTTCAATGCTATCTTCAGGATTATATTCACAGTTGAAATGCAAAGTTGCATTCTAAAAATATTTAATACACTCTAACAAATATCAATAATTTTAAAATTAGCAAAGTGCCAACCTTACATACCGAATCTTTAATAATTTGTATTGAAAATGAAGGATAAGATGTGACCTAGTTAAGTCAAATGAAAAATTAGTAAGCATTAGGAATTTTTTTCAACAATTATAATACATACTTACATTTCCATCAATAGTACTGTCTTCATCATCAAATTCTTCCTTATTCATGCTTTCATCAATGTCAAATGAAACAACAATCCTGAAAAAAATGGAGTTCTTAGATGAGAACATCATTCACTTTCTTTTATGTGTTATACCTTTCACCATTTATCTTTCTGCTTATTTTAAAACTTGTTGTGTTCATATCATCCTACAAAACACATGCAAGCTTTAATACTCATTTTCTCTCAAGTTGAATAATTGATCACTATGAGCAAATTTGATTTGAAACTGAGTAAATAAAAAGATAACCAACCACTTTGTTGAATTCATCAAGTTTTGGTTTAGGAAGGCCCTGCATACTGTCTTTCTCATACTGCAATTCTTCTTTCAAAAAAGCTAATAGCTCTTGGTCACCTGTAATGTACAAATCAAAATGTAATGCTAATATGAGACAAGTATAATTCAATGATTTTTTAAGCATAAAAAAAGTTTACTGTTTACCAGGAGAACCATTATGCACGCCACAGCCGCAGACTTTAGAAAATGATAAAGAATTTTGAAATGTGTCAAATGACAAACGTTTATCACAGTTCACGGTGAAGTTGTTGAACAACCCAGCCATATGACATTTTGAAGCAGAAAATTTTTTACTTAATACAAAACGAGGTAAGTTTTTTGAAAGAAAGAACCTTCTGCAAAGTTTGCTAGCCATAATCGAAAATTAGTGTGTTGGTCAATGGTGCTGCCACTCCAAATTTCATTTTTCGCAAGATAACACTCAAAACCCAGCACTGGTACCATGACTGCTACACTAATAACGCTATAAATTTAAAATAATAAACTAGAAATCGCCAAAAGGAAGTGAAGTGCTAGAAAATGTAGGTATCAAGTTTTAATGAATAAAAGTTTTTAACTGAAAGGCTGAAAACCTCATGAGCATTGCTAATTTCTTTCCCTGTGAAATGTCATTAAACATTTTTTCACCTTAATGAATACTTGGCATTAATCATAGGCATGAATACTATCATAATGTCGAGTGTGTGTGCATAAACAATACAATGCTGCTTGCTTCACTCTCAGCAACAAACAATTTATAGTTGAAATATGTTTACAAAGTTAATTGAGCAGGATATGCAGTGATGTAGATGTATTTAAAACTAATAAGCACAGTGTGGTGCTATTTCTCCATTTATGTAATATCCGACAACAATAAACTAAGCTACAAGTATTTGATGTTGAGACTATTCTCTGAATCTTAACATTTTACTATGGCTGAAATTCTAACTAGCTAATATTTTACAATGGATCAATTAATTACATAGGGCAACAAGCTGAAGAGTTCTCCTTTCCCTAGCATGAAATTGTCGAGGTTTTCAATTTTTCATTATTTCTTGCCAGATTTTTGTTTGTTTTGACCTCTAGGTGGAGTAACAGGGCGCCCTGCATTCAAACCACCATACGGAAACTTTCGCTTGTCTGCTGGTTTTAAAATCTAAAATAAAAGCGATTGGGAAAATGAGCAAGAGAGATTACATATTAAACTAGTTTCTGATATTCCTCTACCTGAAATGAGCACATTAATGTTTCATCAACACTCATCATAGCACCAGCATTATCAAACTCTCCACAATAATTTGGTGCTGAAAACAATGTTACAAGTTGTCGTTTCGCAAAGAATTCATAACCATCTTCAACAACCTGAAAACATTCAAATGTTTTTTCTCCATCAATAGAATTATGAAAAAAAGTCTATTAATCAAACTTTTACTTGGTGTGCACGACAGATAAGATCCAAATCATGTTTCTGTAAAAACTTGGACACAATATCTGGTCCAAACGTAAATGAAACTCCACGATCATTTTCTCCCCATCCTGACACCTCCTTGTCAGGATCTGACCAAAGTAAGTCACAAAGGAGACCTATTAAAAACAAAAATACACAACATAAAATATTTGTTGTCACTTTATGATGTTTAACTGTTGTATTATTAACCTTGATCAGGAACATCCGTTGGCCTCATAATCCGTCGAATTTGCTCCATAGACTGCAAGTCTGGAGACAGTCCTAAAAAATATTACCTTACTGTTAATTGGTGCTATAAACATCTAAAATGATCAGAACGTACCACCATGACAACAGAAAATTTTTTCATCTATTATTGCTGCAATAGGTAAACAATTAAAGCAATCTGTAAATGTTTTCCACAATTTTATGTTATAACGTCTCTTGCCTAAAAAAATATAAGATATTATAAAACTACGAACGAGAAACGGAAACAAAAATCCACAAACAATTCATAACGTACATTCATCGTAGAATCCATAAATTCTATTAATGCTGGCACATTCGTGATTTCCTCTCAAAAGAAAAAAATTCTCGGGAAATTTAATTTTGTACGCCAGCAGTAAACATATTGTTTCTAGTGACTGTTTCCCCCTGTCGACGTAGTCTCCAAGAAATAGGTAGTTTGCTTCGGGAGCAAAACCACCATATTCAAACAAGCGCAGAAGATCGTAATATTGACCATGTATATCCCCTGCAGTTACAAACACAATCAACATTTAATATAAAATGCACAAAACTATCATCATTCATCTATATATTAACTCACCGCATATTTTTAAAGGTGCTTCTAGTTCTAATAAAATCGGTTGGCTGAGGAAGATTTCTCTCGATTTCAAGCAAAGACCACGGATCTCTCCTTCAGTCAACTGCACATTCTTTCCTGGTCGGGAGCCACGAACTGAAAGTTATAACAACAAAATTTTAGACAAAATTTAACAACAAAATCGACAAAAAGATATAATACCTTCGAGAAGTCGACTAATAACACTGTCGACATTAAGTTTATCGTTTTCTGCCATCAAAATGTAACACTAAACCTCGCATTCACATCGGCTTTCAAAGCGAGAAGGAAAGCAAAGAAACTAATTGGGATCTAGATGTTACTGTGGAAAGACTGAGTTCCATTCATCAAAATCACATAAAAAAGCATGTGACAGCACTTTTCTGTGACCTTCGATCACCTGCCTTTGACCACATTGACCCTTCGACAATTCAACTTGCAACATGGATCGCGGCTTTGCTTCTTGATATCTGTCAAATTTGATTATTAATTTAACTTGATTAAGTTACATGGTTGTTTGAGAGAGCAGAAGTTTTTGATACGAAGGAGCATCTTTTTCAAAGATGCATGGAGTAATTTTTTACATAGAGCCTGAGAGTCAGCTGCAGCAAATTCAGATTCATTCTTCTATAACATAAGCCAAACTGCTACACCAAAAATGGATGTAATATCGTGTTTGTGAATATCCTCAAATTGTAGAAGCAGTTTTGTGCTTCTCCGGGGACCTCAGAGCAGGGGAAAGATATTGACATGTTACAAATGGGACTGTTGCAGGAGTTCCCAGGTCTTTTTAAGATTAAAAAATAAATTGAAGATTTTGTTAAGTTTGTTAGACTAACAATTTAAATTAAAATGGAACCTTTTACCATTGCATTGACATCCATTTAAAACTAAACGACTAATTTCGTTAGGTTTTCTTCTCATAAAATATCATATAAGCTGACGTGTGTAATACATGATCGAGAGAAACTGATCGAACTCTCTCATCTGAAGAAACACTCCACTTGTAACCAGATGTTCGTCTATATGTAACGTAATGTCCACAGTTGGCATCTCCAGTATGAACAATTACAGACATCAGACGATACACAACTCGAGCAGATGATCTAGAAATTTTAATACACACAATGAGATGGACGTTAGGATGCCAAACAAGTGTAGTTACACATGTCATACGCATTCCAAGGTTGCTTCGATTTCACAAATGAGTCAATCTTCAATGTTTCAGAGAACTTCACAAACATATTATTCTTGTAAGGAGCGCCGTCATCTCGCCAGTACGATCGATTGATAAGTAAACTTAGACATGAAGGCAACTAAAAGCACAGGAGTAACTAAACGATTACAAAGCAGTAGTCAATAGGACTTCATGTCCAAAGTTAGCAAGCCATTACATTAGTGATGGTTTGCAGCACGTTGAAAGTGCTATATATTAGATAGATGGAAATACAGTAAATTTTAAACTTGCAAAAAAATTATTCAATAAATCTACGGGAGACGGACAGTGCTAAACAACTCAATTATTCAGTACTCAATTATTATTGAGTACTGATGATATGGCACTGATGCCATTACATGTCAAATACTAAAGATTATTTTGTAATGAATGACGTCAGCTCAACTTGTGACCATTTTAATCAAATTGCATGAATATCAGACAGTAAGTAGTGAAGCCACCTCGCATGTTTCAGTCTTGTAGCTACGTAAATTTCATAATTTCGCTATCCTTTTTTTTAGAAATCTATTGTTTTCTTAGTGTTTGGAAAAAAAATGTAAGTGACAAGAAAATAACACAACACACAAAATATTTAAGGTACCTTTGCTATGCTAAGTTTCTTCAGGAAATGAGTCTTTTGGTGTTTTCCACTTTGTAAACTTGCACAGAAGCATTGTGGGCATTTGACTGAGTCTAGACTTTCCGAGTTCATGAAGTCTTCCAGTAACATCTCTAGTGTACAAACTTCAGTCTTGAAAGATTGAATATTTACAGAAAATATAAAGAACTAACACTACATTCAGTGGAGATTAATTTCAGCCATTCACAGTTGAGAATCTATCCTTAAAATGTCCGCTTACCCTGAAACCCATGGATGGCAAGCTCAAAGAAATTGTCTGAAATGCATCAAACTTGACAGCATGCTGTTTAAGTAAAAAATATTTCATCAATAAAAAGTTATGTGTTGTTATGTTTGATAGCAAATTTACCTTATATGAACATATTTCACAAGTCATTTGGTTTGCGAATAGTCCATCAAATGGATAGGATAACGTAGTGGGTAATTTTGATCCTAAAATCATTTCAAAATATTTCAATGAAAAATGAATAGAATGTATCTCACATACTTGAAAAGAAGCTACACCAACCAGCAATTCCTCCTTGTAGAACAATACCATTGTTATCAAACTTTGTCTCCTTCTGAAAGACAAAATACAATCCTTTAAACTTATCACCTAACCAACCTACTTGATCAGAAATAGACACAATTAAAAAACCTCAGGTGAACTAATTATTTTTCTATGATGAATTTCCTGTGACTAAAAAAGAGAAAATGAGTATAAGCTAGGACAATTATTTTAAGGACGACATTTTTTCCACAATGAATTACCACAGCCAGCTCTTCTGCCACAGTTGATAATAATACTAAAAAGATCTCGTGAGCATCCTGTACAGTTAACAAAATTCAACTTTTCAGATCAAGCTTGTACAGATTTCTAATAAGTGGAAACTTTCACTTACATGCTGTTGAGATGGAATGACCCATCCATGAGAATATAGACATTCAAAAATGGTGCTTGGATCAAAAGATACTCCCATACGACAGCTTGGTTCATTAAGAACTGAAGCATAATAAGACATTACATAAGTTTTCATCAAAGTAAAACAAACCATTTCTTTAGAAAGAAAAATTAAATTACTTTGCAAATATTTAAAAAGTTCTTTTGTCAAGTTGTTCTTGCCATCGTTGTTTTCTTGGGCATGTTGTTTTAACCATGAAACAAAAATGGAGACTGATGCCAACGCCTAAAAATGACAACAAAATTCTTGAATCAATAATGACATAGGGGAAAATCAATAGATTGACATATTACTTTTCTCTAACACTCCACCAATTATTGCAACAACAGTATTGACAAATTTAGCAACTAATGAAAACTTGCTGAAATCATTTTGTGTAACAAGAGTAAGTTATTTTTAACTGAAGTCGTGTGCAATGTACTAAGTGCTGCAAGAAGTGGTAGAGGGGATCACATGGAGTAACAGTTGACATTGTAATATCACAGCAAAACTTTATAACCTGTAAGACTGAGTTGAGGTAACATGAATTGCCAACGTTCACAAGACCAGGATAAACTAAATATAATAGAAAGGAAAAACTATAATACAAACAACGTGTTGTGAGATTTCATGCTGTCCCATATAAATGTAGACTATAGTGCTGTACCTAAACTGTCAGGTCCAATTGAAGTAAGTTTTTTTCTGCCACTCAAAACATAAGTGAGTACACCAATAAATGAACATATACCAATGGCAGCTAAGACCTTTTCTTCCATATAGATTTGACAGGAAGATGATTTATTAAATGAAAGACAAAAAGGTTACAAACATGGTGACAATCTTGTGTTACAGTTGAAGTTTGCGGAGGAATCTGAGCCCAAAAATGACCAGCGGCTCCATGGTTATTCCAAGATGGCGGACAATACAGATTATAAAAATCAAAAAAAAGTTGAAAAAAAAAATGTTTATGTTGCCCAAACTGCTGAAGACATTCAGCGAAGAAAGATTGAGAAGCTAATGAGTAATCCTGTAAGTTTTAATAAAGATGAAAGTCAGTCATAACGGTAAAAAATGTTTCGGTTTATTAATGAACTAGTTTCTCCTGTCTCCCTACTGAAGGACAAACCTGTCGTAATTCCAGAGAAAAAGAAAGAATGGAAACCATCCGACCCCAAAGACTTTGTACGATTTGTAATGGGTAAGCTAACACATTAATCAAAATATTCTGTATATGCAAGTCCATGACTACAATCATAAAACGTTTGTCAAGGTTCGAGTGCAGGGGCAGGAAGTGGGGAGTTTCACGTTTATCGTGCAACCCGCAGGAGAGAGAATAACAGATTGAAGTATATTGACGATCAAGCGAAGAAGGTTCGTAGCATTGACATTATATTCACGATGAAAATCGAGCCTCAGAACGTCATTCGACTTTTCTCTTTGTTCATCGCCATAAAAGGAAGAGGCAGACGAGGATTATCACAAAAAGCAAGAAGAGAACATCGCTAGGGCTAATGAAAGAACTGCGAAAAAACGAGCGAAGAGGTTCTTGTGTGTATGACATTCATAACTATGATAATGTATACCAGTTGTTTGTCCCTTACTGTCGTCGTTAATGCTGTTTTAGACTGAAAAAGAAACAAAAACAAAGCGAAATGAAGAAAAGAAAACAGGAAAAAACAGGTTAGTGAAAGTAGTTGTAACAACAATGCATAAGCTGACGTCGATGTCATTACGTCATTACTTATGTTACAGACGCTGAAAGACCAAGTGAAAATAAAGATGGGGAACATAACGTTCAACAATCCATAGATGATACGGACGATGAAGAAACGTGAACAAGAAAGCTACTAATTTTATGAATATTTGTAAATAATCGTTTTGTCATTATTGAACATTTGGAGTGTGTGGTATAGTATACGACTGATGTACAAATATGGTGACAATTTCACACGGTGCCCAATCCTTCAATTGAAATCGAAGCAACTGCTGACCCACACCGGAATCTATGTTCTCTCTACTTCCCCCACCAACATGCATAAAGTTGCGACTCTGTCCTATTTTACCATATTTGAATACCCTTAAATGTTTTTATTACTTATTTACTTGTCTTTATGCCTAAAGATATTAGTTAAAGTATATTATATGACATTATCTAAACGCATCGAGTATCTATTTTTTACCATGTGTGCAAACAACATTGTCTGGTGTCAAGTTACGTTGGTTCATACAAGTCAAGACGTATAATTACAAATAGTGTCAGAGCTGAAAGCCAAAAAAGAAATTCAACAATTTGGTATTTTGACATTGCATGATTTCAATATATATATAAGGTGAGTGAAAGCATCCATTGAAAATATTCTTTCATACAAACCTAAGATCATCATTCTTGAACTAACATTATAGCGCACATCTAAGAACATTTACAGCGGTAATCATTCATTTTGTATGTTATTTTAACATAAAGTCTCCGATAAACCCGGGACGTAGAGGTGCTTTAATAACCGAGTTATTAAATCGGCGATTGCCTATAATCAAAGTAGTTATAAATATTTATGTGTTATGCGGACATATAATTAAAGTACATTGGTAATCTTGAGAGGGTCATCAGTTTAGTAAAGCTAGGTCGAGCAATTCACTTATTAAATTTGAGGAAGTAAATGTTTATTAAAATTGAAAATGAATGGCTGCGGATCTCCAAAGAATGTCTGAATTTTTGAAAATTAAATTCCAATGTAGTATCTTCGTTTTTGTTCAAAAAGTAGAAACAATGCACAAAATTTAAGAAATGCCACTCGGGTGTGAAGACCTGCTGGGAGGGCATTTCTCAAGCGGGAAGCATGCTGGAATGACCTTTTGGCTTTAAAATGCAAAGGCATACAACCGCAACAAAAGTTAAGACCAGATAATTTACTAAATAATCAGGAATGTGAAAAAAAGAACCAAACTCATATCAAAATTCAAAAAAGTTGATATCAAATGTGTCTTTTAAACTATTTTCTTTTCGACTCTTGTAAACAGGTCGGACGAGGTATTCACTGACTAGCGATGAACGCAGTGATCACGAAGAAACAAAAAAACACAATTATGATATTCGGGGGGATTACAGGCGTTTTTGGCGTTGTCGCTGGAGCCAGCGGTTTATATTTGCGTGAAAAATACTTGATGTTAGAACAAGATTGGGATGTCGATTCTATACCTGGATTTACAAAAGGTTATTTCGGGTGTATGTCGGGATTTCTTGTAAGTACAAAAATTCAAGAGATTCTTTATGTAAATACCACGAAAATGTTTTTCACTTCAACTCGTATTGCTTGCAGTTATTCTTAATGGGAACTGTTGGTTTCAGTCTTGTTTACACACGAATGTCGTGTTTGGTAAGTTCATGTTCGATTTGCATGTCATTATCTAACGAGATCTTATTTATTAGTTCATAATTGATTTCAAACTACCTTGTGTTGTGAAGGTATTTATTTATTGGCTCCTGTCGTTGTCATGTGATACGTTGGCTGTTCTTGATGCAATGATGGTGCTACCATTCACGATAGAGAACGGGGACTATGCCTGGAAAAAACCATATTGTTACAAAAATGAAACTGCCGACAACTTTGCTGCTTGGAATCAAACAAAAACCACACCTTCAAATCTGGATTTCACTCAGGGTAACGTAGTTCTTCTACTTAATCCAACATCTAATATTTCATCAAATCTTTAATAATGCGATTTCTCGAGATGAACAAGGACACATAACCCTTACACACAGAAGTAATTAATGATGATTCATTAAGAATTCAGCTACAAAATCAATGAACATGGCTAAAATTGCGTTATGATTGAAGTCGAACTTTCCTGTATAATTCGAACTTTCATGTATTTCAGCGGGAAATCAAAGCTCGTAGAAAAGTTTTTTTCGTGCATTCAGGAATCTCTCTATTTTTACAGATTATTGCTCTCATATTAAAGAAATCTCTATGTTGTTAATGGTGGTGACGATAACAGTGTTGACGTCATTACTTTTTTCTTCTTTGACAACATTTATCACAAGTGCTGCGTTGTGTAGAGCACGCTCGATTGCGGTAAGTGATTTAGCTACTATCTATTGCATTGGCAAATAAAATCTTCCACTAATTAATATACATGTGAATGTGTGTCACTATGAACGTCAATACTTTATTTTTGTAGGAAAGTGCACAAGCAGCAATACAACTCGCTCCATTTTCTCAACCCAATGACTTTCAACCCATGAGTTTTAACAACGTTGTATACCAATCAGATGGTTTCAAGAAATGATGTTTGACAGCGTTCTACTTCGGACGAGCTCGAATAAAAAATACACAATGGATAGTGATTTTTCCAATCTTTCTTTTCATTGCTTAAAAGAATCCATAGAGCTACGATTGATACATAACAATAGAGAAAAATAACATTAGTTTATAGAAAACAAAGAATTATGTTCGCTAAATAAATATGACCCGGCCCCTTTATAATTAGTTGAAAAATGCGTCATTCTATATTGCGTTTTAAAGTTGTGTTACCGCATGTTTGAACATCTTACAATTTGGAGTTTCTTTCCAGAACTGCAAACACCTAAGGTAATCAATATCTACAAAACAACGTCCATCATGATCTTTAAACAATTCAACATTGTTGGTACAACATGGTATTAAGCTACTGGTTACAGAAATAGTAAAAATTGTGCGCATCATTGACATCTCTAGTCGGCGAAAGGAAACAAAATTATTCCAACAATACCACCACAATCGGTAGAATGGAGATCCGCCTTTACCGATTAATTTGACCACGTGATTTGAGGGTTAATTAATATCACAGCAAGTGGTAAGATGTAGTTGTAAACATTCCTAGGAAGTATCAAATTGTCGGAACAGCGTGACTACGCATTACGACAGGGAAATTATTTCGTGTTATACAAATTTTTCCCTCAAACAGATATATATCTTCTTGACAAATGGACTCCGCGTTTAACAGCAAACTCAGTAAGTATTGTCGTAATAAAATATAGATATTTGTATAACAATATAACTGTATGGCGTCTTGCCTGGTGGTTCTCTAGAGGAATTTTAAAGACGTTTTTGTCATAAAAAAATTAAAAACATACATAGACCTTTTTGGGTTATGGACGATTAGAGTTTTTATTTATGAATTTTCTTCGTCTGATTGTGTGTCTTCATTATGGTCGACAATTATCATTTGTCAAGAATGTCTGTATCACTCTCAATAGAACTGTTTCAATAAATAATGCCATAATTGTCTTCGTTATTCAACATTATTCAAGGAATTTAGCTTTTTTGCTGAAATGTTGTTGGGATTAGCTTTACACAATCAGATAAAACAAAATAAAGATCTCTCAAGAATTCATGAAACAGTGAAGCTAGTTTGAATTAAAAGAATTTTAATTTTTTTTTGTTTAGGTTTAGGTCCACTAGGCAAACCCAGATTATCTAAGCCTTTTGCAAGAGGGGCAGCAATCATTGGTCTTTTAGAGTTTTTCTTAGGAATATCCCTTATTGTTGGTGGCATTCTACTGCAAGAGAGAGATGTTAATGATGACATCAATGCTTCAAATGATCCCAAGTATTATGGTCTTTGGTCTGGACCTGGAGTAAGTTTATATTTACATCTCTGAGTGCATTCTTACCGATTAGTATAATTAACATTTCTTTCCATCTCTAGCCTCTTATCATTGCTGTATTAGGATTTCTGACTTGGTGGCTACGTAAACGTGATATGGTCAGTACTGATCATGTATTGTGAACAATTAGCCTTCCTTGCGTTTGGGATACATTTTATCAATTTTCTTATTTTTATTTTCCAGGGTATCATTTTCGCATTGGTTAACTTGTTTAACATCCTATTATGTATAGCACAGGCAGTTTTTTTATTGCCTAAACCTTTTTGGTTTAGAGATTTTCTCACTTTATCAAAATGCCGTGAGGATTCACCAAATGGCCGTGGGCTGAAATACAATCCAACACCAGCTTCTGGTAGGAAGTGAATATATGGCACAAAAAATGTTATGCGTTCATAATTTACATGTCTTTTGTTTTAGGCTCTGACACCAGGGATTGCGATGACATGAATGCAATAGCTAGAATATTTGTAATGTTGGCTATTTGCTGTTGTTTTGCTATTGTCATTTCTATTGCTGGAGTTATTGATGGTATCTTAGCTGTAAAGCAAATGAAGAAGGATCAGGTATTTATATGGGAGGATTACTATTGATAGCACAAATTTTCTAATTTTAATAAAGAAATAATAGGGTATAAAAGGGATATTATATCTTCACGTAAAAATTATTAAATGCTTCATCATACCTTCTATTTATATTAGATCAACCAGTTGGAAGGCTTAACAAGTTCAGAGTTTAAACATATGGAACATAAAACTGCCATGTGGTTAGAAAACAATACTCGTTTTTCCACCGGATCAACAATTGCTCGCTCAGAAAAAGGCCTGAGTGGAGTAAGTGAAAGGAGTTTTTCAACTAGAGAACCAAACAGTCCTATTTCACCAACATCAGATATATACAGGGACAAAAGTTGGGTATAAACAATAGAAAGAAAGTCTTATCAACATGTTATTTTTTAAAAAAATATTTTTGTATTTGTCACCACAGCATTTCTATAACTCACTTGCATGATCCATTGATTCTTGAACAATAATGCCCTATCTTTCAAATGATAATGCAAGGATCAGTGAAAACACTTATTATTTCAACTAACCTAACAAAGTGTGTACTATAATATAAAAGAATACATGTTTTTTAAATGTATGAAAATATATGCATATATTATCATGTACATAAATGTCGTGATGGTTATTTTATAATTTGTAACAAAATGAAAAGCAACTCTATTGTTTGTTGTACTCTTTAACTCTGTTACGTTTTTCAAGGATTAAAGACTGCGGGCCATTTTACTACTTTCTTGCAGCAAAATTGAGTTCATAAACAACCAAATTCCCCATTAAAAAGTGGTGTAATTCTGCTAAATTCTTTTGTTAATTTTTGTTTTTTAATTCAATGTTGGTTAAATCATTTTTCAAAGCACCAGTTACCCCATTCTTCACATGGCATTTAGCAATTTATTACAATCATCTGGCGCCCGTTGCACGGAGGCCTAATTGCGCTATCCACTAGATAGCAGATTTTTTTTAAACGTTCATAAAAAATAATATACGATTTGAACTGTGCAATTACTGAAATAAAATATTGTTTCGAAGATTACAAAATTTCTTTGTAAGAAAAATACACACACCTTTTTTACAAATTTGAAATTTTCGCTATCCAGACTTCGATTTATTTATTTACCATTTAATATAATTTATCTAGTAGAGAGCTTTCTATTTGTGTTGTTTATATACCAACCAAATTAATAATTTTCCACAGCCTGCCCTTCATCCCCTTTAGACTAGCGTGGTACTAACCAGATAAAAAACTGATTAAAGGAAAAAAAAACACATAGGAAACTAAACAAAAATAGACACAGGGAACGAAACTACATTAAAAAAGAAAAAAAAATAACAGTCCTACTTTTTTCTTTGACGTGCATGTTTAGCCAAACTATAACATTCTTGAATCTTTTTTCTCAATCTAATGTCACAGTCGCATAGTTCGTAAGCCGCAGCGAAATTTTGCATTGCATCATTGTATTGGCAAGCTTCAAGACTGCGTCTATAATGAGAAAAGATAATTCGAAAAAGCGATGTTCTAAATTTGATTTAAATTTGAGCAGCCAATTCAAAATTTGTAACCCAGTAAAGTTATCACATACACTGCTAAAAAATTCCCAATAGTTACTAAATTGCTACTTTGAATACTTAATGGTTCGACCCGAATCCTAATCTCCCGGCAATTCCACTACTATCATTAAAGCTAAAAAGTTACAACATTTGGATTAGGTGTCCTATCCCTGTTGGTGCTGAAAATATACAATACAATACAATATTACCTTCCACTTATAACATACATCTTGTATGCTTCTTTCTCGTTCGATGACAAAAGACACGGACATCGTCGAATGTTAAATGAAGTTGACTGGTGAATGGAAGTTGGGCAACATGTTGTGTATGTAAGGGATGACTCATAATCTAAAACATCAGAATGAATAATAATAATAATATCAGAATAATAATAATAATAATAATAATAATAATAATAATAATGATAATAATAATAATAATAATAATAATATCAGAATTATCAGAATTTCAGTTTTTTTCAATGCATCAAAAGCATTGTCTTTTTTTACCGAGGGAAGTCGACACATTAATAAAATCAGTTTTGTTTACCTGGAATATTGCCTGATCCTCCACTGTTTTTTTCAATTTTTTTTTCATCCTTTATTTCTATAACCTTTGAACCATTAACAATAGCTAATGCACCATCCTTGTTATTTTTCTGAACTTCATTCTCACCATCTTTCCCAACATCAGATACAACATTGTCATCTTTACTCTCAACATCATATTTACTATTCTGATCAACATTCGCAACATCAGATGTACCCTTTTCAGCATCAGATGTACCCTTTTCAGCATCAGATGTACCATTTTCATCAACATTCTCAACATCAGATGTACCATTTTCAATATCAGATTTACCATTTTGATCAACATTCTCGTCATCAGATGCACCATTTTCATCAACATTCTCAACATCAGATGTACCATTTTGATCAACATTCTCGTCATTAAATGTACCATTTTCATCAACATTCTCAACATCAGATGTACCATTTTCAATATCAGATGTACCATTTTGATCAACATTCTCGTCATCAGATGTACCATTTTCATCAACATTCTCAACATCAGATGTATCATTTTCGTCATCATTCTCAACATCAGATGTACCATTCTCGTCATCACTCTCAATACTAGATGTACCATACTTCTTATCGTTCTCAACATCAGATGTACCATTCTCGTCATCACTCTCAACACCAGATGTACCATTTTCATCATGATTTTTATCATACTCAACATCATATAAGCCATTTTCGTCATCATTTTCCACATAAGACGTACCATTTTTGGTATGGTTTTCAACATCAGATGTACCATTTTCAATGTCAGATGTACCATTTTGATCAACATTCTCGTCATCAGATGTACCATTTTCATCATCATTCTTAACATCAGATGTACCATTTTCATCATCATTCTTAACATCAGACGTACCATTTTCGTCATCATTCTTAACATCAGATGTACCATTTTCGTCATCATTCTTAACATCAGATGTACCATTTTCGTCATCATTCTTAACATCAGATGTACCATTTTCGTCATCATTCTTAACATCAGATGTACAATTCTCGTCACCACTCTCAATACTAGATGTACCATACTTCTTATCATACTCAACATCAAATGTACCATTTTCGTCATCATTCTCAACATCAGATGTACCATTTTCGTCATCACTCTCAATACTAGATGTACCATACTTCTTATCATTCTCGACATCAAATGTACCACTTTCGTCAACATTCTCAACATCAGATGTACCATTTTCGTCATCACTCTCAATACTAGATGTACCATACTTCTTATCATTCTCAACATCAGATGTACCATTTTCGTCAACATTCTCAACATCAGATGTACCATTTTCGTCATCACTCTCAATACTAGATGTACCATACTTCTTATCATTCTCAACATCAAATGTACCATTTTCGTAAACATTCTCAACATCAGATGTACCATTTTCATCATCACTCTCAATACTAGATGTACCATACTTCTTATCATTCTCAACATCAGATGTACCATTTTCGTCAACATTCTCAACATCAGATGTACCATTTTCATCATCACTCTCAACATCAGACGTGCCATTCTCATCATCGTTCTCAACATTAGATATACAGTTATCGTTATCCATCCTAACGTCAGATGCATTATTTTCACCATGTTGACCAAAGTCAAATGTACAGTTCTCATCATCGTTCTCAACATTAGATATACAGTTATCGTTATCCATCCTAACGTCAGATGCATTATTTTCACCATGTTGGCCAAAGTCAAATGTACTTTTCTCATCATCGTTCTCAACATTAGATATACAGTTATCGTCATCCATCCTAACGTCAGATGCATTATTTTCACCATGTTGGCCAAAGTCAAATGTACCGTTCTCATCATCGTTCTCAACATTAGATATACAGTTATCGTCATCCATCCTAACGTCAGATGCATTATTTTCACCATGTTGGCCAAAGTCAAATGTACCGTTCTGATCATCTTTCTCAACATTAGATATACAGTTATCGTCATCCATCCTAACGTCAGATGCATTATTTTCATCATGTTGGCCAAAGTCAAATGTACATTTCTCATCATTGTTCTCAACATCATATGCTCTATAATCGCCATCTATCCTAACGTCAGATGCATTATTTTCGCCATCCTCCTCGACATCCTCAATAATATAATCCTCTTTTGTCTTGTTATCTTCATAAACATTTTCCTTCTCGACGTTTTTCTCGACGTCAGATGCATTTAATTTTTCGCCCGCAGTTTTATTGTTTATTTTTACTCCTTGATAAAAAACTTCATTGATTGCAACCTCCAGTCTGTCTTCACTATCACCGTGCGTATCCTCAACAGTAACGCATATTTCTTAAAAGAAAAAATGTGCAAATGTCAATTGTTGTAGGGATTGCTATACAATTAAAATAATTTTTTTTTATGCTATTCGAGTTAAGCAGTGGACTAATCTAAATTTTCATAACTAACGCTGTTCAAAAATGAATCGCGTTTTCTAAGTAATACCTTTTCACAACCGGCATGCGAATGCTAAAAAACTTACAAATGAAAACTTACAATGAAAACTTACAGTGATTCTTCAAAAAATTTTAGTCTTGGCAAAATGCCTAAAGAATTCTTAAATTGGATTGGATAAATAAAACGAATGAACTTAACCAAACAATTGGGTTGCGTAAGTTTAAAAAACGCCGAATTCCCAATACAGCACATAATGTTTTTACTCGATTAAGGAGATGTCGGGGCTTCTCTACAGCGTCTTAAATTCATAAATATCTCAGTTATCACGTACTTATATAAAACCATATCTATTATCATGTACATCATATATTAACACCATACATGTTATCACGTTCTTATATAACACCATACGATCCTATCACGTACTTATATAACACCATACGATCCTACTTACTCTTGTTACAAGTGTCAGGTGAATCACGAGGAGTGTCGCTGTCAAGGGTAATTGTGGAAAACTGTTTTTCTAAAGCATTAGCATCGACTTTCTCATTCAAACCAGTTAGATCAATAATGTCATTAGCAATAGGAGGAGACTACAAAGAAAAGTATTAATAAAACTATCACAGAATGGCAAAATGTTGTTATATTTCAGGGAAGGGTGCAAAGGAAAGTACACCCTGTTCTAGACTTGGCAAGAAGGTATGAAGGATGGGGTAACAATTTCACTAAAAATAGCTAAGATATCAAACAATCAAGCTAAAGCAATTGTGATTAGCGTTAAATGCAGCGCACTTTCAAAAATCTTTCACTCAAAATAAAAAGTTAACAGAATTTAACAAAAAAGTCTGACATGGTTCGGTAGCACATAACCACCAAAATCTAATCCAAACTAGAACACACCCCGACAGAAACCAAAGTTGATTCTACCCTGTTATGTAATTACCTTGCTTATCGTGTGAGTTTTAAAACCACGGGAATCACTTTGTGCAGGTTTGAATACTCTAGGAACTTGATCCGTAATCTTGATCTGACGACGAACCTGGGAGAAATTGTCTGACAATTAGACTGTCGAGAAGTGACTGCAATGTTATCACCATGGTAACTGTACCTGTGCCCGGATAACGTCATTTATCTCCGTAACAACGGATCGTTCTTCGTCAGTGACGACAGCTTCCTTTGTGAAAAGTAAGTCGTGATCACTAATACCAAAAATACTCGTGGTTTGCAGAAACTTTATATGCTCGTCCAATACGGTGTCAGACACACGGTGAACAGAATGCATTTGTTCTAATTGAAGTTGGGTTTTTGAACAACGTGTATCGTCCAAGACAAACAAATCACGAAGTTCTTGACTGGTGAAATATCTAAATAAACGAGATTCGTAAAAACAGGTGTTCTCAGTTGAGCTCTCAGTAATAGAGATGGCGTGTGTACGAAGCTCAAGTAAATAGGTAGGAGAATGTGGGTAAAATCACACGCAAGTCAAGACAGTAGTCTAACATAGTTTCTAGAGGGGTTGGAACCCACCCCTACATAGACATACCCACCCCAAATTGGTAACCCACCCCTACATTTGGGTCCAAAATTTACCCACCCCTACATACGAGCCGAAAAAAAATTCGTTTTTTTCTACGGGAAAGCTGATTTTAGACTTATTTATGGTCTCTCTATGCATACTATATACAACACTGATAAAGTCTATGTATTCACTGATGCAATCAATGGCTGATGCAATCAATGGCTGATGCAATGACATGGTGTCAAATTAGGGAGATATTTTTGGTCCCTTATAGGGTAATATGAAGATAGATGATGCAATAACATGGGGGCAAAAATTGAGTGATGTTGAACTTTGAAGTTATTAACTTTTTTATCATATATGCATTTCATCTATTTTTTAATTTTTCTAATAGGGAAAATCTCGGAACCCACCCCTACATAGACATACCCACCCCTAGTTTATAACCCACCCCTAGAAATTCAAAACTTTTTCGACCCACACCAAGAAGGCATTTTTGAAAATTCCAAGACCCCCCCCTAAATTTAGGGGGGGTAGAAACTGTGAGTAGACGCGACATATGATAATGCATAGAGAAGTCAGGTAAAAAATAAAGTGGGTGGGACTGGGGAGGGATTATAATGCATACCTGTACGGATTTTTGGAAGAACCGGTCGTTTGTTTAGTGATTGCTTGCTTGAACACTTGTTTACGATAGATTTTTTCTTCCAAACTACCACACGTAATGAGACGATAAATAACAACAGATTGCTTCTGGCCAATACGATAAGATCTGATGGACACAAAACGATTTGATAAATGTGAATTTATACTGACTGCAATACAATTCCAACAATGTGTAACTTGTTGGAGTGTGCCCCAAAAGCAGGAGTCTCCATTGCAATATGGTGATAGCTGGGAGGACTATTGACTTTTATATGAGGACAGTTAAATACCTGTCGACAGCTTGCGCGTCAGTGGCCGGATTCCAGCTGGGATCAACTGAAACAGTATGCGTAAGAGAATAAATGTTGAACTTTTTTAAAAATGAAAATGTTGAGTCAAAACTTACAAATAACAACTCGACTGGCAGCAGTCAACGTCAAGCCGACACCCCCAACCTGAAGATGGAAAATTGAAAAATATTCATTTATCCCTCACTATCCCCATGACAACACATGATACCTACCTGAGTTGTGAGTAAAAACACAGATATTGATGGATCTGTTTGAAACAAGTTGATGCGAGCTTCTCTTTCAAATATTTTGTGAATAGTACCATCTACACGAATAATCTTTATTTCCTGAGGTAAATGAAAACAAAAAAAAACAATTGAAACATAGCAAAACAAACTTCGAACAAAAATGCGCAATGTTAATTGAAAGGCAATATTCCCTACTGACCTTTTCCTTTAAAACTTTCTCAATAATGTCTAGCATTTTTCGTGACTGTGTGAAAAGTAAAGTCTTATGACCTTCGCTCTTTAGCTGTTTCAATAATTGAACAAGAAAAACAAGCTTTCCAGATTCTTCAATAAGCTGTTGAACGGGTGGTGCGCACCATTTATTACCACTGTCTTCATCTCTGTATGAAACAACAATAACATTTCATCTCTAGTTACAACTGGCAGAAAAATAAAAAAATAATTTATCTTTCATGGTGAATACCATGGTAAAAGACGCAAAGCGCTTCTTAAACCTAATCATACAAATATACGTAGTAGCTTATCTGTATGTTTAAATATCGGTAATATATTGTATATCATGATAATTACAGTTCTTCAACTGGCAGACCAAGAGTTTCACCGCTCATTGTAGACAACAAACGAGGATGATCACAAATTTTTTTCATCACATTCAACTCGGCCAAAGGACTTCTCTTCGTCATTAAAACCTGAAACAAACATGACTCTACTGAATTCCAACACTTACAAACATTTTTGAAAAGTAAGTTGATTGAAAAAAATATGTTTTGGATGACAACAAACCTCTTTAACTCGATCTTTACTGAGGAAATCTTCATAGATGCGGAGTTGGCTTTGTGAAAGATACACCCAGACTATAAAGTCGTTCTTGCGAGTTAGGTATGGAGTCTTTGGTCTGAAAAAAAATTATGTAAGAACAACCAAGACATAAAATAATTAAACTTCTTAATGTAGGTAACAATACTCAGTATTATCAGGCTCATTTTCTTTGTCTGATGCTCCATCCACATAATCCGCCATGTCATTATTTGATTTAGTCTTTTTCATCTCAAGTATGTCTTTGGTGCGCCGCAGGAAATGTGGAGCAATGAGCTCTCTTAAAATTTCTGATAACTCTTGTCCTTTTCTTTTCTCATATGCTGTAGCATCTCGTTCTCGAGCCTTAAAACAGAGATATTATCAAGTTCAAGTCATCATTCAGAGGATTCATCAATTTAAAAGTTATTCATAAGATCCATTAATCTAGTAGTTCTCCATAAGATCCATCAATCTAACAGTTCTCCATAAGATTCATTGATCTAACATTTATCCATAAGATAGATTAATCCAACAGTTATCCATAAGATCCATTAATCTAACAGTTCTCCCTAAGATAGATTAATCTAACAGTTATCCATAAGATAGATTAATCTAACAGTTCTCCATAAGACCCATAAAATCTAACAGTTATCCATAAAAAGATACATTAATCTTACAGTTATCCATAAGATAGATTAATCTAACAGTTATTCATAAGATCCATTAATCTAACAGTTCTCCCTAAGATAGATTAATCTAACAGTTCTCCATAAGACCCATACAATCTAACAGTTATCCATAAAAAGATACATTAATCTTACAGTTATCCATAACATACATTTATCTAACAGTTCTCCATAAGATCCATACAATCTAACAGTTATCCATAAAAAGATACATTAATCTTACAGTTATCCATAAGATACATTAATCTTACAGTTCTCCATAAGATTCGTGACTCTAGAAGTTGCCAATTCAATTTAACCTAACAGTGATACCTATGTACAACCTATAGTGATAAATACAATTCAATTTTAGTCCCAACAAAGACTTACTCTAACAATAGGTTTTTCATACTGTTGTTTAAATGACTTTGAAGTTCCCAAAAGTTCTCCTTGGCAAACAAAGTCGAATAAAGCCCACATTTCCTTTAAATTATAAAATAAACAATTCATTTCAACTCACAACCTTACGTTAAAATGACAGTATGTGTAGAAATTATATGCTCTTACCCTTAAGTTATTTTGCACTGGAGTTCCAGTCAAAATGAAACGATGTTGTGCAGGTATGCTACGTATTGCAATGGTTGTTTTATTGGCAGTATTTTTGACTTTATGACCTTCATCCAAAATAATGTAGTCCTAAAAATAATTTTGTGATACAAGCTAAGATAGTTGATGGAATAATGCAGTTATGAAAAAAGATCACTTCAAAAGATACAGGCTAATAATAAAGATAAAAAAGTGAAATTAAAAAATGATACAAACAAAAGAAGGTGGAGAGGTAATGTTTTCACGAGGAGAAATTATTGAGAGAATCACTCAGAAGACCATTGTAAGACACAACTTACCCAAGTAAATCTATTTCCATGTCTATTTTCACCAAGCAATGATGCAGAAGTGCAAGCAAGTCCATATGTTGTTAGAATGACCCCACCAAATGCCTGGATCTTAATAAGAATTTCCCCTCTTTGTTTAGGAGTTTTTCCATGATACTGAACAACCCTGATTTCGGGTGCCCTAAACAACATAACTTACCAGATAAACTAACCAACTAAAATACCATAATATAATTTACGCACTCCACCACAAAATAAAGGTCATTCCTCACCATTTTTTAAATTCCTTCTCCCAATTAGCAAGAAGAGCTAATGGCATAACAATTAATGCATTATTTACATGACCACAGCAAAACATCCCAGCTAGAAACGATACAACTTGGATTGTTTTCCCCATTCCCATATCATCTGCTAGGATTCCTCCTTTACGATCCTCAAACAACTTCCAAAACCAAACTATGGCCTCTTTCTGATGGCTATACAGTTTGCTGTATATTCTTTGGGGTACTTTAAATCCCTTTGATACTACAACATATTCACTTGTCTCCTCCTCATCGCTTTTATCTGATTGAAGTATTTCCTGTAATTTTTTCTAAACATAATAAGTGAACGATAACATATTAAAATCAACAAAGTTACACACACACAAGCACTGAGATCAGTTCAGTGACTTCGTTTTCAATTTTAAATTACTAAAATACATAATACCTCCAACTTCTGTATTCTTCTAACAACTTTGTCGCTCTTGTGTATATTATTTGCCTTAGTGTATAGTAGTAAACTTTTCTCTAAATTGCCATTCTGCATAGCACGCCTTGCTTCGTCAATGTAATTTCGAAATTTCTGTTTCCGAAGAGCAAAATTTTCTTTCGATATCCACCTCGAAGACGAAGGATTTGAACGTGCTTCACTATTATCTACAAATTAAAGTTAACATTTACATCCAGAAGGTTTTTTTGTTAAAAAAAAAACAATCCCTGCTGAATACTGTGCAGTTCATATTAAAAGTGCTAGTCAGATAAAAAGTGAAATAAATTAGGAGTTCGTACCATCTTGAAGTTGCAAACTTTTCAAAGCGTCACCTAAAGCTTCAGCATTATGAGCTTCACCATTATCCATCGTTTAATTAAGTGGGGTTTTTTTTCAAAACAAAGCAAAACGAGAAAGAAAACGCCTCGGTGATATAAACTTTGACAAAGAAATAAGCTTTCGATTGCATTTCGACCATGAATTTTTTGAAAGAACCGCTTTCCTTGTCACTGATCTCAGATATTTTGTAATGCGATTTATGCCCAAGTAGCTTCTAAGCATTACTTCATGTAAGATAGTGTAAGGTTTGATATACATATTATATATTCAAGCCATCTTCCTTATCTTCTAGTATTTGATTCATTTTAAATTTTGCTGGCATTTACCGAAATTTATTTAAAAGATGAGAATTGACTGGCTTTTCTTTTCCATTATGAAACATACAAGAAGAGGTTGATGAAAAAGAAAGCAAACGAATTATGGCGCCAACACCTGCGGTAAATATATACGTAGTAGTCTTATCCAAGTCGTTTTTATATCCTTCTTATAATGGATCTATTACATCTGTATTTAATTGTATCGATAGACAACTCCACCGCCAACGAACAATGATTCTGGACTAACTACTTCAGCCATTGTGTTGATCGTGATCGCTGGATATATTGTTATTTTTATCATCGCTGTATTTATACGTCAATGCTTACTGGTAATTTTTGAATGTTTGTGATATTTTTCCCCTTACGTTGGATTGCTAAGATGCAAGTCATACATACGTTAACTCTAATTTCTTTCTTTAAGGCACGTGGTGTCCATCTCTGCCATGATTGGTTCTATGAACTGTGTTGTACATCATGTTCATGCCCAAGGTGCACGTGTTTCACTCATTTTGCAGAACTTTGTGACTTCAATGTTCCATCAAAAAATTCTTGCCTTGATGCATGTTGCCCGACAAAGGAGGTAACACTCGCAAATCTTGCCACTTCAAAAGTATCAAAATATTAAACAGTTTCAATATAAAACTTTAGAAATGTGACAATATGTTTTGCTGTTGCATGAATGATTTACCTGGAGGTGACTTATGTGCTGATTGTAATGGCCCAGAGTGTCAGGTCAGTTATGGAATGTCTTTATTATTATTGGATAGAGAAGGGTAAGAAGGAGAAATGTAATTATGGCATATAGCGGACAAATATTATCATTTCTGTTCCTTATAGTTTGGTGATTGTAATTGTGCTTGCAATTGTCAAGTGCCAGAATGCAACTCAATCAACTGTATTTGCTTCGAAATCCAACTCAGACAACCAGCTGGAGCTCTAAACATACATCAAGGGTTACAAGGGAACATACAAGGTCAACAGGACTATAATCAATATCCACAGACAGGTATTTCCAATCCTGGTCAACAGATCAACTACAATCCACAATGGTCAAACTCTAACCCTCAAGTTTCATACCCAGCCATGTAATTATGTAAATGCATTGGATTTTTATTATAGTATATTTCACTAGTTCAACAATATTTGTATGAATACATGTTGTTAGATAGTACTGTAAGATGTTACAATATTGACTTATATTTGCTACAATGTTACATATGTCATATACATCATGATTACAGAAAAATGAGAAGTTCAACGCCGAGGAATTACATAAAAACAAAGAAAGTAAAAATGTTTAGATCTTTAGAGGTTTAGACTCCTTTGAATCGGATAATGTATTGTCACGATTTACAAGTTGTATGTGATTTCTGCCACTTGTGAACGATGAGCGTGATTGATATTTTATTTGAACGCAACAACAAACTCTTTCAATGCAAGTAGCACGAAAATCGCTTCTCCAAAACGCAAACATAATGGGATTGAGAATGGACGGTAAATATCGCAACAGTTGAAGAATGAAGTCGAGGCTATCATTGTCCATTGATCCCACAAAGGTTTCATAGAAGACATAAGAAAAATATGGTGCCCAGCAAAGAATGAAAATGATCAACATAAAAGCGATGATGTAGAAACCACGATAACGTGTACACGATGAAAGGTTGGGATATTTTCCTCTAGAACAGACAGAATCACGTCTGATACGGCCCAACTGTCGCTTGGCTTCGGATACAATACGGTAGTAAACGTAATAGAGCCCGACAATAGGTAGGATAAAGAAGGCGATAATGGAAAATGATACGTAGATTTTGTCGTTTCTTTCTACTGCAGGACTAGGATCTTCCTCTTCATTACAGAATCCACCACCAAGAGTAAAAATCCAAGACCAAGGAACAAGTGAATGAATCACACCAAAAAACCAAATCACTGCAATTGTCAAGGCTGTTGTTTTCTTTGTGACAATCTTGTCATGACTAAATGGTTTGAGAATGGCAAGATACTGCTCGCAGGCAATGACCAACAAATGGCAGATACTCACAAAAGAAAGAAACCACGTCCATGTAAATTGACCAAGAAGTAAAAAGCAAAATTGGTGATCTGACACTCGATCCAGAGAAAAATGAGTGAGGATAAACATTGGTATGCCTATAAAACCCGCGGTTCCGTCTGCAATGGCCAAGCTCACTAACAAAGCATTGCATGTATTACGAAGTTTTCTATTTCGCCAGACTAGCACGACGATGAAACTATTCACAACAACTATGATTCCAGCTACGATACACAAAAATATCATGAAGGATCTTGGATATAGGGGAGCATCATCCCAATCTCCAGATCCACTATATTCACCTGATCCACTACCATCATATGATCCACTGCCATCGCCCGATCCACTGCCTGACTCTCCAGTTAATGGTTCATACGGCGACATAGTTTTTTTACTCGTTTATTGGTCAAACCGTGAAAATGACTCAATCAGTAATGAATTAATCTAGAATTCAAAGACAATGAGATTAGTGAAAGCACTAAAATCAAGAGTATCATAAACAAAATGAATATGGCCAGCTTTACGATTTCACAATGTTGATACAAACTGATGTTATGAACATATAGAGGTCAATTATTTTTCTTCAAAGATATGCTATCTCACGAGATTAACAATTTCCAGAAAAAACTATACAAACTTACAATGTTTTTCAGCAAGATACAGAATGTTTCTCATCAAAGACTGCCCCGAACAAACTGAACGTTACTCTACATAACAACGCCTCTATAAACTTCCTTTCCGTTTCAAGACTGGTGTATGTTAAAAAGTTGACAACTCCTCTCAGTTTGGTTGAAAAGGATTAAAACGGCATGTTCACATGAAAATAGACTCATTATCATACAATGTGCTGCAACAATGTATGATGAAAAACAGAACATGTTGAATTTGAACTGTTTTATCAACTCCGAACATTTTGACTCTTGACATTCCATAAATCAAACTTTGTTCAACAGAAGAACTGCCGATACACGCATCTACCTTGCATCACTTAAATTGTTCCTTCAAGTCCGATTTCTTCAAAAAGCGATTGCTCGCATAGGTCAAGGTGAAAGGGACACTTGACATTAGAAATAGACCAGGATTATTATTTGGAAAGCAAAGCTGCCAAAGCACACATTGAATTTACGCATGACCGTTAAACATTCCAATGTTAAGTAAGTCAACACTTATAACAGCTATACATGATTTCGTTGATAAATGAAACGAAATATCACTATTCATATAAGCGACGTGATTTCATATTCAAAAGATTTTATCCTGAAGGATAATCACAAAGTCTGATTAAATTTTAAAAGTTTTCCACCATTTATTCGCGCAATAATAATTTACAGTAGAAAGTGATATAACACAGGTCATCTTGAATTGCCCTTTAGCTATATAGCTTTGTAAGCTGCCGCTGAACACTCGAAAGATAGACAGTAGCTGCTATCTGACAGAATATAAACAACTTACATTATCACTTCACTGTTTCGTATCAAATTGCTCAGGATCGCCATCTATAATAAAATGCGGTTTAGTTTTGTTTTAGGCTCGATAAATGTTGAAAGAAAAAATGGAGAATTCGCTGGAAAAATTAAATACAAAAGTTGTATTTAAAATCACATATTGGATATTTATCGTTATACAATCCTCTTACATTTTTAAGACTTTGTCTTTACCGCCACTGGCAACACGTGTTCCATCTGGGCTCCAATCAACACTGTACACCTGCCAAATTTTAGCATAGATTTCTACACTTATTAACCATTCTAGAGGTCTTTACCGAGAAACATCGGACTAAGCTCTTTTTGTACGGATCGAGCCAAAAGGACGAAGTTCAAAATTTCTCGTTAAAGACCAAGCAAGCGATGTAAATAAAAAACTTACAATACGTATGACACGAGACATTTGTAATTGAAAAAACAAGACATCTATTTTATCAGCTATTTTTGCTTGCACAAGTGGTTCTTGCTACAATGCTCGCACTCTTCGACTTATGCAAACCGAGGAGACCTTTGGGTGGACTCGAGAGCAGATCAGTGCACGCCCGAGACTGAAGGTTGATTGATTTAATTCGTTGAGTTCAGATCAGTTTGCGCAGGCTAATGAAAACTCAGCTATAGACCAATCAGCGCATGTGTTGTATTGTTGCTATTTAATAAAAGCGTATTTTCGTTACTTTTTTTCGTAAAATTTGGTTTGATGGACCGCCGTTTCACAACGGTAATATAATGTTACTAAGCCAATCAAAGTGCACTTGACCATGTCAAAAATGTTACTAAGCCAATCAAAGTGCACGTCAAATAATAAATAAAATTACTAAGTGAATAAATCATAAAAATCCTTCTGAAATTATCAACAAACCTCGTCAGCATGACCTGGTAGATCTTCTTCCAACTTTCTTGTTTTTACATTCCACACCTGACAAAAAAAAACTGTTACATAATGTACATGTTTTTCTGATGTTCTCCATCATGAAAGTTGTTCTTCTTTCGAAGATTGTAGGTAGTTACTTTATCTGACCCTTCCTGAAGTGTTATACTTACACTACGTGGTCTAAGTATAGCTATGTATGGCTAAGGCTTCCTACGTATAGCTATGTATGGCTAAGGTGTCCTACGTATAGCTATGTATGGTTAAGGCTTCCTACGTATAACTATGTATGGCTAAGGTGTCCTACGTATAGCTATGTATGGCAAAGGTGTCCTACGTATAGCTATGTATGGCTAAGGTGTCCTACGTATAGCTATGTATGGTTAAGGTGTCCTACGTATAGCTATGTATGGCTAAGGTGTCCTACGTATAGCTATGTACGGCTAAGGTGTCCTACGTATAGCTATGTATGGCTAAGGTGTCCCACGATAGCTATGTATGGTTAAGGTGTCCCACGTATAGCTATGTATGGCTAAGGTGTCCCACGATAGCTATGTATGGTTAAGGTGTCCCACGTATAGCTATGTATGGTTAAGGTGTCCTATGTCTAGCTATGTATGGCTAAGGTATCCCACGATAGCTATGTATGGTTAAGGTGTCCCACGATAGCTATGTATGGCTAAGGTGTCCCACGTATAGCTATGTATGGTTAAGGTGTCCCACGATAGCTATGTATGGCTAAGGTGTCCCACGTATAGCTATGTATGGTTAAGGTGTCCCACGTATAGCTATGTATGGTTAAGGTGTCCCACGTATAGCTATGTGTGGCTAAGGTTTCCTATAGCTATGTATGGTTAAGGTGTCCCACGATAGCTATGTATGGCTAAGGTGTCCCATATAGCTATGTATGGTTAAGGTGTCCTACGTATAGCTATGTATGGTTAAGGTGTCCTATGTCTAGCTATGTATGGCTAAGGTGTCCTACGTATAGCTATGTATGGTTAAGGTGTCCTACGTATAGCTATGTATGGTTAAGGTGTCCTATGTCTAGCTATGTATGGCTAAGGTGTCCCACGATAGCTATGTATGGTTAAGGTGTCCTACGTATAGCTATGTATGGCTAAGGTGTCCTACGTATAGCTATGTATGGTTAAGGTGTCCTACGTATAGCTATGTATGGTTAAGGTGTCCTACGTATAGCTATGTATGGCTAAGGTTTCCTACGTATGGCTATGTATGGCTAAGGTGTCCCACGATAGCTATGTATGGTTAAGGTGTCCCACGTATAGCTATGTATGGTTAAGGTGTCCTACGTATAGCTATGTATGGCTAAGGTTTCCTACGTATGGCTATGTATGGCTAAGGTTTCCTACGTATAGCTATGTATGGCTAAGGTGTCCTACGTATAGCTATGTATGGTTAAGGTGTCCAACGATAGCTATGTATGGTTAAGGTGTCCCACGATAGCTATGTATGGCTAAGGTGTCCTGCGTATAGCTATGTATGGCTAAGGTGTCCTACGTATAGCTATGTATGGCTAAGGTGTCCTACGTATAGCTATGTATGGTTAAGGTGTCCCACGATAACTATGTATGGCTAAGGTGTCCTACGTATGGCTAAGTATGGTTAAGGCTTCCTACGTATAACTATGTATGGCTAAGGTGTCCTACGTATGGCTAAGTATGGTTAAGGTGTCCTACATATAGCTATGTATGGCTAAGGTGTCCTAGGTATAGCTATGTATGGCTAAGGTGTCCTACGTATAGCTATGTATTGCTAAGGTGTCCTACGTATGGCTAAGTATGGTTAAGGTGTCCTACGTATAGCTATGTATGGCTAAGGTGTCCTACGTATAACTATGTATGGCTAAGGTGTCCTACGTATGGCTAAGTATGGTTAAGGCTTCCTACGTATAACTATGTATGGCTAAGGTGTCCTACGTATGGCTAAGTATGGTTAAGGTGTCCTACGTATGGCTAAGTATGGTTAAGGTGTCCTACGTATAGCTATGTATGGCTAAGGTGTCCTACGTATGGCTATGTATGGCTAAGGTGTCCAAGTATAGCTAAGATTGCGTAGGAAGGTGTTGCATGTGTTCCTTTATAACAAAATATTGATATACTTAAGGAAGAGTCAAATAAGATAACTACCAGATTGTACCTTCAGTGTACTATCCGCACTTCCACTGACCAGTAAACGACAGTCAGCCGACCACGCTATCTAAACAGTTAAGTTGAAACTGAAGATATAGAAAAAGTCCAGCAATCTTTAAGATGTACATTGCAGAGAAATGTAACACTGCTTTCTTATAGCATATTTTAACATCTTTTACTATCAACTACAACCAGTCTCCATAAACACTGTATATCTTACCTGGTATACTGAGCTCACGTGACCACGTAAAGATGTTAGAAACCTGAAGTACAATGAATATAAAACGTGCAGTGAAGACGTAAGGAAAGAAAAAAATGAGCTCAGGAATGATTGGATGATAAAATTAATCTTATATAACTGGAACATTTAACTGTCACTGACATATTGCTCTCCCTCTGTGTGGAATGAATAATTCAAATGTCAAATGCTGTCGCGATGCTAGTGAAAATTAAATTTTAAATAGCTCGTACTTTCCAGAGTTTCCATCCCATAATTTAATGGATTTATCAAAAGATGCGCTTGCAATAATTCGACCGTCAGGCGAGAACAGAACTTCATTGATCAAAGCTTGATGACCTAAAAACAGTTTGTGGTTTTTGAAAGCTTCGGCAATTTTTATGACACGAGACAAAACGACTGCTTTGTTTTAAATATACAATGGCCAGAACGTCACAAAACGTATAATACGCTATCTCTTTTGTCATGAAATGGATAAAGCGTAGAACGCGTGCTTTGGTCTTTTTTGATATTCTTTTATTCATTCTTTATAAATTAAGTCTATTCTACGCAACATACTCCAGATATACGTGTTTGAACGTAAAATTTGGCTTCATACAAGAACAGTCATGTTTAAACATTAAGTTATACAATCTAATCACAGGAAAAAACTAATTTATCCCCACCTGTCATTCTTGCTAATGGTTTTTTACTCTCTCCAGGCTCCCAGAGAAACAGAGTGAAATCATCCGAGCCTGAAACAAGTTTTTCACTTTTTCCTCCCTTAAATGCAAACACAATAATCAAGCAATCAAAGACGTATGCTAGCTATGTAAAATAAACAATCATGTATAACACCCCCCCCCCCACACACACACAAACAAAACCCTACTTTCTGAGCACCTTTAGTTCAATATATCTTTTAATAGCTCTCTGTTTTAGTTCGTCTTGATGGATAGATTTTGAACATGGCAAACTTTCATTGTTTGGGATGTTGATTGGGTCAAAAGCACCAGTTCTTATTGCATAGTCTGTATTCAAGGCCATTGTGTTCACCTAATTGAAGATGGAAGTTTAAAATAACCAAAAAGCCTTTTTTTGTTGTTTCATCCAACAATGAATCACTCAACTTACCCAATGACCATGCCCTTGAAGTGTACGACACAACATTCCCTGTTTGATAATTTGAATAATGATCATCTAAAGGTTTTGGCTTTCAAAAAAATTAGCTGTGGCTATGAAAACATCGCCTTACAGTGTTTGCTGTCCAAACTTTGATAGTTCTGTCCTGTGATGCAGTGTAAATTAATCCTTCTCCACCCCATTTTACAGATGTCACTGATTGCACATGACCAGATAATGTCATTGATAGTTTACTGGCTATGGTATTCCATATTTTGACAGTGCAATCCTAGTAATATAAACAAATGTTAGCCATTGTTTATAAAGAAATATAAGCCGTTATTCATGACAGCCAGCAAACTTTATCACACTCTATCAAAACCTTTCCTATATATGCTTGAGTGAGCATACCTTAGAACTGCTAGCCAACATTCGACAAGGATTTCTAAAAGACATAAATAAAACAATGAAACAGAAAATAATGTTTTACCAGCATGTGTTACCTAAGGATGATATAATACCTATGCAATGGCTCCCAACTTAATGCCGTGATCCATTGACGATGACCTTTCAAACTTTTCCCAAGCTGCAAACCTGTTTTTGGGTCCCACAGAATTATCTAAAACACATTAAAGTTTTATGTGACCTCTTGAGTTTACATTAAATAAAATGAGAATGAAAGAAATTACTCTTTTGTTATTGTACAAACCATACCTCCCCATTTTTACAGCCAGATGCTAATTTGGTCCCATCACATGACCAAGCAATACACAACACCCAATGCCTGTGACCTTGGCAAATGAACTGTGGTGTTTCTGTTGTCAAATCCCAAAATCTAACAGTTGTATCCCCGGAACCACTAGCCAGATATCTACAATGTTCACAAAGTTAATAAACTGCATATAGAATAAAACCTTTTGAAGATTGTTACTACATAAAATTTTCATCTTATTGCAAACCTTCCACATGGACTAAATGCAAGTGAAATGACTGCCTCTGAATGACCTATGAACACAAAATTTAAGGAAAAAAGAAAGTCCTTTGTCATCAATTAAACATACAAATCACCAAAAAGCATACCTGCAATGGTGCTTGTGCACCTACTGACAGCACGAACACGGAAGACCGCTTGCGGTTGGTATACAATCTCAACCATTTTCTCAGTTTCCATAGTTTCCGGCTGCATGACATCATCAATGCTGTTTGTAATTTCACATCCATTGATGAAAAATGAATACACCATATCCTTGTCCTAATTGAAGTGGAATGAATTAATTTAAGTATTTCTTAATGCAGTCTATACTGTCCTCTCTCCCCTGATGCCCATGAGATGTGAGTCCTTAAGGGGGGATGGTAAAGAAAAAAACAATTCACTAATAAACATCAAATGAAAAAGAAAAACAAATACCTGAGAAAGCAAAGCCTGGCAAACTAGTTGTAATTTATGAGCAGTTGTATCCAGTGGCAAGTCAAATGGCGTCCCAACGAGGTCACCATTTTCGCTTTTAAATTGGGCTAGAATTCGTCTTGTATCACCAGAAGTCATTATCTCTTTTTGTATATTTTTCGATAAAATGATGAGAATTTTGATTTAAAATAACCGACAAAATAATCTTTCAATTCATTGTAGCTCACACAGTCAACTTGACAACTTCTTTCTGTACAACGTGTTTCTCGTGACATGCGCAAACTGTCAATCAATATGGCCGCCAAACGTTGGATATCTGGTCAAAGATTTTTATCAATTGAGCGAACACTTCAGCGAGGTTTGTGGAAAGCACCTTCACCCAGCATAGTGTTTATGCAGCCTTTGAATACATATAGTCCATTTAAAGCGGAATCCGTTAGAAAACAACTATTCAATGAGAAAAAAAACTTTAAACTTAATGATGAAGAACATCAACCTATTTCGAAATCGAAACCGTTGGATGTATTTGTAAACAGGAATCCGAAAAATCCGGAATATTTTGGGTATAATAAACAACGTGGCTACTCTACACAGTATAAGAAACGCAACTTTTACAAAAGGTTCGTAATGAATTAATCATTTAACCCTGACTTTGGATCCAGTCTGAGCCTCTCAGTAACGTTATGGTGTTAAATGATGGCTAATGAGTTACATCATTGCAGGTTAAACCTCTTGCTAAGCCATCGACATGTTAAGGCTTATGTTGAGGATCAAAAAGGGAATATTTTGGTCAAAGCTTCAACAGCAGAGTTTGAAATTCGGCAACACCTTTACAAAGCGAATGATGTATCTGCTGCAACAAATATTGGTAGAGTTATAGCTGAAAGATGCATTTGTGCAGGATTAAACAGGGTATCAATGTACACTACTGATTTACGTAAGAAGGAAAAGGTGCTCTATCAATCAATTTGTCCTATTAAACCTTCAGTTTATTGTAACTTTAATATTTTAACATTTTTAGTATAAGGGATTTAGAAAAGCAATAACTAATGCTGGTATCCAACTGACTGAACCAGCCCGAGTAGTTCCACCTGAATCATTCTACACAGGTTTGAATAACAGTGCAGTGTTAAAATAAATAATGAAGCAGAAAATTACTTTTATTGCTTTCATTTTATAGAAATATCTGTGAGGAAAAAACGTAGAGGAATAATTGGCATGAAAATGAACAATTCCACCAAGAAAAAATTTACCTAGATGACAGTTACAAACTCAACAACTCACATTTATTTTTAAATTTGTATATTTGTTCTACCTTTTCTATCAGACAACACGCTTCACCTCAAAAAATCGTTTTAAATAATAAACTTGTCCAACCGACAAGGCTATAAGAACAAATGATTCAAAGAATGACCACCAAACAACACGAGTGTTTGTATTATCATTGACTAAAAAAGCAGATTGGAAAATGGCATTTAGTCAAAAGCACAAAACATACAAAACAGAAACTTTAATTTTATCAAGTTTAAAACTCTTTCATAATGTTAACTCACTTTCTCTGTGTACTTTGTCACGAACTTCCATATATTCTTGTTCATGTTTCACACCAGCAAGGACTGTTGATAATTCTTCAACCATTTTGTTTAACTTATCCTGATGTTCTACATGACATATAAGATTTGTGACGATAAATTCTCTTTGGCAACAAACTGCATTCATGATTAATAACTAGTAGTGGCCGATCATCCAACCTGGAATATCTACATTTACAAACATGTAACGATATTCCCGGGTTCAAACCATTTACTTTAACTAGTAGTGGGCTAATGAGTGAATATAAACAAAAGTTGACCGAAAAGTAAAAAGTTACTATGCTTCTCCATACTCAAATACAATATACATGCTATGTTTTTCATTAGATGTTTCAGATTACAATCAATGATCGATTGGTAGAGCATTTATGCCACAACCACTAAATTGCCATTGAAATCCTGCTCAATTCCCACCAATAAAAAAATTCTTACCTTCACCTTTCTTCATTTGATCATGTGGAGGCTCACCAAACTCCATACTAAACTTCAGTAATTTCTGTTCCATAGTTGATACCTTATTACTGAAACAATATTTATAGATACCATCTGTGTATGCAGCAAATGTGTACTTTCCACTGTCCTCTTTTTCTCCAGAATAAATAATCTTTTGATCTGGGCCAGTTATCTATGAAAACATAGAATTTTACCATATATCGTTTTCCTTTCAATCAATTCATTGCTTTGGTAATGACAAGATATTTGCTCTGTTGTTTCAGCAAAATATAAGTCTTTTTCCATCAGATTGTAAATATTGCTATGCAATAGTAAAAACCAACGTCTCAAACAATTTTAAAATACATACAAGTAACACAACTACAAAACTGTACTTCTACTTACAGTAACATCGATGTCTCTTAATCCACCTTCCACAACTTCAAACAGTAATCCCATTTTCGTCCCTGAGACAACTTTATCATAGAAACACTCCTCATCATACGGCTCAACGGTAATATAATAACCAAACGTTAAAATTGGTAAAAATATACATAAAAGTAAATAACTTAGCATCTTGTCAGCCATATTGAATTAGGAGTCACGTGGTTTCACAAAAGAACGCCACGTCATGACTCTGTGGAAACGCAAAATTCAACAAAACCTCGCTTACAAAGAATTAATTGAACGCAATTATAAAATTAACTCGCGCATATAAATCAAAGACCTCGAAAATATTTCTGCAAAACTTATACTTTTATTCAAATCTTTCATTTCATTAAAGCACGACAGCATCAATAGCCATGCAAACATACAGTGACTTGGCCAGTTTGCAACATAAAATGTAAAATTTCAGAACACTATGATAGTTTTCATGAAATTCAAACATATAAAGAGAAAACAAAGAAAAATATTGCAAAGCTGAACTAAAAATAGCTGGCTATGCTACCAAAAACATGCAAATATTTGCAAGCCCTATCAGTAGTATGAAAATGACAAAATTTGAAAGATGCTAAGAATTCATGGTGATTTTCTGTGAAATATTTTAAAACACAAAAATGTGGGCAACAATTAGACATGCTCTCCAAATTTAGAAAAAATAAGTAAGAAACACAGCAGGCAACACAAACCAGGTGATTTGGTGAACAGGAATAGAATAAACAGTCTTATAGACATCATTTTTGTGTAAATGATGAAATTTAAGATGAGTTTACCATGAGAGATGTAAATCATGCATGCATGTCAATGGAGAAATAAAATCTTCATAAGGTCTTTATTTATGCAGCCTTGATATGTTAGAAGGGAGCCAAAATAAATGATACTCTCCATCATAAATATCTCAATTTGATAAGAGCCCTATATAACCCTGCGTACTTCAAAGAAATGTTTGATGTAATACACCTGACCAATGGCCATGCCAATGATTAAGATGAATTCAAAAAATGACCACCAACTCACAATTTGATTTGTGTGTAAATTAACTAGAAAATACAAAAAATACAAAATATTATACTGAACTTCTATCTTGTCAGGAGATGCAAAATTTTTCATGGACTTATTATTGTGATGTAATTTCACTGAACAGAGTTGGCAAAGATTTCTTTATGTACTTACTATTGTGATGTAATTCCATTCTTACTTCATACTGTTCTTGTTTACGTTTAGTTTTAATCACTCCAATACTTAACTCTCCAATCAATTTCTCAATTTCTGACACTAGAAAAACACAAACTTACTTTTGAAATGTGTTTCCATCCTGACATTCTGCTTTACTTGAGTACGTCTTAACTTCATTAGTTCAACACTTAGTTCACCAACAACTTTGTCTACTTCTGTATATAAATGATATAACATACCAATAAGTTTAATTAAGTTACTCTAATTAAAGCAATTCTTCTGAAAAACCCACCATCAAGACTTCCAACAATAATCAGGCTAGGTTGTGATTAGGAATTGGGTTTGGGTCAGCTGGTCAGGCATGCAGGTAAATAAGTATGCGGCAGGGTATTAGTTTACTTGAACATAAATATTTAGATATTCACTGATCTTTACCTGTCTTGTTTTGACCACCTTCACCTTCATCAAATCGTTTTTCATCATTCAAAAAGTCAAACATAAAGTAAACTGACTTTGGCACTAACGAGGACTTCTGATTGGCTAAACAAAATACATATTTGCCCTCTTGTTCAGCAGTAAAAAAATAGGAATCATCTGTTTTCTTTTCTTGTCCATACATCTGATTGCCATCCGGGGCTGTTAACTGGAAGTAAAAAGACAACAAGTCACTCACACAACACTTTGTCATAACTTTTTTAAAAGAGCCATAGTAATTGACGAGAGGATGGGTTTGTAATCTTGATTTCAAAGAAAACAACAGACCTTAGCATCTATATCGAGAAATCCACCTTCTGAAACTTCATACAAGAACCCCCAAACTTGTCCTCTCTTAATATTCTCGTGATAACACTGCTCCTCGTACGGTTCAATAGTCGTAAAAAATGCAAAAGAAAACCCACAATACAAACATAAAACGGCCAATACACAATAAATTAAGCTTTGGAAAAGTTTTAAAATCATTGTGAAGTCATATATCACAGTGATATGACTAAAATATCGACGAAAATGCCACGTTGTTTTAAAGCTTTGTTCAATTCAGGGCTCTCCAATTCAAGTCAATGGTCAGAGTCAGAGTTGTTATGGAAATTCCCTACACTGGCGTTACATATTCCTTAAAAGACAATATAATTCCTTGCAATAATGAAAACTGGAAAAAATCAGAGTTTAATTTTGAATGAAGCAGAGATAGTGCTTTAAAAGCTCAAATATTAAAAAAAAAGGGTCAAAATCCAACCAAATGGATAAAAAATCCTACTTCTAAACATCAGCTTTAGTAAATCAACAAATTCATAAGCAATAAAATTGTTTTTATTAAAAACACTGTAGCCAGAAGATTAGAAAATCTACATAGGGTAAAAGACTATTATGGAAAATTAGATTAAGACATAAGGAAATTTCCGAAAAACGAGAGCTTGAGAAAAGAAATAATGTATTTACAACAGACATTTGCCAAAAATTGCAAGAACTTCGGTTGCATGTTTGTCGGAAAAGAAAAAGTGTTAGTTGCTAAGTTAATAGCAAAAAGTACCAAAAAGTACTTCATGGTAAAGCATTAAATGGCCACCACACTTTGTTTGATCACTTCTCAAACGTGGAAAATACAACGATGAAGTTACTTCTAAAACTGTTCTCGTCCTTGGTGGTACTACTCAGCTATGAGCTATGGTACTGCAGAACAACTAACAAGGAAGTACAACAAGGAAGTTCTGCTCTGACATGTTGACTTCATTCGATAATGTAAATAACAAGAAATTGTTGGCGACGGAAATAATTCCCACCAAATTCATAAAACTTCATGTTATGAACTTTATGTACACTTAGGGGTGTCTTTGTAATTGTCCTCGAACTAGTATAGAATTCATAATAGCCTGATTGATGGTTTACAATAAATATTTAATCAAATTGAAAACCTAGTGTTGAAAAAATAAATTTTCGTGACATGACATAACCAGGTGTATAAATATTTTTCTCGCTGGCATCAAAACCTAATAATTCTTCAATGATATGAAGGAATATAAGCAAGGCATGTCGGTTTCGCCAGGCATGGCAAGCTTTGCAGGACAAGAGGTGCTTGTTTTAACAGGTGTTTTTATCGTTGTTTAACAAGCAAAAAACTACTGAAGCAAAGCGTGGCGTTTCGTCTTCACGAATAAGTTAATAATGTCATAAAAAATATTTACGACATCAAGATCCGTGTCTTCAAATACAAGCAAAAAAACGTCCAAGCAGGCAATGGACATTCCAGCATTTCTTTCGTATCTGTTGATTATAAGTGATGTTGTTGTTGCAGGTATATTCTTGTTGTTCACATGAGCCGATAGCGTGTGGCTTTGAATGAACAAAGTAAACAAAGTAATGCCGATCTTCTTCATTAATTTACGTATAGTAATAACCCATTTCTATAACGAATGGCTAACAGACTATTGGACTAAATTACATATAACCCAAGAACACAAAGTCCTACGGTATAAAACATTGCAGATACTGTACATTTCCAATCACAAACGAGAAATACTTTACGCCTCCGTGAGAATCAATGTACTTGCTGTAGCAAGGGTTATGGGTAGCACTTGCTTATAGATAAACCCTGTATAGTCTTCAATGTATTATTTGAAGTGGAATTGCTACCGTTGCTCCCACTTGCTGACACTTATCGAAGCCAAATAAACTTGTCAAATTTTTTTTCTTTCTTCTAGTTAATCTATCAGAAAGCTACGAAAAATTTTTCACTACAGACGCGAGGAGCGCGACTAACAGAAAGTTAAATCACAGCGCAATGGGCATTAGTACATTAGCCAAGTTTTCTATGCTAAGTAATACGCCAACAAATTTTAAAGTCCGAAGGCCTGGTCTCAGCAATATTGTGAATACCTTGTCACTGGAATCATTACACAAGCCCGGGTTTTATCTCAGAAATAAGGATGATAAATTTTACATGGAAAAGAATGACGGGATGGATTCGTTCAGTATGTAAAACTTAACCTTTTAACAGTGCTGGAAAATTACTTGAGAATTAAGTACGAAGATATCGAAGAGTATGCTTACGTGATTCTATATATTCAGGAGGGACGGGATGCACGTCGACATCACGTTCTTAATACAAATTTCATTTAGATAATCTCCTCACGTATACCGTGAAGACAATATCCCAGCCTTTACTAACTAAATATTACAACACTAAGAAAAGAAATTTGTCATGTAAATCGTCAATTCAGTAAGCAGGGAATTTATCGGATAAGCATGTGACTTGAGACAAAGTGCTATTCTAGTTACACGTAGATTAAAATTTTACGTTCATTTGAACACACGTCAAGTTCCTCATCCCAGCTCACCGCATGTATTATATACTCTAAGACAACTTCTTTCGTAGAAACCGACTCAACATTTCGGGAACGTTTGGGACCAAACGGTACAGCATATGAACTTCTGGGTCGGGACAACTGGTTTATGTGTCATACAAATACCACGCCATACACATTGAAAGCGCAGCAGCAGAAGATTGGGACTCCGGATTTTATCAATAATTGTGTTTACATTCCAGTAAATCAAGTAATGGCCGAAAGAAAAAATACAGTCAACACTCTTCCAACCGAAAATCAAAGATGTCAAATAATCTCCAAACTACGGAAAACACAGGTGCATTTACACTCGTTTTATCTTGGTGTGTTGGTCTCACTGACTCCCTTCGGACGATACATGACAACTGAGTGTTTCACCCTCTCCCCAAAGAAAATAAATAAGGACTAAGAGTTTCGACCATTCTTTCTAGAAGATGAGGAATGAGAGTTTGAACAACATTTTTTAGAACTCGTTCTAGAAAATAGATGGAGACTAAGGGTTTCACAAACTTTTTCAAGATAGATGGAGATGTAGAGTTTCACAAACAATTTCTAGAAAATAGATAGAGATTAAGGGTTTCACAAACTTTTTCAAGATAGATGGAGATGTAGAGTTTCACAAACAATTTCTAGAAGATAGATAGAGATTAAGGGTTTCACAAACTTTTTCAAGATAGATGGAGATGTAGAGTTTCACAAACAATTTCTAGAAGATAGATAGAGATTAAGGGTTTCACAAACTTTTTCCAGATAGATGGAGATGTAGAGTTTCACAAACAATTTCTAGAAAATAGATAGAGATTAAGGGTTTCACAAACTTTTTCAAGATAGATGGAGATGTTGAGTTTCACAAACAATTTTAGAAGATAGATAGAGATTAAGGGTTTCGTTAACAATTTAAATAGATTAGATTAGGACGAAGAGTTTCGCAATTAATTTCTAGAACATAGATGGAGAAAAAGAGTTTTACCAACTTTTTCTAGAAAATAGACAAGAAGAATTTCATTTCACCAACAATTACTAGAAGAATAACAAAATGTATGGGCATTAAGTGTTTCACCAAATCTTTCCAGAAGATAGATGGAGAGTAACGATTGCATCGTAAAAACCATCACTATTTTTCTTTAGATAAATGCATTAATATACGATTTATGAACAATCTTGGGGGACCTGTTCGAGTGGCATCTAGCCTAAAACCAGAAGGATACTTAGTCACTACCAACGCCTTTAAACTAAAAATAATATTCAAACACGCAAATCACAAACAGCGTCACGTGATATTCTACGCTGAGAACATTGAAGATAGAGATGATGACGTCATGCTGAATGACAAGAACGTGTTTACGGTAAAGCCACATGCGTGTGAAGAAGACTTTAAGGACGTGATGTTATCTTCAGGGTCACACGAGCAGAGTATGGAGTATTTTAGCATTGTATAGTTATTGTCAAAAACCTGCGCTAGTTAATAACATTTTTTTGTTAGATTCATCTTCAAGTTATAACATTCAAACAACGTCAACGCCAAGCAATGTGGCCACACAAGCACCAATCTCACATGAAACAGTATCGCTCTCGACCTCAGATTATCATCCCATAGATCATCCGGATGTTTCAAAAACACTGCAAGAAACATCTTACAACGCTGTAGGAAAACCGAGCAGTTTTGACATGCATCCGATGTTTCAAGACACAGCGCAAGCGAAAGCAGTAAAACTACCTATCAAAGATACTACTAATGATAATGTACTTAACTCCACTCCAAAACAACAGGCGCCAGCGATGACATCAGGATCTTCAGCGGTATATAAGGACATGTCTAATACAGTTCCATTTCAGGGCTACAACAGCCTGACTAAAACATCTCACGAGATCGGACTACCACAGCAGCCTGCGTTGGTAACCGCTGGACATCTTGAGCCACGTTTTCTACCGAGCTACATTTCTCCGCTAAAAGAACAAATACAAAAGATAATTGAGACACAAAAAAGACCAGTTACTAGTGATACTCCATTATTCTCACCGAAGAGCGATATATATTTACCTTTTGCTTCAGGTGATGGCTTCGAGACATGGTCACCGTTTAGTTCCTGTAGTGTATCGTGTGGGGTTGGTACACGTCAACGGACGAGAATATGTAGGACTGGTAACAAGTGTTATGGTTCAACTTTTGAGACAGAACCTTGCATCAATGAACAATGTGCTTGTAAGTTTTCATCACACTGCAGTATAAAAGTCATGTAAACAAAAGTACGAATCATTTCACGAATATTTCGTATTTCAATATGTACCTTGTATTTTCCATTGCAGCAAATTGCATTCACACAAATGGAGGAACTGTGCGGGATGGATCTTGTTGTCACTTTCCGTTTTCCTACAATGGTGAACGGTATTATCATTGTATCCTAAGTCTGAAGAACAACAACGAGATGTGGTGTGCGACTACACCATATTTTGAGCAAGACAAACTTTGGGGATATTGTTCTAGTTCAGGTAACACACAATGACCAACGACGAACCTCGATAGACAAGTAGTTCTGTTGTCAAACACGAAAGCTGAAGGTAGTCGATAACTAAAAATTGGCAGATGATAGATAGTTGTCGTTTGTCAACCTCTAAACAGTTGACGTTTTGTCAGGGCAATTGAAATTTTGATCGTTGAAATTTTGACCGTTTAGGTTACCGTTTAGGTTTAAATTGATGGCTTTTAGTCCTCCACGATTAATAAAGCGCAAACAAAACACACGAGTTTCTGTTTTTCGTAGAAAACATGGTACTTATAGAGTAGAGAAATATTAGTGAAAGTCAGCGTTAAATGTAGCTAGTATTATATTGACAACAACATCGTCGATCTTTGAGACCCTAACCAAGCAAATGAAAATGAAAATATCACATATAATATCAAATATCTTACGCATTACTTGTAGCCGAAGCACGAATTCGTTCATTCAAACAACCCCCGCGACCAACTGAAACCTTTTCACACCCCACACCAGCAAACGTCAACACGCTAAATAAATACCACAACAGTCCCAACATGATCCATGATGACAGCTATATCCCATGTGGTACTATGTGTTCCAGAGTATGTTACGTGTCATGTCCTAAACATTGTTGTTTATCAGTGATTGCTGATCTTCCCTACAATGCGGTAAGTTTGTTTTTCATTTAAAACAGAGTGATCAATGTTGCAAAAGGGAAAGGTGCAATGACATTTAATTCTACTCTGAAAAATATAACACTGACAAGAATTACACCATTTGTATAAAAGACCAGTAAAGGCCCGTTCACACGATCAGATTTGTCGGATCCCGATTTCGTCGGATCCTCAAAAACCGATCATGTGAACTCGTATAGAGCACCCGACAGTCGGATTCATTGGCGCAAGAAATTAGATTTGAAAACGACTTGAAAACAAGGGAAAATACGCAAATATAACGATAAATGTACTGGACAAGACAATGGCTGCTCTCAAGACTACAAATATCTTAACGAATATGATTGTCAACAAAACTATCTGACCATCTGAATAAGTAACCAGTCAGATCCGAAAAATCAGATCGTGTGAACGAGCCTTAAGTCAGAACTAACGTTAGTTTTCTCGTCCATTTTTAGTACATCGGTGAAAATTATGATGTCAATGATAAAAGAAACGAAATCTACCAACATTAATAATGAAGATCTATCAAGGCTTTACATCGACCCACACATAACTTCATCAAGCAAAACATGATGTCATCTGACAAAACATGATGTCATCTGACAAAACATGACATCATTAAGTAAAACATGATGTCATTAAAAGTTGATCTAGCATCATACACCAACTATAGAACATAAAATGTCAAACAGAAATATAGAAGGCAATAAAGATATTTGAAATTTATTAAAAAAACATATAGCTGAAAACAAATAAGGTATTCAAGAATGGATTTAAAGGAGTGTGCAGCTCTTCAATCCTTGGTTAGATGGAGGAGCAAAAGTGGTATAATAAAGAACCCTCTCAAAGAGACTATTTTGGATCCATTCCTGAAGCAAACCATTGCCTAAGAGAGTGGAATTATGTTAATATATAACAAAGATTCGACTGCCAAGTATAAAAATGAGATAATCATCTCTATTGTATCCAAGCATACCCACCAGCTTAAGAGAGGCACTAGCTTTTGTGCATATTCAAGAAATATTGTTAGAGTAATGGAAGAAGTAGAATATCAATGGCAGATGAGGAAAAAATACATACAAAAAAGTTATAGCAAATGTATAATTAATTTACTGATGTTATATGTTCTTGGACTAAATTTTCTAGGGTATAGAAAAATGCCACAACTTTAGCCAGACCAACTTTGTTCAGCCTTAATTTTTCGCCTCAAGTACATAAAATGACAGATAACTCAATGTAAAACAAAGGCTCAGGAAACCATGGAAGAGTGGGTAGCCTTAAATGAAGGACACATAAATTTACATACTTGCTTGACTATTGTGCGTGATCTCGTAGTGAATAGGGAACAACAACCGTTTTATAAGTTTCCAAAGCCCCTCATGTAAACAAATACTCAACAATGAACCAAAGTCAACTCTACCTTCATTGACCATAATCCACCTGCCATCTGCCACTTGCTGTTTACCAGTGAACAACTCCGGTTTAATTCACCATCAATGTTGTCTCCATGTTCTTACGGTAATTTTCACCTTTTCCTTTATTAAAAACCATACTAATATAAGTCTGCAAAAGTCTTTTTGTTAAACGTAGGCACAATGAAAAGGTTACCGAGACATATGCATTGAGTTCTATAATAACTATGCAATGGAAATGACGGAACGTTACTTTACGAAACATTCCGAAGTTACCGAGAGTTAACGAGCTTACGCAATTACGAATATAAACTGCAAACTACTAAGTATGCCATTCCAGATCTTGTTATAATGAGAAGTCTGGGTGCATATTTAACATGAAAGAAAATACTATTATCAACTTTGCATCTTATTCCTGCATTGCTTCGTTTCACTAAAGCTTTGGAACATTGCTATAATTCTGATACATCGTGTAGTCATCGCTCTTCTGACAATTCAAACGATAGAACTACCAGAATGGAGGAAATTATTGGCGTTCTTATGGCAAAGATAACGACGATCTCATTAGCCAATTGAAAAATTATGGAATCATTACGAGTGATGAAGTTGAGAAAGCCATGAGAAATGTGGATCGTGGCAACTATTGTCCTCGTACACCATACCTAGACTCACCACAACCCATTGGTTATGGTGTTACCATCAGTGCACCTCATATGCATGCACATGCACTGGAAATCTTGAAAGACCATATCAAAGATGGAAGTAAAGTACTTGATGTTGGCTCAGGTGCAAATTATGTTGCATGTTTACACAAAGGTACAGTAATGAATTTCACTAATAAACATATGTGATCTTGTTTACAGGAAGTGGATATCTATGTGCTTGTATGGCTGAAATGGTTGGTAAATCAGGCAAAGTTATTGGCATAGATCACATAAAAGAACTTGTGAACTTATCTAGAGACAATATCCTCAAAAAGGACAAGTATCTCCTTGATGGTAAAGTGAAATTAATGGTTGGTGATGGTTGGAATGGTTGCCTTGATGGTAAGTAAATTATCAATTGATTTAAGCTAATAATAAGAGTTAAAAATATTTTGTTGCTAGAGGCTCCTTTGATGCTATCCATGTTGGAGCCGAGCAGCTTCAATACCCAAGGCCTTGATAAACCAATTGAAGCCTGGAGGACGTTTGTTTATACCAGTTGGTGCAGAGCATGGGAACAATATCTTGAACAGATTGATAAGCAACAAGATGGAAGTATCACAAGGAAGAGGCTGATGGAATGCGTTATGTACCTTTAGTTAACAAGGAACAAAGTTAATATTAACTTTTTCCAAACACTTTGTAAATATTGAAATAAATTACTTGTTCGAGAATAAAGGTTAACTTGGGTAAATCTTTATTATAACATAATTAAAACTGTGTAAATTTTGTACAAATTTTTCACATCAGGAAAGAAACTAATATTCTTTAGGTTTGCTGATGTATTGGTACTCACACTGTATGTTCAAATGATTATTAAGAATCAAACTAAATAAGACTTTGAAGTTTACCATTGAATCAGTTGAATGTATCAGTATGAATGGCCAAATAAACACACTCAAACTTTAATTGAGTGTTGTGGAAGTGTGTGACCTTGTTTTATGACATCACCATTGATGACATCATCATTTTCAACATCATCATTTACAGCATTTACGACACCATGATTTATGGCATCATCATTTAGGGCATCATCATTAAAGTCGCTTTACAATGTTTACATTGCCCTCATCTTTATTATTTTCAAGGGAGTCATCATCATCTTGAGAAAGTAGAGTTCTATTTTCTTCAGTAAGACCAGTAACAACTGCCTGTACTGCAGCTCTGTCTTTAATCAAATAAACTGAAGCAATAAGAAAACATGCTCCCCTAAACAAGTAACAAAAGGCATTAAGAAGAATGCATAGAGCATCCACTGATGTATCTCTAGCAATGCTAATCATAACCCAATTGTCTTGTAACTTTGGATACTCACCAAACCAACAATATATGGACTTCCAGCATCACCTAAGAGATGGGAAACTAACATCTGTGATGCATTAGCTGTCGCGATATGGAGCAGGAATGACAGCTAGCAAAATGTCAGCAACAGGACACCATGTGAGAAAAAGCAACGTTTCTCCAAAAAATAGCAGTACCTGCAAATGAAAACCAGTCACTATATCTATTATACCAAAATTATTCACAATGCGAGAAAACTATCTTCGCAAGTCAAATTCAATCACTTATGAGGTTTTAACAAAATAAAAATGAATTACTTAATAGCAGTAAGACCAATTAATGCAATGACCACTTACATAAGAAAGATATATATATTTTGATGCCAGTATTAAGTTGAAAAATAAGAATGGAATGCTAGAGAGAAGACCAAATGCACACACTAGTGCATCAGAGTTTGGGTATTGACTTCGTATCGGTGACAACTCAGCACCAATAGCAACTCCAATGAAGCCAGCAGCACATGTAATCCCTCCAAAGACTAGACTGATGTTCCTGTTATCAATGAAAGATAAAATACCAATTATGCTATCCAATTGGAAACCTCCAAATCTCATAATTCATAAGCATACTTGTCATTTTCTGTTATTTCTTTGTTATAATATACTGACTGTGAATAACCTACAAATACAGGTGCCCACCAAGCCATCGCACCTGTTACAAAACTCATTAACGTAAAGCCAACTGTACTCAGATATATGTCTTGCTGAAAAAACAAATTGAATAAGAACAATGACAATAAGCACAATAGATTCCAGATAAAACATCAGATTTTGAAATATGCATAATGACTTTCAGATGAAACTAAACCAAATAAAATGAGCATTTTTGATTACTATAAAACTTAACTATTATATTTACACATATTTTTCTGAAAAAATTCACAATCTTATTTTTAACTGATGTGAATTCTGAACCCCAGTTTACATAACTAAACTTTAATTATTGTCATAATTTGCATACCATCGTAAAATATGTTTCATGTCATCAAACCATGAATGCTGGACCATAACATCTTGAGCAACTACATCTACTTGGCTTCTCTCAATTTGCCCACGTTCTGGTTCCACAACAAACACAAGTGCCACAAGAATAAGTACAACACCAAGGATTGGCGTAACCTAAAAATTGGCCAAGTGACAAAGATCAGAATAACTTAATGTAAGAACATTTTGCCATGTCAAATGGCTCACTCTAAGACCCCACTGCCATGCTCCAAATGCCGTAGATACTTTGGATCCAACAACATAACCCAAACCACTAAAAAAAAAATAAAATGAAGACATTTATTAGCATTATAAAAAGCAAAAATGTTTGTCGCAAAAAAAGATAATCCTATACATAATTATAGGAATAATAAGAAATTCCAAAATAGTTCATAAATTCTTTTGCATAGAGCTCTATTGAACAGGTTACAAGACAGAAATAAACAATATGACCTAAATAATTAAAAGCAAACTCAGCTTTAATGACAAAGAAGCTGAGACGTCAAATGAGGGAAATTTCAATGATATTTTCAGGAAACACTGATTGGGCATATGATAGCATTTTGTTTTATGCATTTCATCAATAATATGACCAGAAAGGAAAGTTCAAACTGCACAACCCAGATCCTGGCTGCACAATTTTGAGTTAACTAACTTTTTACACATGCAAATTTTATATCTCGGGTGCATAGTTTACAAACTTTCTACTCAGGTACACTTGCCAAATAACTTTCATCACAGACAAAATGCTAACATGATCACTCTCTACTTACAAATAAACATTTAAGGTCATCATTACATGCAAACTAAAGCCAACACAATTGATACCAAATATGAGATAATTTCCTACCTTCCCACAGGAATTGCAAAGTAAAACAAAGCAAGCATATGAGTTCGTTTGTCACCAACAAACAGATCAGCAATGATTGTCGATGATACAGTGGAATAACTTGCTTCACCAATGCCAACAAGACCACGACAAAAGAAAAAAGCCCAATATTGCTGAAAGAACATTTACTTGAATTTAATGAAACATTCCACATTTTGATACATCACGGCAATTAGGCATATACTCACTTTTCTGGTAACAAAAGTACTAAGAAAAGTGGTGCAAGACCATATTGTGAGGCCTATTAACATGATCACTTTTCTATTATATCTGTCCCCAAAATAACCACAGATGGGTGCAAAGATCATGTAAAATACAATGAATACTGTTTGGAGTAAACCAGCTTTACTGTGATCAATATGGAAATAATCTTGGATTTGTTGAAGGACCCCTGAAATTAGTAAGACACAAATGATTAAGAGTCTAATACAATATGAAATAAAGGAAGCAAAATGAAAGTTTAACCAATAACTCTAGCTATGAAAAAGCCGCCTTACCTGCCACTGTGAAGCGGTCCATGTAATTGAGAAGATTGATAAGAAACAAAATAAAAACAGTTATATAAGCACGTCTTATGGAAACTCGAGGCATAATGACTGCTTGCATTTAATTTCTGATTACATTTGTGCTTTTGTTCACATTTGACGAAATCAAACGTACCCACGAAGCACGAGCCCACAATCATAACATTACGACATGACTATCACGTGACTATAAATATATAATAATCATATAATTTATAACATTTCTTTTATAGTATTATTTATATGTTCATTACTGACATATTATTTTGCTGATAATGATCTTTATTACAATAAACTTTTCACATCTCATTATTAAAATTTTATACGTACAAATAAAATTAACTTATTTCAAAAATAATCTAATTTTGAGATAAAGTAAATGGTTTGAACCCGGGGTATCGTTACATGTTTGTAAATGTAGATCGTCCAGGTTAGTTTTGCCGTGAGAAGGACTGTTTTTGTTGTTGTTGACTGACGTTTCGACAACCTTAGCGGTAGTCATTTTCAGAGTCAAAAACTTTTGAGATATTACTTTTGAAAAACTTTTGAAAAACTTTTTTTAATTTTGAGATGTTATGTTCAAAAATAGCAAAAAGCTTGTTGATTGCTTAATGCCCCGGTTTAGATAATTTATATCTTGAAATGCAGTTCTTTGTTGATCCCATTGCCTATTAGCAGCATTGTCTAAACTTTTCCTTATTTCTAGACTATTATTATAGCTGTGTTGGTTCTTATTACTTATTAGATCCATATCTTGATCTACAAAACCATTTTATTTTAGACATTTAAATACGTAGACACATCTCCTCTGATAACGTCCTTTTCTAGTGGTACCACTTAAGTGTAGTATCCGATGCACTGTCTACAATAAGCTTATTAGCCTAATTAATTTTGCAAAATATGTAGACTGTCAACTGTGACACAGTCTTTCTGATCACTCAACTCGTACATAAAATCGCACGCACTCACCGATACTCACCACCAACCATGAAGTAACTTCTTTATTAAATAGCAACCGCAGACTGAAACAATTACCGTACGCAGGCGCATAAAGAGGAACAGTCATATATTTATAATTTACAAATTCATTCAAATTATAATTACAGTTGGCAAGACAGAAACTGTGAGGTAATAGCCTTGAACATCAGATATTTAACAAGGTTTGTGTTTTTCATATTTATTCATGCCTGTTCTTCTTCTAAATTAAATATTATTTTAGTATCTAAAATTATAAAACAGTTAATAGCAAATAATGTATTTTTTAGTATCTGTCAAATGAATATTTACAGCTATGATCATATTAATCTCAACTTATTTTCTTTTTACTGCTTTGATAAATATCTTTGTTGAGTAAATATTTTAACGTTATCAACGATGGTAACATTTCTTTGTACATTATCGTGTTTGAATTTATTTTTATCATCAATATCAAAGTCATTTTTAGATATATTTTATGTCGATGTTTTCCTTATAAATAATATTGACAGTTTAAAGATCCTTTTATTGTTGAAATATTTTACATTCCCTAATTTCCGTTTCAAAAATCACGATACAAAACCACTTGTTGTTTAATAGCTGCTTTAAAGAAGTCTTTTGTCTTTTAAATATAAGATCGTTTATCTTATAAATTGAGCAATCACTTTAATGAATGTCACTGCAAGTTCAAAAAATTAATAAACATTAACATATTCGTAGCGTCGCTTTCAACATTCGACACATTCCGTTCGGCACTCTTTTTGTTCGTGTTTTTATAGTTTCATAAATGGCAAGCGATTACATTGGATTTGCCAATTTACCAAATCAAGTTCACCGAAAATCAGTTAAGCGAGGTTTTGAATTCACATTAATGGTAGTTGGTAAGTTGAATGTAACATTTGTAAAAGATTTGCTCTTGCAATACAATGATCTATGATTGTTTTATAATTAAAGGTGAATCAGGACTTGGCAAATCTACTCTTATCAACAGCCTATTTTTGACTGATCTTTATTCTGACAGAGAAATTCTACCTGTGTCAGGTTTGACACCAAGCTACGAATTTTATCAAAGCCTTGGCATTTTCATTGTCAATATAAAGTGTTTTTAACCTTCTCTAGAACGCCTCAAGAAAACTGTCAATATAGAATCATCAACTGTTGAAATAGAGGAACGAGGAGTCAAATTGAAGTTGACTGTTGTGGATACGCCAGGATTTGGTGACAGCCTTGATAACTCCGAATGGTAATAAATACTGGAACAGCCAAAATTAGCATTCGTGAATTAAATAATACCGTTACTTTAACTTCTACCTTAACTACACGCCGCCATTTTTTCAAGAAGAGATGGCAAAAAAACCTTTCTCAATTGTCATTTGTTTAAAATGATTCTTGGTTATGCTTCATGGCCTACATTCATAGTTTCAACGTGTAAATTCATAACCATTGTTACGAGTTAACATAAAAACCGCCATCCAATAAACGCCGCATCTTAGGTGTCAATAAATCAGTAATCACGGCGGTTTACATTCGAATAATCACGGCATTCAACAATTTTGAACACATTTCAGTTATAAACCAATCCTGGATTACGTAAACAATCAGTTTCATACGTATCTCAAGGACGAATCGGGTCTTAATCGTAGAAACATCGTAGACAATCGTGTCCATTGTTGTTTCTATTTTATCTCACCAACAGGGTAGGTATTATATAACGTTGTAAAGACAAACTTGGTCGGATTGAAATTTGATGAGGTTTAATTTTTTCCTTAAGACTTCAGCCTATTGATATTGCATGCATGAAACAACTCCACAGTCGCGTCAATATTGTTCCGGTCATCGGGAAGGCAGACACCTTGACGCAGAAAGAATTGCGTGAATTAAAGAAAAAGGTGACATTATGTTGCAATTAGTGCCAAAAATTGTTCTGATGCTCCATAATTAAATTATTATTTTAATCAAAATTTCTATTTATGTTTTAGATTTTGTACGAAATTGATAAATATGAAATCCAGTTGTATCAATTGCCATTTTGTGATGAGGATGAAGACGACGATTTTAGAAAGCAAACTGAAGAATTACGAGTGAGTTTACCACTTTTGTCGTGTTTTTATGATCTCATTCGAAGAAACTATGTCGATGTTCTCACGTTGTTTCTAGTCCAGCATGCCTTTCGCCGTGGTTGGCAGCAACGTTACGGTGGAAGTCCAGGGAAAAAGAGTTCGTGCACGACGCTATCCATGGGGAATAGTGGAAGGTAGGTTCAATGTGAAAACAAAGAAGCTTTTTTGAAGGTTTACAGAGAAAAAGAAAGGAAGTCCGTAAAACATATAGTTTTCTCTGTAATCGTCGTCTTCAAGAAACCATTACTCATTCAACTTAGCTTGTTCACATCCATTCTTTGTTCATTTTTGTGGTTCATTTCTTTTAGTGGAAAACCCAAAACATTCAGACTTTATTAAACTAAGAACAATGTTAATGTAAGTCTATTTTTTTCGCGTTAAATTGTGATTCTTATCTCTTATTTACACCAACTCAGAATAAATTTTGACAAAGTAATTTTGCTTAGCACACACATGCAAGATCTAAAAGAGGTGACCCAAGACGTGCACTACGAGAACTACCGGGCAACGTGCCTCTCGACAGATGGTAACACAACTCTTCAGAGAAGTGCAAGAAGGTGGGAGGAAATACGTTTTAAGATTGATTTGAAAATGAAGTAAATTGTTGATATGTAATGTTAACTTTATCACAGAGATCGTGCAAGCTTCAAAACAGGCGAGGTAAAGGACAAGGATAAAATTCTCGAGGAAAAGGAAGCCGAAGTAAGATGAGTGAAAATGTCATCGAAGTTGTATGTTTATATAACCACGAGTTTCATTTATTTCAGTTAAGAAAAATGCAAGAAATGTTGGAAAAAATGCAGCAAAAGATGAAAGAAGGGACTCAGTCGTAAATTTAATCTACTTTTCATTGAGATATTTCGTTTCTCCTTCTTGATGTAATTGTGAGAATATTTTGCAATACGTACAGTTTTTGAAAAGTTAATATTTGTTCGTTGTTTGTTTTTTATTAAATACAAAAAATAGCAATGAATTTGCAATTGTATTTTGCGCTGCAGTGAACTCTTAAAGACATGTATAATGCGCCATGTTTTTCATGCTTCAGATCGTTCTTATCATTAAAATTTTGCAATTTAAATTAGCCAAACATCTAGCGCATATGCAAGTTTGTGCCAGAATGTTCCCCGAGGTTAAAGTTTCCAATAAATATACATTGATTAAACATCAATTCAAGTGAAAATAAATACATTTCTTGTTAAGTATCGCGCATGAATGTTTTAGTGAAATACGGCAAACGTAGAGCAAAACAAGATAACATTAAATATTTTGATCAGAAATTCTATCTTCTTCCAATTTTATCATGTCCGTCATGACTTCCTTCCAACAGTCACCCGATAGCCCAGAGTCGTTATATTCGACATTATTATTATGTTCGCCGTTTTCCTTTTTCTCTTTGCAATTTTTGTTGAGTTCTTCTGTCTTAGAATTATGAAAGAGACCTGTAGGACATAAAAGTGTTCTTGTCGTATCACCATCAATAAATCCCTCGTCACTGGGACATTCCTCCTCTCTTGAAGAGTTTGTATTTTTCGAGTGTGCTCCATTAACACCATTGGTTTTCGAGTGTGCTCCATTTACACTTGGGGATACATTGTTTGAGATCCTACTGAATCCTCTAGGCTTACCAAAGTTAGTTACAGGAACCGGAATTCGTGAAGGTGAATTGTGATGACCATGAGACGGCCTAAAACTCGAGTATCTACCTGAAAAATGTTAATTCTTTAATGAATTACAAAGGTATTCTGAATATATAGTAAAATATTGAAGTTACCTTTAATGATCGTGTCAGCCGAGAAAGATCGTGAATATAAAAGATGATGATCATTTAATGCTTTCCTTAAATCTTTTTTATTCTTATCCTCTTTTCCTTCATACTCTTTTTCCAGCTTTTTCCTCGCATTAGAGGGCGACATTTCCGATCGACGTCGCACTTCGCTTGAAGTTCCCACGTTTTTGTTACGATTTCTGCTTTGCTTTAACTTGGATGACGACGACTCTCGAGATAAGTTTCCTTGACGTTTCAAAGGTGTACTCAAAATATCCAAACGTTTACTGGGATTTAAAATAGCATCACTTGTCCTTGACCTGTTAAAGGACAAATCAGATTCATAGACACTTGCCCGAAGAGTTTGTGTCTTTTTATCTGGTGTTTTGTCCGGCTTTTTCTTGCTAGATGAAAGAATCCCGTTTCTAGTATCAACCACACTCCCATGTTTAGAACCCAAACCTTTGCTCACTGGAGTTTGCCGCGTTGAAGTATTTAAAGGTCGTCTGTTGTTCTTACTGGAGGGAGAGAAAGTTTGTTTATTTAATACTTGTAATGGTGATACGTCCTTTTCTGAGCGGCCACTTGATTCTCCATACACACACATCATACCCTATAAAAATCATTCGGTCAGATGGAAACGCTGATGACAATTTATTTCTTCATTCGTAATTTATTTCTATTTGTTAAGCTGGGAAATGATTACTTTACCTGAAGGAGATTGTTATCATTACCATTCACAGGTGATAATCGAGTTACAGATGACGTACTGGAATTGCTGTCACTACTGCCAATGCTCGTATAACTGAGGGACTGGAGCGAGGAGTGTGGTTCGTTGTCATGAAGTGGCGGTGTTTGAGTTTTAAATCGATGTTTACTTGCATTGCTCGAAGCATGATTAGGACGACCTATAGTGATCATATGGTTAGTACGTAAACACGCCTACTACATATATCATCGAATCATACAACATCACCTTGCATCCTGCTAGAATGATGTTTCTGGATGTAGTTCTCGAGTGTATCCCAGCCTCCACCGACGCGTACCATCACGTGATTGCGCATGACCCTTACAAAGATAAGAACTCGGTTCTCACCAATCTTGTATTTACCGTCTGCAAGTTTCTCTATGGGAAACGACTCTTTGCAAGTATATTCCTCAACTATTTCCTTTACCTATAATGAACATGCGTTGAGATTGGATAATACACAGGGTTCACACAGCAATCTGCATTGATCGAACTATACACAGTAGCACCTGTTTTATACAAATAACCAATGATAACATACTGCGTAGGTGGTCGTTGTGTAAAGACAACATACAAAAATAATGCGTTGTCGTGTAAATTTTATTCGAAAAATTTTCAAAACGGTTCAAATTTTTCATAGCATATTGAAGCTTTATCGAACAAAAAAGCAATGGCAAATGATTATCACTAAAATTGAAGCGTTGAGGAGTATTTAATCATTTTCATTTTGTTCTAGCCGTCTGTTTTAAACATGCAAATTTAGCAGGTATAACTTAAATCAGATAATATTTGAAACTGAAGTATTGAAATATTTTTTCGACATATTGACGTCGTCTTTCAAGAGAATGGACCTCTCTTAGTAAATAATAAACTTTGAATAATTTTCCCAACAAATGCTTTATGTTTAGCTTAAATTGATATGTTTATACTTACGTAGGCCTTGTATAAAGCAATTATTTATATTTACGTGCATCTCATACAGAGCATTTATAAAATGGTTTATAAAAACTTTAACAATAGAAACATCACGCTTATTTTTCCTCTAGAAAAAACGATTTTTGACGTTTAAACTATATAATTTTTATTCAAGTGTTTCATTGAAAATTATGTAATGCGATACATAAAAATTCATAAAACGTGTATAATAAGATCTCAAAAAGACCCACAGAATTGCATATTTGTCATCCTTCTATGGACTATTAACTAAATGCATTTCCAACAATCCACATCAAAGTGAAAAGTCTTTGTTTTTTGGTATTCAACATATGACAATTTTATAAACAGGAAGATTTTAAAACTGGTATTCCCTTGCAAAAAACAGTGGAGAAATTGACCTCTTTTTATATCTTTCACTATTCCTCAACTCCTCAAAATCTGCTCTCTTATCTCAGCTCGGAAAAGGCTAATTTTTCACTATAAAGTTTAACGCTATGCAAAATATACCCCTAGATTTGATAATGGTCTTTGAAACTGGAAAGAAAACTCTTCCCCTTCTTCAAAAGCATTTCTTTGCTTTTAGAAGCTAAATGACTTGAATGAATAACTGCCCACCTTTGTATTATGACAGGTATAGGCAATTTTGAAACATGCAATATCTTACGGGTAGCTATAAGGGTTTATCGACCGAAGAGAAAAGAATTCACGCAAGCAATATCAAAAACGATAAACATAATTTAAAGTAGTGCAAACAGAAAACAATTCAATCGTGCATAATATTACTTAAGTATATTCGTTATTCCCAAACATTCATTTTCATAGCTTTCTTTTTTGTTTGCTAAAGTAACACGGAAAACTTTGAGTTAGTTAACGACAGACAGGTGTGATTGATGATGACATTTCGGTTTGGTGTTGTAAATATTATAGCCGTGTCAACACTTTTCTTTTCATTCATTTCCCTCGAAATATGTAATGATGAAGTGCTTAATCAACAACTATTACCGATGAAAACATTTTCCATAGGAGTCCACAGATTTTATTTTCAAATATATATCAAAGTATGTTTTAATTTGAGGGAAAATAAGTAAAATGAATGGAGATTTAACTCAGGTGTGTATGAAACACAGGTCAAGACGAATACAAAACCGCTTTCAAATTTTAAATGTAAATTTAAAAACTTACCAATGTGTCTAAGTTCTTTGGTATGAAATTCTTTAATTTTTTAGGTTTCTTTTTGTTTGAAGCCGGAGTCTTCGATTTCGCAACGACGTTTTTCATATTCTCGAGATCGTTACTTTTATTCTTAGCATTTTTCTCTTCTAAGGCAATCTCTTCGTCAATCTGTTCCTCCATAATAACAAGATCTGGGGGTTCGATGTCAAATTTTGAAGCCCGACGTGCGACATCAAGCAATGTAAGAATGACATGCTTTTGATTGTTATGAAGAACCAAATCATCTGACTCGAACATGATCACATCAGCTATTCCAAATTCACGACACCAACGTATGAAGTTAGCTACATTATCTCGACTAAAGAATGAGCCATAATTCGCTCCTCGCTCAGTATATTTCGGTTCAGAAGTTGGTAGCTTGACATTCGCCTGTGGATTCTCGCTCAAATATTTCTCAGCGGCTTTCTGAATCATATTTGCCAGTCGACATAGATGTACACCGCTATCAAGTGTAGTCATAAATGTGTCGGCAGTCACAGGTATATTCATTAGACCAGCAATCCATTCTGATAAATCTTCCTTCATCGCAAAAAGATATGTTGCCAACTTTTCCTTTCTGTCTTTTTCGTGAACCTCGTCTCGCCATAGTTCTGTCATTATTTGAAAGCCAGTCACCTATTTAGGCTGTGTTAATACTGTATACTAACGCCGTTGTCTAACTAAAATCCACTAATTATTCATGCCTTGATTTCTTTATAAGGTCTTGTGATACCTTTCTCCATCACTCGTTCATAGCTTTATTTAAACGTCAGGAAGAACAGAAGTGAATATCATACAAATTATGTTCGTAATTTAAAGGACAAAGATCACAAAAAATCGCGTAAATTTAATGAGCAGGATAAAGTTTCAACACTTAGGGACTCGAGTTACTATCTCCAAGATTAATCTCGTTGAATACACAGTCGAGTATCGTGATGTTGGTGAATGATTTAACTCTTTCTTTTCGCAAAAACTTCCGCTACGAACGCAAGTGATGCGAGACAATGGAATGAAAGAACTTCATATAAATATTCAAAACTAGAAGCCACGGGAGAATTTAAACTTCTGTGAATAAACTTGTTGAATATTTTCAGTAGTGTTGCAATTCCTAACAAACTGCCTAGATATATCGGGAAATTATCAATTGAGACTTTCTTATTGTAGAATCATTTGTAGATAATTGTACCAAAGAAACATGATCAGAATGCAATGATTGTTCTAGCCTTCGTGTCGGTGTCATTTCTGTATTCATGAGACGTGATTGAGAATTTCCATACGTTTTTATGATACGTCATGTACCGCTAATTATCACGTCTTATGACAAAGAGTAAACACTACTTGTTCAAAATAGGAATAAAACTATCTGACAAGGTTGCTTCTTTTTCGTTTTCATTTCAACATTTTTCCATTCTCTAAAACAAAACGAACGACTTCATTTTCAATAGTTAGACCAGCTTAACAGTGTCAATGTTTGTTGAATGTCGTCTTTTTGCATTTGTCAGTCAAAGAGGTCGTCTGTATAAATGTAAAAAGAAATTCTACAGACTTAGAGAAGACGATTTCTATAAAATGAAGAATGAAAACCAGGGTAAACTTTTTTGTCCGCCGGGTGCTCGATTGCATTTTCGTTTTTATCGTTGTTTTGATTCTATTTTTATTTTCTCTTTAGCAGTTATTTCAATTTAATCTCGACCAATTTTCACTTTCTCACAAGTGATGTTAAAAGATATAAAGCGATAGATTTGTGTTTCGATCTCTCATACGATTTGTGCAACGATAAGTGCTCTGTTAAAGTAGTGTAGACGAAAGAAAAGGTATTTTATAAAAAAATGGCGAAGTACAATCGAGGTTGGGCTATGATCTCGCGATTTCTAGAAACGGTTTGGCTATGGTTACAAATGAATGTAAGTCACATGTTCGGAAAAAGATCTTCACTCGAGCCCGATAAGGACGATGACAAACGGGGGCCAACTGTGTCAAGATCTGGTGTGTATGACACTATCGATGGGCATCAGGTTGGTACGTCAGTGAGTGTATTAGGTGATCTTTCAAGAAGAACGAAACCTTGTAAGTAGATCATTTTATGCTTTAAAAGTTTTATCGTACCTAACTTCACATTTTGTGTAATGAAAATAAATGAAATCAAACTTTCAATTTAGCCATACGTAAAGAGATAGTTCAAAGAGGAAACGCACTTCATGTGAAGGTGAGTTTTACCTTTATCCAAGATAAGATTATTCTAAGCAACATTTTCTTCTTATCCTAGACAATCTAAAGTAATAACTCCCAATTTATATAAGATAGCCAGTTGAGATACCTCTCTTCTTGCCAAAGACAATCTAAAGTGACTACTCCCTTCTTATATCAGATAGCCAGACGACTGTTTTCTAATCACAGACAATCTAAAGTTAGAACTTATCTTAGATGAGCACTCCCACATAAATATAAGAGAACTATTGGGATAAAAGTCCAGTATATGTCCGACACAATAAATTTCTAGTATTTTGAAAATTACTTTTTTCGACCTCGAGAGAAAAGTAGAAAGCTTCTTGCTATCTCAATGGTTGTAGAATCCCTACTGTATCGTCCTCATCAACACAAACTTCGATCACAAATCCGTTCCACGAAATGGTGCGGATGCGGATCGTCAAAATATAAAAAGATTCCTGAATGCAGCAGGCTTCAAAACAATTCATTTTTACGATGACCTCGAAAGAAAAGATACTTTGGAAGTAATGGAGAAAATCTCATCGTCCAAAGCACTAAGTAAGTTCTAAATGTTATTTTAAAAAAAAAAAGATTGCCAGTAGAAGTAGGCCGTATTCTGTCGCACAAAGTCGCTTAGAAAACGATTTTCGTTGCCCCCCCCCCCATCGGGCACTACATTTTAACACGATAGATAAGTAGAAAATATCATAGAAAGTGTAAATTCGCTTGTTTCCTTCTTCAAACACTCGCAGTTTTTGGGTATTTCAGCATTGAAAATTCAACAATTTGATGTCTTTCGCAATCGATCGACGCCATTTTCATTACGTTATTCTCGCGATACTTGATGCTCAGGCAAGCTTCAACCAGGAAGCTTTGGATGACGTTGGACAGTGTTTTGAGCAAGAATTTAACAGTGTTCAAACTGAACTAAATTGAAAATATGTACTTAAACACATTTGAGATATTTTTTGACGATTTCCACTTTAGGAAGAAGTTCTTGAAAAAATCTGGAGAATGTTGTCACCCATTTTACGGCAACGCCTTTCGGAGTAAAGTGGACACTTGTGTTTGTTCTGAACACTGTATTTCGGGAATTCTTCGAACCAATTAATTTTTTAGTGTTTGTTTTAAGCTAAAAAAATTACAAAACTTGGCAGACAACAAAGTACGGAATGTTACCCCCCCAAAAATTGTTCTAATTCTACATAAAAATGCTTTCAAGTTCAACTGAGCATATAATGGCGTTATCTCCTTTACGCCAAGTACCCGATGGGGGCAACAAAACTGAACGATAATCGGGCGTGGCACAGAATACGGCCTAAAGTGGAAATGAAAATGTTTTACATGTTGTTTACGTAAATCATCGTGGACAAGTAAATCATTTTCATTAAACATGACAACGCAAAAATATAAGGAATAGGAAAACTATTATGATTTTTTCAATTCATCCTTCAGATGAACATGATGGTTTGATGGTCTTCATCTCCAGTCACGGAAAAAAGAAAGGAATCTTGACTAAAGATAGCCAAGTGATTAAAACAGAAGAGCTCACATCACGTGTAAACGGTAACCAATGTGAAGCATTGCGAGGAAAACCCAAGCTATTCTTCATATCTGCCTGCAGGGGGAAAAAAGCCGATCCTGGACATAGCGGAGTCATCGACCATGATGCCGGAGGCAATGATCTTGTTGTGCCCAAATTGCCAACAGAAGCAGACTTCCTTGTCTGTTACTCTACAGTTAGCGGCTATATCTCTATGCGGAGATTTGCCCTCAACATGGAAGATTCCACCAAAATGGGCACGTGGTTTATTAGTGTGCTGGCTCAAGTATTCGAAGAACGAATGGAAGATGACGACGTCATGCAAATGTTGGCAGTTGTCAATGCACGAGTAGCTGATATGGCGACAGGAAATGATCATAAACATGGTAAAAAACAAATGCCAGTTCAAATGCATATGCTGAGACATCGTGTGTTCCTTGGTAAAAATGAGTAAACATACGTAAAGACAAAAAAAATCTCCATGTGATGTACATAAATAGAAATGCCAAAGAAGAACGTGATTTTTTAAATAAACAAAGTACCAAATCGAATTAAACAATAATTTTCGAACCGTTTACAAACCGTTTATTCATTCGGATTTGATTTCGCAGTTTTAACTTAAAATTTCATGCACAAACGTTGCCATTCTTGGTCAATACGCTCCTGGAAATTCGATGACAAGATGTAAAATCAGAGTCTTCACTAGAACATTAATTGGGGGGAGGGGGGAGGTGTGTTCATATATTCAGTTGCGCCCTACTGATTTCACTCGAAAGCCAATTCATTTTAAAAAGAAATCAATAGGGCACAACTGAATATACAAACATACACTCCCTCCCCAAATTAATCTTCAAGCTATGCACCAATGTAAAAGAGTGTGTACAAATAACGCTGAACAAAGACAGTTTCCACTTATACATATTTATTCCTCAAGAAATTCCATAACCGAAAGTTAATATCAAGTCATTTGTAACAAAATATTCTCGTTTGGTCAGTTACTGGTTGACCAGACATCGCTTCTCCTAGATCTTCACTAAGTACCGCAATTTTTTCAGGTTTATCCCAGTACGTAACCGCTTGCGCCATAGCACGGGCTCGCTTTTCTGGGGAGCCGCTTTTAAAAATACCTGAGCCCACGAATACACCGTCCATTCCAAGCTGCATAAGCATAGAGACATCAGCAGGTGTAGCTGGATAAAATGAGTATGGATCATTGAGGGACTGTTGAGGTTATATATAGTATATAACTATAACTTTTAAATTGGTGATAACCGTGATAACGATTTCAGAATTTAAAACTCTTTTTGCCACAATGTTCAAAAGAGGCAATGTTATATTATTTCAGGCACGTACTGCAACCACTATTCTTATAAAGAAAGCAGAAAACTTACCCAAGCCACCAGCAGCAAAGTTTACAACAGGCAATCGACCAAGCTCAGCAGTCTTTTTAAGAAGTTGATAAGATACCTTTAATTCTTTTGCATAAGCATAAAGTTCTGAAGCATCCATAGACTGCGCTTTTTTTACTTCACTGTTTATCTGCCTAGCATGACGAACTGCTTCTGCAACATCCCCTGTATTGACATGAAATATTAGTGACACATGAATGCTTTGCTCATGATCGTAAAGATAACGTGCACAAGTTGGCAATGGCGTAGCCAGCTCGCAAATTTGGTCGTGCTATGTCAATTTTTCTGTGTTCACTCACTGTAAAAACAATAGATTTCTAAAGAAATGACTAATGTTATTGTCTAAAATTTACATAGCAGGACCAAAATATGAGGTTTGGCTACGACACTACAAGTTGGTATGGTTATTGTTCCCAATTCAAACCTGTTCCTGCCTCTCCTTTGGTTCGTATCATTGCAGCACCTTCATCAATTCTTCGTAATGCTTCGCCCAAGTCTCGAGCACCACAAACAAATGGAATTTTAAAATCATGTTTGTTGATGTGATGAACATAATCGGCAGGTGTTAATACTAAATAGAAAAGAGAAAATATGAGGAGAGTCTGGTTAAGGAAATTTGTAAGGAAATGTATGAAAATCAGGTTTAAGGTATTTTGATATAAAATACTAGGAAAATTAGGTTAAAGATATTTTAAAGAAAACACTCGGAGAATCAGGCTCAAGACATTAGAAAAACAACAAGAGAAGAATGAAACTGAAGACAATTAAAAGAAACATCAGAACAATTAGACCAAAAACAATAAAAAACATTCAACAATTTTCTTTAAATAAAAATAAATATATGAACCAAATACAAAAAAATAAATATTCCAAATAAAAACTACAACAATACCTTCTGACTCATCAATCATGTCAACTCCAATCTCTTGCAAGATTTGAGCTTCCGCAAAATGTCCTATACGAGCCTTGGCCATAACTGGAATGGTTACAGCTGCCATGATGTCTTTTATCATCTTTACACAAGAAATTTAATGCAGAACAATTCAAATTATTAAAGCATACCATCACAAAATTATTTTTGAATCAATGTAGAAAATGGTAAAAACTTCTTTTGAAGATTTTTCATTTGAAGCTTTGTTGTTGTGATATTTAGACTCACATGACACTTGTATTGGTTAAATTTTTGTTCAACATTTTCTTCATTAACATATTAAAAAAATATTTTAACTTTACTACACAATGAATGAGTAAAGTAATCTGAAATACTGAGCCACAAGTTATAAAATTCAGCTTTCATGAAGGTTAAGGATTCTGCTCAGTAACTCATGGCAACAAAGAAGGATTTAAAATAAACTCATACAAAATTTAGCTTTTCAGAATATCATAAGAATTCATATACTTTGACTACAAAGCTTGGAATGAAAATCTTCAAGTCACATTAATTGAAGTTTTCCTCATTTTCAATAGCTATTTAATAAGCACTTGGTTATTTTCAGGGCTGGAAAATGCCCAGCAATAGTAGAAGTAGTTTTAGAATTCTTATGAAAATTTCGCAAATATCAATTAGATTTAGAAGATTGGTAAATCAAAATGTAAGTAGATTGTAATCTGTAATACATAAACAGTGTGCGAAGTAGTTGAGAAAAAACGATGTGAAATTTTTTTTAATAAAAGTGTTTCTTTAGAGGCATAAACAAAACGATATTACGTTAATTATTACATAGCACTAATTGCTAAATTAATATTTTTAAATGTGAACAAATTCATGATTTACAACAGTGTTTTTCATTACAATCGCTGATCCAATTACAAATGTATTAGAGAAATTTTTTGCGCATGTTATTCTCTCCTCTTTTTTGTGCAAAAGTGAAAAGAGAATAACCGAATATACTTTTTCTTTCTGATTATTAGTTAATTTGCACACTGCATAAAGTAAACAACAAACTTCAGGAATTCATATGCAACTGCTAACACCAACGTATGAACATTTGTATTCAATAGTTATTGATGAAACATTTTCACAGGAATTATTTTGGTTTGACAGGAAATTTCTATATTTGAAATTTGCAGCCAGGAAACAAAACACTTTATCCAGGCTTGGTTACCTTGGGATCAGACATCCTTGCAACACCCCCTTGACTCCTGATGTCAAAAGGCACTCTTTCCAAGGCCATGACTGCACATGCCTATAATGTATCATCATTCATTATCTAATATCTAAAATATATTTTTAACACTTTAAATTAATAAAGTTTCAAACCCACCCCAGCAGCTTCAGCAATTTTTGCTTGCTCAACATTCACAACATCCATAACTATCCCTCCTTTAGCCATCTGAGCTAAACCAGACTTCACCCTAAATGTTCCTATATGATCCATGTGATTATTGATACATTGATTTGAATTTTGAAAAATCAACAAAAAAAATTGTGACTTTAATACCTGTTTCGTACATCAAATCCATCTTTGCACTAGACTCTTTCTTTAATTTTATATTTTTTGTTAAATTTACTATATCATTAACTCCATTGTCTGCAAGAAAATAGCATTTTTTTAAGAGCACAAGAATGGATACGGAATTTTTTTGTTGGTTATTTAATCGCCTCAACCATAAAACTGCCTTGACTTGATGAAAAGATAACACCCACATGAAATTGCCATTGTCAACATCTCGTGCACGTAAATCACGTGTATGTCATCACGTGTATGTCATCACGTGTACGGTGTACAATAGCTATGTAACACTTAGATAATATTTTTGTTTAGTTGATCCCATGATAAGTAACTTACGTAATGAGAATGCAAAGAAATATATCCTTGTAAATAAAGTGATTATGACAATAAAAATCGAAACTATTACTCTCTATAATTGCAGTATATGAATCCCAGTATACATAAAAGTTGTGTTGAAACATCACGCGCTGAAAGATTAATTCTTTTTCATAATTCAAATCTTATAACACATATCAAACGACTTACGAGCTTCCATTTTCTGCAGCAGATGCCTTTTTTACATCGACCTTTCCTAATAGAATAACATATATCAATAAATGAGACAGTGTTTAGTAAACAAATGGGCTAAAAATAAAAAACTGAGACTGAATAATTGTTTGTTGGTCGACGGCTTTCCAGACCTTTAGAATTGTTTCCGCTACCCGGTGTCATGTGTGGTCGACTGGTTGTGTCACTTCTACAGGGGGGTAGGTAGGTGTTAATTGGGAGGGACTGTGGGTACGGTGGGATATTTATTTTGCAATTTGACTATCAACAGTTGGTTCTCTGTTCATTTGATCTAATAACAAACAGAGAGTTTTAAATAGAAATAAACTATCAAAATATCGAATGAAAGCATAAAACAAAAATATATTCGGAGTGTGATCAACGCTTGCCTACTGCTTTGTATGGTTATCATGGGAGGAAAGAAATGCAAGCTATTCACGTGTCGCACGTTTTAAGTTGATGTTTGTGCATGTCGTAAGAATGGAAGTAAATGTTGGTATTTTAGCTATCCAAGGCGGCTTTTCTGAACATGAAAGCGCTTTGTTGAATTGTCTTAAAGAAAACGGCGGTGTTATTGATGGTGTTGTTCTACGAGTGAGGAAAGTCACAGAGATATGTGATTTGCAAGATTTAAATGGTCTTATAATTCCGGGTGGAGAAAGTTCGGTTAATTCACAGATAATGAGTGAAGAAATGATTGAAGAACTCGCAAATTGGTCAAGTAACCAGAAGCATTTTGTATTTGGAACTTGTGCAGGTTTGATTACAATGTCAAAGAATATTGAAAATGCTTTTCCTGGTCAAGAAAATCACTTCTCAAAGGTATTCAATATGTGTACACTATGTTTGCCATTTTCCAACCACTTATACATGACCATATTCAATTATTTTTCATTTTCTAAAGTTAGCCAAACTTGATGTTACAACAAGCAGGAACTACTTTGGACGTCAACAAAATAGTTTCGAAGGCAAAGTATTCATTAAAGAGAAACAAATTTCAAAATATGATGAAAATATGTCAGAGATTTGCTTTGGGGTATTCATTAGAGCACCTGCCATTGTCTCAATAAATAGTGTTGATATAAAACTTTTGGCAACAGTTGTTGTAGACAATAAAGAAATCATTGTAGCTGTTGAACAAAACAACTGCATGGGTTTGGCATTTCATCCTGAGTTGACTAATGACATTAGATGGCATGCCTACTTCTTGTCTCGTATTGTACAACTTTGTGAAAGCTAAACAAATATGAAAATTTATGAGCCTACAAGTATTTTACAGTCAATCTGTATAAACCTAAAATTATATCAAAGCATTGAAGATTTGTGTTCATTGTTTGATTGAGTCTCGTACATTTTCAGTTCACTTTTTAACAATTTTCCCCAATAGAAAACTATTAGGATGACAACATTTGGTTTTCCTATTTTCATTGTCAATCATTTCTCTTCCCTCGTTTGCCCATTTAAATATTGATCCTTCAAGGTTTTGTATCACTGGCATGAAGCTGATTTTTTGTGCTTCAGCAAGCAATTTACAGTGGGGATAGAGTTTTTGAGCCATCAAGGAAGAGCGGTATCCCAACGAACAATAACATACAATAATTACTTTTCCATTTTCACAATCTATAATTCAAAAACAAGAGGAAACTTGTTGATTGTAATCTCAGTATAGAAGAAAATAAAAAACTCGAACAAAATTAAGATACCATCAAGAATTGGTTTGACCTTTCCAAAAACAGCTTCTGCTGTCTCGTCAGGATCAATATGTATAGATCCAGGTAAATGACTAACAGCATACTCCTCTTTCCTTCGTACATCCTAAAACAAAAGTTACAAAAGACTTAAATCAACAACGAATCAACGACATGTTGAAGTTAATGAATAATAGAACATCGCGTTGAGCTACTGACCAGCAGTATAAGATTTCTGCAGTTTTCTTTAATTAGATTTTCCAAATCTTCTGTTTCAAGTTGCTTCACTTTCGGAAATGCTTTTCTTATGCCAAACAGAGTAACGCGCATCGACATACTAATGCTGTCATCTTCGCTTTTCTTATCGTCCGCCATATTGCTTTATATGACGTCACAAGCGTTGTGCGAAATGATACAAAAGCCAAAACTTTGAAGTGAAGAAGATAAAAAAAGCCACGATACAAAGCCTATCTCTTGGAATTTATCCGTAAGTACCTCTCGTGGAAAAAAATCATTCAACAAAGACTTTTAAAAAGATTGACGACGAACAAAAAGGAAAATATCAGGGATAATGATAAGGAAACAAAACATCTGAAAGCAGTCAATATCTGGTCACTTTATTAACAGGAAATAGCGTAACATAGGAGTCATATAACCACTGTCGCAAAATTTCACATCACTTTCCAGTTATTTTTCATCTCTATTGGTGTGGGCACACCTCTAACCAACCTTTCAAAGCTTACCTCAGTTGTTTTTTACAATAAAACGCTGGGGTATTTTATGGTTGGTTACGCAAAAAAAGTAAGAAAATAATGAGCATTCGGATGAAATATTTCGAATAACATTAAAATAATAATTAAACTTATTAATAATGACATCAACACAAACAAAATCCCATTGCAAGGCAGCATTGCAGCGAGTTCGGACGGTTCAGATAGGTGACACATCATAACTCAAAAAGAATTTTCTTCTGAAATTAAGGTAATGTAACTTAACATTTATTGGTCCTACTCTGGCATGACGAGAAGTAATGAACTATCGTTAAAATTTGCTCATGAAACTTAAACTTTTGCGCTTTGTGACATGTTTGACGTAATGAAAGATAGAGAAATAAAAATGCTTTTAAAACCAGAGAAAGTCATGTGTGTAATAACTAAATATTTAAATAACCGTCGAACTGCAATAACTTGAAAAACAGCGCAGCTAGTTTACATGTGTAGATGTAGATCGTCCAGGTTGGTATAGTCCTGAGGAAGACTGTTTTTGTTGTTGTTGACTAACGTTACGACAACCTTAGCGGTAGTCATCTTCAGAGTCATCTTCAGAGTCCCGGGTTCAAACCATTTACTTTAGCAGCTAGTTTAGTTAAATAAGATTTTGCTTGAGAAAAAAATGCGACGAAATAATGGAGTGGTTGATATGAACGGTGATAATAAATGGAAAAGTGACTGTTGGAGAAATTAATTACACTTTAATATGTATTTTACTGCCTGATTATGATTCGTGTTCATCTTTTTATTAATGATGCAAATGCAATACACAAATTGAAGCACAAGCATAAAGCACATTCTTTTCTTACGTCTGTAACTAATAAGCTATGACTAGTTTTCATTATTCTTTTCGAGAACTAGCGTTAATGCTAAACTTTTACTTACCGCTTGCGTTGCGAATCAGCAAATCTCTATACCAGCAGGAGTCGGGGAAAAAACGCGAACGAGGGACAGGAGCCATTGAGTTCTATAATAACTGGAGCGGCTATCTTTACTGGGGCGAGGTCGCCAAAAAAATGGCGGCCAACGGACGTATTTCCGCTGAAATGATCGCTTTGCAGAAAAATAATATTCTCGACCTCCCCCTGGTGTCTATAGTAAATTATAAAGAATTTTTCAAAAACAAACACGATATCACAGAATATGGATATCGTTAGTTCCATATTCTGTGACGATATCTTTTTTGGCATTTCTTTTATAATGCCAACACTTCAATCGTTCAATTGTTGGATGTCGTAGTTTCCACAAAAAGGAACATATCGCTTCTCACAGGTGAGGTAGTTGTTTGTTTTGTTAGTCCGTCAACGATTGAAAAGCAATTATACATGCACTTGAAAAGCCATAAAATACATAATTTTTGATCATAATTTATCATCATTCCATAGATCGTAATTTTTAAGACTGACTTGAACGCCAAATATAAGTTCATGAACCAAAAAAAGATGGCAAGAAGGTTGTTTGTTTTTGATGCTTAATTAAATGTCAATTCACAACATATAAAATGGAAAGGCCATAAAGTTTGTGTCTATGTAAACATTTGTACTTATATTGAAAATATAGGAAAAACAAAACAAAGTGAAAAAGAAGGGTAGAAGTATTAAAACTAAAAATGAATTATAAACACCATTGGAAGCATAAGTGTTTTGATGATTATTTGCATTTTGCCCAATTTATATATCAATACAACAAAATCAAAATGTGCTACAACTTTACAAGTATTTGATGCAGTTGCACTTCAGAACATCACAAAAAGGTTACTTAAAGTAATTTCTATACAATATTGTTTGTTTTCATTTACCAAACCTATGCAGACTTGAGTCTTTTTGAAATTTCATGTGAAACTCAATTACAGAAAATCCGTAAATATCCAGAGATTTTATATGTACTTTTTTAAAGAAACAAGTAAAAATCCTACAATTGTGGCGAAAAAAGCCATTGCCCATTGCATGAAAAGAAGAAAAATAGCAATGATAACAAATAAGCTGACTTCTCTCTCGTGAACCGTGGAGATGAACTATGATATACTTTTTTGTATAGACTAAAGAGTTTAATCGATCAAACAAGTTTGACGCTGGTAAGAAAACGACGCATATCTGCATTCATAGATGTGTAGCCGACACATAGCTCTTTCGTCGATAGTTATAAATACATCCTCGTAGGAGCCGATAACTGGAAAGCTAGGTTGACTCGCTGTTACGAATTGTAGGTTTTTAACGTGATTTTCATCAAAAAATTGCTTGCCAAATCCCAAATACACACGTACATTTTCCTCACTTTTTCCTCAGGAGGGAGTGGGAAATTGTGAAATTTTCGGAAAAGCGGTCAATTTCGGTAAATCTCAGCGGCAACGGACGAAATCCGCCATTTTTTTGGCGTCATCAGATGTCTAAGGCCGCGCTTGAGATAGCCGCTCCAGTTATTATAGAACTCAATGACAGGAGCACGCAATCCAGGAATCCTGTAATGATATATAAATAAAATAAATATTTTGACATAGAGGTAAACAAAATATATGATGAAATTATTGAAATAAGCACTATTTTTTATTAATCAGAGTTTTTGAAATTGGTACATGTTATAGGTTTCGTAGGAATAAAATCTGTTCATTCAAAATCATGGCCAGAAATTTGCGAGATGGAAAGCGGATTTCATTGTAAACACAATAGCCCAATATAAGACTTTTAAAATAGCCACCACGACAATAAATTAGAAATAAAGATAAAAGGTTTCTTAATAATGACGTTTCGTCTTTAACTTAAGTCATCTTCAGCTTATTGTGTGAAAAAAACTGCCGTCACGAAATACCCACATTCCGTCCAAATAAACATTATTACACGTGTCCCATTTTTACCACACCAAATGAAAGCTAAATATTGCACTAACTTGACTTTTTTCCCTTTAAAAGTGAAATATTTTTGCAAACAGAAGATTAAACTTCATAACACAAATATTTATCAACCATATTACGTGATATCAACTGTTCCAGAAGGAAATACCAAACTCAGTGTGTGTCACAGTATTCTGAGTTTTGTCCAACCCATAAGCTTCCGACATCAATTAACCTTACAATTAGACATAAATTTGCAGAAGAGCGTACCAATTACATGTAAAAAATGATATATGCGCTTAAAGATTTCAACGACTTTATTTATGACCAGTAAGAATGGGACAAAAACACTCGAAATCACTTTAATGCTATTGGTACGCTCGAAATCACTTTAATGCTATTGGTAACAAAAATACTTTTGGTTTGTTAAAAGGAGAACATAAGTGTTTGTGCCAAGACAATGAATGAAAGTCTTTCATAACGTTTTGGTTTTAAATTGCAATTTTTAACACCGCTTCATTAAATTACTGCATATTTTCTCGTGTAAGTTTGAAAAACGCTCAAGAGATTTTAGACAACATGACCAAATTATCATGAAAAATGTTCAAAATACACGCTCGAATTTATGTATTTTAACTTATGCTTTAATCCTGCTATTGTAATTCCAACAAAGACATCAATACAATAATACGTGTTTAAGTCGTTGGTCGGTTGCCAATACTGTAACAGTCAGGATGAACACTGATTTATCTTGGTTCTAGCAGAAAACGTATGTGTAACTTTTTGTTATAATTTTATGGGGCTTAGCTCACACGTGACTCGGAGAAATTGCTAAAACGATCGCATTTTTATCGTTGTTTTGATTCTATTTTTATTTTCTCTTTAAGCAGTTATTTCAATTTAATCTCGACCAATTTTCACTTTCTCACAAGGGATGTTTAAAGATATAAAGCGATAGATTTGTGTTTCGATCTCTCATACGATTTGTGCAACGATAAGTGCTCTGTTAAAGTGGTGTAGACGAAAGAAAAGGTTTTTTATAAAAAAATGGCGAAGTACAACCGAGGTTGGGCTTTGATCTCGCGATTTCTAGAAACGGTTTGGCTATGGTTACAAATGAATGTAAGTCACATGTTCGGAAAAAGATCTTCACTCGAGCCCGACAAGGACGATGACAAACGGCGGCCAACTTCGTCAACATCTGGTGTGTATGACACTATCGATGGGCATCAGGTTGGTACGTCAGTGAGTGTATTAGGTGATCTTTCAAGAAGAACGAAACCTTGTAAGTAGATCGTTTTATGCTTTAAAAGTTTTATCGTACCTAACTTCACATTTTGTGTTATGAAAATAAATGAAATCAAACTTTCAATTTAGCCATACGTAAAGAGATAGTTCAAAGAGGAAACGCACTTCATGTGAAGGTGAGTTTTACCTTTATCCAAGATAAGATTATTCTAAGCAACATTTTCTTCTTATCATAGACAATCTAAAGTAATAACTCCCAATTTATATAAGATAGCCAGTTGATATCCCTCTCTTCTTGTCAAAGACAATCTAAAGTGACTACTCTCTTCTTATATCAGATAGCCAGACAATCACAGACAATCTAAAGTTAGAACTTATCTTAGATGAGCACTCCCACATAAATATAAGAGAACTATTGGGATAAAAGTCCAGTATATGTCCGACACAATAAATTTCTAGTATTTTGAAAATTACTTTTTTCGACCTCGAGAGGAAAGTAGAAAACTTCTTGCTATCTCAATGGTTGTAGAATCCCTACTGTATCGTCCTTATCAACACAAACTTCGATCACAAATCCGTTCCACGAAATGGTGCGAGTGCGGATCGTCAAAATATAAAAAGATTCCTGAATGCAGCAGGCTTCAACACAATTCATTTTTACGATGACCTCGAAAGAAAAGATACTTTGGAATTAATGGAGAAAATCTCATCGTCCACAGCACTAAGTAAGTTCTAAATGTTATTTTCAAAAAAAAAGAATGCCAGTAGAAGTAGGCCGTATTCTGTCGCACAAAGTCGCTTAGAAAACGATTTTCGTTGCCCCCCATCGGGCACTACATTTTAACACGATAGATAAGTAGAAAATATCATAGAAAGTGTAAATTCGCTTGTTTCCTTCTTCAAACACTCGCAGTTTTTGGGTATTTCAGCATTGAAAATTGAACAATTTGATGTCTTTCACAATCGATCGACGCCATTTTCATTACGTTATTCTCGCGATACTTGATGCTCAGGCAAGCTTCAACCAGGAAGCTTTGGATGGCGTTGGACAGTGTTTTGAGCAAGAATTTAACAGTGTTCAAACTGAAGTAAATAGAAAATATGTACTTAAACACATTTGAGATATTTTTTGACGATTTCTACTTTAGGAAGAAAAAGTTCTTGAAAAAATCTGGAGAATGTTGTCACCCATTTTACGGCAACGCCTTTCGGAGTAAAGTGGACACTTGTGTTTGTTCTGAACACTGTATTTCGGGAATTCTTCGAACCAATTAATTTTTTTAGTGTTTGTTTTAAGCTAAAAAAATTACAATACTTGGCAGACAACAAAGTACGGAATGTTACCCCCCCAAAAATTGTTCTAATTCTACATAAAAATGCTTTCAAGTTCAACTAAGCATATAATGGCGTCATCTCCTTTACGCCCAGTTCACATATAGTTGTAATTACTGTAAACAATCGGCGATGAACATCTACAAAAATTACAACACCTGGCGTACACATATAGTTGTAATTTCTTTGCGATAGCGCCAGGCCTTGCGTGGCTCAAAGTCTGCTATTTTCGTCACCTATGCGCATGCGTGGAAATAAATTGAATAACGATCAAATTATTGAAATTTCAATGGTGAAATATTCAAAACTGCGGGTTTTTGAAGGTGAAAACAAGTGAATTTACACTTTCTATATATCTTACTTATCTATAGTGTTAAAATATAGTACCCGATGGGGGGCAACAAAACTGAACGATAATCGGGCGTGGCACAGAATACGGCCTAAAGCGGAAATGAAAATGTTTTACATGTTGTTTACGTAAATCATCGTGGACAAGTAAATCCTTTTCAATAAACATGACAACGCAAAAATATAAGGAATAGGAAACTATTATGATTTTTTCAATTCATCCTTCAGATGGACATGATGGTTTGATGGTCTTCATCTCCAGTTACGGAAAAAAGAAAGGAATCTTGACTAAAGATAGAAAAGTGATTAAAACAGAAGAGCTCACATCACGTGTAAACGGTAACCAATGTGAAGCATTGCGAGGAAAACCCAAGCTATTCTTCATATCTGCCTGCAGGGGAAAAAAAGCCGATCCTGGACATAGCGGAGTCATCGACCATGATGCCGGAGGCAATGATCTTGTTGTGCCCAAATTGCCAACAGAAGCAGACTTCCTTGTCTGTTACTGTTCAGTTAGCGGCTATATCTCTATGCGAAGATTTGCCCTCAACATGGAAGATTCCACCGAAATGGGCATGTGGTTTATTAGTGTGCTGACTCAAGTATTCGAAGAACGAATGGAAGATGACGACGTCATGCAAATGTTGGCAGTTGTCAATGCACGAGTAGCTGATATGGCGACAGGAAATGATCATAAACATGGTAAAAAACAAATGCCTGTTCAAATGCATATGCTGAGACATCGTGTGTTCCTTGGTAAAAATGAGTAAACATACGTAAAGACAAAAAAAATCTCCATGTGATGTACATAAATAGAAATGCCAAAGAAGAACGTGATTTTTTAAATAAACAAAGTACCAAATCGAGTTAAACAATAATTTTCGAACCGTTTACAAACCGTTTATTCATTCGGATTTGATTTCGCAGTTTTAACTTAAAATTTCATGCACAAACGTTGCCATTCTTGGTCAATACGCTCCTGGAAATTCGATGATAAGATGTAAAATCAGAGTCTTCACTAGAACATTAATTGGGGGAGGGGAGGTGTGTTCATATATTTAGTTGTGCCCTACTGATTTCACTCGAAAGCCAATTCATTTTAAAAAGAAATCAATAGGGCACAACTGAATATACAAACATACACTCCCTCCCCAAACTAATCTTCAAGCTATGAACCAATGTAAAAGAGTGTGTACAAATAACGCTGAACAAAGACAGTTTCCACTTATACATATTTATTCCTCAAGAAATTCCATAACCGAAAGTTAACATCAAGTCATTTGTAACAAAATATTCTCGTTTGGTCAGTTACTGGTTGACCAGACATCGCTTCTCCTAGATCTTCACTAAGTACCGCAATTTTTTCAGGTTTATCCCAGTACGTAACCGCTTGCGCCATAGCACGGGCTCGCTTTTCTGGGGAGCCGCTTTAAAAATACCTGAGCCCACGAATACACCGTCCATTCCAAGCTGCATGAGCATAGAGACATCAGCAGGTGTAGCTGGATAAAATGAGTATGGATCATTGAGGGACTGTTGAGGTTATATATTGTATATAACTATAACTTTTAATTGGTGATAACCGTGATAACGATTTCAGAATTTAAAACTTTCTTTTGCCACAATGTTCAAAGAGGCAATGTTATATTATTTCAGACACGTACTGCAACCACTATTCTTATAAAGAAAGCAGAAAACTTACCCAAGCCACCAGCAGCAAAGTTTACAACAGGCAATCGACCAAGCTCAGCAGTCTTTTAAGAAGTTGATAAGATACCTTTAATTCTTTTGCATAAGCATAAAGTTCTGAAGCATCCATAGACTGCGCTTTTTTTACTTCACTGTTTATCTGCCTAGCATGACGAACTGCTTCTGCAACATCCCCTGTATTGACATGAAATATTAGTGACACATGAATGCTTTGCTCATGATCGTAAAGATAACGTGAACAAGTTGGGATTGGCGTAGCCAGCTCGCAAATTTGGTCGTGCTATGTCAATTTTTCTGTGTTTACTCACTGTAAAAACAATAGATTTCTAAAGATATGACTAATGTTAATGTCTAAAATTTACATAGCAGGACCAAAATATGAGGTTTGGCTACGACACTACAAGTTGGTATGGTTATTGTTCCCAATTCAAACCTGTTCCTGCCTCTCCTTTGGTTCGTATCATTGCAGCACCTTCATCAATTCTTCGTAATGCTTCGCCCAAGTCTCGAGCACCACAAACAAATGGAATTTTAAAATCATGTTTGTTGATGTGATGAACATAATCGGCAGGTGTTAATACTAAATAAAAAAGAGAAAATATGAGGAGAGTCTGGTTAAGGAAATTTGTAAGGAAATGTATGAAAATCAGGTTTAAGGTATTTTGATATAAAATATTAGGAGAATTAGGTTAAAGATATTTTAAAGAAAACACTCGAGAATCAGGCTCAAGACATTAGAAAAACAACAAGAGAAGAATGAAACTGAAGACAATTAAAAGAAACATCAGGAGAATTAGACCAAAAACAATAAAAAACATTCAACAATTTTCTTTAAATAAAAATAAATATATGAACCAAATACAAAAAAATAAATATTCCAAATAAAAACTACAACAATACCTTCTGACTCATCAATCATGTCAACTCCAATCTCTTGCAAGATTTGAGCTTCCGCAAAATGTCCTATACGAGCCTTGGCCATAACTGGAATGGTTACAGCTGCCATGATGTCTTTTATCATCTTTACACAAGAAATTTAATGCAGAACAATTCAAATTATTAAAGCATGCCATCAATTATTTTTGAATCAATGTAGAAAATGGTAAAAACTTCTTTTGAAGATTTTTCATTTGAAGCTTTGTTGTTGTGATATTTAGACTCACATGACACTTGTATTGGTTAAATTTTTGTTCAACATTTTCTTCATTAACATATTAAAAAAATATTTTAACTTTACTACACAATGAATGAGTAAAGTAACCTGAAATACTGAGCCACAAGTTATCAAATTCAGCTTTCATGAAGGTTAAGGATTCTGCTCAGTAACTCATGGCAACAAAGAAGGATTTAAAATAAACTCATACAAAATTTAGCTTTTCAGAATATCATAAGAATTGATATACTTTGACTACAAAGCTTGGAATGAAAATCTTCAAGTCACATTAATTGAAGTTTTCCTCATTTTCAATAGCTATTTAATAAGCACTTGGTTATTTTCAGGGCTGGAAAATGTCCAGTAATAGTAGAAGTAGTTTTAGAATTCTTATGAAAATTTCGCAAATATCAATTAGATTTAGAAGATTGGTAAATCAAAATGTAAGTAGATTGTAATCTGTAATACATAAACAGTGTGCGAAGTAGTTGAGAAAAAACGATGTGAAATTTTTTTTAATAAAAGTGTTTCTTTAGAGGCATAAACAAAACGATATTACGTTAATTATTACATAGCACTAATTGCTAAATTAATATTTTTAAATGTGAACAAATTCATGATTTACGACAGTGTTTTTCATTACAATCGCTGATCCAATTACAAATGTATTAGAGAAATTTTTTGCGCATGTTATTCTCTCCTCTTTTTTGTGCAAAAGTGAAAAGAGAATAACCGAATATACTTTTTCTTTCTGATTATTAGTTAATTCGCACACTGCATAAAGTAAACAACAAACTTCAGGAATTCATATGCAACTGCTAACACCAACGTATGAACATTTGTATTCAATAGTTATTGATGAAACATTTTCACAGGAATTATTTTGGTTTGACAGGAAATTTCTATATTTGAAATTTGCAGCCAGGAACCAAAACAATTTATCCAGGCTTGGTTACCTTGGGATCAGACATCCTTGCAACACCCCCTTGACTCCTGATGTCAAAAGGCACTCTTTCCAAGGCCATGACTGCACATGCCTATAATGTATCATCATTCATTATCTAATATCTAAAATTTATTTTTAACACTTTAAATTAATAAAGTTTCAAACCCACCCCAGCAGCTTCAGCAATTTTTGCTTGCTCAACATTCACAACATCCATAACTATCCCTCCTTTAGCCATCTGAGCTAAACCAGACTTCACCCTAAATGTTCCTATATGATCCATGCGATTATTGATACATTGATTTGAATTTTGAAAAATCAACAAAAAAAATTGTGAGTTTAATACCTGTTTCGTACATCAAATCCATCTTTGCACTAGACTCTTTCTTTAATTTTATATTTTTTGTTAAATTTACTATATCATTAACTCCATTGTCTGCAAGAAAATAGCATTTTTTTAAGAGCACAAGAATGGATACGGAATTTTATTGTTGGTTATTTAATCGCCTCAACCATAAAACTGCCTTGACTTGATGAAAAGATGAAATTGCCCTTGTCAACATCTCGTGCACGTAAATCACGTGTATGTCATCACGTGTACGGTGTACAATAGCTATGTAACACTTAGATAATATTTTTGTTTAGTTGATCCCATGATAAGTAACATACGTGATGAGAATGCAAAGAAATATATCCTTGTAAATAAAGTGATTATGACAATAAAATCGAAACTATTACTCTCTATAATTGCAGTATATGAATCCCAGTATACATAAAAGTTGTGTTGAAACATCACGCGCTGAAAGATTAATTCTTTTTCATAATTCAAATCTTATATAACACATATCAAACGACTTACGAGCTTCCATTTTCTGCAGCAGATGCCTTTTTTACATCGACCTTTCCTAATAGAATAACATATATCAATAAATGAGACAGTGTTTAGTAAACAAATGGGCTAAAAATAAAAAACTAAGACTGAATTATTGTTTGTTGGTCGACGGCTTTCCAGACCTTTATAATTGTTTCCGCTACCCGGTGTCATGTGTGGTCCTCTGGTTGTGTCGCTTCTACAGGGGGTAGGTAGGCGTTAATTGGGAGTGACTGTGGGTACGGTGGGATATTTATTTTGCAATTTGACTATCAACAGTTGGTTCTCTGGTCATTTGATCTATTAACGAACAGAGAGTTTTAAATAGAAATAAACTATCAAATAGCTAACATCAAAATATCGAATGAAAGCATAAAACAAAAATATATTCGGAGTGTGATCAACGCTTGCCTACTGCTTTGTATGGTTATCATGGGAGGAAAGAAATGCAAGCTATTCACGTGTCGCACGTTTTAAGTTGATGTTTGTGCATGTCTTAAGAATGGAAGTAAATGTTGGTATTTTAGCTATCCAAGGCGGCTTTTCTGAACATGAAAGCGCTTTGTTGAATTGTCTTAAAGAAAACGGCGGTGTTATTGATGGTGTTGCTCTACGAGTGAGGAAAGTCACAGAGATATGTGATTTGCAAGATTTAAATGGTCTTATAATTCCGGGTGGAGAAAGTTCGGTTAATTCACAGATAATGAGTGAAGAAATGATTGAAGAACTCGCAAATTGGTCAAGTAACCAGAAGCATTTTGTATTTGGAACTTGTGCAGGTTTGATTACAATGTCAAAGAATATTGAAAATGCTTTTCCTGGTCAAGAAAATCACTTCTCAAAGGTATTCAATATGTGTACACTATGTTTGCCATTTTCCAACCACTTATACATGACCATATTCAATTATTTTTCATTTTCTAAAGTTAGCCAAACTTGATGTTACAACAAGCAGGAACTACTTTGGACGTCAACAAAATAGTTTCGAAGGCAAAGTATTCATTAAAGAGAAACAAATTTCAAAATATGATGAAAATATGTCAGAGATTTGCTTTGGGGTATTCATTAGAGCACCTGCCATTGTCTCAATAAATAGTGTTGATATAAAACTTTTGGCAACAGTTGTTGTAGACAATAAAGAAATCATTGTAGCTGTTGAACAAAACAACTGCATGGGTTTGGCATTTCATCCTGAGTTGACTAATGACATTAGATGGCATGCCTACTTCTTGTCTCGTATTGTACAACTTTGTGAAAGCTAAACAAATATGAAAATTTATGAGCCTACAAGTATTTTACAGTCAATCTGTATAAACCTAAAATTATATCAAAGCATTGAAGATTTGTGTTCATTGTTTGATTGAGTCTCGTACATTTTCAGTTCACTTTTTAACAATTTTCCCCATAGAAAACTATTAGGATGACAACATTTGGTTTTCCTATTTTCATTGTCAATCATTTCTCTTCCCTCGTTTGCCCATTTAAATATTGATCCTTCAAGGTTTTGTATCACTGGCATGAAGCTGATTTTTTGTGCTTCAGCAAGCAATTTACAGTGGGGATAGAGTTTTTGAGCCATCAAGGAAGAGCGGTATCCCAACGAACAATAACATACAATAATTACTTTTCCATTTTCACAATCTATAATTCAAAAACAAGAGGAAACTTGTTGATTGTAATCTCAGTATAGAAGAAAATAAAAAACTCGAACAAAATTAAGATACCATCAAGAATTGGTTTGACCTTTCCAAAAACAGCTTCTGCTGTCTCGTCAGGATCAATATGTATAGATCCAGGTAAATGACTAACAGCATACTCCTCTTTCCTTCGTACATCCTAAAACAAAAGTTACAAAAGACTTAAATCAACAACGAATCAACGACATGTTGAAGTTAATGAATAATAGAACATCGCGTTGAGCTACTGACCAGCAGTATAAGATTTCTGCAGTTTTCTTTAATTAGATTTTCCAAATCTTCTGTTTCAAGTTGCTTCACTTTCGGAAATGCTTTTCTTATGCCAAACAGAGTAACGCGCATCGACATACTAATGCTGTCATCTTCGCTTTTCTTATCGTCCGCCATATTGCTTTATATGACGTCACAAGCGTTGTGCGAAATGATACAAAAGCCAAAACTTTGAAGTGAAGAAGATAAAAAAAGCCACGATACAAAGCCTATCTCTTGAAATTTATCCGTAAGTACCTCTCGTGGAAAAAAATCATTTAACAAAGACTTTTAAAAAGATTGACGACGAACAAAAAGGCAAATATCAGGGATAATGATAAGGAAACAAAACATCTGAAAGCAGTCAATATCTGGTCACTTTATTAACATGAAATAGCGTAACATAGGAGTCATATGACCACTGTCGCAAAATTTCACATCACTTTCCAGTTATTTTTTATCTCCATCTCTATTGGTGTGGGCACACCTCTAACCAACCTTTCAAAGCTTACCTCAGTTGTTTTTTACAATAAAACGCTGGGGTATTTTATGGTTGGTTACGCAAACAAAGTAAGAAAATAATGAGCTTTCGGATGAAATATTTCGAATAACATTAAAATAATAATTAAACACATTAATAATGACATGAACACAAACAAAATCTCATTGCAAGGCAGCATTGCAGCGAGTTCGGACGGTTCAGATAGGTGACACATCATAACTCAAAAAGAATTTTCTTCTGAAATTAAGGTAATGTAACTTAACATTTATTGGTCCTACTCTGGCATGACGAGAAAGTAATGAACTATCGTTAAAATTTGCTCATGAAACTTAAACTTTTGCGCTTTGTGACATGTTTGACGTAATGAAAGACAGAGATATAAAAGTGCCTTTAAAACCAGAGAAAGTCATGTGTATAATAACTAAATAATTAAATAACCGTCGAACTGCAATAACTTGAAAAACAGCGCAGCTAGTTTACATGTGTAGATGTAGATCGTCCAGGTTGGTATAGTCCTGAGGAGGACTGTTTTTGTTGTTGTTGACTGACGTTTCGACAACCTTAGCGGTAGTCACCTTCAGAGTCATCTTCAGAGTCCCGGGTTCAAACCATTTACTTTAGCAGCTAGTTCAGTTAAATAAGATTTTGCTTGAGAAAAAATGCGACGAAATAATGGAGTGGTTGATATGAACGGTGATAATAAATGAAAAAGTGACTGTTGGATAAATTAATTACACTTTAATATATATTTTACTGCCTGATTATGATTCGTGTTCATCTTTTTATTAATGATGCAAATGCAATACACAAATTGAAGCACAAGAATAAACTCAATAAAGCACATTCTTTTCTTACGTCTGTAACTTATAAACTATGACTAGTTGTCACTATTGTTTTCGAGAACTAGCGTTAATGCTTAACTTTTACTTACCGCTTGCGTTGCGAATCAGCAAATCTCTATACCAGCAGGAGTCGGGAAAAAAACGCGAGCGAGGGACAGGAGCACGGAATCCAGGAATCCTGTAATGATATATAGATAAAATAAATATTTTGACATAGAGGAAACAAAATATATGATGAAATTATTGAAATAAGCACTATTTTTTATTAATCAGAGTTTTTGAAATTGGTACATGTTCTAGGTTTCGTAGGAATAAAATCTGTTTATTCAAAATCATGGCCAGAAATTTGCGAGATGGAAAGCGGATTTCATTGTAAATACATTAGCCCAATATAAGAATTTTAAAATAGCCATCACGACAATAAATTAGAAATAAAGATAAAAGGTTTCTTAATAATGACGTTTCGTCTTTAACTTAAGTCATCTTCAGCTTATTGTGTGAAAAAACTGCCGACACGAAATACCCACATTCCGTCCAAATAAACATTATTACGCGCGTCCCATTTTTACCACACCAAATGAAAGCTAAATATTGCACTAACTTGACTTTTTTCCCTTTAAAAGTGAAATAATTTTGCAAACAGAAGATTAAACTTCATAACACAAATATTTATCAACCATACTACGTGATATCAACTGTTCCAGAAGGAAATACCAAACTCAGTGTGTGTCACAGTATTCTGAGTTTTGTCCAATCCATAAGCTTCCGACATCAATTAACCTTACAATTAGACATAACTTGGCAGAAGAGCGTTCTAATTCCATGTAAAAAATTATATATGCGTTTAAAGATTTCAACGACTTTATCTATGACCAGTAAGAATGGGACGAAAACACTCGAAATCAATTTTAATGCTATTTTGGGAAAAAAGGAAATAAATTAAGCGACAAAAATACTTTAGGTCTGTTAAAAGGAGAACATAAGTGTTTGTGCCAAGACAATGAATGAAAGTCTTTCATAACGTTTTGGTTTTAAATTGCAATTTTTAGCACTGCTTGATTAAATTACTGCATATTTTCTCGTGTAAGTTGGAAAACGCTCAAGAGATTTTAGACAACATGACCAAATTATCATAAAAAATGTTCAACATACACACTCGAATTTATGTATTTTAACTGATGCTTTAATCCCGCTATTGTCATTCCAACAAAGACATCAATACAATAATACGTGTTTAAGTCGTTGGTCGGTTGCCAACACGGTAACAGTCAGGATGAATACTGATTTATCTTTGTTCTAACAGAAAACGTATGTGTAACTTTTTGTTATAATTTTATGGGACTTAGCTCACACGTGACTCGGAGAAATTGCTAAAATGCGACGATGTTTATGTCGAGAATTCTATATTCAAAACATACCGATCGATTCCACTTTTCTAGTTCCAGCTGGTCTTCGTCAATTCTTCTTTTGCTATTTTTCCATGATTTACAAATTCTTAACAAACCGTTATATGATGTATGGTTGGAGAATTGGAATCTATTTTAAGTGTAAAATAAACACAATTTCTTAATCTCTTGTTCCTTGGTGTTGTTACATAACACGGAAAGTGCTTTAGTCCAAAAGCCGAATACATACTGCAGACTTTATAAACGACTTGCTTCAATAAACGAAGTTATAATAATCAATAAAAAATATGTTTTCTTATTTTCCAAGGTTTGGAATTTCCACTGTGACCATCAAAATGTATTGTTCTTTGATTCTAGTTCTCTCTCTCTTGAAATCTGCAGGTATATCGTTCAGTTATTTTTTGTTCCGAATTTCACAATTTAAGATACGAGATATACGACTTTTAAATTCGCAAAATTCGCAAACAGTAAATCTTTGTATTTATGTCTTTACGTATAGCTGGAGCTGAAATCGTGTATGATTATGATTCGGCTGACTATGGTAAATAAAAATCTTTATTGTCTTTCCAATAGCACATGCAATCATCAAATAAACAAGACAGACAAATTATTTATAAATTAAACGCTTATGGTAGCCAGAATTACACAACTTGTTTGTAATTTATCAGGTGTTACTACATGGGCTACGAGGTATCCTAACTTCTGTAACGGAACTAAACAGTCTCCTGTCGATATCGTTAACGCAATGCCCAACAGAAATCTTGGCAACATTAAGTTCGACAACTACATGCAAAACAATGTGACTGTTACTGTAACAAATAACGGTCATACATACGTGACGTCAAACATCAGTAACTATTACCCAGTCCCCTTTATCAGTGGTGGTGGATTACCAGGGACATATCAACTAGCTCAATTTCATTTTCACTGGGGTGATGACTCAACTAAAGGATCAGAACATACGGTGAATGGAAAGATGTATGCAGCAGAGGTAAGATTAGTGTTGTAGTTTACACGACACGTAGTTCACAATCTTCTTAAATAAAATAGAATTACATTTTGATTTTTTTTCAAATATTTTAAGCTTCATTTGGTTCATATGAACATGAAATATTCGAATCTCACAGAAGCTGTAGGAAAGTCAGATGGTCTTGCTGTTTTAGGAATATTTATTGAAGTGAGTTATGAATATGAGCTATGGTATTTTTTCAGTGTATATAATTTGATAAATTCCTTTTCTTACAGGAAGGAGACGCCAACCCTTATTATGACTTTATCAATCTCACAACTTATGACGTCACTTATCCAGGTGAGGAATGTTGATGAAGTCTTGTATGTAAAGTGAGGATATTATTCACAGTTGAAGACAAAAAAGTAAGAAAAGAAAAGGCTGGTGTTGACATTAAACTCACCAAGCTGGTTTATTTTCTTGCTTAAGGTAACACCAGTACCACAGTAATAAAATCGTTGATGGGTCTACTCCCCAGAGAAAAGTCATTTTATCGTTATTACAATGGATCTCTCACGACGCCAACGTGTAATGAAGTCGTTACTTGGACTGTCTTCAACGAACCCATAACTTTTTCTCACTCACAGGTAAATTCCTATTCAAAAACAAAACAATTACACCTCAGTAAGTTGATGTTGCAGACGAAAATTTTCCCACTAAATAATGTGTTAATATTTCCAAAACTTACTTGGCTCATGTCCACAAAACTTTTTCTTTAGCTTGAGCAACTTCGTGGTATGAAATACTTTACTTTCAATAACACAGTGGCTCCTCTTGTGAATAACTACAGACCTGTTGAACCTCTCAATGGTCGTATGGTCCATTTCGTGCATGGTGGTACTTCAACTGTAACTACAACTGTGATTCAAACCTCAACTACCACTGTGTCTTCAACTGCCACTGTGTCTTCAACTGCCACTGTGTCTTCAACTACCACTGTGTCTTCAACTGCCACTGTGTCTTCAACTGCAACTGTGACAGTTTGTCCAACCATGTCGAGTACAACTAGTGGTGTTGTCAGCCACGTTCATCGGAACGTTTTCGTATACTTCGTCAGTTTAATAATTGTCACGCTAATGTTCCTGCAAAATTAAACATCGCGTCTTTACTGTAGAGACTAAATTAGCTGCTTAAAGTATTTTGTACAGAATTAATACACTCCCAAGTCATCCTTACCAAACAACGTCATGTAATCGCATCGACTTATTTGAAATAGTCGCCATGTATATCGTAAAATGTATAGCACTAAATATGTAGAAAATTTTTGTGTGAAAAAATATAGTATGCATAACACTCCTGCCATTTCTTACAACTGGCAAAACACTCATGGTCGACGATGCAAAACGTGGAAGAAAATTATGCAAATATTTTTCAACAGAAAAATCCCTACAAAAATCTGCTATTTACTTAGGGGGAGGCTGTCCCTCTCAATAAATTTATGCATCCTACGACTTATTTCAAAAACTTATCACTGTTTCACAAGGAGAAAAAATACAAAGTTTGTTTACTCTTAAGCCTCTAATCGAAACAGGCAAAAAGTCCTTCCTCTTTCATTTTCCTTATAATTTGTTGATTTCGTTGCCACAAACATCATTTGTATTTCTGTCACTAATTCAGGGGTTGCGGTATTGAGTAAGAGTACGATCATTACATTGCTTACGGCAAGAGCAGCAACTGTAACGAACGTTGAAATTGCAGAAAATTATTCAACCTCCTTAAACGTACATCGTTTATTTTGTTGGGCCTCTTAAAAACAATTTGGTTCCACCGCCCATGCTGCCATGCACATTTACATTAAAGAATACCATGAGAAGAAAATGAAACTTTCCAGAAGTTGAACTAGGTTGTAGAGCTGGGGATAACTAGGTACACCGCCCCTCCCTCCCCCCCCCCAACGTTTTCAATGGACAAGCGCCTAAAATTTTTAATTTATAATATCTTCTTATTCTACTCTGCCAATGGGGCATCGTGGGTTTGTGACCTGCAGTAAATTTCAGTAATTTTCTTTAATTATACTTTCCTTCACTTGTCGTCCGCCATATTTCTTTATAAGCTATTTATTTCTTTATAAATAATATAGTTATTCGTTTAATCTTTATAAAGATTTAATAAATAACTGTATTATTTATAATCTCTATGGTCACAAGCATGGTGCGAAATGGCGAGAAAGTAAAAACGTAAATCTAAGTTATAAAAAAAGTCGTTTAATTAAAATTCGTCTTTAGATAACTTTATGCAATAAAATAAATTTTCTTTGAGTTTTTGTTCTTTCAAATAATTCAAATTCAAAATACAATTAGAAGAAAGTGCATGCTACACCATTTGCTATCTCTCATTCTCAAAGGCAGTAGGATTGGATAAAATTATAGCTTCAGGCTATAAAAATACACAACTCATTCTATTTGTCTGTCAACAACGAAAATTATACTAAATTATATGTAATCTGTTCATTAAATCAAATACCTTTCCATAAAGGTCTGAAGTGTCGGCTTTGTTCAAAGCCAGCGACCAAACTAAAGCGACGAAGTATTGCCCAATTTCAATTCTATATCTACTCATACATTGCAAAAACATGAAGCAATAATATTTGCGCTGACAATTATGGAAGTATTTGAACGCTAATGATTTTCGCTCGAATCGGCAATTTGTTTTTCGACAAAATAAAACGATCGAACGAGACTGTGCTCGAAGACAAAGTTTTATAAAACATTGACTTAACAAAGGCATTTGTTATACCAATTGATGATAAAAAATCTTGTCAAACTTTGGACCATATTTTCATTCACATGCACTAAATATTTAACTACATATCTGGTAAGAATCATATCTCAACAACAGAAAAAAAGCGAGCTTCATGATGTAATCAAGTATTTGATGAATTGGCATTTTCCTGTTGTGTTTCACAGGCAACATACTGAGACTTTTTCTTTTAAATATCTATAGTCACAAACTGTATCACATCTTGAGCATTTCCAAGTATTTTTGTACCACATTCCAAGTATTTTTGTATGCTAAAAGACACTATCATCCATTGCTGTCATGCCATCTCTCTAGACTATAATAGAATATTGAACAAATATTTCTTCATGCAACATGACTAAACGGTTAAATGTAAATCACTCGACTTACCAAAAAGCAAGTGCATGTTTATCAGTACAATAGTAGTAGTAAGCTTGCAAGTTTTAAGTTTTTGTATTTATTTTAGATGATAACGCGTATGAAGCTATAGCTACAACACGTCTTTTCGAATATCTTGGTGTTTTGATCTTGCATGCAGATCTCACGTGCAATGATCATAAATACATAGAATCTCCCAGAGCTTAGAATTTTAAAGACAAATTTAGGATTGACTATTATAAGAACGAATTTGATTCAGTTTTTCTTTTGCTTGAGTATGCGCGTTTGTATTGGCAGATAAAAACAATATTGAACTTAGTTTTCAGATTCAATATAGAATAAAGCCACTATATAATATCATGCAGAATGGATAAAATTGATAATTTAATAAGAGATAAAATATATGTATATAATCTTTGAAACAAAGAGAATCTGAGGAGGCTTCGCTATTGTCGATCAATTATGTTGTCAAGCAATGAAGGATTATCGGAGGTGCACGAGAAACAATCGAAACATTTCAATCTATAAATGTATATTTTATACATTAGTTTTTTTGGAATAAAATTTGGGCTACCTATTTCGGCACACCTTTCACCAACCTCTCAAAGCAGTTGAATTTAATTGTTCGTCATAATAAAACCACAGGAATTTTATGGCTGGCTACACAAACAAAGTTTAATAAATATAACGAAAAATGAACGTGATTGGACATAACACACATACATATTTCAAATAACGGTTGACATATCGAATAATAATTAGACATATCAATAATAACATCGAAACAAAAAAATCTCATTGCAAGCCAGCATTTCAGCGAGTTTGGACGGTTCAGACAGGTGACAAATCATAACTCAAAAAGAATTTTTCTTCTGTAAAAAAGGTAAGCTAAGTTTACATTTATTGGTCCTAAACTAGAGTATGAGGAGAGATGATAAACACAATCATTGAAAATTGTTCATTAAACTTGTACCCTTACATATGTCATGCAACAGTTTGGGCGTAATCTAATATATAGATATGTAAAATGCTTTTATAGCTGGAAAGAGTTATTCATGTAAGTAAATCTTTTATTAAATGTCGAACTGCAATAAGTTGAAAACATTGTAAAGTTTAAGTAAGATTTTGCTTGAACAAAAAGATGACGAAAAAATGAAGTGGCGAATATAAACAGTGATAAGTAAATAAAAAATATGTATGACTGTTTCAACATACACAGACCGTATTTATAACATAAAATGCGTTTTAAACTGCTCGATTATCTGCTTTCATGGGAAGACTAAAAATATTTTGCGTGAATATTCAAACTCTCCATCTCAGCAGGAGTCGTATAAAGGAATACGGAATACGGAATCCAGGAACTGTGTGAAACAAATATTTATAATCAATGTTTACAATTCACACACATCTATCAGCAAAAAAATAATGAATGCATGTGTAGAAATAATTTTATCATTAGGAATTATCAGAGACACAACTTAAAGTTTGCGTTAAAATAAAATCTGTTTCTTGTGTGAGGAACTCGACGTCCCGTTACGATAAGCCCACATCCCGCACAAATACACGGTACTCCGCCCTTCGCGTTCTTTTTTTACCACACCTATCGTGTTTTTAACAAAGATATTACCACAAAACGAACATCAGCATTAACATCTGATTGTTAAAATAAAAGTTAAACATGTAGCAAAAACTACTTTTCCTTTAGCTAAAATCCTTCACACAACACTTCGTAAACAGCACAACATGAATCCAAGAAGGAAATACCAAACTCAGTGTGAGGTGTCGCGGTATGCCAGCGAGCATCTTCCCAATACATCAAATACAGAAGTCAATTTACCAGCAAATTCTAATTTATTTTGCACTGCACCTTATCACTAAACGTAAGACCAAAGTTATATTTTTCATCACATTGTTTTGATTAACAAATTAGCATAAAATATCAGAAAAAAGTGATTACATGTAAACGAAACAAGGCAACAAAATACTGTTCTAAAATAGACTAAATAAGCAGAAAACAAACAGTCAAAGACCTTCATATCTCTTGAATTTAGATTAAAATTTAGTAAAATTAGTTTCACAAAAAATTCTTTGACAAGAAGGAGCTGATATAATTTGCATAAATATGCGTAGAAAATTCGATGTCAATGCCAAGAAGATAATGAAAAGACTTTTTGGTATTGAATTACTATTTTTGGCACAGCATATCAACCAGGTTTAACAAAGCATATTTATAAGAAGCATTTAAACCAGGTTTATAGGAACCAGGTTTATAAGAATCATTTAAACCATGGAGTATTGCTTCATGTTTGTGGACATAGATCGTCCAGGTTAGAAAGACTGTTGATGTTGATGTTTCGACAATAATAGCGATGATAGCTGACCACTTCGAAATCGAAGATGACTACCGCTAAGATTATAAAACGTCAGTCAACATCAACACCAACAGTTCTTCTCAGGATCCTACTAATCTGGGCGATCTACATCTACAAACATGTAACGATACTTTAACTTAAAAAACCTAAATATTTTCCAAGTAAACGCAAGTCACTGGAGCGCATAACTTATGTGTAACTTTGTGTTATGATTCTGATCTGGTAAAGTTGACACGTGACTCTTGGCGAAAATGATAAAAATTCGACCATGTTCATATGAAAAGTTCTAGGTTTAGAAAATGAATCGATTGATTTTATTATTCTTTTCTTCCTACTCCTTCATTTTTTCGTACTTTCAGCTTCAGGTTATAGTTGAGGTAACTGGGAAATATTTAAAGTGATAAAGAACACGAATTCATATTTGTTCTTTTTTTGTTGTCACACAGAAGACGCGTCGCTCGAGTCCCAAAGCCAAAAATGCATATGGTCCTATTTCAAATTTTTAAACGACATGCTTGGAATTACTTTTTAAAAACTCAATTAAAAATGTGCTTTCTTTATTTTCAAGGTTTTAAAACTTTACTGTAACCGACGAAAATGTTTTGCTCAATGATTCTGGTTCTCTCTCTCTTGCACTTTGCAGGTATATCGTTCGGTTATTTTTTGGTTCCGGAATTTCACAACTTAAGATTTGAGATGTACGACTTTAAAATTCTCAAAATTCGCAAACAGTAAATATTTGTATTTATGTCTTTACGTATAGCTGGAGCTGGAGCCAAGTATGATTATGATTCGGCTGACTATGGTAAATAAAAAAATCTTTATTGTCTTTCCTATAGCACATGCAATCATCAAATAAACAAGACAACAAATTATTTATAAATTAAAACGGTTATTGTAGCCAGAATAACACAACTTGTTTGTAATTTATCAGGTGTTACTACATGGGCTACGAGGTATCCTAACTTCTGTAGTGGAACTAGACAGTCTCCTGTTGATATTGTTAACACAATGCCCAACAAAAATCTTGGCAACATTAAGTTCGACAACTATATGCAAAATAATGTGGCTGTTACTGTAACAAATAACGGTCATACATACGTGACGTCAAGCATCAGTAACTATAATCCAGTCCCCTTCATCAGTGGTGGTGGATTACCAGGGACATATCAACTGGCTCAATTTCATTTTCACTGGGGCGATGACTCAACTAAAGGATCAGAACATACGGTGAATGGAAAGAAGTATGCAGCAGAGGTAAGATTAGTGTTGTAGTTTACACGACACGAAGTTCACAATCTTCTTAAATAAAATAGAATTACATTTTGGGTTTTTTTCAAATATTTTAAGCTTCATTTGGTTCATTGGAATACGAAATATTCAAATTTCAGTGAAGCTGCAGGAAAGTCAGATGGTCTTGCTGTTTTAGGAATATTTATTGAAGTGAGTTATGAATATGAGCTATGGCATTTTTTCAGTGTAAATAATTTGATAAATTCCTTTTTTTCAAAGGAAGGAGAAGCCAACACTTATTATGACTTTATCAACCTTACAAGACATGATGTCACTTATCCAGGTGAGAGATGTAAACAAACTTGAGTGTGAAGTGAGGATATTATTCACAGTTGAAGATTAAAGACTAAAGAAAAGAGAAGGCTGATGTTGACAGCAAACTTACAAAGCTGATTTATTTTCTTGCTTAAGGTAACACCAGTACCACAGTCATAAAATCATTGATGGGTCTACTTCCCAGTCGAAAGTCATTTTATCGTTATTACAATGGATCTCTCACGACGCCAACGTGTGACGAAGTCGTTACTTGGACTGTCTTCGATCGCTCCATTTCGCTTTCCAGGTCTCAGGTAAATTTCTGCGAAAAAATAAAACAAATAAATCGAAATACCATTAAAATCACTTGATGATACTAACACAGTTATCGCTTATGTCATGAAACTTTTCCTTTAGCTTGAACAACTTCGTGGTATGAAATACTTTACTTTCAGTAACACAATAGCTCCTCTTGTGAATAACTACAGACCTGTTGAACCTCTCAATGGTCGTGTGGTCTACTTCAGTGGTGCTAGCCATATTTCTCAGAATTTCTTCCTGTACTTCGCCAGTTTTACGATGGTCATCCTTGCTTTCTTGGAAAAATGAACCACACGTTTTTGTAGCATCAATAACTTTTTTAATCTTTGTTCAAAACTTCATGTTTATTAGTCCCACATTTTTAACAAAAATGAGCACTTTCACTTAATTACTCACAGAACACGTTATGTAGCAAATAGATTTTGATCTTATTGATTTATTTAAAGAATCACAATTAAAATTTAAAAGTATTTCTTAATTTTTTGACTTTTTGGATAAGTGTTATGTTTAAATTAGAACTTGCTAATTTTTCACATAGCTTTTTCTCAACAAGTATTGTTGGTCATTTTAAGAAATACACATTGAAACATGGATATCCGTATAGCTGCTATACATCATATGTAAACAAGATTTGAGTTGCGTAGAGCAGATCACAGTGACTTCAAAGGAATATGTATTTCTTTAATGAATTTCAAAAATAATGATCTTAAAACTAAAAATTATTTTACAATATATGTCTTTCGTTTCATACAAATTGAATTTTGAGGGTGTAAGACGATGCTTCACGTAGTTCGGACTTCAACGAAATTAAATCAAAAAGAATATTTGTCTCATAAAAAAATATTTACAATCAACTTTTGCAACTAATTATATTTTATGAGCTCTTGAGCTAAGTTTCGCACAATCTGTGCGAAGTGCTGGTTCAATGTTCTCAAACTTCACTCTAACAATTGGACTGTATTTTGAATATAATATTTAACATTTCGATAGGATATTTACAGTGTCTGTGCACGATTTTTACGTTACGGAGTTTCAAGCGTTGGTTCTTCGCGATACGGAATATTTAAATTGATCTCGTTCAGATTACGAACAACCGTCAATCCTTGTTGCGTTTTCGAACTTTTTGCTTCTGCAATACTACTCTAATTTATCAAATTTGTATGACCAGTTCATACACCAATAACGTCAACTTTTCCGAACTCTCAAACCAACGCTTGCAAGCTATATTTATGTATAATTATTCGAAGTGGTTTTAGGTGTTTACATATGACTTGCAACTTTGCATTCCGTTTCTACCTACATCCTACCGCAATGACGCATTGCGGTGAGAAAGTGTTTTCTTGACGTATTAGTCTTTAAAACAAAATGATTCTAATTTCCAGAGCTCGTATAGTCTTTAATATACTCTTGTTAAAACAACAATGTGAGCTTTTTCAACAAGTGCACTTTCGTTTTTAAAAAGGGCTTAACCTTCAGAATGCTCGATTATGATTGGTCGATGTTCAAAAAGTTATACACATTTTACTTTCATGACATTTTTGTACAACTGGTAGGTACTGGTAGTTGACTTTTAAGTACTGCCATTGAGCTTGAATGCCATGACAACACTTGTGGAGTAAAAACATTTTACGTCAAAAATTAAAATAACGATGACTAATTCAAGATCAAACGTCCGCTCTATGGAAATTATACACTGCAAGTCAGTCGTCATTAATTATTTTAAGGGAGTCGTGCAGAGTGCTGCAGTCGCGACGCTACTTCTGAATTCATAAAATCTAAGTGCAACTATTTCTATTCATGTGTATTGTATGTACTTTACGTGGAAGTTGTATGTATTTTACGTGAGTACTCACAAACTTTAAGTGGAATTGGATTTTTGTTCTTGGAGGTTTAACGTCATAGGATAACTTAGCCACGAACCAATCAGCTTTTGCAACAAGTGGATAATTGTTACAGAATAAATAAGAATAAAGATTAACGTCTCATTTGACGCAAAGTTCACAGCAAGTCCAGATGAATAAACTTCAACAAACGTTCACATAGCAATAAAGAGCAAATTTTCTACTGAAACAGGTAAGGTACAGTCTGAATAAAAAAAGCGAAATTGATTGATAGCTTACATTTGTTCTTTAACTCTGGCATAGAAATAGAATACTTCAACCATTGACATGAACGTGTCAAACGGCGTAGTCAATTAAAATATGTAAATGTCGATGCGATGTACGTGATAGAACACTCGAATGTATAAAAGGCAAATGTTGCAATAAGTTGAAAAGACAGAGAAGTACGAGCGAAATGAAAAAAAAAATGGTCAAACTGACATTGGTGAATGTCAATGATTGAATGCGGGAACACACGAACAAACGGCATTTGTGAACTAAGACGTGTTTTTTTTCACGACTATTTTTTTCCTGGGAAGTTGAAATTTTTCATATACTTATACTCGTGTTTGACTTTCCCTTGTAACGCTAGCTTTTGTGCAGAATGATGGAAGATTTTACCTTCGATTTTCATTTGCGTAACGCAAGCGTAAGGCTAGGTGGGGCAAAAAATGCGGAACACAGGTTCCAGGTTACAAGGAATTGGTGAATGAACACATGAAAAAAAATTAAAGTCTTAACTTCTGTATGCAGACAAAACATCTAATAAACTTAACGTTATCATTAAAAAATTTCTATGAAGAATAGTTTTAAGTTGAAAGTATAAGATTAAACGAGTTCGAGTTTGTTTTGCGATAAAGCTGTTGATCCGTTTTGACTAAACCCACATCCCGCCTAAGGAAACACACAATGTCTAATGCACAAATGTGCGTTTGCTTGATTTAAGTTAGTCTTTGTGTTTTCTTGCAAAGTTGAATGCAAACTACAAGTTCACGTCTTTTTCTGCTTAGCACACAATTTGAGGATATAATCATGGGATTTTAGGCTTCGTTAACATGATCGCGTGTGACATATAAACTACCCTAGAGCGACATACCTAACTCAGTTAAGATGGCCAATATTCGGATTTCTAACCAATTAAAACTGTCAATATCAATTGATCTCATTTGCAGAAATTAAAGCGACTCACCGAATCAAAAAGAATTCAATGAATATTTTTCTGTAGCTTTTCCTGACAAGCCATCCATCACACATACTCATATAATAAAGTAAACACAAAACAACCGCAATAATTCGACAGTAAAAAAAATGTGACCTCTAACAATTAATGAGCCTTACGCTTGTATAGAATTTCATCGAACACATGGCATTAAAATGGCGGCAGCAGGACTGATTCTCTTTAAGTTTTCTTTGTTATTTCAAAGGCTACATTTAATTGTTGGTTGGCATTTAATTTTTCTTTCATTATAACCAAATATTTTGCGTTGTTCAATTTAGCTTCCAATTATAATGTAATATAAAACGTTAACCCAGTTATAAATTGAGAACAGTGACAATAACTACGTCATGCGAAAGCACGCAAAACGGTTGGTTTCATTAAAGCCCGCCGCACACTGGTGAACTTGCCGCGCGTACTTGTTATTCGTGACAAGTGTGATCGACAAAAGTTCCTAGTGTGCGCGGAAGTTTTGAACAACATTTGTCATTCGTGACAGATGAGTCAAATATCAAACGCGTTTGATATTTTTTGTCACGAGTGACAAAAAATCCTAGAATGCGCACGCGCGAGATTAAGAAAAATGGCAGACCAAACCTCGGAACATGTGGCGGACATTATATAGAGGACCAGCTTGTTGATATTTGGCCTGAATATCCATGTCATTACGATGTAAGATCGTCGGAATTTAAAAATCGAGACGCAAGATAGGCTCTGCAAGAGATTGCAGAAAATCTTGGGCAAACAGGTTATTTGTTAATAATAAATATCGACTTTATAAGTGTTTGTTATATAGTCATTCTCCAATCTTTTAGTTCTTTTATTCAGTCCAAGCTGTTGAGCAGAGATTTATTTGCTGAAAATATAATTAATAGTCGCAATTGAACTCACACGTCACTTCTTACTTAGTTGATTGGGTCAAGGCTAAAATAAAAGCATTGAGAAATGCTTACACACGAGTCATCAAAACCTCCTCTAAGTGGTAGCGCTCGCAAAATCTTACGAAGCGAAGTAGCTGGTTGCTGGATAAACTGAAGTTCTCTCTCCTTTCGTGGTTCCCATTTCAAATATTGATACTGTAAGTGAAATTTGTTTTATTTTTGATTTTCCAAACAATTAATATTTACATAACATATATATATATATATAATTAAGAGTAAGTGCTACTGCTAGATAATGTTATCCTGCCATGATACAGCTCCGCAAGTGTTAAAATATGTCGTCAGAATTTCACGTTGCATTTTGGCACTATTAGAAGGATTTCTGTCTGTGTTGAATGGATTCAAATTTGTCATGCATGCATCTCTTCTCCATGAGCCAGGTGTGACAAGATGATTGTCATCTCTACATCTGCTGGTGCTGTATAACCTAATTTATTCTTTTCATCATATAGTTATGCAAGCAAAAGCTAGAATTAGATAGTAACCAGTCAGGATTACAATCTTATTGTAGTTAGGAACACACGCCACTCTGCTGGCAAGAATCCCAAAAGTATTTCTACTACCCGTCAGCACGAAGACAATCTATAGTTAAAGACTCTTTTCTTTATTTAAATTCCTGAGAATGGCTTCATCATTGTTTTGCTCAATGGGAGCATCATCACCCACAATGGTGGTAATGATGGAAACTCCTGAATTTCAATTGGTAATGGTAGACCAAGAGTATTTTCAACAACAGCTTTTCGCAGCTAGACTCATTATACATGCCAGCATCTCCTGCACGCCTGCTGCTCCAACATTGACATAAACTTGTAGTTTGCATCTACTAGAGCTAAAGCAAAACACTGAAAAAATGCTTGTAGTTGAAAAATTCTGATCCACTACTATTTGGTTGTTGTATGGCTATGTGTTTCCCATCTAGAGCTCCAATGCAGCCAGGATAGTTCCATTTTTTTCAATTATTCAACAGCCTTCCCTTTTCTTCTGCAATAGATGGAGTCTGTAATTGAAGTTAAAGCAACACATAAAATTTGCTATGTCCGCATATTAATGTCCACCACCCAAGCAACAACCTGTTGATGATCAAAACAATGATGATGATGACGACAGTTTTAATGATCCAGCAACACCAAGCAACAGTTGAGAATGAGGTTGACTGTCCCATTTCTAGTACCAAACAGCCAACACGTATAAAGCCAAATAGAAAAGGCAGGCAGATGAAGAATACAATCTCATGATTTCTTTGGCAAAAACATCTCAAGAAAAAGAAGCAGAAGAAACTGAAGAATGTAATAACCCGGATGAAGCATTTGGTCATTATATCATGCAGTCGTTGTCTGAACTTCCCACTGTAAGGCACTTGGCACAATACAAAATTAATGAAATACTGTTCCAGGCTCAATCAGGGGTTAACATCATAGCAAGAGCCAGTAGCTATGCACCAACATATGTTTCAATCACCTTATGCACAAAACAACATGCACCCCATCAGCAACAACAAATAGTCAACGATATAACACATCTCCCCCAATAGATGGTGGATTGACCTGTTGTTAATATGTGGTCTTCACCAATCTCTAGAGAGCTTAATTCAGGTCAAGACTCATCTGCCTGATTGATAACATGTAGCTCAGCTATTGTTAATAATACTGCGATATTTGTTATAAATGTTTAATAACTTGCCTCCAAACATGTTTCCTTTAACGAGATATAAAGCATGGCATGTTTCCTCAACAATATTCGAAATTACCCTCGCCAATTCTAAACTGGAATGACAGACTACGAAATGTTTCACCTAAAATGGGAAAATAATAAAACAGTAAGAGAACTGCTTTCTGACCAAGTGTTCAATCACTATACGTAATTCTACGTACCTGTTGCAAGAAATCGCAGGGTTACTGCCAGTCGTTCGCGAGGTTTTAACGCTGTCCTATTTGCTTGTTTCACAATATAGAAAACAATCTTCAAAATATCTTCAAATGATTGCCTGTCCAATCTATGATACTGCCGGAACTGTTCAGGATCTTCTACTGCTAGCTCTTTCAATAATCACACACCTTTTCTTAAGAGCCACTGTTTCGTCCATATTTTACGATTTGCTGCCCTTAACCTTCTACGACGTCTTCGTAGCAATGAAAGTAGTAGCAGCGCTTCTTCGTCCTCTGAGAAATCGTCGTCGTCCAGCAATGAGTTCAACGCGTTCAACAAATCTGCCATTTTGTTTTCTCAATCTCGCGCGTGCGCATTCTTGTCATTTACAGCGCACTTGCTGCTTGCTCTCCGCACACTAGGATTTTTTGTCACTCGTGACAAAAAATATCAAACGCGTTTCATATTTGACTCATCTGTCACGAATGACAAATGTTGTTCAAAACTTCCGCGCACACTAGAACTTTGTCGATCACACTTGTCACGAATAACAAGTACGCGGGCAAGTTCACCAGTGTGCGGCGGGCTTAACTTAAAAATACTCTTTTGCAATCCGCAAACTTTTGTTAGCACTATTTTCCACCCAGCAAACCGCCCTTTACTTTAAAACAATCGGAAATAAATTTAAGATGGCGGCTAATGGGAAAGAACCAAAAGCTAAGAGGAAACCATGCATGCACTGGTGCTAGGTCGTTTTGAGATGGCGAGTAATTTTATATTTTATAATACAGTTTTAATATCAACATATGAAAATATTTACAGATAAATGTTACAGTTTAAATTTTCATAAACCACCAAGTTATAAACTTATAATCCAGGCTGGAAAATATGTCGTTTTTCGACGATTGTGTAAAATATTATATAAAATATTATATTGTGTAAATATTAGATTGTAAAAATATTATATTGTAAAATATTATATTTCAAAGTAAAGGGCGGTTTGCTGGGTGGAAAATAGTGCTAACCGCAAACTTTGTGTCTCTCATGTTTCTCGCCAGTGCTTAATAACTATATTGTAGTTCACCACTTTGGTACTGAACGTTTTGAAATGAAGAATATATTTTTCTACCTCATTTTGTGTTTGGAAATTTCACGGTGACCGACGAAAATGTTTTGTTCTATGATTCTAGTTTTCTCTTGCATTCCGCAGGTTGTCTTTCGATTATTTCTTAACATAAAATGCACAATAAACGTTATGAGTATACTGTGTACAGTGAAATCAAAGTATAAACTTGCTAAATGCTTTGTAAGTTTAAATTCTTCAGACCGTTTGCATACATTGAATATTTGTGTTTTTCTACTTACGTTTAGCTGGAGCGGGCGTCAAGTTTGATTACGATTCTGCTGAGTATGGTAAATAGTAAAAATCTTGTTACTTCTTTCACGTAAACTTGTGTTAGCTTGTTTGACATAAAACTACCAAGGCATAGAAATTATGCAAGGTATGGAAAAACTGAACAATTGAGAAAACGTCGCTAAATGCATCAGCTTTCAAGCTTGGCTTTTGGTGGAAATAATAAGTACTTCCAAGTAGTTCCACTTTCATTTTCATGTGACAGTAAATTGTCGGAAATAGTAGCTTAACTATTTACAGAGTGAGAATTATGTTAATGGTTCACAATGTTTCGGAAATTGCCAATGCATACGCCAAACATGGCTTCTAAATCGGTTAGTATTCGGTTTTCCCTTTTTAAAAGTCGTTTCAACAACCCTCATCAAATTGCACAACCAACTTGCAGTAACACCAATATGATTAATTGTTGAGAATTTGTAAAAATGGCCTTTATAAAACGAAAAACAAAGTGATATGCGATTTGGAAGCTGATTCGCGTATGCACTGGCCAAGCCTCGATAATAAAATTCTACTAAAAATGGTTATTTTTATATTATTTGATGAACATTTGGACATCCAACTGCCCATAAAAACCTTGCGCACTGGAGAATTTTGCAACGTTTTCCAAACTGTTCAGTATTTTATACAACCTGTAATTAATTGAATAATACTGAAGAGATAGTTCCTTTACAGATGAATTGAATGAGTAAAAGCGTCAATGTCTGCGACTAAATACCAAAATATAAAACTAAATTAACGACTTTTCAGTTGATTGCTGAATTTTACTACGTATACACGTTTTATAGAAATAATTTGCAATTTTTATCAGGTGTTACTGCATGGGCCACGAACTATCCTGACTTCTGTAACGGAACTAGACAGTCTCCAGTTGATATTGTTAACGCAATACCCAACAGGAATCTTGGCAACATCAAGTTCGACAATTATGCAAAATAATGTGACTGTTACTGTAACAAATAACGGTCATACATACGTGACGTCAAGCATCAGTAACTATAACCCAGTCCCCTTCATCAGTGGTGGTGGATTACCTGGGACATATCAACTGGCTCAATTTCATTTTCACTGGGGTAATGACTCAACTAAAGGATCAGAACATACGGTGAATGGAAAGAAGTATGCAGCAGAGGTAAGATTAGTGTTGTTTAAACGACACGTAGTTTATAATCTTCTTCTCTTAAATAAAATAGACATTTGTTTTTTAAATATTTTAAGCTTCATTTGGTTCATGTGAACACGAAATATTCGGGTCTCAATGAAGCTAAAAAAGTCAGATGGTCTTGCTGTCTTAGGAATACTTATTGAAGTGAGTTATTATGAGCTATGGTATTTCTTAGTGTGTATGATTTGATAAATTCCTTTTCTTACAGGAAGGAGACGCCAACCCTTATTATGACTTTATCAACCTTACATGATGCACTTATCCAGGTGAGGGATGTAAACTAAAGTCTTGAGCGCGAAAATAATATTCAATGTTCACAGCAAAATTTACTATGCCAGTTTACCATAATTTGTTTTCTGTCTTGTTCAAGGTAACACCAGTACCACAGTAATAAAATCATTGATGTACCTCCCTCGAGTCATTTTATCGTTACAACGGATCTCTCACGCCAAAGTGTAACGAAGTCGTTACCTGGACTGTCTTCAATGAATTCATAACTTTTTCTCACTCACAGGTAAATTACTGTTTACAAAAAAAAATATCTCGATGTTAATAAATTGACGTTAATGATAAAATTTCCTTTAAAATAACGTGTACCTATTTCCAAAATTATTTCGCTCATTTCTGAAACTCTTTTCTTTTAGCTTGAACAACTTCGTGGTATGAAATACTTTACTTTCAATAACACAGTGGCTCTCTCTTGTGAATAACTATAGACCTGTTGAACCTCTCAATGGTCGGTCTACTTTATGCCATCAACAAATGCGACTATGCCTTCAGCGTCGAATCCGACAACGAATACAACTACCGAAAACCTTCTGCTGGTTCAAGCTATGTTCTCAGAATGTCTTCCTGTATCACCAGTTTATCCATGTTCGCGCTTATATTCTTGGAAAATAAGCATTTCGTTTCAAACAAGTCGTATTAGCACAAAACAGAATTTTAAAACTCTTGCCTTTTAAAATCGTTTCTGTCTTGGCGGAAAATGTACTGCTGCAATACATTTGCCACTATTTTTCTTTTGGGTACAGAAAAAGAAATGACAAATGATGAGCAAAGCATGATGGTATAATAGAGTAAATTTTGACATATTTGTAAACAAATGTCCTGGTACTTGCTCAATTTTTCACAAAATGAAGATGGAAATAAAGGAAATCAGAATAATATTAGTCTGTTCTTTAACAAGAAAACGCAAAACGCGCGAGCGAGAATGGAATTTGGCAGACACTATTTGTAAGTGAAACCAGCCCACAGATGTTCAAACTCAATAGAAGACAAACAACCTGTTAAGCATGTTTAAACACGACTCATATAACACATCCTTGTACAACCATTAGTCCATGTGCTGTTGGACGTAAAGCAGTGTACAAAGGATACATCCTTTGTACAACCATTAGTCCATGTGCTGTTGACGTAAAGCAGTGTACAAAGGATAACATCCTTGTACAACCATTAGTCCATGTGCTGTTGGACGTAAAGCAGTGTACAAAGGATAACACATCCTTGTACAACCATTAGTCCATGTGCTGTTGGACGTAAAGCATGTACAAAGGATAACACATCCGTACAACCATTAGTCCATGTGCTGTTGGACGTAAAGCAGTGTACATAGGATAACACATCCTTTGTACAACCATTATCCATGCTGTTGGACGTAAAGCAGTGTACAAGGATAACACATCCTTGTACAACCATTAGTCCATGTGTTACGTTAAGCTGGACAAAGCATCCGTGACAACCATTAGTCCATGCTGTTGGACGTAAGCAGTTAATAAAGGATAACACATCCTTGTACAACCATTAGTCCATGTGCTGTTGGACGTAAAAGGTACAAAGGATAACACATCCTGTACAACCATTAGTCCATGTGCTGTTGGACGTAAAGCAGTGTACAAAGGATAACACATCCTTGTATAACCATTAGTCCATGTGCTGTTGGACGTAAAGCAGTGCGGATAACACAAAGATCAATAGCGATCAATTAAACAGAAGTATAATAATATATAAAAACTAAGGCCAATTTATCTACATTCTTCCTATACAACTACACGCATTTGACTATGCCTACGCTCATACTGAAAACGATAGGGGTTCCGACAATCTTGGTGCGAAAGGAAAGATTGGTTGTGCGCTGTTGTGGAGAAACAGCGGTTATTTTGTGGCCTTTATTTACTGTTTCGTCCAAAGTCCACTACATTGACTCAAATTGATTAGGTTAACATGCATTATTTACTGGATGATTGCCAAAAGCATGAAATATCAAAGTCGCACATTGAAGCGTACATAACCGGTGGAACAGATAACTTATGTTGCCACCAACTGTACAGGAACTTCATGTTTGTTCTCGCTATAGCACGACCAGTTGTTTTGTGCTTCAGCTACACTGGCTGATGCGTTGTATAACTTATGCTAAACCATGCATGTGAATAGACGCAATGGGTATCAAGGTTGACAAGTTTAACTGTTTAGTATGCAAACTACACCCCTGCTACACGTCTCAAATTTATAAATATTTAGCCTGGTATCATCAGGTTTAAATTTTATTAGAGTGAAATTGAAGTTACTTGAATGGACGACGTTTTGGTAGGACCGTAGAGAAAGAAGGCAAACGTCACGTTTGTTTTTGCAGCATGGGCGTGATGTGTACTGTTTGAACCTAAAGTTCACGCAGGTTTCGTGTAATCATTATTTAGAGTCCAATGGGTCCAAATGAAAGTTTGATAACGTCATTGGACTCACGTAAAGTAAATCCACGAGTTTTATAAAATGATGATATATTTAAGCTAAAGCATGAAAACTCCATTCTTATAGAGTGAATAACCATCATATAAACATTTGAAGGACCTCTTCCGAGAGCGGAAGCGAATGCCATTATATTCTGAGAAGAAAACTTCTTTGTTTAGAAAATGTGCAAATTTTAGCTTTAAATTTCGCTGAACAATGCATCAGAATGGAATGGCTTTTGTTAAAAAATGAAATAAGGAAACAAAACAGGTTATTCTAAGCCAGAGGTGAGTTGAACTCGAATAAGAGCTATACTGGTGGACATTTCTAGACCAATATTGACAACTTTTTTGCAGGAAATCAAGGTAAGAATTAAAAGAATTAAGCAGGATCAATTTTCTTGCGTTGATAGCTTCTCATGATGAAATGCTGAACATGTCGAGCCAGGAAAAGATGAACGAGGAAGTATAAAATCGACAAGACTGCAAAAATTATTTTGAGAGCAGTTTCATAGCATGTTTGACGAATTTCTAACACAACAGCTTTCCAAAGGTGAAACAAAATGACAGTGAAATCAAAATAACAAAAAAAGCTACAAGGAAAAAGATGACCTCCAATAATGTTAATGACACGATCTTTTAGAAATATACTTCATGTATATCTGTTTCATAGAAATATACTTTGATACTTTTCTCTTCAATGTCACATACATAGCTACATCTAGCTAAAACAGATACGAAGGAAAACGAAAAAGAAAAGTACCAAACAGCAAGACAAAGTTCACGATTCTTGTTAGCTAGTGGAAGTTGAACGATAATCATACACTCATGACTAACATCAGTAAAGAAGCGACTCACACTTTGTTTTAACAAATCGGATTTTCAGACACGTTCAGTTACACCATACATTACGCCCGTGTACAAACTCATCACTGCGGAAGTATTTGAAACTACGCAAGTGGTTTTGCATACTTTTCTTCATATTTCGAAGACGTTAAGATCGCAAACAGAGAAAATTTACAGACACTCAAAGAAAATAAAAATGTTGAGTTGACCATGTTGAATTCAGTAAAGATGATAAATACTTTGAGCGTTAAAAGCAAATCAGACAAGGAAGCTTCAAATATTTCCGGGTGCAAGATTTCCGCGTTTCTTTTTCCAATTTGTTGTTTCCCCAAACCGAGTTCATTTCAAATCGAGTTTGTCATTGAGTGTAAACGGTTACATGAAGCGGTTAACGAGAAACCCATCTGTAATATTGATCATCGGTCTAACTGCCAAGAATAATTACTCTGTTGTTAAAACAGAATCACTTTAAGATAAGCGGCAAAAATCAACGAATGCCTTAGGTGTGACAGCATTTTATAAATTTGACGAAGAATGTTTCAAATTTTCCAGCTAAATATTTCGTTCCAGTTTTAAATTTTGATGTATAACTCAAAATGGTAACTTTCGTATTATTAATTATAATACGAAAATACATAAGCATTAACCATGGGGGATTGCTACGGTATTTCCACTTTTGTCTTCTAATAAAGTTCACTGATTTTAACCATTACATATGCAAATTTCACGACATTCTGTCTCCAATGTAAAAATTAAAACAAACACGGTTTAGTGCCAAGGAACTATGAATTACTAATATGTGATGTTCTCCGAACCGACGTTCTTGGGGGGAGAGTTTACGACGTCAGATGGCACAGTTAAGATACATAAGTCAAGACTTAGAAAGTGGGAGGCATTCTGATTCTGACAAAAATAGGCTGATGCTGACAATCACATACCAGGAAACTAATGCTGGCATAAAAATGTTTTAGAAAAAATTCAAAACTCAAATAACAGCCATTGTAGACAGTTTGAATAAATCTAGCTCTCGGGAATGAATTACGGTTTATGAAAACAGTTTTTCTCCTGTGTTTTTCTCTAGGATTATAAAAATGCAACGAGTACCAAAAATGGTGATTTCTTTGATCCTTATATTCTTTCTCGCACACAATTACGCAGGTTTGTTTCCGATTTCTAAGACCCAAGTTTTACTTCTATTAATGATAAGAGCTTGAAGGACGGTACACAATCATAAATCTTACCATGCATTATCTTCAGTTACTTGTAACTTGGGAGTAACGATCATATCTTTATATTTAGCAGTAGCCATGTACCATACCATTAGTGCATCGCCAAGTTCGTCTTGGATGTATTCATCAATGCATACGACGAATCAATCATCAAGTTATGATTCGTCTCGGATGGCAACACAAATGCATACGACGAATCAATCATCAAGTTATAATTCGTCTCGGATGGCAACACCAACAATCTATATTAATTCATCAATGACTACGCCACCATCCATGACCAAGGCTGTATATAACAGGACGAATGGTAGTATCGTTAATCTGACATCAACAACAATGTATACGACATCATCAATGACTACGATGATTAGTGCATCAGTCAAAATGACTAATCAGACTTCAGCGTCGACTTCTGGCGTTGACGATGTTTCTCACAGCATCTTCGCAATTCTTGCCAGTATAACATTTTTCCTGGTGGTCTTCATTAAACAATAAAAACTCACCATACTGCGTACACACAATAGTCAGTTTTGCCTTCAATAGAATATATTCAATGTATACATAATGCACAACAACTAAACTATAATAATTTTTCAAAACGCACGCTGCATAAATCTTGTAGGAAACTCTTTGGAACGTAACAATAATTGACACATAGCCTTCTAATTATTTTCTAACATGAATTTTTCAATTAAACTCTTATTGAAGATCATTAATTTAAAAAGAAATCGAGTTACATCATTATTGTTATAAAATCTTCCTTTTGCTTCATCAACACACACTACTGGGTTTCTTTTTTCGATATTCATTCATTTTTACTTCGCAATTTTTTCATTGAGGAAAACTTTCACTGCTGTGTAAGTGAAGACCCACCATTTTTATGAATGTTGACTTTAAAATGTGAACGTTTTGGACCATCATTGGTCCTGCTACCATTGGTCCAACTTTCATTGCTCCTACTACCGTTGGTCCAACCTTCATTGGTTCTACCACCATTGATTTTACCACTGGTTCTACCACCATTGGCTCTAGTATCAAAGGTTCGACCACCATTCGTCCTACCATCAGTGATCTTACCATCATGAGTTCTACCTTTATTGTTTCTACCACCATAAGTTCTACCACGTTTGGTTTCTCCATCATTGGTTCCACAACCATTGGTTCTACTACCATAAGTTCTACCACGTTTGGTTTCACCATCATTGGTTCCACAGCCACTGGTTCTACTATCATTGGTTCTACCACTATTGATTCTAACACCATTGGCTCTACCACTATTTGTCCTATTCCCATTCATTCTTCTTGTAGTGGTTTTACCAACATTGGTCCTACCATCAATGGTTGTACCAGTAATAGTCTTATCATCGGAGCTCCTACTTTGACTTACAACATCAGAGAGTTGTTTATCTTTAACTGTTCTTGATACGTTATTTTTGATGTCATTTTCAGCCAAAATTTTTGTTTCCTTTGAATTAGATGTCCTGAAAGATTTTTCACTTTTAGATAAATCATGATTTTGCAATTTCATCCAATGCATATTTTCTTCTCCCACATTATTGCATGTTTTACTTCCTTCATGTCTCACTGATTTATCTTTATAGTTATCAATGCCTTTGGTGTCACAATTATTCATTATCGTTCTTTTTGAGACACCCATTTTTTTCTCTGTCCTTTTTAAAAACTTATCATTTTCATTCCTAGCACAATTGGTGCTTTCATCAAATTTTCTTTCAATACCCATCATAGTCTGTGTAATACTATTTTTTTGACCAAATTGAGCTGAGAGTACATCCTGTAAAATGTGAACAAAAGAAAAAAATTGAAAAAATCATATTGTTTGATAAATGCCACACAAGGATCTTCAGAATTACCATGGAATCTTTAATTTCAATCAAGTATCGATTTCTTTCCACATCAATATCAATAATTCCTCCTTTCTTTCTTTGATATTCAAAGATTTGATGTCTCCTAGCCTGAGCCTCAAGCTCTTTGGCATCAGGTATGTAAACAAATGGCACAACTTCCTCAACAATATTTGTGTAATCATTTTTGTTAAATGTGATGTCCAGTCGACACATTGGGCATACAATCTAATAAGTTCAAAAGTATTCGGCATTAAAATGTAAACAAGAATTGTGATTTAAGACAGTGAACGGTCAACTCACTGTTCTTACCTGTAAATTACCATTTTCAGTATAACAATGATCAACGTACTTTGACAAACATGCCACATGAAAATAGTGATAACACTCCGTCTTGACAAACTCTGTGTCTTCCTGTTGATACAATAGCATTCTCACAGAGCTATATTTTACATTCAATATATGTTTATCCATACTTACATCAAAGTGTTCCATACAAATCACACATGGACAACTGGGGATATTGTTGTCCGATAAACATTCTTTGGCATACTAAAATAAAGTTAATACTTTAGATTTGATATACATTCAACAGTTCAACATAGTGAAAACATGTTGATGATAAAATTATCAATTTTTGTTTGAAAGAAGTGTTTCATAATTACTTCAATCAGATCAAATAACATTGGAGAACCAATCTTCTCGTTTGCCAGAGAGATCAAATTCTCTTGGATGCTATGGGAACACACACATATTGGTAATCCAGGAAGATACTATAAAATACAACCATAACTGTCAACCAAACCTGACAACATGAGCTTCAGAAAGACCCCGAGGATTCTTGATGGATATAACTGGAGGGATTCTGGGATATTTGTCAGGGATTGCAAGGGAAAGATTTAAACAGACATATTTACTCTTGTGATCATCACTCCCAGTGCTTGGATGAAGGTTGACAGTGACACAATTTGGCCTAAAAACAAACGTCTTGAAATTATTGTACATTTTGAGTAAGTTGTTGCGCATAAAACGGTCTCTTTACTTTGCTCTAGGATGGATAAATGTAATAGCTTAATCAATGTAAAAAGTTCACAATGAATAAACTTCATGCAAGAGAAGTCTTCATATGTTTAAGGACAAACGCGTAAAATCAAAAAAAAAACAAAATTATCAACCTTTCTAAACTGCCTTGTAACTTTACTTCATTAATGTATATTGCCATAAGCAGTTCTATTTCCTCTGAAAGATCATGACTAAAAAATGAAATAAACATGAACGTAAACCTTGCAATACGCAACTTAGAATATTCTCAAAAATGAGCAAAAATGTTTAAATACTTAACCTGTCTGCATTCTGGTCTTCGTCAAAACAATACGCCATTTTGGTCAACTCGGTCATTAAAATCGCGGGCTCAAATTTTGAAATTTGAACGTTCGTGGTAATTGGAAATTCGTAGATGAAAAGGTGACCACGGTAATTTTTCAAAATTAAATAATTCATAAAAGTGGAATATAAATTCGCTACTCTGTGTTAATAAATTATTTTTGCAATACACAGTGTAGAGAACTTGAGGCAATATTTTTCACGCCATAGATATTTGTCGGACATCTAGTTTATAAATTTACAATTCACCTCCATTTTGCCGACGGTTGGATGGGGTAGCCCAGTTGTTGCGTAGTGGTAAGTGTAGGGAATTTCAAACTAAGTTGTAGGATAGGGATATCACCCTCGCCAGTCAACTTCTGTCCAATTTTTATTATTTTGCAAGAGATGGTAGTTTTCTTCACGAAACCAAAACACAGAAAAATAGATACGCAAGAAGTGCGATCAAAAGAGTGAGGAAGATTTTCTTGAAAAGCGTTGCTTAAATAACAATTCTATCTATGACAATATTTTATTGACAAGCTTCGTCTATTTTGTCAAATGATTACAAAAATCATGTTATAAAGCTTCTTTGTTTAATAATGATATACAAACACTATCAAATTAAGTACTTTCAATTTTAATTTTATTTTGCAGCTAAAGATGTTATTTTTGTAAAATAACAATATTGCTGACATAACTCTTTGCCACATGTTGTTTTTGAACTAAACTGGTAGTTGATTTTAGTAACATTCGGCGTGCTTAATTCTCATTAGAACTACACGCCAAATGTAGGCCATTGAATTGTTTCCAGGTATACTAGAGAAGTTTTTCCCACACATTTTCTTTCGTGTATAATTGTGATCATCGACGCGTGAAATGATTTCTAATCGTCCATGATCTTACGACAACGCACGTTTCACGAACAATCATCTACGCCATTTTCCTTTTTTTTACATCATTAACTATTTTTGATGGTATTTGAATCTGCGACACAAGTCAATGACGCTGCGCACAATAATCGCATAATAATTTACGGCTGAGGAGGAGGAAAGTTATCTAGATCTATATTTCCTCCGCACAACAGCACAGCAATATTATTAAAACTCGCAGCAATATTTTGAAATTTCTCCGTAAATAAAGCGGCAACAACTACACCAGAAGATGGTTCAATAACCACCTTCATTCGTTCCATTACTAATCTCGTTGCATTAATTATCTCTTCCTCACTTACCGTTATGACGTCATCAACATACTGCTTTATGATTGGCCACGTGACTTCACCAATGCTAGTACGCAGTCCATCAGCAATCGTGTTAGGGGGACCTGATGATGACAATATCAATGCAAATCATGTGACATACTTCATCTTAATATAGCCACAACAGTCACCTGTGAGAGGTATTCGTGTGTTACCAGCCAAAGATTTAGCACAATCATCTGCATTAGCAGGCTCAGCAGCAAATATCTTCACATCAGGTCGTGTGTTCTTTACAGCAATGCTAACACCACTGATTAAACCACCACCACCAACAGGAACTAAAATAGCATCAGCATGTGGGACCTAAGGTGATTGGTGAATACTGACTTTTTGTTAACCATAAAATACTCAGTGATGAGTTATATATGCATATGACACCAAACTGTAATCGATCATAATCAAAACAATACTATATTGTAATAAGCCAAAGAAAAGTGAATGCCATTCTGTGAACAATCATAAAGAAGTGTATGCTATATTTTCATCAAACATAGGAAAGTGTATGCCTTATTGTCATCAACAAATGTGAAGTGTATGGAAGGATATTTCAAGGTGTAATAGTAGTTTCCCTAATGTTTTACAATTTAAAATCATTGATTTACTGAAAAGTTGGGGGGGGGAGGGCATGTCCACTAGATCCTCACCATTGAGCAATCAGCCACAAAAATACTTTCATGTAATGAACATAGAGAATCAATCTTAGGTAGGTGCATACATTCCTGTGAAATGATGCTTAATTTGTAATACCAAAAAAAACATAGGTCAGATGGAAGTTCTCACAAAAAATAAAACAAAGTTAGTGAACTATTTGCATGACATACTTGTTCCAAAACTTCCAGACCAATTGTTCCCTGTCCTGCTATTACATGAACATTATCAAATGGATGAATCAAGTGACCATTTGATCCATACGACTTCAATACTGAGGCACAAGTTCCTTCACGACCCTAGAATTAATATAAATCAGTGAACATTACACACTTGATAAAGAAGACATGAAAAGTTAAACGATTTTGGAAAAACAAGTAAAATCCAGGAATGTCCTTGTTTCTACATTTTACTGGGGGGATACGGGGGTATGTATACGATGGTTGGAACCCAATGCCCAAATTATATTTGCAACTGTTACAAATGAACTTCAAATTTTACCTCTTTAGTATTGACACACTCAGTTATTTGAGCACCATAGCCTAGCACTGCATTTTTCTTTACAGCTGGAGAATCCTTGGGCATGACAATGTTAGCTTTCACACCTCTCAGTTTGGATGCCAGTGCAATTGCTTGTGCATGGTTGCCACTGCTGTGAGTTACAATCATTAAATGTTTTGTGTCACCAGGATATTCCTCAACCAGCTTTCCTATCGCGTTCGAAGCACCACGAAACTATATTAAATAAGGTGAAACGCAAAATCAATGCGGTCCACAGCAGAATCAACCACGTGCCCTTTACTTGCAAGTTGCGGTTCTTACCTTAAATGCACCGACTTTTTGGAACACCTCACACTTAAAGAAAAGAGATTTTCCAGTCATTTTATCTAATGTCGAGCTAGTTAAGACCGGAGTTCTGTGGATATACGGCGCTATTCTCTTGCTTGCCTCTTGAATGTCTCGTAAACATACTGAACTGGCCATTTTCTTTTGAGTTTTATCATTTTGAAACTTAAGGACTGGTGACGAACTCGGGTTGAAATGCAAATAAAGGGCAATCATAAATGCTCAAAACCATGCTATCCCCTACCCCGAACTCTTGAACAGGCACCGTGTCCCTGTACTTTCATTAGATTAAGGTAAAACACAACTTTTACACAGCTTTTAATTTCTTAAATATTTTATATTTCATAAAAATCTACCACACAACAACGAAAAACACCACAGCACGGGTGGCGCATACCATGTCGTCTTCTGTCTTTTTCATCTTTTCAATTTTTCACGACAATTCTTATTAATGTCTAAAGTTTACTTCATATGATAAATTTTAAAGTGTAATACTTTAAATGATTCATTTCATATCATATCACGCTATACAATACATACATCAGAAAATAACCAGCGCACAAATAACTACAGTATGTCACTCTTCTTTTCCACAAAAAAGCAACGTTTGAACTGAGCTAGATTCGTAACTCACAAACCGTTAACGAGGTACAAGTCTCTAAATACTACCTAGAATACTGCGGTTGTTGATATTGTTGAGGAAACTGCTGTGTGTAGCCAAACTGAGGATACTGTCCTCGAGATGTTTGAGGACTCTGGTTGGTTACAGCTGCCGTAAGATTGTTGTACATATGAGGATTTTTTAGCATACCACCTGGGAAGGCTTGACGAAGTTGAGGCAAAAGTTTTGACGGGTCAATCTGCGGGGTACTCCTCGGTGTCGTTCCTCGGGGTGTTGCATCACGTACGGGGGTATATTCCCCGGGAGTGAAAGGTGTTCCGGTATCCATGTTATTTGAAGCTCGTTGCCTTGACGGTTGTCCTAAAAAGACAACATATGACCTCAAGAAAACAAACCCCATTAATTACATTATACAATTGTCGTACCAGGTACTGGATCCCTGAAATGTTCTTTGAACCATTTGAAAAGAGCATTAAGACTAGCATGTACTCTACCGCGATATCTGTAACCGTCAGGAGTCACAGAGACATACTCTGTACGAGGTTTGTTTCGAGGCATATAGCCGAGAAGAAACTTTCCTGGAAATTCCTTTGACGCAGAGAGAAAATATGGAATGCGTTTCGGATTTTTTGTTTTCTCTGCTTTCAGAACCTCCTGCATCGTGTTGATACTTCCTCCTTCAGTGTCCTTGTAGTATTTATGGGAAAGTATGTCACGTGCAAAGGATGCCATTGGCTGAATGTGTCGAGCAATTATCTCGTCCAAGTCTTCAAACTCCTACAGATGTAAGAGATCATTACCAAACTCATCAATGTTTTTAACACGATTTTTAAACTCTCACTTACCTCATTTTCGATCCATAGAGATTTGCCTAAACTGAAAGCATTTTCCTTTCCTTGTTCTTTAATGTCGATATGCTGATAGATTCCTTCGTCTACCTTCCACGTGACGGTCAGATGATCAGATCCCTTCACATAAATTACAACCATAACAAGATGAGCATGATATGAATCACGTGCAATACTTGTCAACTACACGTGCAATTTTACCTTACTACTGGGTCTGACGATACACTCTCCTTGCTCACTTGTTGCCAGTTTCTTTTCTGCGTCTTTGAAAGCGATATTTTGAAACGCAGGATGAACAATCACTCTTTTTATGTAACCTATAAATCAGGAAAAGTTCAAAGCTTTTGAACATAATGTTGATATACGTATTTGGGGTACATTAGAGAAGTGATGATAAGTATATATGGGGTACGTTAGAGGAGTGATGAGAAGTATATATGGGGTACATTAGATAGTGATGAGAAGTATATATGGGGTGCATTAGAGGAGTGATGAGAAGTATGTATGGGGTGCATTAGAGGAGTGATGAGAAGTATGTATGGGGTGCATTAGAGGAGTGATGAGAAGTATGTAAACAGAGTATTTTATGGATGATTATGTAAGGAAGATTAACGTACAGTAGGAGGAATATAGTTGCACAGTATGTTAAACTATGAAGTAAATCAACTCACTAGGTCTGTTTGCTTTCTTTTCTGCATCTTTGACAGCTTTCTTGTCCTTGTCCTCACTGGCTTGGTCAAAGTACGTGTCTTTGAGACGACTAGCAAAAAACCCCAACACATCATTCAGCTGTACATATACACGTTCGTCAGCAGGAAAAACTCTCTTAAATACCAGTTCAATCCTTTTTTGTACCTGTACTTCCCTTCTCGGTCCTCCAAATCAGAAGTTCTACATGTGAGATCAACTTGGAATCTTTCGGCATTAATTTTGGTAACACGACAGTGAATCATTGAACCAACCTAATACATTAATACGATCGTAATTCCTACATAAATATCACCTTGTTTTATGACTATAACTACATAAATACCTTTACTCTCTCTTGTGGTGACTTTATGTGCTTATCACTAATCAATTTAGTCGGAACAAAACCGTTTATTCCATTTTCAAGTCTCGTTCGAACACCGACAATCTGTCCTGGGCAACTACCGTTATCAAAATGTGTCCATACCTTGAAATAACAATGGTTTTGATTTTAGTTCACATACTTCTAAAGAAACAAGGTTTAAATAACTGACTGCGGATGTTTATCGTATCAGATATACTTGCCTCACCAAGGTCTGCAAACGTATTGTTACCACAAAATGGACATTGCCAGAGTCCAGTCTCTTCATCCTTTTTTGGATCAACGTTCTCCAGTCTCTCTCGGTTGGGTTTCCGATATGCAAACCCAGATACAACGCACGTAATCAGTTTCCCATAGAACAACGTTTCTCGTGTTTCCCCGGTTAGCAATCGGAAACGATCATCAACGGACATTTCCCTATAAGGTGGTCTGCGGTCTTTGTAACGTCCAAACAATTCATCTCGGATGTCATAAAGAGTGATACGCTTGTTCCCAAACCCCTGACGTTCCAGCTCCTCGGCAAAGGCGTCTAGATCTAGATCTCTCAGCCTTTCAGGACTTTCCAAGATTTCTTCTAAAGCGGCAGAAGGATTTGACTCTTCTGATGTCTACAAAAAAACCTCAGTCAGCTGCAATTGGTTATAGAGATGCAATCACCAACTTATGTTTTCAACTCCACCATTCAAGTACTAAAAGTTCTCATTCTCAATAATATCAACAAGTTTTGAATGGCGTTTAATGACAACGAACAAATTGCATAGATCTGTACTGACGATGGACAAATTACCTAAAATTTACCTGACTACTGAAAAAAGGCAGATTGTTAACTGACATTAAGACTCACACCAGTCCATACCCTTTATAAAATCTGCAATATTTACCTCGTCATATTCGAGAGCATCGACCGCCATTTTCCTCGCCCATTCATAAGTTTCAGGATGAATCCTTGAGCCATCCAAAACTTCAATGTAATTGACCGTATTGTCATTTAGCGCAGACGTATCAATCTTTACAAATCCAGCCGTATTGAGAAATCCATTAGGTCCCATGCCACACACAGTCACAAGTTGAGAACGATTTTCGAGTTTGGTTCCTTCCTTACGAAGGCTCTAAATTAAGGTGACATTCCTTCAGGATGTGCAACGTTAAATGAGTGATGATAAAATTTTATCAAACCTTGATTAAAGCTAAGCTTTTTCTTGGTCCCAATCCACAGATAAACTGTATCAGACCAGAAGTGTGAGGGAAATCCAAAATCCGATTTGGATCCACTCCGACTTCATTGACAACAGTGACAAACACAATTCGCAAGTGTTTCAGAAGTACTTCTTTAGAAATCAAATTCTACAAACATCTCAAGACTTCATATCAATAATTCGTTAAATACACAAAATGCTTTTAAGCAACACCCACGAACCTGTTTCGGATGAAGTCTCAGACATAATAATTCGTCTTCGTCTACACAAAGTCCAGCAAATTCAGCAAGTGGGTCCTGAATACGTCGACCAACGGAAATAGCACGTCGTAATATCATCGGATATTCACGGAATTCCGTCTGAAAAACAATGAAATGAAAATCACGATGAATGTTAAATTTACTGTAAACTTTCCACATTTCGCTTTACCTCGGCTCTTGAGGATTTCTCAAAAATTTCGGCGACTTCATGATCAATTAATTCAACATTAATTGGAGATATTTGATTCTCCTGTTCCAGTTCCCTGATTGATATCTTCACGTCTTCATAAACAGTCAATGAATCTCGACTTCCGGTAGCTATAACAATCACGTGGGGTCGTTTCTTTAAAACAAACTGCTTCAATGACTCAAGATCTTCTTCCTAAACAGAAAATATTTTCCATTCTTGAATAAGCAAACAAAGCAAATCAACCATAAAAAAGAGCATGATATATTTCCAGCTTGAAGCAAACCTTTTTTTCTTTTTCTTTACTTCTATTCGAATTTCTCTTCTTCATTATGAAGCTCAACTTCAAAAAATCTCCAACTTGACCGCCACCATTTAACATGACAAAGAAGATGGGTTGGTGAGGATCAGAAGGTACTGCTACGGAGAGAACACGAAGGCCACGAGGACCAGTAAACATATCATACTCTTCATCACTATGTTGTTCTGCTTGATAAGGCGCAACTTCAACAAGGGAACGGAGACGACGACATGCGCACTGTGAAAAGAAGTAAGCAATAAATATGGCGAATGAGCTTCGCAAAGTAATTTTGGACAGGAATGCTGTCTTGGTGTAGAAGAATTCGACCAGTGATCCAAGGAATTCGACAACAACTGTATATTTGTGTTCTTTACAATGACAACATTCACTCGTTACCTTGACGACAAAATCTTTGGCCTCTTGTAATAATTTCTCTTCGAGTTCCTTGGTGAACAAGGGATAAAGTACTTGATAAAATGTCCGATAAAGAGCTTGGGTTCGCTGTGCGTTCCACATCTGCACCAAGTTACTGAACTCATCCTTGAAAAAGAATCAACAAAATGGCACATAACGTGCAGAAATTGCAGGTCAGAGCATTGATGATCTTACACGATAATAGAGTTGCTTTGCTTCATCGTAATAAGAATGGAATCTAAAAACATAGAGATGTTTACACATGGTGATACAGAGATGTTTAAATATGGTGATACAGAGATGTTTAAATATGGTGATACAGAGATATTTAAAAATGGTGATCCAGAGATGTTTACACATGGTGATATAGAGATGTTTAAACATGGTGATCCAGAGATGTTTACACATGGTGATATAAAGATGTTTAAACATGGTGATACAGAGATGTTTAAACATGGTGATCCAGAGATGTTTACACATGATGATACAGAGATTTCTTTCTATTTACCCACGATCTAAATCAATGCCAATATCAAGTTGAATAAGGCCTTCCTCCTTTGCCTTGTGCATTTGAAGAAAAATATCTCCTCGTAAATCAGAAACAGGTTTATTTTTGATGTATTTGAATGAATAACATTCATGATCACGGTCAATCTCCTAAACAAACGATATGAAAGTAAAATTAACAAGTTATCCTCATCTAGCACAATTTATCCTCATCTACCACAAATTATCCTCATCTAGCACAAGTTATCCTCATCTACCACAAATTATCCTCATCTAGCACAAGTTATCCTCATCTACCATCATTATCTGCTTGTACTAGACACTCTCAGAAAACAAAACACGAAATGATACCTTTTTCCCTCTCTTTGTGGGCGAAATGTTGATTTTAGCACGCTCGTAGAAGACTTGTCGAACGCATTGTCTGACAAGAGGATCACGTGCAATTTGCATGGCAACCATGTGACGTGTCCCTTCAAGTACGGCATCGGTCGTCAAGAACATATTGGAGAGATGTTCTTCAGCAGCCTCCCTGGGCTCCATAGGATATTGCTCGGTCTCATAACGTTGATAATTATCCCGAAGATTTTCACCAAACTGCTCGGGTGACAAACCAAACTTCTTGGCGAACAAACCAAGACCTGGCACACAATAGAGAGGGCTGTAACATTAGCGAACAAACCAAGACCTGGCACACAATAGAGAGGGCTGTAACATTAGCGAACAAACCAAGACCTGGCACACAATAGAGAGGGCTGTAACATTAGCGAACAAAGCAAGACCTGGCACACAATAGAGAGGACTGTAACATTAGCGAACAAACCAAGACCTGGCACACAATAGAGAGGGCTGTAACATTAGCGAACAAACCAAGACCTGGCACACAATAGAGAGGGCTGTAACATTAGCGAACAAACCAAGACCTGGCACACAATAGAGATGGCTGTAACATTAGCGAACAAACCAAGACCTGGCACACAACAGAGAGGGCTGTAACATTAGCGAACAAACCAAGACCTGGCACACAGCAGAGAGGGCTGTAACATTAGCGAACAAACCAAGACCTGGCACACAATAGAGAGGGCTGTAACATTAGCGAACAAACCAAGACCTGGCACACAACAGAGAGGGCTGTAACACTAGGGCTGCTATCAAGAGAGGGGAATGAATAAAGGGGCTAATTTACCAAAGTTTCAAATGAAAACCCGACAATAATAATTTTCTCACCAGCCTCCCGACAGATCGTGTAGAAATCACGTCGTTTGGGGATTTTCAATCTATCATTCATTTCCACTTCTTCGACAGTTTCATCGGCGTCATTCACTGATTTCTTTTTTCTTGATAATCTCATGGCTGGAATCTCATGACCATAGTGTAAGACGAAATGTGAGTATATATCTCGTAATTCCTCCATTGTTTGAACGGCGTCAAGTCTAGATCGTGATGAATAGCAACTGTATGATCAGAAAACTTGTCGACGCAAAAAACCCCGCAGTCCATACGTAAATACGGGGCATGACCGAGGTCTCAGAATAGTAAGAGAAGATATAAACGCGATTTTCTTAAAATGTTCCCAGACCTCGAACAGTACAAGTTATAATGCATATATTTTTTCAATTATACAAATAATTTGTGTGAAATCGAGTTCTCTGACCTTTCAACATCATCTTGTTCCAGAATCCTCTCATCTTCATCCAATGGTTTATCAGGATTTTCACGTAATTTATTGTATTGATATGTTTGCATTTGCTCGAACAGTCGCTTCAAATTATTTTTTCTGGAACTCAATTGACACCACTGAAAATACACATTATACAACCTCAATACTCTATCTTGTGCATTAAACTTCATGTAAGTCGAATGAAGTAAACCTTTTCATCAAATAACCAAATACGCCATAAATCTTCAATATTCAGTTCTGGTTCAACATATTCTTTACGATAAGCAGCAATAAATGGGACCTACATGGGATAAATATGACCTTTGTAGGATAAAACTATTTTTTCAAAACTATTAAAAGCAGTAATGACATTGCAGTATGTAGATATGTAATCTAGTCCTTGATACTGGTGTTAGCAATGTGACCTAAAGACTAAATCTCGACCTACAAAAACAATATTTGCAAAGTTTGCCAACCTGCTTTGAAAATTTCATACATTGTTTATTTAATTGCAACATATGAATCTTTAGTTTGATTGTTCTTGCACTTTTTCATATTAAATTGCCATTAATAGCAGCATTTAAATAACAAACACATGTTTGTTGTAGCAAATAGTAAAATATTCATATCGTTCGCTGAAAACTTTTACAAGCATAACATAATCAAAACAAAAGACATGACGTTACCTCAAAGTACTTATTTCTCATGAGATTAAGAGCTTCGCGTATTTTAGGAATGGCCGATGGAGGCTTAGTTAGTGTTGTCTGGATAAATTTCTCTCCTTCTTGGATTTCCTGCAAGATAAATAATGTTGACAAATTGCAATGAAAACTACCAAAAGCCATTTCATGAAAGTATTTGATGACAAGATTACTTGATTTGTGATTGGCATTGTCATAAATGCATGACGGTATATCCACTCTGCTTCATCGGTCAGTTCTTTATCTTCTGCTGTTTTCATTGGTACTTCACGTAACTATGAACAAATCAACACAATTGTGCGCTTATAGAAATACATATTTACAACAAACATATAGCAGAGTAACTGTGCACATAACAACAATGCAATGTTAATACTTCATGTTACCTGATGACGTTCTGGAATGTCGTTAATACGTATTTCATTGTCTCGATCAGTGAGATGAATCTTTTTAAGTTCACTTGGTTCATATACCTAAAATAAAACAAAAAACTTCATGCACAACTCTATTGCATTTTTAACATTCCCCATGTTATCCTCATCATCTTACATCAAAGATTGTTTTCTTTTGTCTTTTTTTCTTCCCTCGTCTCCCCTGTTGTCCCTCCTCATCACTATATTCCTCTTCGTACTCATCACGATCCTCATCTGAATATTCTTCTTGACCAAATTTCTCAAAATCGCCAAAATCAAAATCCAAACCAAATATATCTTGTGCTTCTTGCAATGCCCTGAATGGAAAACATATCTTTGCTGCTTTTTAATACTCTAGGGCCAGTTGCCCGAAGGCCGAATAGTGCTTTCACTGAAATAGCAATTTTTTCTCAATGCTTAAAAAATCTCTTGTAAGAGAAAAATATACGATTTGAACTGTGCAATCACTGAAATATAATATTGTTTTGAAGACTACAAAATTTCTTTGTTGTAAGAAAATTAAAAACACCATTTTTTACAAGTCTGAAAATTTTTGCTAACCAATGTATAAAGCTATACTAGCTTCGTGCAACTGGCTCCTGGTCATTTAAAATTTATTAATCTTGAACAGCTCAAAACACAAACAGTGAGCACATACGAAAAGCAACAGTTGAATGAGTTGATATGTTTTTATAAAATACCTATTTTGAGTACGGCTTCCTCCTTTCTTACGAGACCTTTCATGGACAGGTTGGTTATCATCATCCACAATAAAATCATCTTCAACTGGTATTGCAACAAAAATTTTTGATTCAGTATATTGTTCACAAACACACACAATAGAGAAATACATATTAACATACCATCAGATTCTGAGTCATCAAGAACTGCATACTGATCATTAGTTGGCTCCACTGGTGTGGTAGATATCGCTCTCTGGAAAATAATGCATAAATTTTTAGGAATGTAAACCACCATCTTGCCATATACACAGCATGAAAATTAGCAAGATCTGATTTTGTGTTCATATGTTGTTGTAAAAGGCTAAATATTTAGCAAAATAAAACAAATTTAAAATGACAATGACGAATAAATGTGATTTCAAAACTATACCGATGGTTGCTCAATTTCATCATCTTCAAAGAGTTCATGAGCTAGTGCTTCACGTTCATCAGCACTGTGTCCACCAACTGATCCTCTGTCATCTTCTTCCTCATCAGAGTCAATTGGTTTGAGTTTTTTCAAACGCTTATATTTTCTCTGCAGGTTGATTCAAACAGTGATTAAATAATATTACATATCAACAAAAAGGTGAGGAGATTTTCACAAAACTTACTCGATCCAAATTAATTCCAAGATTCTCTTCGATTAAATCAAGATCCTCCTCATCCACTGCATCGTGAAAATCTGAAAGGAAAAACACTAATTTCAAAAAAATTTAACAACAAAAAGCACCTATCTAACCTGTCTTGAGATTTCAAAGTAGGATGGTGAAGTCAATACAAATGTTCAGATTTCAGAATGGTTAATGTCGATGTTAATTAAAAAATACCTTATTAAAAGAAATACTTTATTAAAAAAAATTCAACAAATCAAGAGAGTTCTCTCATATGAAAGACTTGCCTTTTCTCTTGCGGGTTCGTATATTGTCTTCCCCTTCATCCTCTTCATCACCGTCACTGTCATCGTCATTTATAATATCATTGGCATCATCAATGGCGGTCGTTTCTTCTTGCTGAGCAATTTCTTCGTCTTCAGCGACATCCTCTTCACTACCGCTTCCAATTTCTTCTCCAGACTCTTCTGCTTCACTATCAAAAAAGTCTGACATTTTGTTCTTGGGGATTTAGAGGTATATTTCCAAGAAACGTGAGTTAAAATTCGAAAATAAAAAAAATGGCAGGGAAACTTAGTTCAGTCAAACAACATAACGCGCGCACACAACAAGAGACTGGGACCGATTCTCTTCGTTTTGACCATTGTTTTTACCATAATTTACTGGTTTTGACCAGTTTTGGTTACGACCATGAGCTTGACCAAAGTTGCAGTTTTAATGAATATTTTTCTGCAACATTAACACATACTTTAGAGCCGCCAAGACAGCATGGTGGCAAGCTTATACAAAATAAAAAAAAATACATTCAAGCAACGGAAAGTTTACAAAAAGACGTCTTATTATTTCTCGTAAGAACAAAATCTCTGAAAAAGTTTTACTTGAATGCGCTACATTATAAAGATGAAAAATTACGATATAAAACAAAAATTTTATTTCAACTATCACATTTACTGCTTTTACGTCCATTAACGCAAAGTAAAAATTAATTAGAATACAACGTTTCTTGCACTATGCACAGATTAGACCAAACACATTTTGTATTAAATCTGCTTACTTTTGTTGTTTATGCAATGTAATCAAGAGAAAATATCAATGACCTGCTCTATAAATACGAATAAAGTACAAGACTAGCTTCCTCTAGTATAATAGATCGTAAGTTTACAGCCTTGAGCGTGATCATATATAGTAAGGTAGCAAATCTTCATTATAATTATATGCGCGATGGTAACGCTTGGTTCATATGCTACATTTACTAAACATAACTAAGTTTCTCGTAAATTATGTACATCTTATCAATGTGCACTGTTTATAAAAATAAAATTTCAACAAAAAATTTCGCCCACAGTTCTTATGCGTTCTTCAATTAGTCACTGATTTAAAATGTCTAGAAAATAATACAACATAACGAGAAGATTTACGACAAGCTTTAAGCAAACGGTGCTAAAGGTGTGCGAAGGGTGAAAAGAACAAAACGAATAAAAAAGTTCCTTACCTGTTCATCATTACAGTCCTCGGTCCAATGATCAAAAACTAAAAAAAAAATTCATTTAAAAAAATTTCGCTACAATAATGTATGTGACGTCACAATAACGCTACATAATAAACCAATAGTGTGTGACGTTTGCATTTTAATTCTACATAAAATGAAGAGAGTCCGTCGTTAAGTCGTACATAAAAGGTATGAAGTCTACTAAATACAAAAAACAAACAATAAACAATTTCAGTTCTATATAGCAAAGCTATTCGTCAACTTAACAAACTATCTTTCCAACATTTAACCTACTAATGTTTTTCGAATAGTACCACGAGAGAATTAAAGTTACCCTCACATATCCCACAATAAGGTCTCTCCATATTTCTATCTCCATGATGTTTTGATCCTTCGTTACCTTCACCGCTCTCCTGTAGAGGACATTCATCTGTTTCGTGTTGATCAAACACATCACAAATATCGCAAAACTTTCGCAAACTGTATTTGGGTTTTCCAATGTGGTCGTCGTCGTCGTCGCTGAAAAACAAATGATGATTTATAAAGATGCTGAAATCTCAATGCATTCATCTCCACTAAAAATATCTCTGTTAAGAGCACCTATATTAACAGATAATCCCATGTTGCTCATTGACAACATCTCCATTGACAACATCTCTATTGACAACATCTCCATTGACAACATCTCCATTGACAACATCTCTATTGACAACATCTCCATTGACAACATCTCCATTGACAACATCTCTATTGACAACATCTCCATTGACAACATCTCTATTGACAGCATCTCCATTGACAACATCTCCATTGACAACATCTCTATTGACAACATCTCTATTGACAACATCTCCATTGACAACGTCTCTATTGACAACATCTCCATTGACAATATCTCTATTGACAACATCTCTATTGACAACATCTCTATTGACAACATCTCTATAGACAACATCTCTATTGACAACATCTCCATTGACAATATCTCTATTGACAACATCTCTATTGACAACATCTCTATTGACAACATCTCCATTGACAATATCTCTATTGACAACATCTCTATTGACAACATCTCCATTGACAACATCTCCATTGACAATATCTCTATTGACAACATCTCTATTGACAACATCTCTATTGAAAACATCTCCATTGACAATATCTCTATTGACAACATCTCTATTGACAACATCTCTATTGACAACATCTCTATTGACAATATCCCTATTGACAATATCTCCATTGACAACATCTCCATTGACAACATGTCTATTGACAACATCTCTATTGACAATATCTCTATTGACAATATCTCCATTGACAACATTTCCATTGAAAACATCTCTATTGACGACATCTCTATTGACAACATCTCTATTGACAACATTTCCATTGACATCACTTCTACTAACTTATAACTCAATGATCACACTTGACAGCAGCCAATCGCAAATCACAATCCAGTCAGTTTGTGTATTACCTATCAGACTCCAGACCTTGCAGTAAAATTGGTTCGTCACTAGCCTCCAATAATGCAATAGTTTGTTCGGCTTTCTGGTTTTTATTCTAAAACAATAAACAGATGTTTAATGCTTGTCGTGGTAAATCAGTCATAACGCAAAGAAAGTAAAATTTTCCCTCCTTCTCCCATTACAATCAAACGCAAAGCCTTCGTATGTCTAAAACACAATAAGGAGGACATGTCAAAGTAATCCGAGGAAAAAATCTCAAACAAACCTTAAGATCCACAATGATGGAATTTAAAAATTCAACCTAAACAAACAAAAATTTGATGGATATTTTGATTTTCGTACATGATTAAACACGACACAATGAAGAATGGAATGGATCGTGTTCGAGTGTATATTGGCAGGATAATGAGGGAAAATGTGGATATCTATATATATTTATGAATATGATCTAACATGATACAATCAAAAATGGAATGGATTTCAAATAATTTATACCTGTTCCTCTGCAGACTCTTTCTCAGATTGAACAACAGCAAGTTTAGATTCAGCTTCGTGTAAACGCAACATCAAAGCGGATGCATTCTCTACAAGAACATGATTGAAAATAGCAACGCTAATGTCTGCCCTTCATAAATCCTTCTAATAGATCTTTGCTGCACAAAATTCAAAATCCAAAACACACTTTCCGATAATGTTTGCGGCAGTGAAAACAAAGCTAGAGTTTAGGTAACTCTAACTTGTGTGGGAAGAAAAATTAGGAAGTACATGTCATAATAGACTTAGGGCAAAACCTCACCAAGAATATCGCCATCCATCGGTGATTTAGGAAAATCATCGTTTCCCATCTTTTCGATTTGTTCTTGATAAATTCTTATCTCATCTTCCTTCTCTTTCAATGCATTTTTCGCTTCTTCAAAATCCTCTTTAAGTATCAAAACTTCACTGTTCAAGTCTTTTGTCTTTAGGGATGCACTATCCAAATATTAATGAAAAAGAAAGCTCAATAACAAGAAGTAGGCAGGTGTTGTGGGTTAAAAGTGAATATGTTCTATGAAAAGGAGCGGTAGAGATGTGAAGACCAGAAAGGTCAAATACGAAAGGCGTAGGTTTAGGAACAAGTTTCAACTGCATCTTTCAAATAGAAAAGTTAACTTACTTCTCAGCAGCGTCGCTCATTTTTTTTGAAAGATTGCTGACTTGACTCTCTAGCTCTTCAGATTTTTCTTGAAGCTGAATTGAAGATCGTTATAAAGTCATACAAAGTTTTCAATTAATAGCTACCAACTATGAAAGAAGAACTTTTATTTGCTGTCTTCATCGTGCCGCCATCCTGCAAATTTGGTCCTGCTATGCAAATATTTAAGTGTAAAAAAAATAAATTTCTAAAGAAATGAATGATGATTATGTTGTGAAATTAACACAGCAGGACCAAAACTTGCAGTCTAGCTTCGATACTGTTAACATCATCATAGTTTTCTCGTCCTACTGACTGCCTCACTTACCTGAATTTGTTCGTTTTTTAATTTATTAATTTCATTAGTCTTGGTAGCAATGACATGTTCTAAAGTCTTTTTTTCTTTTTGCAAATTATTAATGAAATCAGTATTCCCGACATTTTCTTTCTTCGCAATCTCCCTATAACACAATGAAAAAATGAATGTTCTCTTAATCTTGGCAAAATCTCGTTAAAAAAAACGTCCTTACAACTGTGATTTCAACGAAGATAATCGCGATTCCATAGCTTCTTGCTGTTCATTTTTTTGTCGACCGGATTCAGAATTTATTGTTTCTATCTATATGACATGTGAAAACAAAAATTAATTTCAATATCATATTAAACGAAAATGTTGTTTGGCATGAAAATAACTGTCGATGTATGCCTTGAGTATAAGTTACTGACACAACTGATGATCATATGAAAGTAAAAGTTCCAATTACCTGGGATTCTAAGGAAGCAACTTCAATCGATAGTTCGTCTTTTTCTTTAAGCAACGAATCTCGTTCTAAAGTCAGTTTACCTTCCTCAGTTTTCAAAGCATCAAGCTGTTTATCCTGTTCATCACACAACTTTAATGAAGAAAAAAACCCAATAACGTTCATCATAAGTAAACTTATCTCCGTAATTAATCAGCAATATTAAAATCCTTATCAACCTTGATAACATCATTTCTTTCGGCAACCAATTCTACATTTTTTTGAGTCAATTCGCGACATTTTGTCTCCAAATTTTTGTATTCCAAATGTAAGTTTTCCTTTGCTGAAACCGTTTCATCTTTCAAACGTTCGCATTCTTTGATCAATACTTGAAGCTCTTTCTACATCGTAAAAAATAGTTCTTGCGTAATCTATTCGCGTAATGCAATACGATCCATACACAGGCAGCTAAAAACAAACTGTTGTCAAACAAAAATAAATACATAATGCATAAAAACTAACCTCTTTCGATGCAGCTTTACTGATCTGCGATGAAATTTCTATTCGATGATTTTCAGCTAAGATATTTTGTTTTTCTCGAAGATCGTTAATGGTCAGAGTGAGAGAGTTTATTTCGCTCTGAAGAACTTCTTTCTCAAGGCAGAACGCCTGATCCTGAGAGATAATTACCACTAATAATTTATGAAATACCCTACTTTGAATTCTGCTATTATTAAAAAGAAAATAAAACCCACCAATTCCTCCTTTTCTTTTATGATTTCTTTTTCTCGATTTAATTGAATGTTTAGTTTATTTTCCATATCATTCGCGACTTGTTGTTTAATTTTGGAATCTTCAATACTCTCCTCGAGTTGTTTTTTGGCGTTCACGAGGTGATCATCCAATTGCTTCTCCTTCTGTTTTGCTATATCTCTCTCTAAAGCCATATTGTTCTCCAGTTGAGACACATTAGCCTTAGCCTCAATCAATTCTCCCTCCAGTTCAGTAATTCTCGCGTTCAAATTCATCAACGTGATCTAAAGGTTTCACAACACTCTCGCTGTAATGATATGTCAAACAAGAAGAGGTAAAGATAACATACCTTGCTATTTTCATCTTTCTCGCTCATGGCAGCCAGATTTTCTCTAGATAGTTCATTATATTTTCTTTCTAAAGTTTGCAATTTCTCCTCTCTTATCTTTAGGTTGGTTTCTATTTCTATGTTCGTATGTTTATATTGTCTTAGTTCTTCATTCAACGATTCGTTCTCTTGCTTCATCCTCAAAACGTCTCCTTTAGCTGCGGTCTTTTCATTCTGCCAAACAAAGCACTAACATAAGTTGTCAATATTAAGTGGTCAATTTTCCATGACAGTTTTTCCACCATCATCGATACAACCGAAGTTACATTAAACCAGAAAATCGCCATCACCTTAAAATAAGTGCGTCTTACCTCGACGGTTGATAACCTATCGTTCAAATTCACTCTCTCCTTCTCCATGTATTCTCGTTGATCATTCAACATTTTCTGTAGTTCAGATGATTCGTGATCTTTCTTGATCAATAACTGCTTACTTTCATGTAATTCTTTTTTCATATTTTCCAATGACATCTCCAGTTTATGGTCACTATCTGCAGAAATTCAGAATGAAATCAATAAAATTTGAAATAATTTGAATTTACACTTTTTTGCTACAACTGTCATGACAGATTTTTTATTGATGCATTTACGTACAACTACGTAAATTACCAATATAAGTACACCCCCCCCCCACAAACACACAAAGTCACCATTTAACATTGTAGCGACGGCCTGATCATCTTTTAATTCATCAAAACTTTGCTAACCTTTATTTGTTGTGTCAACACTCCGTTTTAAATTTTCAAAATCATTCCGTGATTCATCCAGCTCTACTCTAAGTTCCTTCAACTTCGCTTCGTTGGCCTGCTTATCCAAACGAGCTTCGAGCAGTTCATTTTGTAATTCTGTGATTTTCAGATTCTTTTCTTCATATTGTGATGATAGTTCTTTGATGGTGGTTTCGTCCTGTTTCACATGATCCTGTTTCATATGAGAATGTTCAAGCCAAGAATATGAGATACAAAAAAGACCACAAGAATTGAATGAAATGATTTAATAAATGCAAACAAATTTGTTTGTTAGCAAAGCTTTTCACCATTAAAAACTGAGTTCATAACTCTATCTACTTCATGTGCAACTTGACGCATAAAGATTTAAAGATGTTTAAAAAAAGGGATGGTTGTGAATGGGTAATATAAACAGAAAAACTAAGTCATTTAGCCACCTTAAGTTCATCATCTGTGATTTTTTCTTCTTCCAGCATAAATTGCAATTCTTCATATTTCCTAAAATAAAACCATCAGTAGAACATAACATGTTTCTGCACTGTAAGATTTACAATCTAGCAAGAAAATACATAGAGAAATCAACAGTCATGAATGTATATTATATGAGATAAAATTACTTCTTTTCTTCATCAAGTTTTGCTTGAATTATAGAGTTTTCAGATTTTGCTGTTTGGAGATTTGATTTGAGGGCATTAATAATGTCATCTTTATCTTTCAAAAGCTTGATAAGAGGAGAGATAATTTAACATTTACAAACCAGAATCACCTCCTTGAACAAATGAAAAAATGATTAATGAAAGAATGATTAATGAATGAATTAATGAATGAATGAATGAATGAATGAATGAATAAATGAATGAATGAACAAACAAATGAATATCTTTTAGGTATTTTAACAATTTAGCCTAATTTACTAAAGTTGATTTCCACAAAAGGCATGTAGCTCTTCTCATTAAAAAAAACAAGATATTCAGATTAATAGTTATTCTAAAAGTCGGATCTGATCATACCTGCTCATTGATGGAGTTTTTGCTGCTCTAAAAAACACCGAAAGTTGATTTAAGGTTTTCTTCAAATTAATAGACCCTATCTTTTCAATTTACCTTTCCATTCAATGTGACATCGTTAACCTTCTCATTTTCTCGCTCCACTAACATTTTATGGATTTCCCGTTCTCGCTCTTCAAGGGCACTCTGAGATGCAAACAAAAAAACACAAAGGAAGGCAGCTTTAGATTTTGTAAATATTCAAATTAAAATATGCTGCCGTGACTCTATCCAACATAAAACTGAACTTTACCTGCAGTGCAACAACTTGTTGTGTGTTTGATGTTGTCTTCTTTAGGCCAATATGATGTGATTCATTGGATTTTGAAAGGTCCTTAAAAACACAGATATTATTTCAGAAAATCTAGTTGAATCATTTTCTACTAGTGTTGACTTACATCATCCTCAGCAATATGTTTTTCACCAGGAGATGGAAGATGAGGCAGTGTCTCAGATGCAACATCAGAGTCTATTGAAGACGTTTTACTGAAGACCATCTTGGCAGCAACATCCAGTGATGGTATGGGTGAATTTGACAGTTTTGCATTAAACACTTTCTTCTTAGACTTCGTAACTTTAGAAGATGGTGCAAACAGACCATACAACATCTCACAAGTGAAATACCTAAATGAAATCAAGGGTCATTAGGTTAAAACACTTCTTGTTAATGCTCTAAGAAATGCCAAGTCTGTTCTCAATGCTGATTCTTCATTTGTCATTACCTTACCATATTATTTTCTATACAACCTATCCATACATAATGTCAATGCATGTGGTTTAATGTTTCTACAGTAAATAATTCATGCTTCAATTAACTTCTTCAGACTTCAAGCCATGTCATATAATACATACATGTACATGGTTATAAAAACAATAGACTATCAAAAACGTAAGCCTTAAAAACACCACCTTGTTCCAGCTACAGCCCCGTCATTCTTTCCTAATGGTTCTTTCAATTCAACACCTGCCCATTCACCTTTAGCAAATTCAGTAGGTCCAAGATATCTTAAAATCCCCAATTTACTACCGCCTACTAAAACTTCGTCTCCAATTTTCAAAGACTCGCTTAAAATTGTATTGACATCGGACGTGGAGTTTTTAGAAACAATGTTTATTTTATGAAGTCTGTTTGGTTTAGAGAATACACCATGCAATGGCTGGCAGTCAAAATATCTAACACCAGCAACAGAGCCATCATTTTTCCCTTCAGCTTCATCTAATTTCACGCCAGCCCAAAGACCTTTGGCAAATTTTGTTCCGCCTAAATACTCAATAACTCCAGATTTGGTGCCTGCTACAAGAACACGATCGCCAACTTTAAACAGAATCCCTGTCGCCTCATCTTTTAGAGATTCTTGAGTTTTCTCTCGAGTTAAGACGGGAGGTATTTGTTCTTTAACAAGAGAGCTTTGAGAACTAGATAATTCACGTCTTAGACTTGTAGAATGGACTTCTTTGGACGAATCTCGCCTCAGTGCAGCACCGTCACCGAAATTAGATTTAGGGGCAACAAGACCTAACTTCGATTTACCAAGTGATCCGTTTTGCTTAACAGTTCGTGGAGTTAAAATTGCATTTGTACTAGAAGGCAACGCACTTCTTTTTTCGGTTTTAGGAGTTTCCTGTGGGCCATTCGAACGTTTCAAAACAGGCTGTTTTAAACCACTTTTCGATGAAATATCTGTCGACGAAGGAGGCTTTAAACCGCTTGATCTTGGGGCAACAATGCTGTCAGATTTTGGCGCTGGTGCTTTAGAAATTCTACTAGCAGGTGCCTTAAGACGTGAACTAACTGGTAGATTACTCATTGTGGTGTTTTATTTAGTCTTTTTCTTCAAATATTTTATTAATAAGTTTACATATATTCGACTATCGGTCGTCATCATCATTCTCAAGTTCTACATATATTTGACACAATACGACATTTACCTAATAATTTATGCATAGCGGGGAATCGTCTAGATAACAAACGTTCCGGGCACATAATTCGTGCATAAACCCGAGGCCCAGGGAGAATTTTTAATTGAATGACGTCATGGCGTCCCTCCGGCGGTGACAACTAGAGTAGAGGGCATCCGATACTTCTTAGCTTGAATGGATGTTGTTAGAATGCCTCAAAATGATTAATCAATAGTGCTCCATCTTTAGTTAAGAATTCTCCAATATGTTTTTGATATAGTCTTCGATAACATTTATCACTAAAATAATAAAAAAAAACACAACAATATGAGATTTTACAGACATGCAAGATTACAAGATAAATGCAGCAATATGGCAAAACAACCTGCTTGATTACCAACTGTTGTTGCTAGATTGTAAAATGTCTCGTTGTTTTCATTCTTTATTGTCATATCAGCACCATATTCCAAAAGTTTCCTCACAAGTTCAGTGAAACCACCTAATACAGCATACATTAAAGCTGTTCCTCCTTCCTGGAAAAATTCACAAATTGGTTAGAAACCTTAGAAAATTAAAATGGAAAAAATATGTAGAAATAAATATTTAGAGTACCAAGTCAGTGTGATTAATATTTGCCCCATGATTTAACAATTGATCAACAATGTTACTTTGTCCCTGACTTGCTGCAAATAGCAATGGTGTTTCTCCTCCAAGTCCTTCAATATTTGGATCTGCTTTGTGTTCAAGCAAAAGTTTGATCACAGATTTCTGTGTGATAAAACATAATAAACACAATAAGCAACTCACACAATAAACAAACTTATTTTGTTTAAACTATAATATACAAAAGACGTGACAAAACATTGCCCATAGTTTCCTAATTTTTCCCAAACCTTGGCAATGTATTTTGATATTTTCAACATGCAAACAAGGTATTTTATAATGGCGAAAACTGTGGTTTAAACTCCAGAAAAAATATTTGCAATGGAGAAAATTCTGTACTTGTGGGAGAAAAGTATGTCTTTTATATACGGAATTACATTCCTTGAGTTACCTGTCTATGTGCAGCAGCCCACATGAGTGGAGTCAGACCTTCTTGATCAGGTGCATTTAGATCAACTCCTGACGATGAAATTAACAATTTTAACAAGACAGCAAGAATGGATGGATTTTATGATTAACGACTACCTTTTTGCATTTCTTCCTTAACTTTTGCCAATTTTCCTTGAGCAGCAAGACAATGCAATGATGGATCTGTAGTGAATTAATGTGGCATGTATTGAAAATAAAGAAAAAAATTATTGAACATACAAATTATCAGTCAGAGTGCTAAAACAAACTCACGTTGCGCATTATTGCTGACTTCAGGGCCAGGAGTAACACTTTCACTATTCGCCGTCTAAACGAAAGTTTCGAAAAGATCTTGATTGATGGCAGACAGAAAGCAGATAACTGCACATCTAGCTAAATAAATTAAGTCTTCGCTAACCTTTACAGCATTCATACTAGGTTTAAAACTCCTACTCTTTCTAGTTGACGAGCGAGCTCTCTGATACACTGGCACATCTAACGAACAAAGAAACACATTATTCACACATGTCCTTCTTTAATACAATAAACACACGTGTTCATATACATATAAACAAACGCGTCCTGCTGATTTTATCGCGGAGCACAATTAACAAATATAACAACAGACGTAGGTACAAACCCCAAATTTTTGAGTGATCTCCAAGTACAGCAGCAACTTCTTGATCGGCGACAAAATCATTTTGCTGATTGCAATTATAGCTCACATTGAGAAAATCTATCATTTTTTCTGTGTTCATTTTACAAAAAAGGCATCTGCATAGCAAATTATCTGTCGTTCCTTCCTTAAATTCAGGCTGATTTGCAGGCTTGGAGAAAGTGATGCAGGCTATATACACGGCCTCTAGCTCCAAATATTACTATACAATTTGTAACAGTTGTTATTACCATATTTTGTTACCATACCAGTGGCTGTTACAGTATGAATAATATTCAATCGTGAAAATGTATAATAAAAATGACTATGACCAGGTACTGATTTCCCTATTTAAATTTTTACGCAAATTTAGAAGTTGCACTTTAGAAAGGAGAATTATTATATATTCTCAAAAATAAAATCGTACGAACTTTCTTTAAGTGTATCATTTCATTGAAAAAATGGTATTTCAGATAAAGCTACAGAAAGTTATTAAGCGCGCCAAACTTTTTACGATACAACGGTTGACAAGGAGGATGAAAATGTTAAAAAATAAACGGTAGGTTGGCAATATTCCTAGATGTATTTTTTCTTTATCTCTCCAATCGTTGATAGCATTTAAAGTTAAAGGTAGTTATAAGAAGACCAGCTGCAGTGCTAACAAGAATTAATTTCTAGGGGTACAGAACAACAGCGGGCAAAAAACCGGAGAAAAATCACAAGACTGGAGGAGGAGATGGAGAGAATTAAAGTAGTGGAACTTTTTAACATTTTCATACTATTTTCAGTCTTTTGTATTTATTGCATGCAACAGAAATTTTAATTGCTTTGGTGACACATGCTTGTGCTCCATCAAACAACAGGACATTAACAGTGAAAAAGTGTCAGAAATCATCACAAGTAGGATGTCACTGGATCAAAGTGAGGTGGACCTTCCATTTTTTGAAACATTTTCTGCAAATGTTCAAACTAATAAGTATTTCCAACTATTGGTTATTTTCAGCTTTCCACTTATAATTTAGAAGAACAAGCACTTTGGAAGTTAATCTCCTCAAACCCTATTCAGGATTATTTGAATTCAAGCAGCATGCCTGGTTTGAAACAACTCAAATTATTCCACTTCACCTATCATACATTTTTCATCAAGTTTTTTCGTATTTTTGTAGCATTAATACCTCAATTTAAAGATGTTTCTTCAACAAAAAGATTGCAAGACAATTTAGATAAAGCTTCCCCTGAAATCTTTGAAGACAGCGAGAGTAACTGTCACAAGAATATTTCCTGTCATTACCAAGGTGTTATCAATGAGTTGAATGATAAAAACTTTTCTAATGATCACGTCAACCAATCAGATTCCAAGTTGAGGTGTTCCGACAATCAAAGCAACCTATCAGATATTGATATGAGCATCATAGATGAGAATATTGGTCAATCAAAGGTTCAATCCATGCATACCTCATTTTTTGTCCACAATCTTTCTTCAGCTAAGGGGAATGAAAATAAAAAAGTTCAGCAACAAAATAGATTCATGGATCAGAGCAAAAAAAACAAGTTCAATGTTAAGAAAAAGGTGCTTGTAATATTGAAAAAACAACTACTAGAATCATTGTTTCGACTGTTTTTGCTATGTAGATGTCACAAATTATTTTTGTTTGTTTAGTTCTTTTTTATCTGAATAATTTCATTCATGTTTAGCAAGCCAGAGTATCCACCAACAGAATGGGGCAACGAGCAAGACAAAAGTAAACCAGGTTCTAAGATAAAACATTATGATTCTCAAATTCTTAAATTGGTGAACATTATTTCTTAGACTATGGAGGCAACAATATGGCTCAAAAGCTAAACATGTTAAGAAATTTACAAAGAAAACAAGGATTGAACCAAATTCGAAGAAAGAGAATGAAAAACCAAGGCAAAAATTCACTGGTAGACTTATTTCCATGTTATAAAAAGCCATAGATAGTAGATGATCACTACAAAATTCAATTTTTCAGCTGTAAAGAGAAAAGAGGTCAAGAATGACTTATCAACTAACCATCCTTCATGGGAAGCTAGCAAACGACGCAAACTACAACATAATATCAGCGAAGTAAAGTTTCAAGGACAGAAAATCACTTTTGATGATAGCGATTAAACAGTTAAAACGTCTTACATTCTAAAGAGTGGGATTTTCATTGTAAATAGTACAATTTAATAATTAAATATTTATTGCATTAGATGAAAAACCTAAATGTCATATTTAATGATATTTTTGTTAAAATGTTATTTACCCAAACTACCAAAACTACACTGGAAATTTTTGTGATTTTTTGTCAACGTGAGCGCTCAACTTTTACCTTTTTATACCTTCATTTGCCGTTCAAAAAGATCCCGTTTCCGGTTTCTCTACTCTTTAGGCTGGAAAAAAATATCGTTTAAACATCCATTCATATTTGAAACTTTATTCCCGAATTCAAACCATTCACTTAATCATAATAGATCCAAAGCTAAGCTCTCCACAAACAATACCAATCATTAACCATTCAGTCTAACCCATTGATGATATATTCAATGGTTTAATCCCTAGGAATAGATAAATAGGTACGCAGAGCGTACATGTGGCTAGCCACGAAATAGACAAGCAGATATAGCCACTAAAAAACAGCGAACTTTGAAAATGTTCCAGATTGCAAAAATGTGCTTTGAACTCAATCTTCCGTCGAATGACCGTCCCAAAAAAGCCTTACATGTTTGATGCTGTACATGTTAGTTTTAGTCTGTAATTAGTAAATGTGAAATAAGTTCATTCAACCAATAATCGAACACATTTATTTCCGTATGAATACTAAGCATACCAGACACGTCATACAGATGCAGTACTGTTTTTGTAATAGGATGACCGGGTACTTCAGTAGTTGTACTCTTTATCATTACATTTTAACAAGACTGAATCTACTCGATTCTGTACCGATAGCGAAAAGCCTAACAGTAACTTTGAAGGAAGCCTCGCACATTGCACATTGTATCATTGCACTTACGCTAATCTACAAAGATAAGTAGTGATGCATATAAAAAACGCAGGAAATGTATTTATTTGATGTCTGGTTTACATTTTATTCAACAAAGCATTGTCACAAAAACAAGTAAAAACTGGACAATGCATCACTTTCGCGCAAACAACATATAATTTATGTTTGCGGTGATGAAGCTTGTAGTTTGTGGGGAGGTTTGTGGTTTTATCATGGGTTTTATGATACCCTTAATTTACAATATTGTCGGTAAAACAGAGGCCCGGATGGAATTATGAAAGGCAATAATGGAAGCACGATAAAAATAAAAACATAAACAAACAAAATGGCGTTGGAACGAGAAAAATTAAAAGTCGTTCGATGTTCACATTTTGAACTGAAAAAGCTTGCAGAGAAATACGAAAAGCCCAAAAAAGTAATAAAGGACTCGAAGTCGATGTACGAATTTGAGAAATGTAACACTTTGTCGGAAATTACCACCGAGAATAAAAGCCAGGCTGTGAAGACACAAAAATCATCACGTCAGCAAAATAATATTTCTTTTACAAAGACGAAAGGAAAGGTTTCTGTAGTATCTGATGGTAATGCTGATGTTAATGCTGATGGAAATGCAGAGGGGGGACTCTTTTCCGCTGATGAAAAAATCACCCGAAAAAATGGACTTATCGAAACTAACAAAACAAGATTAGATGTATCAAGAGAACAAGAACCATTTGTGAATAATGAACCCTGTGAAAGCAGTAAGATATCAAGAGCTATGAAGGAGGATAATTATGCGTATGACAGAGGATCTATTTCACCACACAGATTGCTGTATGACCCATCCAATGATAAAGGAGAGTCGGTATTGAATAGACTTAACATGAAGATGTTAAGACTTAAAATGGATGATGCAGGAAATGAACCATACGATGATATTCATTCTGTGAAACAATATCAAAGGAGTTCAAAAAAGTTTAACAAGCAATTGGTTGAAGGTCATTTATTTGAATTGAGAAGTCTCATCACAGATTTGGATAATCTTCTGTCACGACAAACATTGGCAAGCAACAAGGATACTATAGAGCAGATCTTCAAACTGAGCTCCAAGGTTCAGGAAAAATGCAAAGAAATCATGTTGACTGATCTTAATGTCTTCATAACTAAAGAGGTGTATCTAAACCTCTGGCGCAGTGGTATCTACCAAGTTATTGAGAAGTTGCGTTTCTTTCAAAGATCTTCACAAGAAGTTCAGGATTGTGCACTCGATGTATGGCATATCTTAAAAGAATTTCTTCAAGAAACCAATACTTTCATACAAAGTCTTGTAACTAGCCTTGAAGAACTGCATAGTTTTTCATTGAGGCATTTTTTAGATCTTCCATATCACTTTGAGAATTCTAGCCGAGGGGTAAGGCTCCCAATTTATATGCCCATGTTTCAATACACACATTCAAATTTCTTTAAACATCCTAGGTCAAAATGTCTTTATTATGCTGTCATCATTTTATGATATTCCTTGGTGATACTGAGCGATACCTACAAAACTTGTCGCCAACGAAAGACTGGAGTATTGCCAGGTCATTGTACATCAAGGCAAGCAAAATAGCGCCAAGAAATGCCAAGCCTTTCAACCAGTTGGCAGTGATTGCTGTGTATGCGAAGCGGCGGCTTGATGCTGTGTATAACTACATGCGTTGTCTGACTGCCAGTAATCCTATTTTGACAGCACGTGAAAAGTTGCATGCCATATTTGATGACGTGCAACGAAAGGTAGAAACTCTCTATATAGTTTTTAGTGGTCCTAAACATGATGTAATTATCTTGGTTATGGATTGTAGAAAAGGGACACAGCTTTTGTATTAAAAGAAACATTTTTTGTCAGGTGAACGATTTACTGGCAATCGATGCAGCTAAGAAAACGAAACAAACAAGCACCAAGAAAAATACGTTCAACTCGTTGAATAGTACCAGAAAAGGTAATTTGGTTTCCCAATCGAGCGAGCGGGAAGCAAGAGAGGAACGCAGACATGAAATGTGGGTATTTTATCAAAATGGCATTCGTCGAGAGTTTCTTCTTACTCATCGTGGTCTTCAACGGAAAGAACAGAATAATTCTCACAGTGAAATAAACAAAGAGAGGGCAATAATCTCGTTAAACGAGGTACATGAAATTTATAAATATGTGTGGATTGAGGTGGTGAACATAGGGTATTAGTTGATTAAACTAAAACAAAACGAAGGATTTTCTCGAAAAAATACATTTCACATTGTCCATTTCAATGATATTGAGAAATACACAAAAATCCTAAAAACTCTGTACTACAAGGTAATATCTTGTACATTATTCTGACGATCGTCAAAATTTGAACCATATTTGGATCGAAGTATACAGATTTAAGAATTTAATGTGTATTGGTCAATAGTCAATATTATTGGTTAGCACAATGTCCATTTTTGGAATGTTCTTTATTTTATTTTTGTTTAAACTCTCACCTGGAGAAGGATTTTGATTGAAACACTAATGAAGCCTCTTTCCTAGATTAAAAAAGAGTTTGAAATCATTTTTCTCCATTGTCATGCGATGTTATACTCAAAAATTGGGTGAGTAGCTACTTTAGCGAAATTTAAGAATGAAAACCACTGTTCGAATTAAACGGTCATTCCCCCTCCCAGGATTGATCGTTTCTCCCAACACCATGGAAAGATGGTCAATTTGCTGCGCATGCTTTTGCGACATCCATCAAATGAAGCGGTCCAAATGAAGCGTCTTGTCGAGATTATGGTGATCAATATCTTTGGGATAGAGAATGTCGTACAAGAAAGTTTGTATAAAATAAGAACTCGCATAAGTTGTATAAAACACCAACGCAGGATTTTTTTCAGGTTCAGGCGTATGTTTTGAAGGAACGCCCGTGGACTTGGCCTTAAATTTAGCCAGTGACGTAATGGAATGCTTATGTAAGGCAACTATTGACGTCATAACGTCTTCTGGTAAGTTCCAGTTCCCATACGGATTTCTGTTTTTGAGTAATATCACTAACCTTCTTTCTTGTATGCTGCAGAGAGAGATAATAGTCACGTGCTTGTGTTGACCAATTACGTACCAGCAATAAAAGTGTGGTTCGATTGGATGAAATTAAATATTGATTTGTTGAGGTCATCTTCTATAAGGTGCAAATAAATGCAATTTAACGTCATTTTACAAGTTAAGCACCAGAAGTATTGAAAATGTATTCATTATATTTTCTTATAAAAGCGTAAAGAAGGAACATTGGACTTCTATAGCTGTCCTTTTAAACTCGTTGAGACCGTTGTACTACTCAAATGATGAAGACTCATTCACTCCAGGTTGTAATGGAGCACAAGTTAAAAATGTAACAATCGGTTGCTCTTAGTTACTACTTCAAATTACTCTCAAACGTTATAGGTGACGTAATTGTTACATTACCTGAAGATGATCTTCTTGTTGGTTTTAAAATATTAGCGCATGCGTCGAAACCGCGAGTAAACGTTGAGGCTAACTGTGACCAGGTGAGCACGATTGAATTGAACTAAAACAAAACAAAATGTTTATCAAATTACCCAATAACTGGTGGCCAGCCTCTCGGTGAAGCTAAATTAGAAGTTTTGTTGAAATACCGCATTGCCCTTTTTGGCAAAATGTGAAAATTGCGTTTGTTTTTTCAGGAAAAGGTTCGCCGTGAATTAAGACATAACGCTTTGCAGTCCATGGTAAATTTTTTTTGCGACTTTGAAGATTTGCCTTTGAGATTCGAGCAAGCTTCTCAGCTATATTACGTCACGGACACAATGATAAGTGTATCGAGCGAAGATAATCAAACGAATGGAAATGGATTTGAAGAAGTAATGTTTGACTATTTTAAGAGAAATACAAACTATGAATATTTATGAGATATTAACGTGTAATGTTAAATGCCTGTTCTGTCGCAGGTTGTTGTTGATGATGATGATGATGTCATCATAGAGAGTGTGGAGGATGTTGACTCCGAGTAAGTTACCATAGAAACATGAAACGTCACTTGTCACTCAAATCAAAAATATTTCATTTAAACGTTGTGCTTTTAGCTCGGAATTAACAAGTCCTGTTCGTGAATTGAGGGTAAAATGCATTGTCATCTCTTATATCAACTGATGTTATGAATTCATTATTTATATTTTGAGTCGTTTCATATTTCTCAATGGCCAGGCGAGGAAAGATGCCCTTAAAAATCAAATTTTACATCAACAACAGAGAAAAGATGAAGCACAAGTATATCATTTGCTATCGTAATGATTTCGTATATGCTCACCGATTATTGAAGATTCGTTTTCCTTCTTTTAGGCCGTACTCAACAAACACTCCAGTATGCCCACACTCATGTTAGAGATCAACGTTCAATATCTCGTACCTGATACAAACTGTTTCATCGATCATCTTAGTGACTTGCAGTCGATTGTCGATTCACGGTTTTGTACAATTGTCATCCCATTAATTGGTACATCTTAGAATAACTCATTACAAATCTAAAAAAGTCATAAAAGATGTTACAAGGCTGAGTATTCACAGTTTATGTTTACAACTTGATTAGTTTTACCTTGCTCGTTCTCTCTCCTGCGTGTGATGCATAATTTTTCGATTACTTCATATAGTCATCAACGAACTTGATGGTCTAGCCAAGGGATTCGCAACAAAGGATTTTAATGAACAACAACGGGTTCAGCACGTCGCTATTAGAGCAAGGTCTTTATATCATAATGACTATATTTTGATTTACATTAATGGTCCAATTCCAAAGCAGATCATGGTTAGGAGCAACTCGCACATTCATTATGACATATTCATTTTTCTTCTCATTCAAAAAAAAAAGATTATCATTAGTACTTTTTTTCTCACAGTTTCGTAGTTCTGTCTTTTCATCATCGCTCAGTGCATTGATCCATCTTCATTTTACAGGAGAGCTGTGGATTTCCTTGAATATCATTTCAGTCTTACCGACTCTCAAATGTTGGCATTAACAAGCAAAGGCTCTGTCTTAACAACAATAGCATTTCGTAGCGAGGAATCGTCAGCAGATAGGGTACGTGCATACTTTTCCTTGACTCATCAATTTGACAGGGCTTAATCTCGTTGTATCGTAATGGAAATGTAAGGATGTAGTTGGATCATCTTGAAACTCAACGGATATAGCAAGATCATCAAGGATCACGAGCTTTTATGTGTACTAATAACACTATGAAACTCTTAACTTGATATGTCTATGATGTCATTTTAGAGTATAAACGATGACATAATTCTCAAATGTTGCACTTATTACTGTGATGCAAAAACAGATATCGTCAACAAACTTGCGTCAGGTAAAATGCAACTTTGTTTTCCACGATATTCGTATAAATTCCTGTATCTAATATCTTTAATCCCTCAATATCTCAAGACGTGTACAGTATACGAGGAACATATAAAAACAAACTTATTTTTTGTTTAGCGGAACAACCTTTCACAATACGACGTAAAGTCGCTCTTCTTACTGATGATCGAAATCTACGCCTTAAGGCGCATGTGCATAACATTCCCGTTGTTAGCATCCAACAATTTATGGAGATGATTACGCCCTGACTCGGGCAGCACTCCACACAAACATGATTGTAGAGTAAAGTTCAGTCATTTGTCAACTGCACGACCGTTGTTGTATGGTTATGTCAGGTGATCAATGATGCATTATGAATGCGGTGAAGGAGGTTTTGTTGATTGGAGGAGACCTAAATGATATGCTATCATACAGATGAGATGCCGACAGTTGCCAAATCCTGGCAAATATAGCGAACTGGAAAATTGCTGGAATGACATGTGACATGGGAGCAAGTGACAAGTGACATGGGAACGACATAAAACAGTGAATGGTTTTAAAACACTTGTGTATGTGAAGAACATGGATATTGAAAAATAATATGACCGAATGTTTTCGTCAATATTTTCTACAGCTTTGTAGACGCCCTCTGGGTATTTTACTAGAGAAAACAACGATTTCTAGAACAATAAACGTTTGAAATGATTTATCATGTTAAACTTAATTAAGTAAACCAATGTGGTTTTCTTTGTTGCTGTTAATGTATCTGTAAACGATAAATATGGAAAGTCGTTTGTTTGTTGAAGTAGCATGTCTTGTTCTGTCGTTGATTTTCTTACTGAATTGGTCGAATTATCAAAATTATTAAAGTAAAAAATCTTAAACTAAAAATGGTGACATACATCTACTTGATTTATCATTATACATTATTCAGTGGACTTATGTTCTTCTTTGCACAAATTGCCGACCTATGAGATGGCAAATTAAAAAATAAAAACAATGAAACGCGTGCGCTGATTGGTCTAGAGCCGTGTTTGCATTAGCCTGTGCAAAACACATCTGAGCTCAACCAATCAAATCTATCAAAACAATCAACCAATCAAAGAGAATTTGCAAATCAATCATGAATACATTTTAGAGGAAGAATCAAAATGCTTGTCTTTTTCGCATTATTGTTATTCTATAAAAGAAATAAAAGATTTTTTCGTGTTTGCACTGGCTTATGAAAACCTCAGAGACATTTGTGAAAACTCTCGAGCATGTGCAACCCTCAACCTTCGGTCTCGGGCTTGCACTGATCTGCTCTCGAGTTCTCCCAAAGGTCTCCTCGGTTTGCATAAGCCTGTGCAAACACATTAAACATCTTTATTTCTTAAATGATGTTTTTGTTTGTTAGCTGCAGTGCGCTCTCATATTAGTAATTTTGTAAAAAAGATCTTCATCAATTGATCTCTGATGTGTTAAATAGTTGCTATGCTAACGACTTCTCGATCCAAAACAAATCTTAAAGAACCTTTGGGATGCATAAGTCCAATACTTTTCCAACTTATACTGAAATTTTTTTCTTCAAGTTTTTTAACAACTCAAGTCTTGTTTACCAATACAAGATGTTTCAGTAAATGGTTTGAACCTGGGAGTATCGTTGCATGTTTGTAAATGTAGATCGTCCAGGTTGGTATAGTCCTGAGAAGGACTGTTTTTGTTGTTGTTGACTGACGTTTCGACAACCTTAGCGGTAGTCATCTTCAGAGTTAAAAAATGTCATTTTTTGACTCCGAAGATGACTACCGCTTAGGTTGTCGAAACGTCAGTCAACAACAACAAAAACAGTCCTTCTCAGGACTATACCAACCTGGACGATCTACATTTACAAACATGTAATAAGATGTTTCCTTACAACGCACAGTTCGGTCACAACCCAAACAATTGAAATTAACTTTCTCGCTTCGCTGGTTTTTTTCTAAATTTGTAATTCAACGATCTTGGTGTTTTGGTCACAACCCAAACAATTGAAATGAACTTTCTCGCTTCGCTGTTTTTTCATTAATTTGTAATTCAACGATCTTGGTGTTTTTCGTTTAATTATCACCGATTATTGAGAACCAACCATACAGCTAATTGTTAAAGATACCACAGGACTCAAGAATGGTAATCCAAACTACCAAAACGAGGATCATCGATTGGTGATTTCAATATCCTCTACAGAGCCACATTTGTACGGACATTTTGTACAATGGACAGTCATGGCATGGCTGGATTATAATTTCCCGGAGGGGAGCATTGAGAAATGTCTTTAGATGACTGATGACAACCACTTACTTGCCCGACTGGCCTTATCTGTCAGACAACTTGGATGGGCTATTGCCTTCCCGTCCAAAACGCATGCGCTTTGAATAAATTATTTGCACTCTCGTATACGATTTATTTAAGTATAAAAAAACTACCGACAGACAGACCTGAATTGCATATTTATATTTTCTATTAAATGAACATAAACCAGATGCGTTAAGTCACGAGGAAGTATAATGGTAAGGCAATAGTCAAATACGCGCCATTCAGTTAAGGAAGGCAACAAGAGGAAGAGGATTGTAAACTGTAAAGACGACATCAAATGAGATGTAACTGCAGGGAAAGGAAGAACAGCACCATCACTATTTCAAAAAGAGAAATAAAGAAAGCTTTAATGTGAGTTTGAAAAAGTATAGAAAATTTAATTTAACAAAAATGAAAATAGCCACGTGTTTGGCAACTTATCATGATTTTTTAGCTATATTCAATACACCAATCGATTAAAACAGTTAAGGCATTTTGTCGTGTTTCCTTAACGTTTGGTTCATTAAAGGAAAGTTCTAAATTCATTTAGAGCACCACGCATTTTTGCTTAATTAGCTGGGGAGCAGTCACAGTCAAGTCACGAGTTTGAGCTGAGATGTTAAACATACACACAGTGACATGGTTCGCACAATGTTGACATAGTTCACACAATATTTACATGGTTCGCAAAATGTTGACATGGTTCACCGCAAGGATAATCTGATGAAAGTAGTTTCTAAGTATGACTGTTTTCTTCGCTTCTCTAGAAATTATCTCAGCCACACTACAAGTAGTTGAGGCGAAGAACATTAACAAATCCGTTTTAAGGGTAGCGATCAACTTTAAAAATAATACTTTTTGACATTATACAATCGCCAGAACATAAACAATGAAGATAATTTTCTTTGAAGACATGTGAAAAGAAAAGTTTCATGAATTTTTGGCACAGCTGTTACAGGTAGCTATGATGATCTCCACAAGGACATAGCTACCACAAGGATATCACTCCCCAAAACACAACTTATATCAGATCAACAGATGCATTTTTCATGAACTATGGGTTGTGGACGCTGGAAAACGAACTTCATATTTAAGCAGTGTTATATGTTTGTTATGACATGAATAACATAACCTACGTAAACTGCCGTTGACATGAACATGGAAACGGTTTTGTACTCAGATATTACAGAGCAAAAATAAACACTCTACCAAAGACAAAACATGAGCTATTATTCAACTAAAACATACATCTTGATATTCACAGCACGGAATAAATGGCGAAAACATTAGAAAAGGCGGCAAATTGATTGTTTAGGTGTAGATTATTCTAGGCAGATTTTGTCTATACGAAAAGCTTTTATGAAAAAAATATTTAAATTAGAAAAAAAAACTGCCTTAATCTGCAATTGTCAGACAATTACCGTTTTTTTCTGGAAAACTTCAAGCTGCTGAAATTAAAAAGATCAAACAAAAGCAAATGAAATGTATATTTCCATCATATTAATATCTTATATAATTAGCTTTAATTTAATCAACGCGTACAATATTGTAAACTCAGAGCCAGTCAAAGCGAGCAAAAGAAAAACTCCCGAAAGAACTTTACAGCTATTTCTTTGCCAAAGCGGTTTTTATCTGCATGTACCCTTCTTAGAATTAAGCTTCAATTTAAATGGTTTTTGCTGAAGATAACCTGCATTTATCTACGTTCCTTATCTGATCGTAAAATTGTGGGTGGAATTTGAATACAATCAAGCCCACGAACATGGCTTTAATCAAAACAAGAAATGACGTCGTATGTCAATGGAGTTAAGCATTTCAAGTACCGTTTCTCAGACGAGCGTATCGTCCTGCGTGCTCGAAAAAGCTTTATTAAAAACGTGGGCCTTTTGCAAAAAACAATTTGCTCAGTTCAACACTAACTGTATAACTACATGTTTTTTTTTTCGTGCACGTTCATCATGACAACAAAAAAGTGATGAAAGTGTATGTAATATATCAAAAATGCTAAAATAATTAATGAAATAACCTCGTGAAACACGAACATTAAGAGAAATACAAGATATTACGGCACGAAGCAGTTAAATAATAAAATCATTTAAAACAGGTAAAAATAAAAATGTTCAAAATAAGAAAAGTCAGCAAAACTAGAAGATATAGCTGTAGTAAGCAGCAGTATAGTTATTTACACATTAACACATGGAAATACTTATACCCAATCTCATCAACGAAACGAAAAACTTTTATCAACAGTTGGCCATGCAGGTGCATTGACTCACTGCAGGGGATATAGTGCATGAACAGGTGAAGACATTTCATTAATTACATCAAGAAACACTGGTAGTTCTATGCAATAAAAAAAAACACTAATAATAATTTTAGCAACGGCGTAGGCGAATTATTTTACATTATGACTGACAAACACCAGATGACTGAATAATCCTAAACGTATAAAGACTTCTCACGGTGTGAACTGTTTTATACATACAACTAGCTTGAAAGAAATTTCTAATTTTAAATATGAGCGTTACATACGCAATATCAATGCATATATAAGATTGTTGAATTATCGAATTTAAAAGACTAGGATTACATCAACATAAAACAGGTAAAATCGTTCCAAAAGCTACATCATTTAGTGTCACAAAAGAAAAAAGGTAGAGAAGGAACAAGAACAATTCACTTAAGTCATCTTCCGAGTCAAAAGATGACTACCGTTAAGTTTCTCGAAACGTCAGTCAACAACAACAAAAACAGTCCTTCTCAGGACTATACCAACCTGGACGATCTACATCTACAAACATGTAATAGAATGGAACTTGCAAAAACTTATAACATAAGTTAAAAGCAAAGATTGTTTAAAAGCTTTAATACATAGGTTATCTAGATTGCTAGCTATAGTACCAATTTACAAAATAAATCACTTATGGAAGGTGATATGTGAAAAGGAAGAAAACAAAAACAATAAAGGCAATAAACTTCGATGTGAAAAAAGTTAGTTTTTTCAATCAAAAACAGCTGTTACCCTTTCATAACATATGAAATCATAATGTGATAAGATGTGACCACGACACGAGATAAACGAAAGTATCTTCGTCATATTTTTATTTTCGAAAAAAAGTTTTGCGTTAATAATACATCTAGAATTAATGCATGCTGTGATGGCAATTTTGACGCACATGCTTGTCAGTCGATTCACTCAAGCAATGCCATACAAGTTTGTATTCAATGAATACAACAAAGTTGAAATGCCGAGAATTTCCAAGCAATAACTTGTCAAAGCTGGTCCCAACAGGTGCGAAGGACTTAGCATAACAAAAGAAAATCGACAGAAGCGCCCTGACATATATATTGATAAAAAAGCTCTATAATTGCGGCGCTTGTCATGAATAGAGAATCTTAATGAATAATCGTCGCCGTATGCAAGCGGGTAAAAATATAACCTGCTAGCGTTTGTTCCTTTAGTGGTTTTAAGCAATTATCCCGTGTATTCGGATGTGTTGAAGAGGTCTCTAAGTAAAAACCGGCATAATCAGCTTGCAAGAGCAAATTAGCGGGGGAGAAAACTATATATAAATATAAACACGTATATATAGCTACGTATGACAGTATACGTGTTGATGTTGAACAGCAACTTCAATATAAATTTTAATAAATCAAGATACGAATCATATTAACTAGAATAAATGGAGAAAATATTCCTTTTTCGATTTGGATGTCAATTTTGAAAACTGTCGACGGAACAGGTGCGGTTTGCTTGTAGCAATTTCACATTTTCGTTTGAAGTATATTCCTAGCAACTGATCTTAAGACGTTTGCGGAAGAAAAGCGTTGCTCCCACTGGCAGAGTTCGAGCCTGAAGTATTCCTAAATTTGGAGTCATTTTTTGAAAAAGTTTCTGTAGACAACCGTTGGATCTCAGCTTCATCGTCAACGTATGAGAAGAAAATAGAAAGCAAGCGGATATTGAAGAAGGAAAATCGTCGAAAGCATGCTTTCACAAATAATCAAAGGAAGTATTTAAAATAAAGATTTTTGGCGTTATAAAACAAATTATTCCAATTTATTCAGTGTTTAAAGATGAGGATAACAGTGGGATATTGAATGTCTCGGAAATACTGAGTGATTAAAATTTCACTCTGAGAATAGAGGAATCGGTAAAGGAAAGACGGTTTCGTGCGTTTCATTATAAAGATTGCGATCAAAGTGAAATAAATATATCTGTAAAAAATACTTGATCTAAATATTTCCGAAGTCTGAAAGAATATAAGAGAACGATGTTCAAGTAGCGTAGAATTGTGACGATGGACACCGGAATCAATACTATATCGACAAGTACTTGACATAATACTATAGTTCACACCGCTGCAAGAACAGATAATAGCTGGTAGAACTGAACTCTTGAAATTGTGTAAACGTGTTCAGTGGAAGGAAAGGAGGGAAAATTGCGAAGGAAACTCTTAACTTTAGGATTCAGTCATTCCCATAAAAAAAAATTAGATTATAATTGGCAGATGGCATTGTGAAAGAGCACAGCGCATATATATCTGACTGGTTATATTGTTGCTGTCAAATAACGTCTCAAATAGTGAAGAAAATTAGTAAAGTTGCCGCAAGAACACCGGCCGAATAATTACTGGAAGACTCACTGGATTCCTGTAGAGCAGAGAAGAATGTGATAAGAAAAGATATTTTACAATTCACCAGAGGAAATCTTAGACTGTTATTGATTGTTGCATTTTCAATAGAAAATTGTTTCAACTAAACAGAGATAATGAAGGCGTGCTTCATCATATTTACAAGATGATAAAACAGCGATTAAAGAATTCGTTTGTGTGAAATACATGAAGAAAATTTTGATGTCTGTCATATGAATTGATCATCATTACCATCAATATAGCGCTCGGAGACACTGTTACAATGGAGAATATCACTTTTGCATTTCAAAATGGCGAAGTCGTTCTGGCTGAATGGAGAGATAAATTGTACTATGCAAAAATTCTACACATCAACCACGCGAAACACGTTTGCACGTTGCTTTTTGATGACGATTCTATCGAGTATTGCGCTTTTACTAAGATCCACAGTGGTTCGTATTTCCAAACTCCCTAACTCTATTGACCACGAAAATATAGGAATAAAATCATCTTTACTTATAGAAATATCTGTAGTCCACGACTTTTGTAAAAAGCTTCTCTTTTTCCACCATTTAGTTACAGAAACAACAGCAGAAATAGTTTGCATCATGTGTAAGGATGGTTCCAGTTGCAGTCCAAATGAAATAGTGCTTTGCGACAAATGTGGATTGGGTATGATGCTATTTATGATACTATATCCTTCTCTCTTTCTTAGACATTCTCTACCACTCAACAAAACTTAAAATGGTTTAGGAAGGCCAGTTTGAAATGAGGCAGGGAAAATTGTTGATCTGTATACGACTGAAAAATTTAAGTGTTCACGCGGTAGTCGACACGAACGTCTAGCTACTTCGTGGAACATTTAAAGTTATTTCAGTTTTTTGATCGACAATTTCCCTGCAAATCGTGGTTCAGTTCATGTAGCATAGAAAGCGGCCCGCTAAAAGTATTTCCATAAACACGTCTCTCTGCATTATATCGCTCCACACGTCATTACACACACGTCTTAAGTCTCGACATGAACAAGCCGTGAGATAAGAGCAAATGTATAGTTGCAATATTTATTCAAGCAGTTATGTATGTAAACAGCTGGCACTATACCAACATACGGACAGATGGAATACATGTTGTGTACGTCAACTGGACATAATAACATATAGATAGCTATAGTCACGTCCTTATACCGAGAGATAAGATGCTTAATTAGTTAAAGATTATTCAGCATTTACTAAGGAGGAATCTTGCATGGTACGATTAACATAGATTTGACTGGTGAAGTAATACCACAAATACAATGAGAATAGCTTCAAATAGCTACATTATGTGGACGGATTATTAATTAATAGATTGAATCGAATGGCATTACGAGGAAAATATTTGCAACAATTATGAAATTTTTAGAACAGGAAAACGAAGTACATTAAAGCCATGAAAGGCGACTTCCGAAGGATTTTAGACTTTGAGAGTTGTTATTGGCTCATAGAAAAGCCAAAACAGTGCCGAAACAATGCTAAATATAATAATATTTGATTAAATTCTAAAAACGATAGACGAGACGAATCGCTCATTTCCGTGATAAAAAAACGGCAATCATGCTTACGAAATAGACTTTTCTAAGTTCCAATAACGATTAACCGCATGAATCGCTCATTTCCGTGATTAACAAACAGCGCCTATGGTGAAGAAATAGAATTTCGATCAATTTGCACGGATTATGCCCTAAAAATAGTTATCTTTTATGGACGGACTGCAGCAGAAAAAAAAACAGTATAATTTTTGCAAAATGAGGTAAAGAAGTAATAGCTTTAGTCTATTCATGCACAGACATTTCTTAAAAAAAATATAACTAGCTACGTAGGAAAAGTTAGCATATAGGGAAAAGTTAACGTTGCTTCAAAAGAAATATTCCACGAATCTTAACTACGTAGCTAGCTGAATAGCTTCTTTGCAAGATTAAAAAGTTAAGTTATGATCGCAAAAAATGGTCAAATAAACGTTACTAAAGGCCGCACAAAGAACAGTTCCACACTTCATCTCGAAGACTCCAAAAACGCCCATGTTCAATTGCTCGAGTGTTTGTTTTTTTTTCACACATCCTGTAAAGCAAAGAAAGAAGTAACGCAAAAGAGACACGTTGCATGTGAAAATTTTCCTAGACGTTCATGTCATAAATTCTCAGACATCTTGTCTCATTTCAACGTATCATCCGACTTTGAACACCTCATTTAAGGAAAAAAAAACTGAAAACGAGAAAAATTGCCGTACCCATTATCGAGTTATTTATCAACGAACATCTGCCTGCAAATAATGCAAGCGGCTACTATCACGCAGCTGCTAACATAAAACACTTTCCTTTAAAATATTATCGTTGACTAATAACACGATCACTGATTCAGTGATACAGGAAAAATAGCGCAAAATAATTTGCGATATGAATGGAAGTATTGCGTACTTGGCAGTGCGGCGTGTTAAAATGATATATGTGAGCACCGTGTGACGTGTTTTTTCCACTTGTGCTTGTATGACACTGGTAATTTTGACAACTTGACAGCTGAAAACTAAGCAACCTGCTGAAAATTACACAGCAACAGTGCAGTCAGCGTTTCTTTGTTTACAGCAAAAGCAAGAGTTTTATAATCATACCTCTTGAAATTATTGGCATAGTTGTGCTGTTTTACAATAATTTTACAGCTTTATGTTAGAGAAAAACACACAAATTACTGAACATCAAGGTAGAGAAATGCACAACTCAATCTCAAGCAAGAGAAAAACACAATAGTCAACTATTGCGTTAATAATGATACTTGTCTGAAATATTAAACACAACTCGCTCATCAATAATACAAGAGGTTTGTAAAGTTTGTGTAGCTACCATCCTTTTTTTTATAAAAGATGTCGGAACTAAGGAAGGCAGACCAAGAACTGAATATATATATATTATTCATGTTAGTTCCGACGAGTTGCAATTCGAGCAGTCACCAAAATTGAGCAGTCAAGCAAGTATGGAATTTTAATCATCGAACGACTTGTGATGAATTTTTTGCAGATAACAAAAGTTGGAACGATCAGTCGCTGTCACAATTAAACGTCAAAAGCACTTTTATTTTGAGAACGCAATTATTTGTTACGATGAGAGTTTTACTTGCTGCTTGTAGTATATCATTAATATTGATAAAGCCACGACATCCTTCACCTGTCCAACTCATGCAAACACACGTTGGCATAAACTCTGCATCACCTTATCGATCGCTACGGACGCGAAACTATATAACGCCTTACACTAAAATATTTCATGAAGAGAAGAGAACTTGGACAATGTAACTTAGAAATGAATAACAAGAACATTTAAAATCAGAATGTAGAGGTGGTAAAACACAAACGATGGATTTTTTGAGGAACTACAAGATGCCGACCACAATGAAGAGCAGGTGGATAAAAGCTTTTTGATGTACGCATTTCTCCTGTAGAGAGAGCATATCTTAAGCGCAGCAGTATGTATCGATAAAACAGGCAGGACTTATACATGAGCTAGCGTGAACACATTGCCTCTCTGTGACTGACTTTCACAAAAAACAAACAAAGAGAATATTGCAAAGAGTTGCGTGTGGTCTACTTGATGAAAAGCTTGTGCAGTTCCTATTCAATATTAACACCTCAAGGCAACGTCTCTTGATGGTCATGAAAAATACGATCTAAAGTATTTATTCGCTGGACATTTTCCAAGAATTCTACCTCGATTTTATTACGTCTTGAGTAATATTTCAAAGCAACGTTCACAGGAAGTTTTCCAAGAATCATACGTCGATCAGTGTAAACTTCCACATCGTGACTAATATAAAGCAACGTTCACTGGACATTTTCCAAGAATCTTATATCTCGACTGATATTTTAAGGCAACATTTAATGCGCATAGCTACATATAAAGCCGCACCTATTCACCTCAATCAACTATATTGGAACTAGACAGTTACGTTACTTTTTCAAACACCTCAAACATAGGGAAAACACCAAAAGCTTTCAAGGCTAAAAACTTTCAAGGCTAAAAACTTCAATGATCCTTTCATTTTCAAATTTTACTATGAAAATATAACACAGACACTTTTCAGTGTAAACACACTGGGCACGACGATGCTATAAATGTTACACAAGTGATTTTCAATTTCGGTGGAAGTTAGTTAAGAAAGATGCAGATAGGTTGGGAAAGAAAGTAGAAAGATAAGTGAAGGAAGAGTGGTGGAAAGAGAATTATAATCTTAAAGAGTTGGATTTTGCAGAGGTAAGGAAAGGAAGAGCGGTGGAAATAGAAATATGACCTTAGAGTGATTGACGTACCAGGAGTAAGGAAATCAATGACAATAGAGAGAAAATAGAGAAGGTGTGAACTGGTTGGAAAAGATATTTGCAAAGCCATATTACTGTCCTTTGACACCACCAACTAAAAATTCAAAAAACAATCAATTCGTTTGTGAACACGACCATTTCGTATTTAAAGCACACGATGTTCAACCCAATCCTAATTTAAACATTGATGGACCATAATCACACACATAAGTACCCTTATTCATTTTTCTTCCTACGTAGGTTACCATCAGAAGTGCCACGAGCCTGCAATCAAGGATACAGCGTTAGAGCCTGACGCTCCTTGGATGTGTGTTTACTGCAGTAACGATAACGAATGTCCATATTTACTGAATCCATTTGAAACAAAAATGCAGAAAGATATACGTAAGATGTCCGTAAGAAAGCGTAGTGCTGGAGCAAAGGTAAGACATATAACAACCTTGGTCAAAAGTATCACGTACTTGAGTCTTTACCCGGTGTTTAAATTATGTACGTAACCCTAACCCTCCCTGAAATAACGTCATAACATTTAAACCTTGGGTTGATATAATCGTCGAATAAATTTTCTACTAATGGTGGACCGTACACTCGCATCCAGCGATACACCATTTAAATACAAAATAACATTACGCGTGGGATTGGTAATGACAATTCCCGCGATTATAAATGTCTTAATGATTAAATATTTTGTAATTTACTTTTCTCATGTAATAGCATACGTTCTCCATCGCGTGCTGTTGTATGTATTTCTTTCAATAGAAGCAAATCTTAACGTGTCAAGTCTTACTATTACATTTATAAAAAGCTATGAGGAAGCAATGTCGGACAAGAGAGCGGTCGTACATTATATTGTAAGCGCGACGGATTGCACAAACCATGTTTCCGATCAATTTGTATGATTGACACTTATGCACTATTGCCTTGAAAAAGTGAAGTTTTGACGAGGACGATGAATGACGTTTTGTTAAGTAAGGTTTTGCAAAATATTCTCAACGAAGAGAGTACTTTCTGAGTATAATAACCTGACCAAATTCTTATCATGAAGTGATGAAGATATTTGTGCACGGTGACACTGATCAAGAAATCGTTACCTCAACGAGCTTTGTGCAATAAATCTCACTTTAAGTGTTCAGCACGCTATTTGTAAAATCAAACTAGTTTTTACAGTAGCACTTACGGAAAAAAAACAACTTAGTAAATCAAAATATTGAGTTCAGAAGAAGTAAAATGAATAATAAAAAACATCGGAAATGTCAAGTGTTAATTTCCGACTTCTTCACAACTCTGACAAGCGTCGCGGGAAAAAAGTCGCAAGTTTAAAAAGCTCTCTTAAAATTCTCTATTTATTAGTTGGAACAAAATGGATGCTAAGCGGAAAGAAAGTCTTTCATTTTATTTATCCACTCTTATAATGTGAAAATGATTTTAGATTAGGTGTGCTCGTTCTATATCCAAAAATAGATATTGGATTAAAGTAATTCCTTATTGAAAATATATTTACAAGCAATACCATGTAGAACCATTCGCGAGTTACTGCGATACAACACATACGAAATATGTATGTGGAATATTTATTGTATAACTTGACACTTGTGAGATTATTAGTTTGAAGAATTGACTTAAGCTAAAGAAGCTAGCTACAACTTTACACTTTACAACGATGGGAAAGTTACCTTCCCTGAATACGAATTGTTAATTTTTTCAAAATGAGTCTTGCTATAAATAAACAACTTTGTTTTTTATTTATAACACACACGCGTACATGGCAACAAATTAGAAACCTCTATAATTAAACGTTCATAAACTAAACTATTTCGTGAAACAAATTCTTTTAAATGCTAGAATATATAATACTAGTGCAAATAGAATTTCATATTCTCATATATAATCGATATGAAACGACGAATTATATCGTATTACTTGGATTATAGCCACTAGGCCATAAAAAAACAACTCTCTTGTGTTTCGTGTGATGAAGACATGAGAAACAGCTAAATATTTTCCAAAGAATTGCAAACATTTCTCTTAAACTACTTGGAACGAGGATTTTCATTTGAAATTAGTCTCGGAAATATGCGGAGGAGTTAGTAAGAACAAAAACGACCACTAGGCTTTATACAAATATAAAGAAAAAAGCGACAAATTTATATAATTATTCGTGAAACCAAATTATATTATATAACAAGCCGGAGCCGACAAAGAGGGTCTGTTTAAAAAAAGAACAACTTTGAAACTTTTGGTGAAACTACTGCAGTCGATACCAGAGCAATTGCACCGTCATCTTTGTCAAAGAACGCAAAGAGAACACTTTTTCAAATTACTTCGCGAAGCACACAAGTAGCTAAAATCCCTCGGGCGAAAATCCCCACAAAATGACCAGCGCTAATTCTCCAAGTATCATTTCCATGTGAATTTTTTAAGTCAAATATTTACGTCTAAGACAAACTTAATAAGGTCAACAGGTGATTATATAGAGAATACAAAGTACATATCAATTCACGTGTTGTGTTCAACCCACCTCTAAAATAAACAGTTTGAACGTAACTATACATAACACATAGCAACAAAGTACGACAAAGAAACCTTTTAAATACAACGACTCACACAAAGCAATTTCTCCCGTTTCATCAATCGGTATGAAGAAAATTATGAATGACAAGATATTTTACAGTCGACGAACATCTTAAACCATTGACGTCACGGGTAAGACATACACTGAGTATATTGCTTACACAAAGAGGAACGGAAGTTCTGTGGATACTGCTGCAATCTTTCTAAACAACGCATGTATGGTTTTTCATCGGTAAACAATGTCTTTCGAGCAATCTCCAAACAGGAAAGAAAAAGACTTAAATAACAGGCCCGAAGAGATGATTGCTCGTTGTGAACATTAAAATTCATCGCGAATTCTGAAGTCAGTCATATGAGGTAAAATCCAAGTGATATAATAATAAGTCGTTGTTATATATATTGCTAATATTAGCACGCACCAACAGTTCTACTGCTATGAGTATAGAAAATTCTTATAGTTATTCGCGAGACGATAAAACTAGAGCAAGAACTATATGAAGGGGAAATCGTGAGACGGTCTGACTTAGCTACAAGTGGTTATAATCAACGAATACGTACGTAGGGAACATAGAGTTCAACGTCATATAATTTCGGCACTTTTCTCCAGCTAATATCATCATGATTAATGTGATTTTTTTCCTATTTAACGTGTGCGTAAGGAAACGTGCAGAGATTGCGTGAGTTGCACTATCTTGATCACACAATCTATTATCATATTTACATTCTAATTGGCATAAAAAATTCTTGAAATAAGAATTCTTTTTTCGGAATCTCATATTTGAATGATATAGGAGCGATGTTCGTTTGTTTGTGTCACTATTGTCCTCATATAATACGTGTCATTTTCTAAACTTCACATGAATCGAATTATCTCGAATTTCTTTTTTTGTAATTAAAATATTGGAGAGTCTATAAGGGTGTCTGGTATTCATCAACCATAAGATCTTATTGTTAATAAAAGACTAAAATTGTAAATTGCAAATGTAATGTATATTTTAGACCATAAAAAATAATTTACTGACATGTGATTTCGTTTTAATTTCAATAGACGTCAATATCACGATGATTTAAGTATCACATCCTTTAAACTTGCATCAATTCTAGGACATCGATTGTATTGTGGGATAAAACTAATAATAAATGTTTTCTCCCAACACGATATGAGTTATTAATGCTATATCCAGACTTGGGACAGGTATTAGTGTTATTCACACAAAGAAATAGTCTGTATAAAGTAAGTTAGTAAAATGTTGCAACACATACGTAGCATAAGTATAATAATTGAGTTTCAAAAGACTCAACCTATCGACGTAAGGAACAAAGACTGTTCATAATAACATCATTGGTTACTATGGACTTCTATAGTCAAAGACGTTTTACGTAAATCGAAGTCTTTCAAACAGGGGTGGAGCCAAGAATTCCCCAGACACGGGCAAGGTCCCCGGAACCCGACAATGATGTTGAACTACAAGGTTCTTGTGAATCATCGCTAACTCTCTTCTAAACCAGTGCACACAAACGTTGAAGCAATAAAAGTGCATAATGACTTGAATATCGTTTCGTGAAAAGATTCTAATAAAACCTGCAGAAAAGAATGTTTTTCAGAAGACAAAACTTCTGTTTTCGAAATCTCCTAGCTTATGCTTGAAACATTTGAATAAATTAGTGCCGAGAGGTACAACATATCAATAACATTTTTCATTTCTGCCATTCATTCCGTGACGAATTTTTATTTTCCCCCCAAAAAGGGTACGGAATTCTCCCTTATCCAGTGAAATGACTTTGTACTGACCCTGCTTCGTGAATTACTAGAAATGACTTTGTACTGACCCTGCTTCGTGAATTACTAGCAATGACTTTGTACTGATCCTGCTTCGTGAATTACTAGCAATGACTTTGTACTGACCCTGCTTCGTGAATTACTAGAAATGACTTTGCACTGACCTTGCTTCGTCAATTACTAGAAATGACTTTGTACTGACCCTGCTTCGTGAATTACTAGCAATGACTTTGTACTGACCTTGCTTCGTGAATTACTAGAAATGACTTTGTACTGACCCTGCTTCGTGAATTACTAGAAATGACTTCGTACTGACCTTGCTTCGTGAATTACTAGCAATGACTTTGTACTGACCTTGCTTCGTGAATTACTAGAAATGATTTTGTATTGACCTTGCTTCATCATACAAGACAAATGTAATTGCCACCAACCTATATTTAACATTTTGTTCTTATTAATAGGATCGTGATCTTGCAACTTACAACTTCAGTAAATCATCAAAACTGATGGCAAACTTTCATCGCGATACCCACCAGCTTATGATTGATGTGTCACATGGCAGTCACGTGCCTAAAGAAACCCATCAAGTGATGAACAAGCGTGATAGACTGGGAAAAAATGAGAAATATTCGGACGAAGAGACTAAGCACGAGTATTCAAACTTCAGAAAAAAGCGCATTCCTTCAGTCAACGAGAAACACAAGACCTTAAAGGATGTATGGGATAACAGTGGATGCATATCAAATGACGCAACAGGTTATGACGTCGATGGTGTCGACAGGGTAAAACGATCACGTGAGAAGCACCGTCTGACGCAGGAGTTGCAAAACAAAGAAAAAAACTGAGAGAGGACACGGCACGAGGAAAGAAATTACAGAACGAACACAAATTACTGTCACATGACCATTCAGATGATATCTTACGTCGCAACATCCCCCCTAAACACGAGCACTACAATGGAAGACAAAATTATGGCAAAATGGAAAAGTTAGACAAGTCGTCGGAGAAAAATACCCATACGTCAGCGAAACAAAAATTAGATCCATGCGAGTGCAACGACACGCGGTCAGCGGAAATAATGAATGGGAAAATCTACAAAATGCCTGATATACAATGTGACCATTCAAATGCCAGAAAGAACAAGGCGAACGATTATGCAGGTAACAAGATTGATCTAGTGAGACTCGAGGAGAGACTACACGAAAATTGCAGTAGAAATCGCACCGAAGACGATTCTTACCACGAGCCAAAAACAGTGATGATAAAGACGAAATGTTAGATGGCAACAATGATGTAAATGTAGCGAAAGAACGCAAATTTGCTGATGGTAAGGAAGTCGTGAAAAACAAGCGTGGTTCACGATTAAGTAAAGCAAGAGAGAAACACGAAGAGACTGATGGCTACACTCAGAACAAAATTGACGGCGATGTATGTGTGGACGCTACAAAGAAAGAAAATTCCTTGAATGATGAAAAATTACCCCCCACAAAGTTAAACGACATGGAATACTGGAGTGATAGCACCGAGGATAGAGTACGAAGCGATCTTCCCCGACATAACTGGTTGCTTGAAAGATGGATGCAGCCTCGATCACGTGATCAAGTCCCGGAAGAAAAGAATTCCCACGAGGGAAGTAGTAGTCCTGTATACGAACAATCATTCCAAGATGAAGTATTGGACGAAGGTGACAATGTACGTGATGATCGTAAAGTTGATAAGAATGACGAAGAGATGCACGGAAAATTATTGTCAAAGAAATACGAAAATAGACAGATAAGCAGCTCCTTGGACGACTCAACTTTGACAAACAAATCTCGAGGTATATACGATGAACCAAGCGACAACATTCCTATTGACGTGATTGTCACAAATAAAATATCAAACGATGAAAAGCATTCAAATTGTACAACGTTAACAAGTGAAAATACAGTTTCATCAAAATCCTTCCAAACAACATTTAGTGTTGAGGAACAATCAAAGATCACAAGGGAAACATCAAGTGACGAGTCACGTATTGCAATCTCCTCATATGTACAAAACAAAGAAGCTTCGCCATTACATGATCAATTGCCTTCTCTAAATCAAGTAAATTGTTTACCCATTGTAGAAAGTAGAGTACCGTCGTCAACACCTGATAAAATACCACCATCAATGACAGATAGAATACCATCATTGTCCCCAGATAAAGTACCATCGTCAAAGACAGACAGAGTATCACCAACAATGACAAATAATTCACCATTATCAATGACAGATGGTGTACATCCATCAGTAACAGGTCGAGTACAACCATCGGTAGAATGTGGAGCAAGATTATCACCATCGACAACCACGTCGCTACCCACAACGAACAACATAATATCGAAACGCGTAATGATTCACTCAGAGAACGAAAGCAAAGACAGATCTACGACAATCAAAACGATGGCAGAACGAACTTCTATTGGTACGATGAGGTATATAAAGGATACCTATGGGGAACATGTAACAACTACTGAATATTTAAAGGATAACTGTGGACAATATGTAACCACTAGTGAATATGAAAACTACGCAAGACAAGATTTGAAAAAACGAGATCAAATAATCGTGATGAGATCAGAAAAAACGAAAATATACCAGACGAAAAGTCAATAGTGTCGAAGATACAAACAGGCAAATCTGTCAATCCTGTCAGTCCTATTATAAGAGCAGATAAATACGTAATCGATGACCAATGTAAACCTCATGCATTACACATGAAACCGTTACGTTATCATGATGAGCTATCATCTAGAAAATCATTTGTGGATGAAGCATATCCTGCAGGCTTTCATCCAAAAACATTCACCCCACATCTATTGACTCACAACTCAGTGGATAAAAATCATCGAGGACATGGTATCTTTGTAGACGGATTACCCAGTCGGGTTGAAATATCTCATTCAAAAACGGATGCTGATTGTCCATTCCACGGAAAAACTCCAGAGAAACCATATACACGTTTTCCCACCTATCCAATTACACACGCAGATGTACCAATGTATCCCAATCATCCCTTTTATCAACGACGACGTTACAAAGATTGGGATAAACTATCTGAACATATGGAATTACTTTCAGATCCAGTAGTGATGCAAAGAGGGCGATTACCGAATGTCTACAACCGCCATCACCTACCTTTACCTCATAAAATGTCGATACATCAGCCTAGACATTTGCCAACAGGCTTTATAGAAGAACGCAGTTTTCCAGTAGAATCTTACAGATATCAAATGGAAGCAACGCGTGCATATGCTAGGCTACCGCATTCACATGTACATGGTGCATGTTCCATGAACAGGTCGGCAAATTCAGGCTTATTGCCCGAAGCAAATCGACATCGTGCAATGAAGTTGTCGGAAGACATGGCTGAGAAACCTAAAGAATACGAGACAATACAGGAAAATTCTCGCTTTAAACATCTTGAACACTCTCCTCACATAAGCAAAAAATATCATAGTAGTGATTCACAATTGCTATGTATCGATCACGTGTCACGCGTTACGTCACCAGGAAGAAAATCCCCAACTTTCAACCATAAGAACAAACCACGGACAGGATACATTCAACTTGACAGCGCAGGGCCTCCTCGGCCCAATGTACAACGTGCTACGCTTGATCACGACTCAATTAATCGTGATTTCAATGAGAGATTCAGTATGTTAGACAAAAACTTCAAGGAGAAACTGGAAGGTCCTGATCGCTTGATTAACGAAGACATGGCTGCATACAGGAGGTATGGAGGAGTTAAAGTCGAAGAGGTGACGAAGAATTTGAGGGAGAAAACGAAGGATCTCGACCAATGTAAACAATCTGAAAGCTAAGCTATCCCTTACCGGAGGGAAAGGGAAAACAATCAGAATGCTATTCGCCAGGGGGAGTGGTAACTAGAGCCCATATCTCAAAAACTGGCGCTTTACCTTACTATTTTACTTCTAACATAGAACCCAATCGCCCATACGGTTTTTCTCAAGCAATTGGTCACAACAGCGACATTGGAGTGTGGCAAAGAATGACAGGATATTCGCGGACACCGGGGTATCCCATAGATCGCCATGGGATCAAAGATGCTCAGGTAACAAAATGATAAAAAGAAAATGACAAAATTATAGGAATGACATGTATAATTGTATTTTGTTTCAGGATGAAAAATTTCGTAAAGCTTGTACTCCTGAAGTTGAAAGTGATCACAAGGAAAAGATTAATCTTGCCATTGAGGGACAAAGGAGAAATATGACGTATTTGGAGAACGAGCGACGCAGAATGATGATGGCAGCAAACACGCACGAGAGAAAAATTGAGAGTGAAAAACGACATTCGATGACGAATGAAGAAATGCGTCATGACTTGAAACAAGACAATAGAAAACGTAAACTTTCAGGAAATGAAAATAGTTACTTCCCTAAAGTTCAAAGGGAATATGAAATGAACAAAGGAAGTACGTATCATATGAATAACTATCATTTAAAAGATGCGACATCATTTCATCGTTCGGAGCCCCTCAAGTATTCATGGCAACGTGACTCATTGGGAACGTATATGAACAGATGGCAAAGTTCGGGAAGACTGGGCTACAATATTGGTAATCAAACTGAAATCCCCGAAGTTCTAAGAAAACGACATGGGTACAATGAACGTGAAGAAGAGAAACGTCAAATTGCTGTTCATCAACAAAATAATGATTTGGAGTCTGGGGAACCAACCAAAAAGAAAACAAAAAAACATTTCATGTGTGATGTGTGCAAAAAGGAAGCCTCGTTCCTATGCTCAGGATGTCAGAAGGCTTGGTATTGCAGCGCTAAATGTCAGGTAAGTAAACTTGATCGTGGTTTTCTTTATCCTTTCGTGTTCATAGTAATCCTCGAGTGATCAATTGTTCTTTTAATGCAATGCGTAGTTGCCGTAGCATATCTTTCTTTCAATTGAGCCTCACATAGTTAATGAAAAATTTTTTATCAAATTTTGTGTAGCACACAGCGTGGGGTGAACATAGAGGAGAATGCACCGATTCAAGACGAAGATAACGATTGCAATCATTAAATTATTGATGTGTAAATAAAATTTCGTAGTATTTAAATCCAGACAATTGGGAAATGATCTTCAGATTTATCAGAAAGATATCAAATTATTATTTAATGTAAAGTTTGACTTTAAGCATTTGTTTTAACTTATTCACATCGCAATCCAATACTTCTGCACGAACGATTGTACATAATTCAAATCGATTATTTTTTAGCAGAGACGTATTTATAAGTCTTAAAAGCATTTAGTCACAAAACATAGTTTAAATCATTCTCAGAGAACGCTTTTAAAAATAAGAAATATACGATAAGCGCACGCATATGAAACATGCAAAATAACACTTTCGAAATTAACAGAAACATATTAATGATGTTGTAAATTATCGATTTACAATAACTACTTTATAATTTCAATGTTTCTAAACAAACATTAAAAATTGATTATTTATAAGTTTCAGTAATTTGTTCGTTGATTTCTTAATTCATTCTAATTGGCAATTATTTCGAACATTATTTTACATCATCGTCTCAATGATGAAATTTTTCGCCGAACAAACTGGAAATTCCAGTTCATCAAGTCGACTATAAAGGTTTTACTGCATATTCTCACAGAATTTACGATTAAACTAATGTAGTCGAGTGATGTCATCATGTTAATGTCAAAGTGGTAAGGTGATAGATAAGAAAAAATAAAAGTATAACTTACAGTTGCTCTTAGTGTGTCACCTCATTTTTTTTGTTGTTTTTTCACATCGCTGATAACCATCTTAGCCACCTTCCACGCCATCTCTTCTTTTACCTGGAGCAAAAAAGTACAAAATTGTCGATTCACGTAAAATTTGATGCCATCCGAAGACATATTGACGTTTACCTTGTCCGTGTTCCCAGAAACCAGTTTTTTCATTTTCTGACCGAACTTCAAGACTTCAAAAGTAAGTAAAAAAATGGTTCAGGAAAAAGAAATTTATCGATAAATAAAGTGGTCATCCTTTACAGTCTTCTTACCTTCTTTTCCAGGCTGAGGCTCGATTCCAGGTTCATAAATACCAAATTCATTTACTCGACCAATTGAAAGACTTTAAAAAAAAACGTGAAGTGTTCAGCTATATCACAATAACATAAGTGTTAAGAAATATAATTCACACCTCACATTCGTCATACACAATTGATGCCACACACCTCATGATACCATAGACAATACCGAAGATAAACCACGTCCCACGTTTGTCCACACAAATCTAACAAATTAATTTTATTCCTCACTCCTCCATTCATCAGTTACACTCCTCCATCCGTCAGTCACACTCCTCCATCCATCAGTCACACTCCTCCATTCATCAGTCACACTCCTCCATTCATCAGTCACACTCCTCCATCCATCAGTCACACTCCTCCATTCATCAGTCACACTCCTCCATTCATCAGTTACACTCCTCCATCCATTAGTCACAATCCTCCATTCATCAGTCACACTCCTCCATTCATCAGTCACAATCATCCATCCATCAGTCACAATCCTCCATTCATCAGTCACAATCCTACATTCATCAGTCACACTCTTCCGTAACTTTGCTAGTTCCCACTTACCCAACATGTGGCCTCTGCCATATTTCATTGGGATCTTCAAGTGGATCCATTTCATTCCCTAAAGACTCCATCATTCTCATAGTGTCACTTGTTGTACTACTACATTCATCAGCACAAATGCTTGTCCTATCTGATTCCACATCTGTGACGGAACTTAACAGCTCATTCAAATACCTCATGTAGATGCTACTATCCAAGAAGATAGGAAAATAAACCTGAAAATATATGAGTGAGATCATTTAATGCATTATTTCTTTACATCTTTACTTTCTTCTTTATTTCTGTAATAAAAATTGTTGCCTGACCTCCTCGAGAAGTGTCAATACATTTTCCATTGGTTCTTCAAAACACTCCGGTAGAGGACCACCATCGCGACAGATTTTGTTTTCAATACGGATTCTCGTTTCATCGCCAACACCCAGAGAATTGGATGCTTGCATTGAAAAATATCTAAGAAATCAAAATGTAAACTTGTAAATAAAATTTAGTCAAGGAATGGCTACAGCAACCAACTTATGAAGTTACATTTTATGACAATGAAAAGAGTTGTTTCTTCAAACGTGCTCCAGTAGAACTTTACAAAATGTAGCTCACTAGTAAACTTATTAACCCTTTCTCATCCTGTTATCTCCATACATCCATTGCTACCCACACTAACATCTATCTTCCACAACGTTCACTAATAAACTTATTCAACATTCCTCAACCTGTGACCACAATATATCCATCGCTACCAATGCTAACACCTTCCACAACGGTCACTAAGAAACTTATTAACCCTTCCTCATCCCGTGATCACCATATATCCATTGCTACCCAAACTAACATCCTCCACAACGTTCTATTGAATCCATGTGGATTACTTACTTATCGTACAAGACCATGGCATCTTCCAAAGCTTCTCTCGAGTTGTAAAGTTTCTTGTTCAATTTTGATTGTAATTCTTCACGGAAAGCATCAGCAGCTATCCAAAATGCCAAAAGATAACTCTTCCCCTCCTGTTCCATGAACTAGATAAAAACCAAAATATTGCAATTTAACTTTCCCCCTCGTGTCAACGGTAGAACGTCCGGTACAACGTCCGACCTTGTCCATGCTTTTTTACGACTTAAATCAAGAAATAAAGCTTGCAGGTAAAAACGGTTCACAATGTTGCATGGAATAAATGAAAAATAAAACTTTCGGTGTAATTCTCTACACCCGTTCATGCAGTAGTATGAATTAATTAAGAAATAAAACTTTCAGTATAATCCTCCCCCCCCCCGTTCATGCTGTTGAATGAATTAAATGGAGAAAACTTCAGTAACGCCCCGCGCCAAGCTGTTCCATGTTATTGAATAAATCTACCTCCATAAAATAGAACATGGCTTCATCATTGTACATGATATCTGCTAAAAACACTCGACCGCTTGTCAGAATATCCATAATGTGCTTGTGGTAGAATGAACTTCGTAAGAAATCGTCAAAATATCTAGAAATTACAACACATAAAATCAATAACTGATGCAAACAAACATCTCACATGCAAATCGCAAGTGACTTCATTCCAGAATAGTAAATACGCTATAAACAGTTATCAAGAGTGAAATTCTTAAGGAAGAAATCACTAGAAAGTAAATGGTTTAACCCGGGAGTATCGTTACATGTTTGAAGATGTAGTTCGTCGAGGTTAGTAGAGTCCTGAGAAGGACTGTTGTTGTTGATGTTGACTGATGTTTCGACAACCTTAGCGGTAGTCATCTTCAGAGTCAAAAAATGAAATCACTGACGTCATACGAGACGGTTGATGATTACACTGGAAAAAGTCACATCGCTTAATGCGAGAAATTGTTTACTAATATCACGACGTCAGAAGTAACGACTGATGATAAAGAGTTTATATCAGTGACGTCATAAGAGATGACAGATGACTACATTGGTCATAGTTATCTTGTGTGAGCGAGCATTATACTTCATATAAGTAGTGTTTGAACACAGTTTTACTCAGGAAACTTACTTTGAACGTAAGATATCAAAAGCAAAATTTTGAGCAACATGAAAGCAATCTGCGTCGACACTACCATCCTCTGTACAAATTCTTCTTTCAATTTCTCTTCTCATCGTTTCATCAACATTCAAAGAATGAGAAGCATCCAACGCGATGAAATGATGATAAATATTGAGAGCATCCTCTATCATAACTAATTTAAAAACAAAAAGAATAATTTTGGGGACTGAAATTGAACAGTAAATTAATGTAACTTTTGCAAGACCATAGAACTGGTTATATAACCATTGAAACACTAAATAACTTTGTAATTGGAACATCTTAGAAATTATAGAACATCTAATTGAAACATCTTGCAAGAACGTCCACAATTGAACCTCTTTAAAATTATCACAGAACAAATTTTGAAAATTTTAGAGACCCAGCAAAATGCCTCGAAATGTTTTTTGAACTTTTGAAAATGTAAAACTGGCTATTAATGTATTATTTCTGCCAATATCTAGAAAATTATAATTTTTGTACATCAAAAAGGGTGTCATAAGTCATGCGACTGTAAATCATAAAAATCTAATTACAGTATTCAGAAACTTGATTGAAACTTATGAATACTATATTGATATAAGTACAACAAACCTTTTGACAACCCATCACTAAATGTGGACCTTTCTTGCTTGTCAGTACTTTCTTGGGATGTTTGTAAGTCTTTAGTTGATAATTCAAAACTGTCATTTTCTCTCAAGTTTTGATCACAGACAGTTTTAAACTTATCAGATGAAGTCCTGATATCCACAACATTATTTATTACACACGAGGCATCTGGTATATTATGGGAACTATTCAAAATTTTCCCATTTTCTTGCTTGGAGCAAAATTCTTCACTTGAACCAACATTATCAGTTTTATTATCAGAGTCTGTTCCAATAGGCAAAAGACTATCTTGTAATCTTTTATTCACATCCATCTCATTGCTCCTTGACAAATCCTTAGATGAACAATGAACAATTCCCATGTTAGGATGATTACTTTGTGACACTGAAGCTTTGCTGTTTGAAACATATTCTGAAAACCTTGAGCTTTGAAATGCTGACTTCTCAACAGTTTTTTCTTTTTGACCACTCAATCGAAATGTCTCAGCAGCTAACCAGAAATTAAGAAACTTTTGAGCGCCTTGTTTTTGAAGAAATTCCAGAAACAGTGGTAGTATAGTATCATCAACCACCACTTCAGGCAGTGTCTTAGAGAGGCGAGAGCGACGTGGGAAATTTGCAACACACTATAAATAGATAAATTTTTTGTGGTAAGAAATTGGACATAACTAACTTATGTTGTGACAGTTCACCTTTGTGCTCGAGTTGCTTGAACGTTTGGCCAATTTGAGTAGATTTTTTTTCTCTGCATCTAAAGAAAGATTCCTTTGAGGACTGAGTCACCACAGTTTAAATGTCATGATGAATTGTTCAGTGATCAACTTTTGTTATTTACCTGCATTTGGTAATATATCATTCGTTTCTGAGGAAGGTAGTTGCTTTTGATGAAGAGAATTGACATTTGCAAATTTGCTTCCATTAAAACTAACATTTGACTTTCGCTTTCCTAAAATGACAAGCAGTAATTTTATAAGGAAACCAAAACCACACTAAAAAAGCAATGTACAAAAATACTTGAAACTTAGTAAGAGCCCTCTAAAGCCATATTCAAACCACACAACCTAGTGCAAGATAAATGATGACAATGCTCAAAGAGATTTGGAATGCAATTTTGACAATTTAATGGTTCAGTTAAAACAAACAGGAAAAGCATAGAAACAAGATGGCAACAACTCTATTTCACGATACAAAACAGATTTGTTATCAAAGATAATTATCTATTCTGCACGGCGGTAGTAATTGATATGACATGCCCATAACATGGAAGTAAATTGTCGTCCCAATTAACATGCGCAAAATGTCTAAAGCCAGCATAAAATGTCACACAACAACAGCATTGTATACCTGATTTTCTCTTCGAAAAAAAGGGCATTTGCACGGGCTCCAGGCTATAGAGCCGCATGAAATTCTTTCTAAGTTTTATGATTTAAATATACAGAGAATTTGAAGACATTTTAAATGAATTAAACGCATTTTGACCCTTCTTCCGACCAAAGAGACATAATCTTCGGCGTGCGCCTGCCGTCCACTGCCGCCAACTTATGTCACAGCCGCTGACCCCACATAGCTGGAGACCAGTGCGTCACACTCACTGTCAAATCAAATGTCAAGAATGTACAAATGGTAAACGTCACCATGTTTTTTCAATAGATTTTAATTTTAATTAACTTTTTCAGGAAATACTGTAAAATAGATACGCAATGCGTAAATGTGCATGCATACCAGTTTAGTCATACAATTTGTTGATTGATAAGGTGACAGAAAATTTCTTCTATCCAGGCTGAAGGTAGAAATAAGTACCTACAAAACTTGTGATTAATATGTCAGAGACACATCTTTGATGAAATTAAATGTTTGGTTGAAGCTACAATCAATAAAATCACGACAGTGGCAGATCTAGAGTACCTCAAAATTAGTTACTGCAGCGCACTTTGGAATATATTTACATTTCCAAGCACCTAAGATACAAGTTCATTAGTAAAATTATATTCTTTAGAAATTCAAAACCAATAGTGTTTTTTTGAAAGTACTTTGACTTTAAAATTAAGCAGCTATAATTTATTTTGAGCTACCATAGATCCGCCACTGAATCATGACATATATAAAATTGCTAATTAGTTGAAATGGTAAAATTGAGACATAAATCATGATCTCTCTTATCACCCCATCCTCCATTTGGTTGACCAATATATCCCTGAATCCAAGGTCGGGCTAGTTCCACTTTTAAAAATGATGGGTTCAACACCTCATTGCTTTGTTCAATGATCTCTTTTGTCCTATCTAGAACCATATTGATGTCACAATTACTGTTTCTATGATGAAGTCCACAGGTCCCAAGATGAAAGACTCTTGGAGAGCGGAAGAGAAGAACTTTCAACGGTTTTGAAAAGCATCTTAGACTCATTCTCATCAAACTCCAGTCCCAGTTGTAATCATCATATTTACAAAACATGTCACCACATTCAATTATTTTCTCCCACGTTTTTTTATCCAATGCCATGCCCATATTGTGCTTTGTAGAAACCCAAGGTTGAATACGAACTATTCTAGAATTTTCAACATGAAAATTTCTGATAGGCCTATAATCTCCTAGTGTTACAATATCACATGCATGTTCACGGCATAATGGATCAGTCTGCTTCACATGATATGCTTTCTGAAGTACTTTATAGAAATCTGGAGCAACATAATGGTCCTCTTCAAGTAGCAACACTAATCCCCTATGGTTCCTTGTTACCCATAAGTCCTTAAATATTCTGTTAATTTTCCACCACCAATGATGTTTTGTCATGGTGAATTTCACCTCTCTATAATGACCGTAGGAATCTGGATATTCTGCATTGTTACATCCCATTGCTCTTGCTTCCGTTTTTGACAAGTCTCTAGGACAATCGTTTGGGTCTGACCCTGGAAACTTGTCTGGATTCAGTTGTTCAGAATATGGAAAAAATATTTGCAGGACTTGGCAAAAATCGACATTGTGAACAATATTATTGATTTCATTTGAGTAGTAATCATGACTTATAATAAGTAATGCATCTGATATTCCATTAGCTTCACGCAAGGATTGCAGAAGTTTTGATAAATAATTGGCACGCTTATGTACCTGAACAGCAATAACAATGCTATTCTGGCTTCTTTGAGGGAACTTTTCCATATTTCTAATTTTTTGCTGGAGATTTAATCGTCTAACAACTTCCTTCAGCTTATTTTCATTATTCACCATGGCTTTTCTAGTGACATATTGATTGTCTAACTCAACAAGATTCGGTCTTCTTTCAGGGAGCTTTTCAACATTTCTAATTTTTTGTTGATGATCTAATTGTCCATCAATATCCTTCAGCTCATTTACATTCTTTTCCACAACTTGATTCTTGTTCGTTTCTTCTGTAAATATATCCAGTATAATGTTACTATCTTTTAAAACCAAGGATGTCCATTTCTTGCTCTTAATTGCTTCTTCATTTGGTTTCCTTTTCCATAGATACATCACGACAATAAAGCAGAAGATAAATATAATGCTTCTAGCTAAGCTGAGTTTGCTGCGCTTGCAGATCATCGCTCGATACATTAGTTTAAAATTGAGAAAAACATTCAATCACTGAAGATTTTTTGTAGTTTGAATGCACAATTCAACCTGTCACATGCATAAATCTATGATTGAGGTTCAGAAAATCCTCTCAGGAATTGTTCCTTAACTCTTTTACGCATTTCTCGAAATCACAAACAAATCTTTGACACCATCGTTGGACAAAATGAGCAATTAATGTGAACAATATAAACGTATTTATAAAAGCCGAAAAAATCTTCTTTGAAGTAAATAAATAGGATCTTAAATCACTGCTCACTGAACCCAATATTGACAACTGGAGCACCAGGACGTACTGACGTAGCCACAAAATTAAACTGACTGTACGATTTTTGGATCATGCCTAAACTGTACGCTTTTGTGTTGTTTATAAACTCTCTTTAAAAATTAAAAACTGATGTCTGTTGTGACTTTACAATTGGGCCAATGTGGCAACCAAGTTGGACGTGAATTTTATGACTTACTTTCAAAATCTGCCACCAGACCGAACTTTCAGCACCCCCATAGTTTCCATGGCGATGATTACTTTGAGATGGTCACAGAGCGTTTTTTCGACGAGAATAGCTACGGTAAAATGCTTTGCAGGGCGGTAATGGTGGACACGGAACAGAAAGTCATTTCACAAATGTTTGAAGATACAAAGGCCAAGGGAACCACATGGAGTTATCGTCGAGATGGACAGGTATCAGGGAAGAGAGGGTCAGGCAACAACTGGGCACTTGGTTATTGTTTCCATGGTCAGAATTGCGTTTCAGATGTTTTGGAAGCGGTATCCAAAGAAGTTGAGAGATGTGATAGTTTAGGTTGTTTTCTGACTTTAATGAGTGTTGCTGGTGGAACAGGATCTGGTTTGGGTACTTTTCTTACTACAGCCATAAAGGATGAGTTTCCTCATGTTACTATCATCAACAATGCAATCTGGCCATACACCATGGGAGAAGTTATCATACAAAACTATAATGCAGTCTTGACATTGTCTCACTTATACTCCTCATCTGACGCTATCATTTTCATGGAGAATGACAAGATGCAACAAATATGCACGCAGTTACTAAAAATCAAAAATGTTTCATTTAAGGACATCAATAAGGTGATTAGCGATGAAATTGGCTGGGGTATGCCTCAGCATCTCTTGCAAAGGAGTCTAAATACTTGTCAAAGTTTTGTCTGGCTGATATTTTATCCAACACATGCTCTCATCCTGGGTACAAACTTCTTAATATTCTCAACATTCCCATCATTCCTAAGGCATCTTTAGTGTATACGTCATACAACTGGAACATGCTTGTGAAGCATGCTCGACAAATGTTGATTTCAGATGCAAAATTGGAGGAAGGTAAGATCGTTTTGGGGAATATGTACCAGTTGCTATTTTCAAACTTCACTGCTATTTCACAGGAATAAACTGGTCAGTTAAGGTACCTGAATCACCTCAACCAATTCCAAAAGCAGACCCAATGTCACATATCAACAAGTCTGTGGCCAATCAAACATTTCTTCGTGGAAAAGACTCAGAAACTGTTGATCTATCCCCATTCAAGCAACCACAATTGTATGCAAACTGGATACCAAAAGACAAAAGCTTTCATAATGCACATCAAAGGTACAGCTACAATGATACAGACCAATCACTAACCTTGTTGAGTAACTCTCAAAGTCCAGTTAAACCACTCAATACTGTAATCAGCAAGGCATGGAAAATGTTTTCATCTCGTGCATATATACATCAGTATATACACCAAGGAATAGTGGAAGATGATTTTCTTGATAGTTTTATCACTCGAACAAGTTGTTAAGAACTATGCTAGCCTTTAAATTTGACTGGAAAATAAAGTTTGCTTCTTCATTAACATTTCTTAATTTTGTTTAAGAAACACATTTACAATGCAACAGTTATTATTGGGGCAAAATCTTCTTAAGAGGAACTTCATCGATTTCTCAAAACAAGTTAAAATCAGGTTAGACATATGATTCAAAACTGATATTTTCTTGAATCAATGTTATATAAATACATGTATGTAAATTGTAATTATAGAACAAATTATTTTGACCTTGTTTGATGATATGTAGCATTCAACAAGAATGTATGCAAATTTTATAACTCAGTAGTGATTGACTGGATTTTTGTCTAATTCATAAATACTAGTATTGAAGTCTCTTTGGCAAGTGCAAAGTCCTTCCTCTCACTCAAAGAAAACAATACTTTTGTTGCTTGTGGCCAACTAGCATTTTCCAAAAGAAATCATGTATATATATCTACCCAACTTTCTTGATAAAGTGAAAATCATGTTAATACTAAAATTTTCAACTACACATAAAAATATGATACTTTTAGCATGGCAATGGCTTCATACAAGCAATCGGCTGACATGTTACCACAGGTCATCTAGTTCACACAGAAACGTAAATTATCACCCCGATGATGATAAGCAATAGCACACAAAGAATTGCCACAATTATTTTTTTCTATAAAGGAAGGAAAAACTTTGAATGATAACATTTCAGACTATAATTAAATTTGATTTAATGATTGGAATTGACAGCTATAAATGTGGCAATACTGTTGAATATCAACTGATGACTAAAGCTGGTCATGGCAAAGAAAAAGGTAGGAAAATTTGAAATATTTGATGGGAAAAAATTAGTTTCAGTCTCATTGGGATACTAAAATTGCAAAGTGTATCAGAAGTACGGTAAAATATCACGATTCTTGGCTTTACCGATGTTAGCTTACCTGATGATATTTTAGGTCAGTATGTGTAATATCTATTACCACATGCTTGAATAGAGTGTGAAAAAAAGTGTACAAAATCAAAACTAGACACAAGTTAAAATTTCTGCCTTTAGAAAATCAGATGATAATTGACAACAGCATGGTAATGACACACGTACGTACTTCAGTGCCAATTCCAACCACTATATATTTGAAATATGAGTAGATGATAACCAACCCTTCGAGCTTTACTCTGATATTTTACTGCTTTCTTAGTTTCATTTTTTGCCGATGAAATATAATCTGCAGCGTTGTCAACATTGTGTTCAATTCTATTTATCATTTCACCCTGCATATGCACAATAATGTCAAAATCACATGATGAACATTAAAACAATACAATCAACCATGGAAAATTTGTTGAAAATCTAACCTGGCTTTCTACTAGCATCGCCATATCAAGAAACATTTCATGTAGTTCCTATTAAAAATGTTTTGAAATAAAATACTAAACAGAATAAGCTTTGCAATATAGTGATTGAATTTAACAAACAACTATAACAGAAATATTATCAAGTGAAAATCTAATAACATGTTTAGGATGCAACAAGCATGTACTGTCAAATCTTACCCGAATGCTTTTCTCTAGATTTACTATGTCCTGATGTCGAGCCTCGATGTCGCCCAAAGCTTGTCTTGCTTGCTGCGTCTCAATAATAATCTAGATATTCACCATAGCAATACACAATAAAACAATAGATCGATAAGAACTTTAAAGCATTTCCAAATACCCCTGATGTGAACAAAGCAATATTTTTCTTTTCCAACATGTCTTCAACCTCTTCACTACTTTTTGATTGTCCAGCTGAGGTAAAAAAAACATACATTACTCATTTATTTTGTCTACATTGGAAGCTAAATATCACCAGCTTACTTATATCCAATTGTCGCTGAATCCTTTCTTTACACTTTTCTCTGTACGAAACTTGAATTGTGTTGTAGTTAGACATTACATCAGCAAAATCTCGAGACAAGGCTGCATGCTGTAATAATACAAAAACAAAAAATTCACAATTCTTATGTCGTCTGGCATCCCAATTACATTTGCAGGTAGTTCAATTATTATCAGAACAGAAAGTCATATGATAGTCAACTAGTACATTTGAAAATACACTTGAACATACTGGTACACTTGAATATACACTTGACCATATTGGTACACTTGAGCATACACTTGAACATACACTTGAACATACATGATACACTTGAACATACATGGTACACTTGAACATACATGGTACACTTGAACATACATGGTACACTTGAACATACATGGTGCACTTGAACATACATGGTATGCTTGAACATACATGGTATGCTTGAACATACATGGTACACTTGAACATACATGGTACATATAGGTAATCCAATTATTCTAGCAAATGCTATCTTTTAAATTTCAAATGCTAGTATGGCCAGACCTTGATCAAAAGAATCAATTATAATTCCCACAAATATATTTGATCCTAAACAATAAACTCATCCATGTTAACCAGACCTGGCCAACTTTGATTCTTGTTTGGGCATTTTCCCTGTCATCATGAATTTTCTGTTCCATAGCTAAATTTCAGCACGAATGGTCATTCATATTATACTGCACAAGTTCATATGAAAATTTCAGGTACTGTTACGATGACTTACCCTTGAGCTTAGCCCTCACATTGTTTGCATCTTTTTTAATCACACCCATTAGATTGTCAAGTTCTGAATTGACGCCTTCAAACATTTATCAAAATTATCATCTTTATGTTTTCAAGCATTATTTTTTTATATATGTTACAAAGTACGACACTTAAATCTACACCGTAATCAACACAAAATATTTAAGTCATTCCTTACGATCGTCGACAACAGGCGCTGAAAGAATAGAACTGTGTTTTTTCTTCACATTGTCGATATTTCGTTTGATGCCCTCAATACTATTACGAATATCGTTCACCTAAATGGAGAAAGTCATGGGTACTGTTATCACTTTTCATTATGAAAATTTACAAGTTCGATAAATTTGCCTACAACTTATATGTGCGTGTTTACTCTGTACAATCGAACGGAAATTAAAATATCGGTCTTTATTGCTTTAGTTTCATACCTCTTTCTGAAAGACGTCCATGAAACTTTGATCGATTTGAACTGTGTGTTCATCGTCATCACTAGCAAAATCCTCGGTTTTCTGGGCAGCCGCCTTCACCACAAATGTTCAAAAATATTTGCGAATATAAAGCAACTTACAAGTAGACTACCTCATATCCTGTATGCTAGAGTTGTTAGACACATTACTACTTATGATCAACGTACATACTGACGCACAAAACCATATTACTACAACGAACCTGTAATGCCCGTAGTCTGTCCCTCATCGTGCGCAACGACAAACAAAAATCGAGAGAAAACAACCAATTTTTTACTGTGTATATCCTCTTTCAAGAATCCGCCATAGTGAGTAGTGTTTCGTCTGAGAGACTAGGAACAAGTAGGCGTTCCTCTTCTCTGCACTCAAAACATTGACTCAGCACCGTTCTCTGCAATTATGGATGCAAATCACAAAACACAACAGACTAATGTTTGTGGGGTAATTTATGCAAGATTTTCATATAATCACTCAATCTCTGTAAAAATGTAGGCGACCTAAGCCATTTTATCGAAGAATACTTTGGAGGATCGAAGTGATCAACACGTTGAACGCGACTAAAACGATAATGTAGAAACCATGCTCAATAAGATTCAGAACACTTCGTTGAGACGGGCAACTGAAACAGAGGGCAGGAAGGGATCGGTGTGGTTAATGCAAGTTTAAGTAAAATTAATAGGAATCAACTCCTTAAAAATGCAATAATTTTATGTAAAATATTTCTATTGATTACAAAATTCGTTTAAAATAATTGATAATTATTCCGAAGACTTGGAACTGAATGTGCAGTCTAAACTATTATTTATATATTTGGACATACATGCATTTATATATATCATCCCTTTTTTCATCCCAGTTTAATTTGCCAGCAAAAAGGTTCAATGCAATGTCTTATGTTATTTTATCTATACTAGAAAGTAAAGAAGCCATTTCATAATATCTTTCACAAAATGTCAGTGTCTAAGCGAGCTTTGTAAAAAGCGTTGAGGATCTTTCGAAAATGCACTAAACGATGGCGGAGTTTCATTTTCGGAACCAACGGCTGAACGACGACGCTTTATCGTATGCCGTGACGTTGCCTGACAAGCATTGAGTTCCACAGAGTTTAATACCGATGACAAATTGCCTTGGCAACACATGATTTGGATCTTGTCAGACATTGCACTAACGACGTATACTGCACCAGCTCTTAATGCTGCTCCAAGGATTCGTGGTCTTTCTATGGAGGCGAATGTTCGGGACATGGTACTTTGGGGAAAAAAGTTCCATCAATAATTATAGCAAAGCATCAACAACTATTATTGATTGACAACACTTACCACTGATTATGAAGTGAAGAAATCTGACAAACTTCAACAGAGTTAAAATATGTGACATACAAGTAAGGTTTCTTGTACGCTAAAATAAAAAAAAGAAATTACCGTATATAATACAATTACATAAGAATTGTAGTTTGCTCTAAAGTAAAAATTACCGAAGGAGAGAGGAAGGCCACTCCATTTTAGATCTTCATTTCGTGTTCGCTCACCGTTTCCATTGACAAACACACCCGAACCTATAAAAAACAACATCTCAAATTTAAATGCAATCGAATCGTCTCGAAACCTACAGGCTCTTGATTCTCTTCACTCCAACTTGCAAGATGAATTGTTCATCAAAAGCTTTTCTTACCATTGAAACAAAGCAGAAACTCTTCTTCGGTAGATTCTGATAAATGAAGAACATCAACAGGGAAAGACTCGGGTCGTATATAATCAAGGTCACCGTCTTTTAGAGTGTTTTCTTGTGTGTGGAGAAAATCTATTTAGAAATAACGTGAAAATTTCGACGAATTTATTAGGTTACAATGACATTTTAGGCACCCATTCACAGGCAATAAAATTACCTTATACCTAACACACCAACATTTATTCAAACTAAAGATTACCTAATTACGATAAACTTCAACCGACCTGTCAAACAAAAGTGTCGGAGATCAATCTGATAAAACTTGTCACATCCAATGATTACTTTGTCGTTTGCAAAAGCAATACATATACATGGTTCAAAACACTCTACTTCTTTTCTCTTTACGAAAGAATTCATTGACGTGTTGTATCTTAAAATGGAGATCTTGTTAGATACGGCAGCACACAGGAACGTCGTATCTCCAATCTGATGAGAAAACAAAACAAAAAGTGGGTAGGGTCAGAAGAATGTCTCGGGAATGGACATGAAAGGCAAGGAGAGCGTTTGGATTTATAGTCATTAAACAGATGTGAACAAAAAAAGATGTTTGTGTAGCTACTGTATATGGTTTTAGATGTTTTAGATTTTAAAACAACAACCTTCTTCGATGCAAAGAGATGACAATTAATAATGTTGCCGACATCTTGGAACTCCAAAGAATTTAAAGGTACTTCACAGAACTGTTTCGTACAAGCCTCTAATTGTTTCAGATCGATAGCGATTAACTGCCGTTCAACACCTTCAAATTATTATATAAATACACTGGTTATGACATTAAAACTTCAGTAATGTCAACAAAAACCAATAAATTTACTCACCAAAAATCAGGAGAGCGAGACCAACATCTCGATCAATGTTTATTTGATAGACTTTCCTAATTCCAGGAATAAGACGAGGTCTGTTATCATCTTCACTTTTCAAGATCGATAATGTAAACAAGCCTTCTGCAGCTCCAAGTAATACAAACTGCAAACCATGGAAAACATTTATAAAAAATTGAACAAAACGAAAAAAATGAGTTAATAAAGTCATTATACTTTGTCATTGAGAGCACAAGCAGTGTTTATATCCAGACGCTCATCTTTAATCATTGTTAACAATACATCAAGGAACACTTTCTGTAAAATAAAAAAATGCAAAAAACACAAATTATTAGAGAGCAATCAAGACAAAAAAATCCAGAACAAGTATACAAAAGGATATTGATGTATAAGATAGGTTTATACATAAACTTCAAATACCTGATGACTTTTACCGACGTCATTGTCTCTTTCTCTCACGATGTTCTCCAATGCCCGCACCCATCTTTGTTTCTCAGGAAAACTGGAAGAAAGTAAGTGCAACGTGCAACCGGGCCAACAAGTGGTCTGGGGACGAATCTCGATTGAAAAGACGTAGGGAAGGTCTGTTGCTGCCACACCAAGTAAATCCGAGCGTGCAATAGCAGAGTGAACTTTCACATCGTTATCGCTGGACGATAAGTTGAATGTTTCATCATATTGATCTAAATAAAATATGCAAATAATTAACCACATTAAACAGGCATTGCGGTAAGTTCTCTTCCCACCCCCCCCCCCCACATTTTTAAAAACAACTTCGATTTTTAAAAGAAATCCTACCGCAAAACATACCCGAACTGTTGATGTCTGGTGCTGTTTCTGAAATGTTCAACACTCCATCGTTTAAATATACCCATTTTGAATCCCAACCGCCTCTGGTAGAGCCATTTCTGACAATAAATCAAATAACAATCGTCAAAGCATGTTTAAATATGTTTTACTTACTGATATCTCTTATTGTACCTTGCTATCTTCAAATATCCCTCGACGATGGAGATGTTTTCAACATCAGAGATATCTCCTAACGACGATGACTTACTACTCACAGGTCCAAGTAACATTTCACTGAAATGTTCAACATACTGAGTCGGCAATCCACAGGTCCGCGGTAACAACAGTGAACACTTGGTATGACAGACAATGTTACATTCTAAAGATACGAACGTTGCAGGCGTTTAGTGTAACAGATTTGCTATAAAACATGAAAGAGAATCATTACCCGTGCATTTTGATATTTGTCTACCAAACAAAATACTGTCGAGGCATACAGGACATCTCGTGGCGCGCATATTCATCAGAGTAGTAAACCTGAAGTGCAAAAAACATTTTGTTCATTGCGTTACGTATAGTTTACAATCTTCGTATTCTCTGGAACACGAGACATCTATCGATTCTAAACTCCTCTTTCTTCAGTAAAAATCATCTCTTATTTATGTAATAAGATTAATACTGGCCGGAATACAAATGTTGTTTGTTGTTGTTTGTTTTATTTATGTAATGTTACAGCATCAAGTAAACTAACTTATTTCATAAAGAAACAGCCTTGCTAAGGATTCTATAAGGAGCAAACGTTTTCTCTATTTCATTATTTGTCACCAAAGGCGAAATCCTAAACTAAAAAAACTTTATCTTTTGCTTGATGAAAAAAAGAACGACGAATAAATACTTCATTCACCTGTGAGGAATGTTATGATGCATTCGTTCTTTCGGTCTGTGACGAGACTCCGAATTCTTCCTTTTCCATGATGTTGAAGGGGTTAAAGTTGAGCCTGGGCTGGGCTGCTGACTTGGTGATTGCTGGATCGCAGATATCACAGCAATGGACTGGTTCGAGCGAGGAGCGACTGTCGCATTAGGAGTAAACTGACAACGACCTTTCCAATACATTACTTCAATGAAAGCACGTAGTAAAAAATACATCGTTTAAAAAACTTGAATAGCAAACAGGTCAATGACAGACTAAACACAGATGGTAAAAACTAATGAACGACAAGTTTAGCCCTAAGTTTTCAGAAAGATAAAATTTTCAACCAATGTGTTAGACTGCTAGTGAGTTCAACCATGTACCTTTTTCCTTCGTTTCATCCAGTTCCTCTCTGACTTTCTTTAACTCTAATTGCAATTGAGATTTACTCCTTCGCTCTTTCTCCAACGACTGTTGGAGTTCACTTCCTTTATATGATAGTAAATTACGCTCGCTTGTATGTTTCCGTAACATTTTGAGGCCTGACACACCAAGACGCTAATGAACAAAACATTGAAAAAGTCAGAAGAAGGAATCAACAGAAAGCTTTTAACTAAAAGCAAAACATGACAAAAGCCATAGATAAAATATGATTTGAAGGCAAACGACAGCTTACAGGAGAATGAATACAGGAAAGATTTTTATGCAATACTCCATCATGGAAGATTGATGAAAGGTTCACTTAAAGTGATTATCAAAAAATGTATAAATAAAGGGTTCAATCAACAACAGTCCTCTAAGGAAATTTGGATGCAACAGAAAAAAGACAAAAAACGTCGAACCAATCACACTAGAGTAACAACAAAAAAAACAACTTTGTTTTGGAATGCACGATTGGCGAAAGTAAAAAGTGACAGAAAATATTAAAGGTTTTGCAGACCTTTCGTTTTGATGATTTATTCTCCGCTTTCGAGTGCAAGAAATCAATAAGTTTTGACTGTTGAGCACTCGTCGAAACAAGTTTAACTTTCTCTTCGGCATGAAGTGACTTCAAGATTTCTAAATTCTCCGCCATAGCATTACTTTCAGCTACCAATTCATCACAGTATTCTTTCTGATTTTGTAATTCTCTTTCAAGTGACAACACGATATCTTTTTGTTGCTCAACCTACGACGGATATTCGGCATTCTTAATGAGAGTGACAGAAAAAGCTCTTCTCCTCAACCGGCTCTCCCCCCCCCTTAAACATTATTATCCACTTTGAACTGGAACGGAAGCTCTCGCGAAAAATAACCTTTTCCAATCAAACATGTACGTAACATACAGCTCTACACTACTGTGTTGAAGGATACAAGTATTATTTACCCTTTTGTTTTAAAAATTGAAAAAATCAAAGAATGTAATCATTTGATCACTTCTGACAGCAAAGAGTCTTTAGTATAGTATACTACATTTCTTAACTTATGAAACAACAACAAATAAAACATATTTACCTCCGCCAGTAAAGATGTTTTCGAGGAACATTCCTTCTCCATTTTTCTCTCAAGTGATCTTAGATTCATCTCACTTCTAGCGAGTTGATTTTCCATGTTAGATATCTTAAAATATCAAAACCAAACACTTTAAGCAAGTCTTATATTGAAAATCAATTACAAAAATTAAAATGATACCGTTTTTTGGTACTCCTCGCTTTGATCTTTATACTTTTGCAGTTCGTTATCTTTTTTTTCGAAGACTTGATCTCTAAAAAACATTAATAAACATTTTTATTTCAATTCATATTCATGCATACTACCAAAAACACATGGAAAGTATAATAATTAAAAATTACAGCTCGCTCTGAGAAAGTCTTGCTTCGTATTTTTCATTTGTCAGTATTATTTGTTTTCTAAGATAAATAAATAAGTGTCACAACACGAATAAAACATTTCTGCATTTCAGGCAATGCATATATCATCCGACAATTTCTCACTATTTATTCAATACAATAAACCACGGCATTTTTGAAGCGTACTTCTCGATTTCCAGTTTTATATTTCTTTCATCTAATTCATCATTTAGTATTTCTAGTTCCTCGATTTGTCCCTCGAGCATAGAGCATGTAGCTTTCAAGGCATCAATAGTCTACCGTGAAAATTAATTATGTAATTATCAGGTATACAATAAAACATGCTTTAACGAAAGAAATCTCAACCTTTTGATGACCAATCACAAGATTGGACGCTTCAGAAAGTTTATCAATGTACACTTCACTTTGTCCTTTTACTTCAGACAGCTCTTCATTAATTCTTCGTAATTCACTTTGTAAATCCTTTTAATGAAAATTCAAAGAAAAAATTCGAACAAAAAGGTCAGGTACAAAGACTTTAACTTTGTTTCGTCTATTGAAATGACAAAGCAAATATTCAGAAATGATGTAACGCGAACCTTTGCCTTCGATTTCAGTTCCTTATTTTCCGCATTCAAAAAAACAACTTCAGCTTTAAGATCTTGGATCTCTTCTCTATCTTTACTCAACAACTCTTTCTCTTTCTTCTGTAACGTCTTGAGTCAAAACAAAGGCAACATTTAATATTGACAATCTCTTCAACACAATGCTTAATGAACACAATAAACAAACATACTCACCATGCACTCGTCATTACAAAGACGACTTTTCTTCAACTCATTTTGTAAGCATTCCGTTTCTTTGCTCGATTCAACTAATTTCATTTCCAAAGTCTTACATTTCTCATTTAGTTCACGAATTTCATCTGTATCCTCTTCGCAAGTCGCGTTAATAGCCTATAGATTGCGTCGAGGGAGAAATATCATCAAAGGTGGATTCACTAACTCCATGGAGAAATCATATACAATAATTTCGAGTAGTATGTGGAAGAAGTAAAGGAACAAAAAACTGGAGAGTGACATGATTTTGGTAAGATAAACACAAAAATGTGCCGGTAAGTAGATTCCAGGGTAAGCTTGACCTTTTGCTTAATCAGTTCTTGTATCGGATTATCTTACCTGCTCATTTTGAAGAAGACTTTCAATCAAGCTGTCTTTGCTTTGTAGATCTTCTTCTAACTCGTTCTTCAGAATCGTTTCGTTCTCCAGTTGCTTATGTAATATCGCTATTTGCTCCTCTAATTTCTGATAATAGTTGAAAGCAACCAATGAAATTATTCTTCACTTAAAACATATGTTAAAACAAGTGAAAACTGAAAAGATTATTTAAAAACTCATTGCAACCTTCTTCGAATCCTTTGAGTCGTTCAACTCGATGCGAATAACATTCAGCAATGCCTTTTGTTCTAATTCTCCTTTTGTCGTTTCGACATTTTTATTTTTCACTTTTTGCATTTCATTTTTTACATTTGTGAAATTTCTCTTCAACTCCTCGACCTCAGACATCAGCTTCTACAAAAATGAAATAAAATCATATCATATCGTTGAAATTTTGGAATCTCGATAAAATTTAAAACATAAAGTTAAAAACCTCGTTTTCCAACACGACAACTTCATATTTCTTGTTAACATTAAACACTTCATCGCGAAAATCTTTCTCTCGTTTACTTATATCACGTTTCAAATCTTCGCCAACATCCTAATAATATACCGAAAGACACATACATAGAAATCCTACAACAGATGTTGAACATTCATGGATTAACAAGTACAATAGAGGCAGGACAGTAAATTGATGTGCATATGAATACATAATTGTATGTATAAACTCACATAAACTTCATCAACTTCTTTTTCCATTTTTTTAACAGCTTCATCCAAGATTTTGTTCTTCTTCACGGCCTAAAATATCGACTTGTTTACGTAAATAGGCTTGTCATTATTTTATACAATATCAACTGTTCAAACCTTAGCACAATCTTCTTCAGCGCTTTCGAGTTTTCTCTTAAGAGATTTATTACCCTATACGATGACAGAACATAGGCAAATGTAATTGAATAAGATAAAAAGAAAACATATGGAATTCTTCATATGGGATTCGTAGGGATCCAAAGATAGTGAAATGTTTACAAAAAAACATTGCCTTAATTGGAATCATTCATAAAATGTTTCATGCATTTATTTCATTCTGTATCATCTCGCATTAAATCCACTCGACAACTAAAAAGTTCATGAAATCGACATTCACGCCAAGTTCAGAGCAACAGGTGGAAGATTTTCAAAGACATTTAATGTCGCACAAGAATATTTAACGCAAACCATCCACCCACCACAAGTTGCATTTTCAATTCGCGACATTCTTCGACTTTTTGCTGAAATTCTTCCCGTAATTTTGTCATATCATTTCTTTCTTTCTCCTGATATTGCGACAGAGCATCCTGAATAACACGAGAAAAGTGTTTCTTCAAATAACACATTAGCTACAATCAAATAGATCCTGTATCTATGAGTGTGTTTTCTGTGTGTGGATATTGTTTCATGACATAATGTTATAGCATCTTGAAGATGACTCAACACATAGAACATGTACATTTTATACAATACCAGTACTCTCGTGGAGATCTCCTCAACTCTTCTTTTCGATGTTGGTGTTATTGCAACAGGACTTCTCTGACTTTGTTTAACACGCTCAACTGGACTAACGTTACTGACGGTCTCTTCAAATTCCCTGACTTGTTTTAACTCGGCTAGCATCTTTACATACACAAAGAAGAAACATCGAAGGTCAGGAATAGATTAATGCTCATATTTGAAACAGTGTTAGATAACCATGCATTACCTCAATAAAATGATTTTCATCAAAAGCTTTTTCTTGCAATTCTTTTAACTGCTTTTTCAACTACACAGGGAATAAATGGAAAGTGTTTAAATTTGAAAGATGAAAAGAATAGATGAAAACCAATCATAATTGTAAAGAAATATCGTTGTTTATTGCGCTCTAAATTACTAACCTCCTCGACAGCTTTTTGTAGCTCCTCTATGGTCTTATCTTTGCTGCCAACAAGCTAAAATTCGCAAACAACACTTGATTGAAAAAATGAAAGTTTTCAATTTCAATGCCAGCAACAGACTTAAAGTGTATCAGTTGAAATTTCAACTCTTCATAATGGTCTTAAGTAAAATTCACAAAATGCGCGCGTTATTCTATGGCTTGGCTAACTTGCTCTTATCATAATCCAAATTTAACAACAAATATACTAATACTTACTTTTTGTAGAGAACACAGTTCATCCTTCAGGTGTTGAGACCGTTTCATAGCAACAAAACGATCTTCCTCCAACTGTGCTACCACTATTTGTTGTTCATCCAAAGCCTCACTGATGTGAAATCAAACACGAAATTAAAATCATTCTATGATTATATCTTGCTTACAACACGTCAAATGTTACCTTGTCTCTAATTTACGTAAATCACGTGCTTTTGTCCTCATCTCGTCAATTTCTGACATCAATTTTAACGCCATGTTATCATCGTTTAATGTCCGAGTTCTTTCTTCATCCAGTCGTTTCTTCAAATCCTTAACACAGCCATCAAACAATAAATGATTGCGGTCATTAAAGAAACTTGAATAAACTATCTGAAGAATTATATTGCAGAAAAGGTAACTCTCGAGCCGACTTCACGAACAACATTCAAAATGGTAACTCACCTTCAACTCTGTTTCCTTCAAAATATTTTCTTTTTCCAGTAAATCTTTTTCAAAAGCAATTTTTTCCAAATTAGATGTTTTAGCTTTCAACAGCGACTGAAGCTGTTCGATTCTAACTTTACAAAAATTTTCATCCAAAGTGACGTCATCTGCTATGACGTCATCGGTTGTGACGATTTCACGCACGCGACCATCCTCAGCACGTTGCACGGACTTGTTCGGGTCATTTCGTTTGATGAACGTAAAACCAACGAAGGGAAGATCATTTCCGCTGAACGAATTTTTCATTGGTGTTTTTCCACCAAACGTCGGTGCTTCCTCTTCTGGATCAAACTCATCAAAATTAGATGTATCATCCTGCCCTGTGATTGGTGGAATAAATGGCGGAGTTTCTGGAAAGCAAAACGTTTGAGGTAAGATATTTTCTTTCAAGAGAACATGATAAAACATCGAGATATTGCGAATATAAACACCTGCAGAAAGTTGACTCCAGTTTATTTCCTTAAAAAAGGAATGTTTTACAAGATGTTCGTGCTTGAAACGACTGTCAATATCCGTAAGAAGACCTCGGATTAAACCTTTCATGGACGCACTGGCTTTAAATCCAGTGGGAAATGACAGTGATTCCTAATTACCAAAATATGGATATTCTGATTTAATCATTAATTCCAATGATTTCATAAATGCTTATTTAATAAATGCTAGTGGTTCCCGAGAGGGTGGGGGTTGGGGGGAGAAGTGGCGATAAAGAGATATGAAGCATTAAATAGAGGGAGGTATTTTATATCATTTCTATAGATCATTTATGGTATGTGTTGCATGTTGCTTAGTATGTATGAGAGAAAATCCTTCCTACCTTATGGTTCATGATTTTACAGTAGGTGAAGGCAACAGAGTCGGCAGAAAATGGTGTGTTGCCATACATCATTTCATATGCCACTACCCCAAGAGACCACCAGTCACATTCAACACCATAACCATCATTTGCTCCCTCCAGACTTGTCAGCACCTCGGGGGAGATATACTCTGGAGTGCCCACAGCCATTCTTGAACGAACCTTTGGCAAAATATTGGAATGATGTAGAAGATGAATTCACAGGCATCAAAAAGATGACTGAAATCGTGATCTTTATAAAACACAATGAAGTAAAAAAAATTCTTCATACAAAAGTTATCATTAGAGGTGTTCAGATCATAAAACACAATGTGTTAAACAAATTTCTTCATACAAATGTTGTCATTAGAGGTGTTCAGAACATGCACAATGTCTGGAAGTGTAAGAATGAAGAAACTGATCGTTTCATTGTGTTCACAGTCAGGTAGTTTCTAACTTACTTTACTGTTGGATTCTAATTTTGCTGCAGAACCAAAGTCAGCAAGCTTGATATGACCTGTTCTGTCGATCAATATGTTGTCAGGCTTTACATCCCTAACATAGTAAAATAAAAATCTTCCTTGGTACACATTATTATCATTGTCAGCAACTTGTCAACAACAGCAACACCTGTGAACGTAGCCCATTCCATGAAGAAAATGAAGAGCCATTATGATCTCTGCAAGATAAAACCTTGCAATTTTCTCATCCAGTATCTCATTCTCCTGTTTACTGAGCAAGGTAAGAAGATCTCCTCCTGGATGAAACTCCATTACAAGATAAAGGTTTTTTTGATCTTGAAATGCATATTGTAACGAAGTTATCCATCTTGACCCACTGTAAGCCATGATATTTCTTTCTTCTTCAAAAAATGCTACCTAACAATTTTAAAGAATTTATTTACTTAGAAGCAAGTGAACCTTTCTAGATCTTATACCACAAAAAACAGCTACTGAATATATGTACGACAGTGTCTACGATTACATTTTCTTGTGCCAACATTTCACTTTTCTTCAATGTTTTCAAAGCAAAAACTTTATTGGTTTGTATTTCTTTTACAACAGCGACCTAAAACAGAAAATAAATGCTCAAGTCCTAACCATTGATCAGCAGTTACCATCATTAAAACATGCATTGCATACCGTTCCAAAATGACCACGTCCAATAATGCTAACGACTTTGAAATCATTAATACATGGTCTAGATTTGCTAATGTTTTCTATGTCCTCTTTATCTATTAAAATATGTCATAAAACCCTCCGTTTAATGGCTCTGCTCATATTTGTAACGTCTTAAATGTGTACTCACATTTCTGGACAAACTTAGCCACATGCTTGTCTTTCTGCAAGTATTCTGAGCGGCATTCATTGTAAAATGCGAGAATGGCATCGATCAAACCTTCCTCAGACAAACTCATTGCCTTTCTATCAGTTGGACTATTGTCCTCCAAAATTCGTTTTAATTTAGCACAACGTGAGAAAATGGTATCTTGAGCCATCACTTATTTCTAAAATTGTGTTTTTGCAACCGTAGTACTTTGAATAATGGCGATATTCAATTTAAACTTCCATAACAGCTAAAGTAACTAATAAAACGTCCGTTTGGAAATGAGAACAGTTCAGTTGCTTCGAATTCGAGATATGTATTAAACTCTGTCCTGTGATTGGTTTATCGCTTTCCCAGGATACACTGTGATTGGCGTTTCACACAAAGCGGTTTAATTCAAAGCAGTTGTTTTGACGACGGTGTTGCTAACATTAGGATTTTATGGTATTTGATGAACGGTCACGTGTTGAGAAAGCATGACAATGTTATATACCACTCTGGGAAAACAAAAAATTCATCTTAGAACAAATTTTGAACCTAATCTTGTGTGATGTCATATGGGAGCATTGTAGCAATTTTTATCACAAGAAGATTGTGCAAGTACCATACCAGGCTTACAACATTGCAAGGCGGGCGGGGTGGGTGGGGGGAGGATATTACAATTTGCGTTCAACTGGTAACTGTCCCGAATTTTCGCGTTTGTTTACGTTTCAAGCGTCACGTTTGTCAGACGAAACGTCGGGTTTCAACTGGTAAACGTTACGTTTGTTCAAATCGCGGATTTCTAAGTTTGTAACAGCTCTTTCTTATATTATATGGTATATCAAACTTTGCAAATCGCCAAAGGTATACAGGTGTAATTTTCAGTTGCTACAGCATTTTATCACTGTAAAATCGTATAAACATGTTAATCACATGACCAAAACCTGCTCAAATTGTTCCTCAAACATTAAACATTCCTGAGCAAACGTTACATTTCTAATTTAAAACCCGACGTTTCGGCTGACAAACGTAAACAAACATGAAAAATTCGGGACAGTTACCAGTTGAACGCAAATGGTAATAAAAACATTGAGGATAGGCATAGCTGATATAAAAAGAGTGTAGCAGTTTTGAGTTTGAAGAATTAAGTGTAGAAGAACACAACACAGCGAAAGATGTTAAAATAGCTAGTGGAAAAAGTAGAAAAACCTTAGAGAATAGGAACGAGAAAAATCGCCATTGAAATAAGATAAATCGTTCTTAGAAAGTGTAAATTTTTAGCAAAGTTTAACGTGAATTACAATATTTACAACCTAATTATCTAATCATCGTGCTTAGATACGCAGATGATATGTTTTCAATGAAAAAATACGAACACATAAAAATATCAAAAGGAATTTCAAAGACGTTTCGACAGCTTTGGTGTCGCATAGCAAAAAAATAAACACATTCAAATACTCGATAAACATTTCAGAACGTTGAGTTGAGTTCCCTATTTTATGATGTCCAACATCTTTTTAAGAGTTATTATAACAAATGCAAATCAAGCCCAGATCCTTTTCCTTTCCAAACCTTAAAATTTGTTCACTTACGCAAGAAGTGAATTGCCTGACAGGTTTTCGTCAACGGTCATTTACGAAGTCATTTCCAACGACAACGAAATTTTACAAGACGAGTAAAGTTCGTTCTGAACACGTTAACTTTAAACATCCAAGGAAAAACGTATTCGTGAATGCTATTTTACTTTGCTAATTTTGATCTTGGTGAGGGAAACGATCCTCCAGTCTTCTCAATAATATTCTCCAACATTTTTGTTCTCTCCCTCACACTGGCCACTTCCCATGATGTATAGTCATCTACTATAATACTATATGACCTCCTCTCAAGTTCGTTATCTTTATCTAAATCGTTTAAGTTCAAATTTGGTACATCTTCATCAACATTACTATCAGCATGATTCTCGTGTGTTAGTTCACATGATAAAGACATATTCTCAGTGTCTGCAAGAGACTGTTGTATTTCCAATGTAGTACATAATGGCATTATAATGTCTCCGTGATCTTCTGTAACATCTATCATCGTCATCTCGTTTATAGCAACATCATCATTCCCACTTAAACAACGCTTGTTATTGCCTGACGTCACAATAGTTCGGTTTGATTCGACGTTCTTCGCTTTACCACGCCTGGCTTCTGCGTTCACCTCCAGAACAATGTTTTCAAGTTCTTGAGACCGTTTCGTACATGAAAACTCGCTGTTTTTCTGATTGTTGTCCATAGAAATTGCTCCCATATCACTATCAGTCGGCAATGAAGTTTTCTCGTTGTCCATAGAAATTGCTCCCATGTCACTATAAGTCTGCACTGAAGTTTTCTCGTTGTCCATAGAAATTGCTCCCCTGTCACTATAAGTCAGCACTGAAGTTTTCTCGTTGTCCATAGAAATTGCTCCCATGTCACTATCCGTCTGCACTGAAGTTTTCTCGTTGTCCATAGAAATTGCTCCCATGTCACTATCCGTCTGCACTGAAGTTTTCTCGTTGTCCATAGAAATTGCTCCCATGTAACTATCAGTCTGCACTGAAGTTTTCTCGTTGTCCATAGAAATTGCTCCCATGTAACTATCAGTCTGCTCTGAAGTTTTCTCGTTGTCCATAGAAATTGCTCCCATGTCACTATCCGTCTGCACTAAAGTTTTCTCGTTGTCCATAGAAATTGCTCCCATGTCACTATCCGTCTGCACTGAAGTTTTCTCGTTGTCCATAGAAATTGCTCCCATGTAACTATCAGTCTGCACTGAAGTTTTCTCGTTGTCCATAGAAATTGCTCCCCTGTCACTATCCATCTGCACTGAAGTTTTCTCGTTGTCCATAGAAAATGCCCCATATCACTATCACTCTGCACTGACGTTTTCTCGTTGTCCATAACAGTTTTCACAATGGTAACACTGTGCTCCGTTGCTTCAGGTAAATTCCCCGAATCATCATATGAAATTTCGTGACGTTTGTCTGAGATTTTCCCCTCTAACTGCGTCTGTGAAATATTCTGAGAAAATGGGTTTCGTTCATTTCCTTGTGCTTTAAGGTGATTCGACCAATGTTGACTTTCCTCAAAGGTTTTTTTGCCGTTCAAAGTAGTTTCCCAGAAATCATTAGCAAGTGTAGCAAGGGTTTTATCAGAATTCTTAAGCAAGCTATACAACATTTGTTCTTCAATAATCTGCGTGTGCCGTTTTACAAACCCACTGTCACAAAGTTGTAGATCAGATTTGGATCTACGTTCTCTTCGCTTCACTCGGCCACGTGTTTTCGATACTTTCAAATCTATTGCTTTATCAGAACTAGCCGATGAGCCAACGCCTTTGTCCTTAAGTTTCTCCGTGATACTTCGTGAGGGATGTTGGCAGGTACTTTGGGACGATTCACAGGTTTCATTTGAATCCTGTGTTGAAAAACAAGGGTTTGAAACTTTTTGCAAAGGCTCCGCTACCTGAGGTAAGTGACAAACATTACTTGCATCGTCGATCGTCAATGTACTATCATGAGACGTGTCTACTTTTGACAAATCTTTCATCTCTTCTGAATTAATATTTGAAGAAACGTCATTTTCAACAACATCATATACTTTAGTTGCAAATGACATCTCAAGCGGTTTATCATATTCAAGATCTTCGAAAATTTGACTTGTTGATGATGACATATCGGCTGCCTCTTGCTCGACAAATGTTTTTGCACGTGATTTTCGCGTAGGTGATATCGTCATGGCTTCATCAGGATGTGCCATGACAGGTTCGGATACCGTTCTTCGAATCTTTAGTCTTTCTATACAAGAGAGATCTTCATCAGAATTACTAGAAATGTCTTCACTGCTACTGACTGAGTCGACAGTTTCCGTCTCGGCAGAGTTTTCTTCCGTACATTGCACGCTCTCCACGGTCATGTTTTGGTTCCGCATCTTTGGTAAGGTATGCGCATGTTCAGGGGTGTTGTCCACGTCATCAATGTCTTTTTTGAGCTTCGCTTTAGAATGGGGTCGTCGAAACTTACTAGCATCAGAGTTTGAGCGCTTTCGGAATATACTGTTGTGTCGATGACGGCTGCAATAAAAAAACTAGACGATAGAATTTGCTGAATAAAAATAAAGAATCGTTATCTTTAATAGGAATGTAGAGAAAATTGATGGTAGATGAATCATAAATGTATTTGTTGTAGAGTAATCTGGGTAATCTGGTGACTGCCAACAAGATAATTTTTTTGAAAAATGTGTAACCGTTCATCTTCTGCTGCTTTGTAATAACGGGGAGGGCACAATGTACATGAATATTATAAATGCAAATTCATCCCACAACAGAAAATACAACAACAAAGCGTAATTTTCTACATACATAGGGTATGCAAGACACGAAGAGAAATTTCAGGATAAACAGCGATATTATAAAAAGTAAAAGTTCCAATGACACAAGAAGCTTCAGTTAAACACGAACTGATGCTTGTAGCATATGTTATTGAACAAATTATACTGTTTGCTTTTCATCGGTATCCTACCAAAATCAATACCCATAACAAACGACACTATTTGTAAAGGAAATCTCGAGTGACTCCAAACAAAAGTAAAAAGATGTAAACCTGGACTTTAAGATTCCTTCATAGATGATCAGCTGTTTCCAAAATCCTGAATTTGGCTGAACAATATTTCGTTTTGATTTTACAAATTTCATGGCGTCAGCCAGCGACATGGCGTTCTCTTTCATTAGATAAGCAATTACCTACAAAACAAATCAATTAAAAAACATTCCGTTGTTCTCTGAGGCAATATCACAAACTACTATAGACAGGATGATGACTTTATTAAGTGTTAAGACCATCAAGTCTTTCGTTAAATGGTAGATCTGTAAGGGCTTGAATCAGATCGGTGACGTATGTTGAAGACAGCAAGTGGAAGTTTTGAGAACACAGAGGTTCGTCACAAACGACAGTTTTCGAGGCAGCCATCAGTAATGACGTACGTGCTGTTTACACTCGTCACTCGTCACACGTGCTGCTTACAAACGTCACTTGATTAAAGTCACTACTAACCGTAGATGCCGAACGACTTATTCCTCTCCGACAATGTACCAAAGTTGATGCTCCGCGTTCTCTGTAAATGAACAGTAAAACTGTTAATAAACTCTCTAAAAATAATTCCCATCAGCGTTTAACAAGACCAGCAATGTTTTTTCCACAATAGACACGCAAACATCAGTAAGATACCTTAATTCTTTAATTATTTGCTCCAACTTACTTAGCTTTGTGTATGAAACGGTACGTCTTTCCCCAATGACGTAAGAGGTCCGCCTCTTTCACATCATATATCCTAAAAATAGAATATTATAAATTTCGTCTTGACGACGAGCGAATCTCATAAGCAATCATTCTTCGGTCTTTTCCTCTTGCATGTTTAGGCTATAAAGTAAACAACGTTCCACCTGATGTTCATGTACTCGAATGTACCGGGAAAAAAATTATCCACTTCTTTGGTAATGTTGAGAATGTAGTGAACACTATAAAATATGGAAATTCGTTAATTTATGTAGCTGGTTCAATGAATGAAGTTAAGAGTGAAGAAATATTTCTCCTTATATCCGTGTTTCCCTTACTCGTTGTCTTTGAGCTCTTGCAAGTTGCACGCATTCCATTCTGATCCCTGTTACGAAAAATCGTGAAAACTTTATTGAAATGCTCCGAACATCAACAGTCAGCGTTTTATATAGGACTGGGTTGAAGCTTCAAATGCATCTGACATTTAATGGCTAGGTTAGTCAGCAAGACTTGGTTGAAGCTTCAAATGCATTTGACCATCAACGGTCAGCGCGTTTTCAGTGAGAATGGATTGAATCTTCAAAAACGGAAATCTTAGAAGAAAAGAAAGAGAAAACATACAAGATACAAATATTCGGTGATTTTCGTGGAAGATTCCATTTGTCCAAGGATGACAAATAACTGCTCATCGATGTATTCCTTAAGATGCTGTAAACTCATTTTCATTTCAGTTTCCAACGCCTCTCTTATCTAAAAATTATGCATAGAGTGCAATTAATATAAAAAAATATTTCCTGCAGAATGGGAAATTTCAACGCGTTTACCACGTACCTGTCGACATGTGACTTCCTCAAGATCAAACCGAGTTAGGACCTGCACAAGACAGGAATCATCTCATGAATTACAAACTACAAATTCTACTGTAAATGACGAAAAAATGTTTCACCTCCTTTAGCTTGTTCCTAATGGATCCTTTCAAAAGCTCTTCGTCTGTTTTACTGCACGTAAAAATTGACATTTTATAATGCTGAATGTTGGGCATGGCCATTACGCTAACTTCAAAAAAATAAACACAAAACTAACACTTCGTCAAAATGTGAAAAAGAAACTTCTCTTTTATTTTCTAATTCATCAACAGACTCCCTGCAAGAAACAAGATCACACCATTACACAGCGGTTGCATTATTGGATCAAAAGTGGCAGGTGCATTTAAGAAAGTAGATGGCATTAGCCAGCAACATCATTTGTTGAGGAAGGAAGGGGGGGAGGGGTGCCGGGAGAATCTACAACTTATAAATTTTAAATAAACACTAAAAATTTCAATACTTAAACAAAATAGTTGATGATAGTGATATTGACATTAATCTATTAAACTCCTTCATTACAATGACATTAAATTGCATCATCATATATATAACTACCATATCAAAATTCATAACTATCACTAATTTTGGTAAACTTTTCATTGCATCAAAGCATTCATCGTCACAGTAACTATGGTAATATTCAACAGCTTCACATAATTATAAATTTTGGTAAAAATTCCATTGTTATTCACGGAGCAATGCTCAACTATAAATTGACTGAAAGATTAAAGCAAAAAAAACACAGAAATCTTACCAATAAAAGATGCATTCTCTAGGAGAAGAAATTTTACTTTGATAATAATCGAGCCAGGCATGAGACAATCCGCCATCAAAATGTTTTGCTCTATGGGCAACGTTTAGGCACTTGTGAACCCACAATAAGGCAGTCCTAAATGTTTATAATTGTTACCTTATGGCTATAAACATAATTTCAATTAATGGTATAAGTAGCACAGTAATTAGCAAGTTGCTGAGTAACATATAAGTTAAACAGTAAAATTATAGTTGCTAAGTAACATATAAGTTACACAGTAACATGTGAGTTGCTAAGTAACATATAAGTTTTGCAATAACATGTGAGTTTTAAAACCAAAATGTTTAAAAATAATTACAATATTCAGAAATGACCAAGATACAATATCCATTGATTATCCTTTCAAAAACTCAATTCTTGAATAAAAATGGATATTTGCCACAATAGAAAAACATTCACAATATCTATTGACATATTTTATTAATGTTCACATTTACATATAACCATGGCAACAATTCATTATATACACAGTATCGATATTTCAACTCACCACAATGTTTGAACGGATACGGGTTTGAAAACATAATGGCGATACTCCGTTTTCACTTCAAAACCACTAAAAATCAATCAAAAATGACAAGTTGTAAAATGAAAAGAAACAACAAAATATAACTTGAACATTGGAAGATTCTTCACTAACCCATCACCATCCAATTTTGTTGAAACATTGTTCCATAATGGTATAACAAGGCCCAATGTTACTCTATAAAATGAGAATTTGAAATCTTTGTTTTCACAATATGGGAATGTTTATAGAAATCGTAAATTTTTGGAGAAGTTGAAAGCAAAGTAATGACAACTCGAGAGCAGATTAATCTTAACCTGAAACCAAAGGTTGATGATTTGCATCTGCTCAAGAGTTCATCCAAACATTTCCAAGATATGCATAAAGGCTGTGCAAACACAATAAAGCATATTAAATATCAACACACAACAGATGCAAGTGTTGATTAGAATGATTGATTAGTAAGTTCTCTTAAAAATGTGACAATGTCAACCATTTTTTCATGTTTACTCAGGCTAATGCAAAGTATTTATGGATCAAGTTACTATAAAGATATAATACAGGCCATACTTACTCATCTTCTATCCAATCAAACCCCAAGATTACACTCTCCTGCTCATCAGAAAGTCCACAAGTTGTAACAACACACAAATATCGCGTGTATTGAGGCTCACTTTCTATTTTTACAACCTGGTAATGGAGGAATACGCAAAATAATCATTTCTCCTCATCAACCATGATACGGCAACTACATGATAACTACTAGCATTACCAGCCTCATTGTGTCTTCATCTCGTAACAAGTTTGCCATCTCCTGTAAATGAGCTTGAAGTTCACCTGTAAGAACATCATAAAATTAGGTTAACATATTAATGTCAATTGATGTCTAAATATTACTACAAACCTCCTTTCAAAGTTGCCTTCCTGGCAAAATCTCCATCTGGTATAGCATAGGCAGCCCCTTTTGACGCAAAGAAGCCTTCAACATTTGATCTACCAAAACAAGAATAAACAAATGAGTTTAAAACATTATGAATAAAAGACATGGTTTGTTGGAGTTATCAAAATTATTCAATATACATAAATTAAACATATAAACAAAGGCTTGTAAATGACAACAATACAATTCATATTATTTTATTATCAAAGTTCTCCTACTACACATAATATTAGCTGAGCATAAGTTACCACAAGTATTTACAATAAGGTTAAATTACATTTCCCATTTATTGCACAAGGTTGACCATTAAGGCAAATATTACAACGATTAGCAATTTAACATACAAAAATTTTATAAATTTGTGTAAATTGTACATTTACTGCATACACTACATCAGATACTCTTAAATGTAGCTGTAACGAGAAAAATCTTCGAGAGAGTATTGGACATAATAAAATTTACATGGGAAATACGATTAAAATATTCTTACAGAAAACATTAAAAATATTTCGTGCAAGTTTAAACAACTCGACCGCGAAATTCTTTCCTTTATTATGGTGAGAAAGCTATTGTTCGACGATAAGCAACTTACGCCGTTCTAGGACGGGCAAAAACATCCTCAGACAAATCTCCGTCTACTTTTTCTTCCTCCTGTGTAATAATAAATTATAAAGTATCACAAAATCTGTGGAACAATGTGCTCTAAAGCACCTGGTTTGAGTGCCTTGATGAATTCAAAGAGCAACGTATTAACGTCTCTTTTACTTACCGACTCGACTCTTTCACAGCTGATGTCACTTAAGTTATCAGAAGAGCTGCTCCTTTCAATCGTTACCAGAGACATTTCATGGCTAGCTTATTCACCATTTCGTAAAAAAACTCGACAATTATCAACGAAACGACCAAAATGATATAGAACAAAAAGGAAACAACGTAATTTGACGTTGTTCAACCGACGTTGTAAACATCGACAAAGGACAAATGTGTTGTCGATCTGTCCAGCGGTTTTCAAGCGAAGTATATTGTAAATTTCGACAATTATTTTAAAAACATTAATTTTACAATAATAATTGTAAAAGTGCGGAAGCTTTCAACAATATTGTAATATTTCACTTTGACCTAAGGGTATGTTTAAGATCGTTTCTCGACAGAATGAACTCAATCTCGCGCAGATAGTTGTCGTAGACTTTGTCTAGACTTGCAAAATGAATAATTAATTTTAGAAAATAAATTACAAATGTAAGATATAATGTTTCTTTTAAAATTCATCGATATTAGACATTCCTGTTTCAAAGCTAGAAGAATTTCTCTTTGAAGGTGTACTTTAGACGCACTTAACTAATAAGAATTGCAAACACTCTCAACATATGCTAAAACACCCATCATAATTTATGTATTTTAGCATGGAACATACGTTATAATTGCGCAAAAAGTTGTAAACGAACGTGAAACGTTTTAACAAATGCAGTAAACTAACCACGACAAAAAGGAGTAAACGATTAGTTGTTTGCAAAAAACTGTGGTAACATTTTGCCACAAATTCAATAGGTAGCCGAAAATAGAAAATGGAGTTTGTTTAAAAGCTTTCCAAAGATGATCTCACATCATTTCACCAGCATCTGTTACTCGAATGAGCAAGAGCATTATTAAGTTTTTCAAGATACTTTAGACAGCAGCATTATTAAACATAAATAGTTTAATGATGAAAAGCTTTAAGGCATTGCAACGAGGAGCGATGAATGTAGAATACATTTAATCTAAACATATCTACGACCGCAGTAGTTATAAAAGAAAACAGCGATAAGTTCATTAGGTCTCATTACCCTTGTCTAACAAGACGGTTGACATTCTTTGCTTTGTTAACAGCACGTCGAAATATCTGCACAACACGTTTGTCACTAGCCATTTTGGATATTGCAAGATATTACAATGAATTGCTCCACTTCAAATTACAAATAAATTCGCTTTTCTTCGGTACAACTGAAAATAACAATTCAACTCCCGTTCAGTTAAACTTTGCGAGATACCAATTCCACGCAACATAGAGGCTCTTTGACTGGCAAACTCCCACTTAAATCCAAGCTATTTCAAAGACGGAATAATTCAATGTTAACATCGCCATTAATAATTATACAATTCGATATCGAAGGTGAAATAAATTTGGAAATGAAGTATAAACGGAAATGACAAGAGTGGCCATATATGGTGAGTGAATATTGCATTCTTGACAAGTAAATCCCTGTTTCAAAATAAATTAATAAGGAGTCTCTTTATTGAAAATTAGAAAGCGTTTCAACAAAGATTTTAAAGTAGCTGACAGACAATTTGACTACCATAATTTTGTTTGTCAAATTCTTATCAACAATCACGTGTAAAATTATCAGTTGAAGGGTTAGTGTAAACCATGGTTTAACACGTTTATTGTAGCTATGACAGTCATAACAGTCAAGATAAAAAGTGTAAAAAACCTAGCTCAGTTGGGATTTGGCGATAAAGCATTTATTTATTAAAATCATTTTAATTTAAAATTATCTAATAAATAAATTAGTAATTAATATACAAAAATATCAATATTAATGTTTTTCGTCTCATTCTAAGTTTCATATGGTGCTATGTGTGTTGACAATAAAAAACGTTCCACTAAAAAAGTATCTCTAATTCATCTAGAATAGCAACGATCATAAAGGAAATGTATAATAATATAAGATATGCACCATATAATCGTGGAATACGAAAACCCATCAAAGGCACGATGACGGCGGACGATGCCAAGCTTGTTGCCAAAAAAGCACACAAAATGAGATCTTTCGTTGTTGTGTTTATCTGAAACATAACATATTAACAACTGTATTGAGAATAGAATTGCCTGCCAGCCCAAAATATTACTCAGACAATGCAAAATTTTTAAATAGAACCATTATTCATTTCTTTAGAAAATGAGCTCAATTTATTATTTTCCAGCGAAATAAACACAATATCATTTGCATTTTAGTAAAATTTCACTACTGTCGATTGTCATCACTTAAAACTATTTAAGAGTTTGAGTCGCACCAAAAACAAACTTGAACTAATCTTGTGTGAATTAGATAGCTCCATAATTCTCAACATTTTTATGTTTGTCTAGTGCAATATGGTTTATCTTTTTTGATCCTGTTATACATAAGGAGAAAACAGTCGTGACAGACTTCATTTTGGTGGCTAACTTTGTAATTACTGTTCATTCGAGAGATCATCGTGTTGATTCAATAACACAATGTTTGTATTACCAAAAGAAAACCAAAAAGTAAACATATTTTTGTCAGTTGTAAATGATATGTTTGTATGTAGTTGACTACATTATTAGTTATTGATTCACTATGGATCAACTTGATTCACTATGGATCAACTTGATTCACTATGGATCAGTTGGGATCAGTTAAGATGACCTACCACCAACGCTGCGTTATTCTTTAATGTGAAAATAATGGAAGATAGACCAAGGCCTAACAACAAGTCTGCCGATCAGTTAAGGATAGCCACCATTACAAAACTAGCGACGGAAAACCAATCTTTTAAATTATAATGATATTTAAAAGAAATTGTAAAGGATACTGAGCAATGGTCCTCCGAAACATGCAGCAATCGCCATTTCAGGATAACCTTGTTTTGCTACGGCAATATTTGATATAAAATCACCAATACTGTTGCCCCAGGCCAAAAGAGTCACACCCAAAATGTCGTCGCTTAATTTTAATAAGACACCAAATGACTAAAGTAGGCAAAACATTTGTTAGCAAACTAAAAACTCGCAGTATAAACATCAAAATGATTCGCTATAGCAAACATCAGTTTAAATGCGAACAAATAATATAAGGAACTTGAATCCTGTTTGCCATATTGCTAGTAAAATATTTTTCTCTCACGAGCGAAAGAGTCAGTTCCTGAGTAAAAGTTTAAACGAAACCATAATCCAAAATGTATTAGTACTAACCCTCAGCAAGTTGACAATTTCGTTAACTGTTGAATATATCCAAATGACAGAGGCTACAAAGGCCATAAACGAAAAAAACTATAGGAGAGAGTAACAGAAAATTTCGCATATCGAGTATTTAAAGTTCCGGGAACTTTTCAGCACCTTTTACCTTGTGATACCTAGGTGGTTGATCATTGGATGACGTTATGGCTACTATTACTGCCAAAATGACACTAATAATGACAACGAATACTGGAAAAGGAAAGTTTTCACCAAACGATAGTGAATTACCTAAGATATTAAAAATTTGGTTTAAGTTTTACATATAAGATAGTTATGTAAAGTTTGATGGTATAAGTAAACGGCCTTGCCTTTAGTAACATAAACACAGAAGAGAGGGCAGCACAAGCATTGTAAGATTCGAAGTTTTTTATTCCAGTTCTCATTTTCTTCGTTCAATCGAACGACGGGAATGGTGAGATTCAAACACAAGTGTATTGGCATCTATAATGTTTTACAAAGACAGTTAAAGATCCACACTGTTTGTTCACTGAAAATGCTTTGTGATGCTTTTCTAAACTCGTTCAATAAAGATAAATAAAGATAAATAAGGTATGAAATCAAATTGATATTGAACTGAAAGAACTCGAAAGAAATGTGGTGTATGTATCTTACTTTGACGATAGAGTATATTTTTCTTAGTGCACCGGAGTCAACAAAGTCAGAAGGTGAAATCAAAAAAATATCTTGAAAAAGTTTTTGCCTTTCGCTTTTGAAAGGTGTGTTCACTTTAACAAGCAAAGGTGTCGATTCGTCTAAATTGTAAAAGAAAAAATTCATATTATATGATTCTCCTAAATTACTATCGAATTGAAAACCTCACCAGCATACGTCGCTTTTTCAAACTTCTCCTCACTAGTCCCGCTCTTCTCAACTGTCGCTAAAGATTGAGAAGGATCCTCTTGAAATTTGTTTTGGAAAGCTATTGAAAAATGAATACAATTGTATATGAAATACATCGATAATATAGGGAATTCATTGTTCGACCTTGAATGAAGAATCTTTGACGTCGTTTCAATTTGTACCTCTGATATACAACACGACCAACAACGACAACAAGAACGTAAATCACATAACCGACAATATAACCTTAAAATTAGAAAACGTATAATATCTATGGCTATGGAAAACATTGATCAGACAATATTTATTTTATATCGGATTTTGCGTATTTAAAGAACTTGATTAAAATGGTACGCAGTTAGATTCTGAATAGCTTTATTCGAAACGAGGACAGTCGATTAAAAATGTCAAATTGATTTTAAATTCACTTTATTTAAACGTATCAAGGAAACACGTAAATGATTTGATTCAAATGATCATGAGGACACGAGACTTAAACCCATGAGATGCGATTTAAATGCAGCAACAACGGAATATAAGCCTTGTAACAGTTGCGGTCAATTTGTTCAAGGGCGGCAGCGCCAGTGATTTTATTCTGGGAGAAACAGTTGCCGGAGTTTTGACTGTCGTAGACTGCACTGAGTAGATTATGTGCTGGAAAGGCGCTCTCTTTTCGCAACTTTAAACGTGTGGTATTAAGCTTCATAATGCTTTAGTCTGCAGCGTGTGCCGTTTTTATTAGAAAAATGATGATTTTCAAATAAATCTTGACAGAATGACAGAATCAAATATTTTTTAAATTTTTTTTCATAATAAGGACTACAACTGAAGATGTTGCGACTTAACAAACCAAACACACACACATCCACACAATGAAACAATCCATGTGGAGAAGCTACTGAACTTATTCTAAACATTACCTATAGCATTGGTAATCGTAATTTTCTTCATCCAAACAATGATAAATGTACCAAAGACAGCTGCAATATAAAAAAGAGTGTCTCTGATATACGGTCGCTGATTAAGATTTACTGGCACAGATAACGAGATTCCTCCAACCACTACTGTTGTCACAAACAAACCAGCACCTGAATGAATAGAAATCATCTTTCAGTAACTCTGGATGCTATAGAAACGTTTGAATTTCAAAGGGCTACAGCTACAATTGATTTTCACATATCTTCGTTTTTTTCAAATATATTTACCCAACAAAGCACCCAAAGCCAATTCTCCATCGGGATTACTTCCAGAAAACGCTGCCACGGCAGTGAATATATCTGGAGAACCGTTTCCGTACGCCAGAAATGTAACACCCTGACGATTAATTAAGGTTATTTGAAATGAAACTGACAATCTTCTTGGTTTTACACTGTGTTCAATGATTGAGGAGGGTTTTAGACAGCTTTGCCGTATAATGTCAAAGGATACAGCGATGTTAGGACTTAATTTTAACGCTTCGGAGATGACAACCAGTGTTGGACAAAAACTAGGGCGAAAAATTCACGTTCATCTGATTTTGAAATTCATGAAAATCCTCAATATTGAACTAAACATTTTGACTCACAAATTCTCGGCGGTAACACCAACAAGAATAAACAGAAAGATTAGCCATAAAATCTGAAGAAAGCAAATACATTGCATCAATGTATTTTTGTCATTGTAAAAAAAAAGTTAGGGATTACTGCAGTTCAGCGGACACCTCGGGCGCTGAGCCGCTGACCCAAACCCAAACCCTATAATCATAAGTAAAAAACGAGCCCGCGCTCTTCATACAAGCCAGTGATACAATGATTGAAGATACAGTGATTGTAGAGTTCACTGATACAAGCGCTTCGCGCTAAACTGCAGTCTAGCCAAAAGTTATATTACATTAACCATTACGGGAAGGTATCCCTTTAAATCAACTTACCATTATGAGGCCAGCTAAGACTTGGAAGTTTGGCAGATCACAATACGGAAAACGAAGGTATTGGATAAAACCCTGGCGACTGATGCAATCATTTGTTGTCTTTACAAACATGCACTGTAACGATCTGTTTTTTTTATGAACATCGACACACTGTAAGTGAAATAAGTGACTCTCATTGTTTACCCACAGGTCTCCTAGGTAGGCGTTTTTGAGATAAAATGACTGGATCGACCAAAATCGGTTTTAAATTCAACCAAGATGGGGTCAGTGATATAAATAGAGATTATAAATACTTTATACTTTATTTATTTCAGTTAATGGCAATTAATGCTATCAATCATGTGAGAAAGCTCCAACAGAATCGTTGAATTTCGGTTAAGAAAAACATGCAACTGTATCTTCCGCCCTCGATCTTAAACTGGTGTTGCTTTTAATGAATTTACTACCCAATAACCTAGTCTTGTGATGTGTATTATAGCTATACTTACTGCTTTCACCTCATCAGAACTTTCACGTAAAAGTTTTCGAGTCATATATTGTTTTGACTGTACGTCCAATGATCTCACAGGTCGTAAAAATTGTTTCGTTTCAAATAAGCATAAAAGGAAAAAGAATGCCATTACAATCATGGAATACTTCCAATTGTGAATCGTTGCTACTTCATAACGATTTATCGGTCTTCGTTTGGCGTTTTGAGTAGAAATCATCGTAATGTCCTGTGTACGTGTTATTCCTATATGTTTCTGTAAAGAATACGATGAATAATTACATGCACGAGCACATACGAACGTTTTGTTTAATGTTTATCTTACCACATCCATCAGCTTATTCATTTGAAATATAGGGGAGCATATGTAACGACGAAGCCAACCTGGTTTTATTGTTCTAGGGCGACACAATGCAAATATTTCTGTGTTCTTTCCAACTGAAAGAGAATTGAATGAACTTAATTATCGAATGAAATGAATAAAGGTATGGCAAACCTGCAGAAGTAAATATTGATGCCGAAATCAAACTTTCATTATAGGCTGCGTTTACACTATACAGGATTCGCTCATCGCGACATCTTCATTTGCTTTAAAGGGTTAACTGTTCGGAGTAAAAGCTTATTAAGCTGATAGATTTAGTCTATTTGATTGTGTTTCGAACGTTGAACAATTTCACTGCCTTTTAATATAAAGAATATTCAACCTGCTACAATAGCAATACGGTATAGTGTAAACAAAGCCTAAATGTCCTACTAAAGGTCAAAAACGTTCCGGATTGTAGAAAAACGCGTTCAAATTTTCATTTTACTTACCCTTAGATTGCTTTTAGTTAATTGCCTTGAATTTTTACTGAAGGAAAGAATTCTTTATTAGCAAATCAAGGATTAACAAGTGCATACTTACATGTTGCCTTGCATAGAAATGAGTGCATAAACAAACGCATTTCTATGAAGTAGAAACAATTTTGCGTGGCAATTGACTATTCATAATACAATATCAGGTGGAGTTTGAGATATGTAACTTAGACTATTCATTTCGTTTCATACTTGCATTTTCGTTGTGTTTCTCATTTTGCGTTTGAGCTTGATCAACGTTTGAAAATATAAAGCAAGGTGTTCTTTTCATATCGTGAGTCACATTTTTCAATAATGGTTGCATGTTTCCACGAGTTTGTCACGTAAGAAACTATCTATACACGATGATTGGTTAGTTCAGAGGTGAATGTCATGTGAAATAGTAAGAGATCGTATTCAATGCTCTCGGCGTTGCAACATTTATCTTGAGTGAATGGTTTGTGTAGAATGTTTCAGAAAAAAATAAAAGAAGGAAAAGAACCATCACAAGAAAACATACAATCTTTATCGCACTCAGATAATTTATTAGATGTTGCTCGTTGAATCAAATATAAACATACTATTGTCACGTGAGATGACGTTGACACTTGAAGAATAGTCTGCCAAAATGCATCGTGTCGTTTAGCTTTAAAACTGTTCTTTTATAGGGTTGGTGTTTTGGTCACAAATAGTTCTTTTAAGGACTACTAATTTATTATTTTTGCCATCCATCAATGGTATTTACTCTTTTCAAAACAGTTTTTAAATTTGTCACCACGACAAAGTCTCTATTTTATTAAATGATATCAATATAAGAATTTAGATCTTTATAGTCAGTTTCTACCTTGGGATTTTACAAAAAACATTGATCATGCTAAAGGCTTTGCATTTCAACAAATCTTTGTTACAAAAGCAAAATGATAGTTCATTTGTAAAAATTGTTTATTAGCGAAACCAAGCTTCGACCCCCCCCCCCTCCCCCCCATTATTTGCAAACAAAAACTTCCAGTTATCTGATGATTCGAATTCACCAACATGAGCTTAAAAGGCTAAATTTTTCACACAAAATCTTTGCAAATACAGAAAAAAACAATGAAGAAAATAAGACAAAAAAATGCGGACGAGTTGATATTGTATTTTTTGTCAACTTTAATCTCAAGAAAAAAACGACAACATTGCATCCTCTCACAACAATGCACCATGCAGGATAAACACATACAGGAATACTTATTCTTACAATTTCGCACGGTTATGACATATTTCAACTTTGATTAATATACAACATAAAGAGACGAACCATGACAACATATAATCGATGGAGATAACATTGTTACAACAGAAATACAACAAATTTTTATGCACATTTTCTTCATACGACAATTTTCTGCAATAGTTTCGACAATACCGATGGTCAGAAATAACCATTTTTTGTAGACAAAAAACAAAGACAAAACAATGTACAAAACTTATGACAAATGATAGAGCAATTAACATTTGGATGCTGTCACAAGCTCCAAGACAAAGTACATGCTGAAATTTACAACAAACGCCACAAGACAACAGAACGGTACAGTAATGAACAATGTAAAGATAAATAAGGCGAGAAAAGCAAAATGATCACATGCTTACGATTAATGAAAGATTAATGAAAATTTAACACAGTATAAAGCTGAGTAAAACGAATACAAACAAACAACAACAGAAGTACAAAGAATAATTATAACACTTAAAGCATCGGTGCATTTTGGAATTTCCAACTCATGAATGCCGTTCCAATTCCTCAACGGACAAAACTTTTGCTCCACGACTGGGGGCTTGGGAGGGAGTCTGACTAAGAACAGCGTCACTAAACCATTTCGATAGACTACTCTTGTCTTTCATGTGATCTACATCGAATGAGATATTCGTATAAATATGTCCGTAATGACGAGAAATAGTAAATTAAAAACTGATAACAAACCTCCAGAATGGTGAACAACATGGTGTTGACGTTGCAATGCAGGGGGTAAGTTAGGACGCCGAGGGACATTATTATGGATCATACGAGGATTGAGTTGAGGCATTACACCACGAAATGCGCCTGCGATTCTCTGCTGATTAAACATCAAGGCAGCAGCAGCTTGAGCCGGCGATATTACAGGACGGTTAACCACAGCGTTTGCCGCAGCTACAGCAGCGGCTCGAGCCATCTGATATTGTTGATTGCGTAATGCCAATGCCAAAGCGGTGGGGTGAACATTCATTGCTCGCACAGCGTTTAGATTGAAGGGGGCGGGCAGGGCCCCGGGGCGAGGCATAATATTCATAGCACCGTAGGGCAATTGATTGTGTTGGAATCTCTTTAAGTTGTGATTTTGACGTTGGTCAGATGGCTTTCTCTGGCTGCGGCCTCGAACACGCACACTGTCTTCAGACGAAGGAGACTTCAGCAGCGGTCGTATCCCAAAGTCACTCGGTGGGGTAGTATTTGCGTTCGATACTAAAGGTGACCGAGGAAGGGGTAGACTATGAGGGGTATTAAAAGGTTTTGAAGGATTTTTTGTAAACGTTTCAGATGTTCGGCCTACCAATGGTGTTTGTGGTAAAGGCAGACTAAGTGGAGTTACACTGGGCGAAGTCGGCAATGGAAGTCGATGTGGAGTGAACAGCTCAGGTTGTATATCTGTATTTGTTTTTGGAGAGGTGAAAGCACTCTTGTTTACTGAGTTGTAGAGCCCTTCACGTTCTTCAACGGCAGACAAATCGTCACTTGATATGTTTCTTTGGTCTGTACTCGGCTTGTTTGTTATGCGGCTTTCAGATAACTTCTTTTGAAGAGTAGTTGGTAAAAAAAAATGCATAAGTTGCCGTGCATGTTTCATTCAAGACAATTGAAGTTGAACTCAAACAACACGTATAAAAAAATAATAATCGGACAATTGATATGGGCTACTCAAGATATTGTGTCTGTCAGAAAAGTTTTGATAGATCAAGAAATACGCTCACCAGGTCGTGTTTATCACAGTGCAGTTTACGTAAAACTGACGTGGGAACGAATGCTTGAGAAATAACCGCTGAATTACTTGGTTTGTTGTCTGATGTGCTCGCCAGTAGGTTAACTGAACTGTTCTCGACTTCTTTTCCATATCTAACGAAACAATGAACGGGTCAAATCGGGTTTGTAAAAGACAGAATACTTGGCAATTTATTTCTTATAACCTTGACGGAATATTTCGGTTCTTGGACTTTTTTTCAGTGTCCTTTGTTGCTCCAGTAATAACCAAGAGACCATCGTCATTGCCATTTATGCTAAATACGGGGGATGATCCATACAAATCCCGTGGCGAAAGAGGCGAGGCATTTGCACCTGGGGATAGCATTTCGGCAAGCGGTGATGCTAAATGAATAAAGCTGTGTTGAATTGTGTTTATCTTACATAACGGCCTTTGTGTATAATAGTGCGAATACCTGCGCGCATTCTACCGTAAGAAACTTCACGATTTTCTTCATTCAGTGTATGATTCACGAAAGCCGTAGGGGACTGAGTTCGTCTTATAACCTCTTGCAGTAGCTGTCGTGGTGAAGGTGTACGACTTTTCTGGACGGATCTACTTTTGTCTTTGGATGATGGGGGTCTGGGCAGTAGATGTGGAGGTAAATCAGGAATCTAGTAATAAGATATTAATTAAACTAAGCATTCATAGCAAATTTAAATTATTGACGCTAACTTACAGTTGGCGTTGGTTTTTCCGGTAGATTTCCCGATGCCTTCATTGTTTCCACAAGTTTATGAAACACCTGAGATCCTTGTTGGTCCGCAAGATCTGGTACCTTTTTATCCGCGCCATCTATAGGCGCATCTTCTTTCCCCTCAATATCTTTCAAAGTTACAGCTCCTTTACGTTGAAAAAAATTTCATAAAAGTATTTGATGTTTTAGTATACGAGTTAAGACCATCTAGCTAACCTTTGACAGTCTGATGAGGTATGACAGAGTCTAACAATGGCTGAACATCTACATCAGAGTCTTGGATAACGGTCATCACATCATCCTGTTTGTTCATTGCTTCATTAGCTGGAGCAATGGGAGCAAACATGAAATCTGGCGAGTCTGACCGCACACTTGGAGAATGAAGAGTTAAACCTAAAAAATAATTGTAGTAAGAAATCAACAAGACAAACTGAAGTTTAACCAATCAACAATGGTTAAAAGTGTTTTGAACTTTAATATTCTCAACGCCTCAAACAACAAACATGTTATGTAAACTAGAATATACGTAATGATAAGCTTATGGAAATTACCAGCAATCTCGGCAAGTTCGTCTGTTAAGGATGATCGTCTACTGTTATTCCTACTGCTTGTTTTCAAGCTGTTGCTACGACTCGACCATTAGCAAACCATTGAGAGAATCTGCTACCACCAGTTCCTTGACTGTCGTACTGCATCAAAATATTTATATGAGAATATTATAACAAGGGAGGAATTTGTAGAAGAACAATGAATCACAAATCAAGAAATATTTATAATTTAAGTTTAATGCAACAAGAGGTAAAAGAATTCCATACCACAGCAGTTACAGGCAAAGCACTCTCAGCCATGTCAAAAAACTCGTTGATATCAAACTTCTCATTTGCATTTTCAAAATTGCTTGGAGGGCTCTCTTCTTCCTTAGCAGGTGAAACTGCAATAACAACAATAACACATAATTATGAAAAATTATGAGCATGTCGTATAATTTCTTATAATTATAGTGAGTTATAGGTGGTGCATGTTAAGTGAGATGACAAAGTGTAATGCTATGAGGCTGAGATGTAATGACATAGTAAATGAAGTTAGAGGGTGGGTGAAGTGAAATGATGGGTTAAGTGAGATGGTGGGTGAAGAGGAGTGGTGAAGTGAATGAGTGGGATTGGTGTGAGATGGTGGGTGAAGATGCGAGGTGGGGTGAGATGGTGAAGTGAGATGGTGGGTGAGAGTGTGAGAGTGTGAGTGGTGGGGGGTGAGATTGTGGTGAGAGATGTGAGTGAGTGGAAGTGAGATGAGATGGTGGGTGAAGTGAGATAGTGAGTGAGGTGAGATAGTGAGTGTATGGTAAAGTGTAGACATGAGATGTTTGGTAGAATGAGGTGCTTTAATGTTAGTGCTAATTTCTATCAATAAAAAAGAGACATATGTATGTACGTACCATTATTTTTATCTCTTTTCCTTTTCTTTCTACCTGTAATTTAATCATACCAAAAATTAATAAAAGGGAACAAAAAAGTTTAAATCCTGTTGATTACAATAAATAAATTTTTATAAGTTTTAATCTTGTTGATAACAATAAATAAATTTTTAAAAACACTAAGGTTTCAAGATGTCTTACTTTTCTCATCATCATCAAATCCTTTCAATTCAATAGTATCCAACTGGCTTATAGGTCCGTGAGTGAACCATTCTGGCTGTGATTCAATATTGTCAACTTTTCTACCTCCTTTATCTATATAGATCAGTAGAGAATTGTGTTGCTGTCCTATTAATTTGCTTCACACAAAACATGATCTTAAGACAAACAAGTTATGATGTACTTCTAACAGTAAATATTATATTTCATACATTCTTTTCTCTCATTCCTGATGTTATTTCGATCAACTTTTCTTTCACCATCAAATTTCGGTGAGCTCTACAAGATAAACATTATTTTAGGGGCATAAAGATACACATGCACAAAATAAATCTTTGTGGCAGTAATCAAATTCTTACTCTGCCTCGTCCTCTTGCTTCCCATCCTCTGACTGCGACTGTTCGCTTTCTTTCTTGCATCAATAGTATCCTTAGGAGCACCATAATGTTCATCTTTTTTCCCAGTTGTTACCTGGCAGCCGGCAGCAAAACTACGTCCCTGAGGACTTAGTATGATACCATCAAATCTGATAAAATACACATCTGTAATTTAGCAGATTTCCAGATGGTTTTACATGATTAATTTGTAATTACACACATGTAACTCTTCTTTTTGTCAATTGGCGAGGCACTTCGTTTCACGCTTTCATTTGAATAATACCATTGCTCAGGATCCCATTCACCATCTCTGATAAAACAGAAAAACTGATCATTTTGTACGAAGTCGACAAAGAAATACTGACTTTCGACTATTGGTATGGGATTTTTCCAGATTGTTAAACCGTCCAATTTACCTGTTGCAATATCTATCAGACAATGCTGCTGGTCGAATTTTACTTAAATGTGCATCTTTTATCGCTATGAGTTCGTTCTAAACAGGTAAGCTTCGTTTAGACATCAAGAAAGCAAAATAAAGACAATTTTAACTCACAAACTTACTTTGGTGTACGACAAAAAATTATCAGCACGTGCAAGCACTGTTTCATCGTTCCCTTTTAGTGTCAAACACTCAAAATCATTTACCGACGCAACTTCTAGGTCTGAAAACATAACATAAAGACAACAATAAAATGCAAGTTTTACGAGGCATTACACCAAACATTTCAATTATTTCGTTGCAAAGAAAACATACATGCAGGGAATGAATATTAAAACGACAGAAAATACACAACGCCTGACCGTATTTTTCTATTTATCGTATTTAAGAGAATTCTACTTCCAAAGAAAACGTTTTAGCAGCGAAGAGTCTAACCATCTAATGCAGTATGTAGATTTTCCTTTGACTTGCCAACATTTGGAGATAGTTCAATAGAAGTGGACATAATTCAAGATCCTTTGGTTAAATTTCGTATCCTCTTCAACATAAAGAAGGATGAAGTATTTTTGCGTGTAATTGACGTATATTTGTGTAAAGTCGGAGCAGAATGGTTATTTGTTTTGAGGTTAAAGTTAGTTCAGCATCGCCGAGGTGAAACCATTTCCCGTCAAGTAAATGATGCGACGTGCTTTGAATTTTGAATGGTGAGGCGCACGCATGCGTGGTGACCTATATCACAACGACAAAGACGGCTGATTTCTTCTCTGTACTTATGATCAATCTCAACCGCCTCGTTAAACCTCTTTATGATAGAATGTACCTAACTCCAAATTAGGGATATTTGCAAATAACATGATGCTTGAGCACATATTTACTGGAGAAATAAGTCTGTATTACTATCTTAAGTATTTATTCGGGACATTTCTTTGGCCTGACCACGTGTGCACACACTTTAACTTTTGGATAACGCCCTTTTATTGTGATAGACCATACATGCATACAAAATAAGCCATTCAGTTCCATGGAACTCATTATCCAATCAAAATCCGACAATTTTAATTTTTATCACTAAAAGTCGTTCCTTTTCACAAAAACACACACTACTTTCATTGCAATTCTTTATTTAAAACATTCCATAAGTTAAAGAAAAAATTCATTATTTCCTGGCATTAAAAGTATCATCCACAGTGAAAAATAAATAAATAAATAGACCAGGCATATTTTACCTCCACTATCTATCTGCCTAAACTTTCCTTTCCAAAATTACAAATTAAATTAATAATTATATTATGTACAGGTGCTAGAACTCAATAAGTGTTAGAATGCAGAAAATGATAAAAAATGTTACTTTCTAACTTTTGTAACCTATTATTATCCTTAAGCTTGCCGCACCCAAAATAATAAATTCTTGACATTGTTGCTTACCACAACTACAGCTACTTTCAATAGTGCTATTGACATTGCAAATTTTATAAAGATTGCCAAAGTACGTAGGAAAAAAGCCAGGATATGACTTATTCCCAGTGTTCTTAGGCAGTTATCTATTCTTGACCCAAAATCCTGTGAACAACCATTTGTAGTTATAGACTATACCCATCAGGTTATGACAACAACTTCGATATATCACAGAGATTCCAACATGCTCTTTAAATGGAGTGTTAACAAAGGAGGACAATAACTTGTACTACCATTGCTGTGGTGAGTCTGTTGACACTGGTTGAGGAGCCACAGTTGACCTAGACAGGTAATGGTAAAACAAAAAGTTTTCTTCAAATTACAACTAAACTTATTCTAGAGTTCAGATTATAGTTTTAACAGAGAATGGTGAAACTTCTAGTTCACAAGTGAAGAAATCATGCTGGCATTCAAATGGTCGTAAAGTATTGTATGTGATAAAACATGTCTAAACTATCCTATAGAGTTAAATTAAAGAGTTAAAACTATAGAGAGTATTACACCTATAGAAAGTATTAAACATATAAAGAGTTAAACCTATAGAGAGTATTAAACTTATAAAGAGTTAAATCTATAAAGAGTTAAACATAGACAGCTCATGAAGCAGCAATACAAACTACATTGATACCTTTTAAAAGTTGAGAAAGCAGGAGAAGCCATGTTGATGCAAAGTGGTACTTGGTGATTCTGTCTTTCAGTCATGAACTGATAGATCTTCTCTGAAACATTAAACAATAACAAAAACACAAATTAAAAATTGTTGGGATTCACCATCAAATATATAAAATCAACATACCTCGGACTTGGTATGGTGTATAAAGACCATTTTCATAGCTATCATCAAATGGTTGTTTGGCAACAGGATCCATATCTATGTAACAAGAAACCATTGATTATTAAATTTAATTGCAGATGTCAAGTGCATTTACTTCTACTAGGTCTATGTTTTTCATTACGATATGAGGTAATTCTTTCATAAAAGCTTACATTATGTAAAATTACAGCTGATATTCATGGTTTGCAACTAACCAGAACTAAAGTGTCTCCCAGAGACAGAATGAAAACAACAATTGCACATGCAAGAATGATATCTAAGTCGACCCTCTTCAAGATATGGGTGGGAGAGGGCATCACTGCAGCTGATTCTCTTTGTCTAAAATTTGATTTCACAATTCAGTAAGTTTCCAGAGTTACATCATAAACACTTTATCCTCTTTAAAGTAGAAACAAGAGTAAAATGAACTCACTGGATTAAAAACGAGCATTCTACTGATAAGATGAACGGACTCATGGTTGGCCAAATTTGACAGATTGTATAAGGTATCAAGTCTGGGCTGAAAGATGAACAAAATGTTCATATATCAATGTTACCATTTTCTTCTTGTTTAAATCAAAAAAAATCAAGAACTTAGATAAGATGGACTAACCAGTTTCTGCTGTTTTGAAAGAAGATAAGTCATGGCACCATCACTGGCTTTCGCATCATTCATATCCTCAACACTTGGAGTTCCAAGAAGATCAACAATTTGATTTAGTTGTTGTACAGGGCTACTGGATTGAAATTGTATTTTTCTGCTCATCAATTCAGCAAAGATACATCCAACAGACCAAATGTCAACTATGAAAGTAAATATGATAAAATTATGTGTTAGGATAACGACACACTTCAATAATTTTATTCAAGTTTGCAAAATCTAAGTATGTGCCTGACTAACCTGCAGATGTATAATGATTTGCACCGGCCAATAATTCAGGAGCTCGATAATACTGTGTAACAACCTAAATATAACAAGAGAAAGAAAAGGCAGATCCAATGTTAGCTTCAACAACTTGTACTTTACAAAAATAGTTAACTCACTCTCAATAAATTGTAAAAAATCTCACACCTCTTGAGTCATCATAATACTTTCATTTGGTTCTTTCAGTCTTGCAAGACCAAAGTCACAAATCTGTAAAAATCCTTTGCATTAAAATCATGAACATTTTTTGCTATTTGGCAAAGTCAAATGTTGAAATGCTAATGAAGAGCAAACACACCTTCAACAAACAATTACTGTTAACTAATAAATTCCCAGGTTTTATATCTCTGTGTAAAATTCCAGCAGAATGCAAGTATTTTAAGCCTTAAGAAAAGAAACAAACAATCATTAAAAGTTTGTTGCTAAGCTTGTGACTTGGCAAAGAATGGTATTTAAATTACAATGTCTATTATATGCAGCTTTGAGCCCATGCTGTGCTTAAATGACAAAAATAATAATTGAGTGCTGAACAATCCTCAGTAAAGCACAATATGTAAAACTTCAGTTTCTATGTTAACCTCACCTCTTAGAATTTGATAGAGAAAAACTTTTACATGATCCATGCTAAGTGGTTGTGGAGAAACTATGATTTTATGTAAATCAGACTGCATTAGTTCAGTGACAATGTACCTTAAATTTAGTCAAGGAAAACAAAGACTTTCAAAGCAAAGAATTTACAAAACAAGGTATTTGCATAGGAACTACTGAAAATGAAAATACTGGTATGCACAAAATTCCATGAAAATATAAGCCGTGTTATGATTATAACATAAACAGGCAAGCGAAAACAAGGCTTAAGCCATGTCAAAAGTGGAGAATTTCAGCATTATAAAAATGCAAAATTTTGCTACAAAAAACAGTTAGATTACTTCAAAATTTGAGGAAATGGAACTATTTCTCTCATACGCACATTAAAAATTAGTAAATTATTATGCATATGGAATGAAACAGAGCTTTAGCATAAATATTACACCACAATTGGCGGTAAAGATGAGCCAACATGGGCCTTTAACACACCGACATGACCTTGTAATTAACCATTTGACATTTCCGTTCACTTGACTTTTCATGAAGGAAACACATCCAGGCAAGTTAAATACATTGAATGCTAATTGCTGTATGCACATACATTAAGTAGCTGAGTCAACAAAATTATATTAAAGGATAAAATATACCGAAGAACAGACTCTTCGACTGTGTTGGTACAATGCCAATTTATCGCAATGAAACACCGGTGTTCCCTAAGGGCAACAGCATTGCAAAGCTATCTATCAAGCAATCATAAATTATAATCAAATGCAAAGTTTATTAAGTTTTCCAAACTCTGCAACCTTTTTACGAAATCGAACTTTTCGATAAAAAATTTCGAATGATAATACCTCAATTTGGAACGGAAAAACAATCTTATATTGTCGGTTTCGTATGACAGCCAACACCACGTTCATTCATTGCTGTTTAATGAGCTTTCTTCGCAAATATCAAACGAATAATATCATTCACTAAAAATCGTCGACAACCATTTGATCGCAAGCAATGCTAACCGAAAATGAAATATTTCTGCGCATTTAAATTTTCTGGCTAATTGTTGAAAACAAAAAAAAATCTAAAAAGCATCAACAAGTGCAGTGGGAAGAACGAATACAAAGTTTTTATAATAAAAGCTTTGATAAAGGATACACTTCTTGAAAGTTATCTATTGGTCCAGGATGAACTATATCTTGAATGGACAAAACCTAAAATGCGAGAACACTTGTTGAATACATCTTGCAAAAGTCGACCCAGCCACTCCCGTTGGAGTTATATATAACTAAGCTACTCGATACTTCACCGTACATTTTCATGATCAAAACAGCTCAGCATCTTCAATTCGCGAAAGGCTCTCTTTGCACATGTTATATTCTTGAAGATATTGGGCATTTTTTTCAAAGCTACGCGTTTACCAGTTCGAGGGTCGGTGACAGACCTGGAATACAGACAATTAGCAATTGCGACCTGTAGCATAATGTTTACAAATCTTTATACGCTACATCGAAATAATAAAACAAGAATACACCCCTACCATACAACACCAAAGGCTCCATAACCTATTGGTCGGTCTGGTGACGTGTTCAGAGGTGAAGAACATGCACGCTGTCGTTGAATGTCATTCGCAAACATAGGTGAGCTGTTGATGCTTGCCACTTCTGTGGAATTTACCGCTCGACTTTTACAAACAGCCATTACGATGTCAAAAGCAGATTTCTCATTTTAAGAAGAATCGCATTGCTAGATAAGTGCTATATTTGTCCACACCGTGACCGGCAATAAGAAATCAGGTGAAACGCAGAAGACTTGTGCTAAAGACCTTGCTCCATTGAGACGCTAAGTTGTTTGATAACCTTTGGAATTGCTTGCCACATGATAGAGGAGCTGCGCGACGCATTCTGGGAGGTAATTCCGGCCACGCAATTGGTTGTGCCGTCACGAAATGTCGCAAATACCGATTTGAATTTTTCACATAGTTGATGATGCAAACTGTATGAATTAAACACTTTACGCCGTTTTTATTGTTTGATAAATTTCTCTCGAATTAGTGAGTCCGAATTAAATAGTAAGAATTTTTGCACGGAACAATACTTAACTTGTCATGCAATACTTCGATTCTTTCCCACAAGAAAGTCTATTAAATATATTGCATAGAAGGTATTCTTACGTGTATTCAATATTCATATAAGGAACAATGAAAAGCAAAAAGCAGAAAAACGTAGAAAATTTCTTGTGTGAAATGCGTAGCAAATCGTGCCATCCAATTATGAGAAGTGATTCTGAAAACAGGTATCAGACTTCAATAATTGAAAATCAGTAAACAGCAATTTATAATGCTGCATTCACGAGGCATCATAGAAATAGCTAAATTTTCGTTTTAATCGTGGTAAGATCTAAGCATATTACGTGCGCAAGCCATGACGAAAAACAAAAACATGTTTAGTTTCAAGCATACGTCACAATTTTCGTGCAAGGGAGAACACATTGCGTGCAAGTGAATAAAGACGTAAAAATCGCGACCCAAATTCGTGACGAAAACTCATTCGTTCCATTTTAGATATGCTGTATTTGCTAGAACAACGTAAAAGATGAGCATGCTTGACGTAACACTCACGGCATTTTACACACATTACGCAACTGAGTAAAGACAAAATATTTAGATGAAAAGCGCTGAACAGGTGGATACAAAGAAAAATATAATCTATCAAATCCAAACGCTGGCAAGAATCCATGTATTCTTAGCATAAACATTGCACGTGCAAACTAATTATTTTGTTTTGCATAGCAACCGCAAGGCTTCACTGGACACGAACAGTTATATACAAAACAGTTGCATTGCAGGAGACCGTATGTAGATTAATATATAAGTATAGTTTGTGTTTCGGAAGAAACAATTTGAACACAAAACGTGCGTATTTAGACATTTTTGTTGAAGTACTTTGCGTGCGTATACATGATGACGATGAGATAAACTCTCTCGTGCTGCAATCTTTGAACTTAGGCCAGCAGGCATGAGACGCTTAACAGCTTGAGAGTTTTTGTAAGCCTTTATGTTATTACGGGCACGAGCGAGGGCATGATTACAAAGTGTGAGTTCCAATTACTGTTTGGACTGCGTTTATAATTAGGATAAGGAGGTGTTTATCATTTTATCTCACCAGAGAGAAACAATTCATCCTCGTAACAAGGAAGACCAAAATAGATCTTCAAGAGTAAAAGTCTCAGTATGAAAAAACCGTAGCGGCAACGAGGGATATCAAGACCATTAAAAAATGCATTTTGTATTTTAATGATATCACACAGATGGTTGGAAAAGGCCAAAATACCAAATTATTCAAAATCAAACCGACTATGCAAAAAAATTCGTGAAAATCAGAGAGTTCATGTTTGGCTAGCCATTGAAATGTAAGACCAGGATTTGTGACCTTGTGAGGAACTTTTTTAAAAAAAGTGACGTCAATATTACACATTAGTATAAATTTTCTTTAAAATTTAACGATATATATATGGCAACAAAGCCATTCTTGGTCATGCAAATGAATATTTTCAGTTTGTCATATGAAACAGTCGAATGATTTGACTGCTAAACACAAAGATTAGAAGGTTGAAAAATAATCTGCATACTCGAGGATGGTTTTAATTGTTCGCCACAAAATCTTCTCCCTTTTTTATGTTTTTCTGAAGCTCTGGCATCAACTAAACAAAATAAAGATATGTTGATATATTGTGCTGACATCTAACATCAAACACAAAAAATTTAAAGCTCCGTTTCCGCTGAACGGAGCGTGAGGAAGGATGACAAAACGAATTATGTGCCATATTTACTCGTTAAAACACGCCTACAAATTAGAACCACACTAATTACAAACAGAATTGTTGAAGAGGCCAATATAAAATAAACATAAAACTTCAAATCAACCGTTGAAAAATATTTTTTTAAAAATAATACAGCAAAAACTTTTCCCCATCAAAATAGATCCATTTTTAGAACTTTATTTATTGTTACATATTAATTCTTGTCACAAATCACAATACGTTTTAAAGAACGCCGAAATTTTAATTTTTGAAAATTTAAAGCGCGTTGCGGTGCTAAAACGATCAAAAACGGTAAAGCACATCTTAAAACACATATGGCTCATTAACACATCATAAAACATATCAATAAATCTCAATAAGACTGGAGGAACATGAGCTGAACTAATAAAAAGTCTATTGTTTTCAAAATGGGGAATCTTGCCGAAACAAAATCGTAGGAAACAAAGAGACAACATTTAACAACATTACCTCGGAAAGTTTTTGCTGTTCGTAGTCAGAAAGGTCGCCAAGACCAAGATTTTTTACCAAACCATTCGTCTAGAAAAAGCAATCACAAATTTGTAATCATTCACGTCTTATGAGAAAAGGATGTTATCGTCATTGGAAAATGTATATGCTTTCTAGCAATCAAGGAAAAAGGTATGCAATCTATCTTTTTATCAAGCAGCCTTTGAATATGTTCTATATGTTGTAGTCAACAAAGGGTATAGTCTATTTTAATGAACCATTTGCGAACAACCATTGAAAAGTGTGTGCTTTGTATGGCAGTCAACGAAGAGTACGCATGTTCTTTTATGATCAACTATTTGTGATAAACCATAAGTGTGGGCTATATGTTGTAGTCAACAAAGGGTATGTATAGTCTATTTTGATGAACCATTTGCGAACAACCATTGAAAAGTGTGTGCCTTGTATGGCAGTCAACAAAGGGTATGCATGTTCTTTTATGATCAACTATTTGTGATTAGCCAAAAAAGTGTGTACTAGATGTTGTAGTCAACAAAGGGTATGCATAGTTTATTTTCATCAACTATTTGTGATTAACTATTTGTAATTAACTATTTGCGATTAGCTATATATAGTGATTAACTATTTGTAATTAACTATTTGTGATTAGCTATATATAGTGATTAACTATTTGTAATTAACTATTTGTGATTAGCTATATATAGTGATTAACTATTTGTAATTAACTATTTGTGATTAGCTATATATAGTGATTAACTATTTGTAATTAACTATTTGTGATTAGCTATATAAAGCGATTAACTATTTGTAATTAACTATTTGTGATTAGCTATATATAGTGATTAACTATTTGTAATTAGCTATTTGCGATTAGCTATATATAGTGATTAACTATTTGTAATTAACTATTTGTGATTAGCTATATATAGTGATTAGATATTTGTAATTAACTATTTGTGATTAGCTATACATAGTGATTAACTATTTGTGAATAACTATTGACACAAATTGTATGACGTTCTCACCCCCAATTCTAAAGGCGTTGAAAAGTATTTGGCTTCAGTAACATCAGATGATACAAAACCACATTCAACGATACCAGAGTCACCACGTAAAGCCTTCAGCATCTGAAAAATGACACCAAAAATATACGTAGGACAGATGCATTTACGAGAACATGTAGCAACAAAAGCAACAAAATACATTATAGCAGAGAGGATTTGATCTTACTGAAAACACAAATCTTGCTCCAGCATAAGCCATAGACAGTGTTGCAGAACCCTACAAATATTAAGTTGAAAGTTTGAGATTGATGATCAGCAAGAGTACGCTGCATTCATAGTTTCGCATTGGGTTTTCTATTTTTCAACCATTTAAAACTACACTAATCCGTAGTAGCTATGGAGTAAAACGATGTTTGTACATCATCGAAAGCAGAAACATGATGACAAAATTGTGAGCCTACCGCTCCAGCCTTGGCATTCACAACCTCCGTTCCTGCATTCTGAATTCTGTCAGTTAATTGTTCAATCTCCGTCTGAGTGAAGGATGTTTTGGGTTGCGTTTGGGATAAGAGAGGTAATATAGTGATACCGGAGTGTCCTCCAACAACAGGAACTTTCACTTTGCTTATATCAAGGTCTTTTAACTCTGCAACAAACGTGTTGGCTCGAACTATGTCCAATGTTGTTACACCAAATAATCTGCATTGGAAAAATAAGTCACAAGTTATAATCACAAACGTTGCAATTTATTAAGCGGCAGCCACAAACATAACTTTCTGCCATCACTATGTAAATCCAGGGATTAATCCAAATGGTTTTGTGTGAAGGGGGTCCTCTAGTTTGGAGTAGGTTTTAATGGTTACACTTGTTTTTGTTTGACGTTAGGCTCACATGACCTCTGCATAAAATGACCAGATCGTTCATTGTGAAACAGATTTCAGAAGTGTAAAAGTTTCCCATCTCCAAATAATCACTTACGTGCATCAGATTTAATGAATTATTGTTGAAGCAGAGGTTTATAAAAGGACTTGGTTAACATATGAGTGTTGTTGGTATTTACAACAAAATAACATTACCTGTGTAAAAGAAAACATCATATGAAACATGGTACTTCACCTGTTTGGATCATACACTCCAGCAGCCTTGAACACTTCCGATGCAATTGGCAATGTTGAATTCACCTATAGGTAAAGACAATCCTTCAAAATCAAATTCATCATACAAGAAAATAAACTTAATGATATACTTACAGGATTAGAAATGATAGTAAGGATTGCATTAGGACAATATTTGGCACAGGCTTCAGCAAGCGTTTTAACTATGTTGGCATTAGTGTTAAAGAGATCATCTCGTGTCATACCTGAAAGGGATATTGTAGAGTATAAAAATGTTATGAAGATCAGTGGGAGGTGTTTGGTTATCAAAACATTTGCACTTTGTTGATATTAATATGCAATTAGGAGCACAAAAGGGCATGAAATATACATGCACGTATGGAAGATCAGTTGATTGCCATACTGATAATGATGATAAAGAAAATGATTGTTTAAGGGTCATGTTTAATCATTACATGGAACATTTACTAACCAGGTTTTCTTGGTAGACCAGCTGGAATGCTGACTATATCACAATCCTTTAAAGCTTCCTTTATTTGTTCAGTGCCTTGATGGTGAGTGACCTGCACAATGTAGTTGTGTGATGATCATGGTAATTACATTCTATGATAAGCATTCTTTTGCAAGACTACAACAATATTTACATGAGCCTTTGATTCAATATGACTAAGGTCAGCAGCAACACCTACAAAAATATACTGGCTATATATTACACTTGCATGTTGAAATGAATATAAATAATTGCTATTCAAGTACTATAAATACTTTTCCTCTTCAAAGGTGTTTTTATGTTTCATTTTAAGCATATTTCTTGGCATAGCCATTGTTTTAGTGATAAAACTGTTTTGTTTTTGGATTTAATACACAAATATATATACAACTGTTGTGTCCATCATCAGCTCCATAATTGTTTTTCACAACAAAAATTATCACAGTGTCAAGACAAAATGACAACTTTTTGACTTAAATTTCTTGTACATGAATAACTTACAATAAAAACATCTGTCATTTGGACTAACAAGAGGTGAGATAAGAAAATAACATATTCTTCCCAAAGTAACAGTTACTTTCTCAGATAATGTTGAAACTGGGCTTTTCAAAACTTTTATCTTTGACAATATAATGACTTTTATCTAATCTAATCAATGTATTTTGCAATATGCATTTCTTCACTGAAATTTCAGGTAACATCACACAGATACATCTGCACTCCAACCAATGTAACTGCTTTGTTTTGTCTATCTCAATGTTAATTCTACAAAACAAGAATGCCATAACATTGCAGCAAATAAATACCTGGAGTATTGACAATGTCATACAAGGAAAGTTGATCAATCAAAGGTGACATTTTAAGGAGCAATGACAGTGGTTGCCCAATACCACCCGCAGCTCCCAAAACAGCAACTTTAGTGTTATTCTAAATGTATCATAGTCGAAGAGAGAATTAGTAAAGAACAGAAATACACATAGATGAATTAAAAATATCATTTTCAATTTCTGAATTTCATAATTTCCACCATATTAAAATGTGACGTCCTGCAAATTAATTGGCTTTAAATTAAACCGCTTCTACTAAACATTATAAAACCGTTGCAAAAAGAAATGTTGATATCAGGTGAAATAATTGCAAACACCAACAAAACGAGAGGCCATACTTCAACTTAATTATTAGTGACTCTAAGTCTGCATTAAAGACTGAATTAAAGAAATTTTATCGCCATTCATAAATCATTAATTAAACTTTCAAACTGTCCTACTTGGTTTGACAAAGATAGCTTTCTTGTCGTTTGCTTTGCGCTGCGAAAAGCGAACAAACATATCTGCGAACCACGAAACATCATGTATTCTGCAAAGAAAATTTCGAAACTACAAAAATTCTTAAAGATGGCGGAAAATCGTTCACAATTCACGAATATCGTGGGTTCACACGCACTTGCGCAATAAGCCACGCAAGTGTGGTGCACTGGCTACTGGCACTGGCCCACTCCCACTGGTGATCGCACCATGCTGGCACCATGGGTTGGCAACACTACAAATTAGTTCGTCCAGTGGTCCACTTTACTGTCAACAAGTTACAAGTAAAACTAATTCAATCACGCAGATCATGATGGCTTTATTATTTAAAAAATGTACAATTTAACAAACAATTTACAACAGTTGGAATCTACAAACTTCTTTGCATAAATAGAACACAGTTCACAAATGTCAATATTTTGGTTCCGTAATATCTGTCATAGTCTGACCAAAAAGATGATTTTCCCACTTAGAAAGCTGCTCAATAAATGACCTTCGAGGACGCATGTTCTTTTGACATTTCTTAACGTGTATGTACGCTTTCTGAAAAAAAAACACGAAACCCTTAACATTAACAATACATTAATTTGGAAATTGAGCAAAATCTTTTCATACTTCAAGCGTCCAATGTTTTTTCCACATCAGATACGCCACTACGACAGTGACACTCCGGCATATGTTAAGATCAGAACAAACCAGAACTGATTGACCAAGAAGAATATTTTCATCTAAAAACGAAACAAATGTTTACTTTTTGCGCTAAAGAGGTACGATATTTAAAAAGGAAAGGGTGTAGGATACTTAGGAAGGACGTAGGATACATATTAGGAGTATACTACGTTGAATATGTTTAATTCTAGTTACTCATGCCATAAACATATGGATAACAACTAAATGTGTGCATTTTAGTTAAAGAACAATGGCTAGTTGATTATATTCTGTACTGGAAAATCTTAAAAACTAATATAAAAAGCAATTTCAAGACAAGTTTTTGACGTTTTCCCAGCAAATTATTTAAAGTAATTTTATTGCCATTGCCTGTGAAGATATTAATTAGTCTTTGTTACTACTCCACACAATTACAGCACACTAACTCTCATGAAACAAGTTGTTGTATAGTCATATGAGACCAACCAATAAATTTGACAACTTCTTCAAAATACGAATATATATCAGCATTTGAGACATCCTCTATAGGAATATGAAGCAACTTTATTGAGGACAAGGAGCCTTCCTCCTTAGAACTACAAAGGGAAAAAAGTGACTTCTGTGATCTTCTTTCATCTAAAGCTAATGATAACATAAGAAAACTTCTACTTACAAAATCTCGCTTTGGCAGGTGACATTCACAAAAGCGTTGCATTTTATAACTTTTTTAACCACTGGATTTTGTCCTTGAGTAAGCGTACCGCTGTATAGTAGACCAGGTAAGTATTCTAAGGGGTATGTGTCAAGAGAATTAAGTTCCTGGAAATGGCAAGAGGACAGATAATGAAGACAAGAAATTTCAGAGAAATGGAAACTGTTTTTTAAATGTTTTTTTGCTCACAATTTGGGTGTAGATGATTTTCTGTGTTCTCAAAAATGGATATAATGCAGAAAACCTTTCATAGCCACCTTTTAGAAAAAAACTTTTTAGTTTGAGGCACGGATAAATGGCAAGTAGCAATGTTCTGTAAATTCATCTGAACCTTTGATGATGATTACAGGATTTCTGCTTCCTTTGTCCCACAGCATACGAGCGTATGAAACGGCAGGGCTTCCTATATAAAGGAAAAATGATGATGAAATATTTCAACAACAAATGGAGTTTTATCATGAGCCAACCTATATCATGGATTGAATCAGTTCGACTGTCGTAAACAATACAGTATTGTTTTGTCTGTAATTCTGAATCATATGAGACAGTAAATGAACCTGTTTCATTCTAAAAAGAAGATGATATATTTACAATAAACAGCTAATCTAATTCAAGACTTTAAGAATGAATGTGAATTCTTATTTACCCGTGGAGCGTACTTGGCTGTTAAAATATGGCTTTCATTGAAATCTTTTCGTTTTCTCGTATCTGTTATTGAAACAACTATTATATGAAATTAATATATTACATTTTCACTCATATATTTACATGCTCAAATATCCTTATGGCAATTTCTTCATTCTTAGTAAAAAATATTATTTTCAAATTCATAACCAATAGCATTGTAGCAAATTTAAAAGCAAGTTCGTATTGCAAAAAAACTATTTTCATTAACTGCGAATTTGCCAGTAGTCTCGATAGTATTTGATCTAAAAATAAGAATATCGAAAGGACCTACCATACAGTAACAAATAGTTTGGATCACTTATTCTGGGACATTTCATGTCAGTCTGTGAAAAATTCATGTAAAATGAAAAAATGTTTAATGTATACGGCACAAAACCTGGAAGATGTTAGAAACATTAAAGTGATAACACATTACACAATGAGACAAAGAGAACAATAAAACTCCACAAAAGTTTCCTTTCATTATTCGTATAGAAATAAAACTTCGATAAAATATGACCTGTTTTAATCGCAAAAAATTAATACAAAAAATTATCCGACAAATTTCAAAGCAATAAGTTCAAAAACCTGATTCAAAATATTGAAAATATCTGTTGAATCCCACAATACAACCCCGTCTCCGTCCGCCATATTGCTTACAGCTTTAGTTGTCAAGGTAACACCATTGAGCTCTATAAGATCATTGTTGTAATCGCAATAAAGTGGTTGTCAAAATCCGGGTGGGCGACAAAAATTTTATTTCATGAGCCCGCGTCTCTCCGCTGACTTTGACAACCAAAATCCGCCATGTTTTTGACCACGCGGCCGCGCGATAATAATTTATAGTAATTTTGATGACGTTTCCCCTCCAGGTCTTATAGAACTCAATGGGTAACACGGCAGCGAAAGAAGCCCACAATCCAGAGGTTCAGTGGTTCGGCCTTTTTCATGCCAACAAAACCACAAAACTTGTTACATAGGTTTCAAAAACTATTCGTACCATAAACGGAATGAAATGTCCACAGATGGATAATATTCTTCCAAAATGAAAATAAAAGTATCAATTATCAAAACAAGGTTATATTGCACTAATAAAATGCAGCCTGCAGTTATTAATGGAGGAGGAAGCAACTTATTTAGCTGTCAAGAAAGTTGGGGAGTTCCCTTTTCGTCCCTCACATGCAGAGATATGGAGTCAGGCTGTTGTCTGGTTGTGTTCTCTATTTTCACTTTACATCTCTGAACTGCTATTTATTGAAATACAAATAGGGCTTAGGGTGGTTATTTGCACCCTATCATCCACATGGGTTTATATGCTGGAAATACCAACCAACATTATTAGACCTCATCTTTGTGTATATGATGTCTAATTTTTCAAAAGCATTTTTTAATTGATCCAAACTTGAGGTTGCAAAGAGTATGTCAGTTCAATTAAATATTGCTCAATAATTTCATTTCAGGGTCTTTCTCCATTAAAGAATAAAAAGTTATGAAACAATTATTCTTACATTTATTTTGTTTTTCCAAGTCATAAGACAATGCAGTGTGAATTCTCATTGTAAGTAGTTTAGCTACATAAATGGTCACTTTTGTCGTAATCATCAGATTTACATTCATTCTTAAGAAAGTTTATAATTTATATACATGTCCTATGATCAGATTCTGACAAAACGAGGAGTTTTGTGGTCATTAAATAATTTTGATATCGTTAATAAATACTATTTGTTTTCTATAATCATCTATCTTGGGTAACTAAGCTATTTACAAGGTATTTTCACAGTATACATATAACTAAGTTGATACGTTCTAATGCTAAAGTTTTGCTATTTATCTACAGTACTATTATTGTTCACATATTAATATCTGTTCAATTTGAATTCTTTCAATGAAACTGATGATAAAAGGAATTCTTTCAAGTAACGATTTATAATTCCTTTTAAAATTAATGAATTTCTTTCTATTGTTGTTGACATTCTCCATGATGGCGAACATTACATGCTATTAGTCACATGACCAAGCTTTTACGTTCATTTAGGGTGTTGGGTTTAGTGCTGAGCGTCCCGCTGTTTAAATAAAAAATAACATCTTCAAAAACCTAAAATTTAACTAACTTAGAGTTTAAAGTCTTTTAGCAATTAGCGTGAAATTTGCCAGTTTTAAAAACGACAGTTGATTTAAACATACCATGTCTATTGCAACATTGGCACAGATGATGTAATAAGCCAGATTTTTTGCGGCAAAGAATAAAATCAAAAATCAAAAAGAGAATGATGAATTCTCCGAAGATGACGGCCACAAGAATCATTCCTTGATTATCGTCCATGGCTAAGGAGAAAAGAATACATTGCTTATTAATGATTTTATTCTTCAATAATAAAAAGAGTCATTGTCATATTTTAAAATTGCTCAACTAACTTGAACAGCCTGCTATTGGTCCAATTGCTGGGTCTTGGTCACATCGACATGTCACGGGATCTTGTTTGAAATGAGTTTGTTTGCATTTAATACAAACAAATTTACACTGATCAAGATCGAATTGCTTCTAACAAAGATTAAAAAAAGTTTGAACATGAAGTGGTTTTAGAAATGAATGACGAGAGAAACTCGTGTGCACGGCATTTGAGAAACATTATTTGGGATATATGGAGTGCTCACCATTCCTCGACGTGTACGAGGTGGTACGTCGCATTCACATTTACATTCGTTGCTGTTCCATCTTAAAAAAAACATGATTATTTAAACTGTTGTGTAAGTTGCTTATGACAATGAGAAGTTTCCCCCATTAATTTCCATGGAGACCATTTAACAAACAAAAACGGTAAAACTTACTTGTGGTATTCAGGGCACTTGTGTCCACGAGGTGGTGAACTATGAGTACACGACATCCACATTCATCATTTTGTGTTAAAAAGGATGGGCAAGAATTGCTACATTCTTCTTTGCAACTGGTATGGTTGCTGAGGGAGATATTTTTTGTTCCAGAGTCTACAACTACTTCCACAGTGACATTTTCATATGTTTTTACGACACACTTTTTAATGTCAGGTGATTGACTAGCAATGGAACCTTGACATCGATGGAGATTCACAAAGCACGGTAATCCCTTTGATCCACAGAAACCACTTGAGGATATGGGTTGCAGTAAATATTATGATTTTTATCTAGCGCACCTGTAAAGAAATGGAATTCTATAATCAATTAAACCTTGCAAACAATTACAAATTTATCATTATAAAAGTTGGATATTGTAAAAATCTTTTTCTTAAAAATCCCCAAATAACATAATTTTAATTATAGATTAACGTCAAGCTCTTGCACGACGAGACATTCTTTAAACGACTAACTTCAGTTCTAACACACTTCCAAAACAGTTAAGATAAAGTTTTGGTTAATTTTAGTCCTCACAAATCAGGATAAATAAGAAGGCAAAAGTATTTGCAAGGAAACGCCTTTCGTCAATTCAATGTTAAGACTAAAAACGCCCACACAAAGCGCAATCTTAGACAACACCTATAAGTGTAAACATGATTTGACGCACATAATAATAAGCATGCCCTGGTTTAAAATTTTGTTTTGAAAAATGGGCGAACCGAAATTGTCCTCGCTTGGTAGTAAGTATTGTAGTTTTGATCGCTGTTGCCATCTTTAACGTTCATTAAATGGAAAGTGCACTTCATTTGCCTTTATGAAACAAAGAGGTAAAAGTTCATTGCAAATGCTGGAAGAAAATATAATTAAGGCACGGCAACACGAACCACAAACGGATAATCGTCTTCCATTTTGTAAAAGGAAAACAGCTTCCGCTAACTTAGATCGGAAATGACACGACTGGATACGGACTGTTCGAAATTTACGGACGCTCACGTATAAATTACAGAAACAGAAACTTTTTCCCTCAAAACTTATCTTTCCCTCTCTTGACTCCACGAATATAAAAACTACAAGCAAAAATAATATGGATGTCTTAACAGCTGCTTTAAAATCCTCGTTTTCCGGTCATATAATTATGTAAATTACGGAACTCTCGCCCACACAACTACAAGTTTACGCACACGACATGTAGCAGTTCTGGTGTTATTGAAATTCCTCTCTAAATGTTCCCTGTAGATGATAGTTTGGCACAAAGATTATAACGCATTTTTTAAAGATTTTAAATCTGATTTGTATCAATCGTCACTCGTCTGCATGTGAAAACATTTGGTTAAAAAACGTTGATATTTTACTGTAGGTAAATTCTTAAAGCTTAAACAGGATGTGACAAGATTGCAAATTCATTTCAAAATAAGTGATCTATCTTTCCATCAAAACCCCCATATATACATTATTCGCTTCGCTAAATGGTTCGCACAGCAATCTGACTAATCGTATTGACATTTCTGCGATGTTTAAATAACACTTCAAAATAGCAACTGTACCATTAATGGCATTTAAAGTTTAAAGGGAAAAACGATGTCAAAAGAATACACTAAATTATTCAACCAAACATTTAACAGATCTATGGACATTAAATAGGCCATTCAAAACAACGTAGTATTAGTTAACATGAATTTTACTGAATATTTGTATAAAAACATTTCTAGTCTTGTAGTAATTTCTAGATATAAGCGTAGTAATTCACACAGGAACTTTAATAACCTAAAGATGCTCAATTAAATCAAGTATATTAATAAATTTCTTGCACACTTTGAATGATTCCATTACAACATGGAACAGACGTCTTGGTAGCCATTCCACAATTCGTGGGAAAATGAATTGGTGGTTTGCAACGTCTACGCTTTGCAATGTGTAAAGTTCTAGATGCAAATACAGGATGTTAAATTACCTACCGTTGCTACAAACTTGACGAACAAGAACTAGCGTCACCAGATATTGAATAAAATAAACACGTTGACCATACATTTTCAACATTATGAACCGACAGAATTTGAATTGTACAACAAAAGTAGCTTCACGTCTTGATGTAAGTATTTAAAATGACACAACAGCGTTAGGACACACCATCCAACACTTCGAATATATAATGTTGAATCTATCGTCTTCGCGACATGTGAGAGTTTATATGCCATATATCTTCCGTTATATGCAAATTAGCCCCCACAGAGAGTATATGATATGAATGAAGTTTCACCACTCCCATATCGAATGAACCGATGCCACGCATTCAAAATATTTCCGGCCTTAGCGTCATGACCACTCACTATCTAAAACACGTCACACAAACCATGCTGTTTTGAAATTCGTCGAATAAGATTTCGTAAACGTTTGAAGATAATCACGTCGTGATTCTAGAGAAATCACTTTCGAGTTATTTCCGTGTAAAATCGTCGGTTTCATTTGTATTGTTTTCTCTCATGGCGACAGACACACATATATAGGTGTGGTATGAACTGCAAAAACTGAAACATGGATATTGAATGAAACAAAAAGATTCAAATATAGATTGCATTATGTAAAACTATAGACATTGTAAAGGACAAAATATTTATGGTAAAAAAAATTATACACAAGTATGCATTGGTGAAACACAAGTATGCAAATGGTGAAAAACGCCCCCCAAATCCAGGGGTCATCTTTTCAATTGATGTTCACTATTGATTTCTAAGCTCAATAATTACATTAAATGACTTAATATCTGTGTACACTACGTTGCAAAGTAATCTCAAAGTTATAAAGTTTCTTAAATCATAAACAAAATAGACTGTGATTCACAAAACTTAGCAATTGCAATAAGCTGGTTTTACTGTTTATTCAAATTGAATAAAAGGAAAGTATTGAATATTAACTCGACGTGTTGTTGTGGGTGATAACTGTTGAGGAACGCCTAGCCATTTTTAGATTAAAACAAAAGAAGCGTTTCACAGGTTGCTTTCACTATGATTAAATTTCTTAAACATTTAACCATAAACGACAACTTTTTTTAAATTTCGTTTAAGTCAAATGTTTTATATCAATTGTGCTGCAACGAAATTATAGAAGTTTAACATTTAAGTCAGTTGTTGCATCATCACTTTCAAAGGCGTACTTTCCATTTTTGACGACAATTAGTTAATCTGGTTTGTAATATATTTGTTCTTGAAAACCGGAAAACTCTCATTCTAAGTGTTTCGCTCTTTCTTGACCTCGTTCTAGAGAATCTACTTAAATTGAATGGCTTAAGTAAAACATAAACTCACAGACTAATTTCAAATATTATGGTCCGAAGAAATATATTCAACTAAGCAAACATGACAGTTTATTTTAAACAGCAAAGCTTTTAACTGATGTTAGCGCCTACAGACAAGTACATATTGCAGCTATACTGCTGTGTGAGTGTAAAATCCATATAAGGTATGAGTTATTGAACACGTTCTGCAACAAACTACACTCCATGAAAGTACTTACGAAAGGAAGTTGGCAAAATCAACGAACGTTATCAACGCAATATTATTTATAGAAATATTCTAGCATTGATTTTAATAAATCAGCAATATAATTTGGCAAAGCAAATAATATAGGAATGCTCTAAGAATGCTCATATATGAACAAAACGTACTAGCCATCAATAACAATGTGATAAATCGAAAGAAATAGATGGGGATACAGACAAATTATTTTGGCTAATTTGACATGCACAATGTTGCTCATAAAAAAATATTCCTCGTCTCCAGAAAATTCCTCTCCGATTCATTTACGGTTATTAAAATGGTCCTTTTATTACGCAGACTTATTATTGAAGTTGTTTAGAATGTCTGTTTCAAGTCTTTCGTCACAAGAGTGAAATGAATGACCCATCGGATTGTGCAGTAACTACCTCATTGATAAAGCTCATTTTGGTGATTTAAAGTTCGGGCTCGTGAGGTGATCTCAAGAAAGCAGAAAAACTGCAGCAAAACAAACTTAACTCAATAATCAAGATACCATAAGAAGTGGCTAAGTTCTATACTTTAGAGCTCATTCATGCTTTAAAATTGAATTCTTGCATGTTATGTTATTAGTTATAGTAAGTAAATATAAATCACGTCACGTCTCAAAATTAAACAACCATGCACTTAGACTACGGTACAAGTTGTTGGTTTGCAGAAACGAAAGCGGGCGAGATCCCGCAAGGCCAATATCGTACAACATATTTTACGTGCCAATAATGGTTTCGTGGGCAGTAGAAAGAAACTATTTTCAACCGCACAAAAAAGCACTTGGGAAACAGAAATGTTAAAGTCTTTTTCCCACATGTTTTGGAGTTGAATTGTCGCTGTCTAACCAACATGGTAAATATGGTTTAAATTAGATTGATTTTTCATAGACTTCATACAAGAACACTTTTAGAGCAATTTGCAATGCATAAATGATTTAATTAAGCCTAAATTTGATTCATAAAGTATATATAAAAGTCTGCGTGACTCCATTAAATGAGGAGCAATTCAATTCTGGTAAAACCGTTCACAGGATGTCTTAGTTTGCTATAATAAGGCTGTCTTCACAAATAAAAATGTACTATCACAAAATGTACGATGTATCACGAATATTATATAAAAAAATTCGTTCAAACTCGAATAAAGTTAACACTCTTCTATTTTTATAATTATATACGGAAATCAAAAACCAAGTTTATATACTGCTTTGAACATGATCGTCATTCACGACAGTTTATTCACTAGGTGTAGTGTTTAACTCAAAAACAGGCAAGAGGTTCTTAGTTTAAAGATTTGTTGAGTTAACTGGTTCATGGGAGAAGAGTTCTCGTACAATTTACTCATAAATCATAATACAGCGTGGACTGCAACGATGATGCTGCCTGTCGAATCAACGAAGGCTGTCTGCAAATGTCCATCTAGTTCACTGACTTCCACAAGCGCGCTCGTGACTTAACATGCCAATGCGACTTGCGCAGGTCCTGTTGCAGTGTTGGCAACGAAATTCTCCCGAGTCTGCGACAGTGGAGGCGTTCCTGGTAGCGTGATGTCTTGATCGTTTAACAGCGTTGCTCCGCCGCCTCAAATCATCCATCTTGTTGAGACCGTTACGTGACTTGTCTCTCCAGTCGCATCGATCCGCCGCTTCGAGCTTCCAATTATCTATTGAAATTTGACATGTTTTCAAAGTGTATTAAGTGGACTGCAACGTGGCAGGTTTTATGGGAGTTACTTGATCTTAAAATAGAAAACAGCTCAGCATGAAAAACCTCCCTGAAAGCTTCATGTTATAAAGACAGGTGGATACAATGATGTTTAAAGTAACAAAAAAAACTTGTCAATGCCGCAAAAACATCAATAATATCAGCTCACAGACGATATTTTGGGGTATATGCATACACATACTATAGACGGTAAAACGATCTTATTTATGAACACCTCAGAAACATGATTAACGCAGTATGAACACCAACATGAAAAGAAAAGACAATAAGCAATAAATATTCCGGGAAGAGGCAACACCACCGGTGCACACTAAACAAACGAGATGTCACGGAAACATACTGTCAACCTTGGCAACGTTTATTTAATGTCGGTCCCATTGCCACAGAGATCTTGATAAGAGCTGATCAACAAACTATATGTGTTGTGACAATATGTACTGAAAACAGTACAGGAAGCCAGATACATGAGATGACCTCTGGACTCATAGAGCTTTGAAGTTTAAAAATTGGAGTTATTTATTTCTTAGTTTTGGTTTTATTTTTCATATGTTACCTGCAAATCTGCGAGAAAGAGGAATAGTCACCACAAACCGTTCAGTCTTTCATGATAATATTCACTTTATTGGAGTTTTTGATAGGCATGCTTTACTAGATCTGTAAAAAAAGATAGTCAGGTTTCGTTTTAAACATATTTGTTTGCCTGCATGCTTCGAGATACTTTTTTAAAGAAACGTTTGTTGCGCGTTAAAAATCATCATAGCAAGACTACTCCATGTGAGGTAAAATGACTTGTTGCAATCTCAATTTCGCGAGCGATTTACGCATCCTTGCGGGACAATCGCGCAATAACTACGTCACAGAAAGATTCTTACAAGATCATGACGACAACTAGTAGAGCCATCGGAAGTATACATATGCATTCAATAATACGAATCTCGTACTAAATTACCCAAGTGAACATTTGCTTAATCGCTAATGCTACTGACATATACTCAGTGCTGAAAATATATACCTACAATAATGGGGACAAGAAGCAGAATATTGGATTTATTTTTATTATTGGCATTGCTGTTTGCCTTATGCTGCTTTCGCCCAGGTAGGAAGAATATCTGTCGATTCAATTTATGCTCAAATATAACGGTCTTGTTTTTAATTTATCGACTTTTACTCGCATGAGCTAAACGTGTGTATAATTTTAACTCGACATCGAGACGATTAAAAATCTGTAGTAAAATACTTGCAATACCAAACATGCTTAATGAACATTAAGTAGAATGTCCAATTCTTTACTTTCTTCAGTTGTAAATTTTTTCTTGATTATAAGACGATCGATTCATGGTAAAAATCTCCCGTGTGAGAAGCTTGCCAATTTGTCAAATAATCTGTTCGGAACTTTGGAGGATCGATTTCTTTCACCGATCACAATGCCATCATACATTTGATGACGAAGGTCAAAATAATCTCAAACACATGTGGCAATACAAAGTGATTTTAAAGACTATTGCTTTATTTAATGACAAACATAAACGCTGATTTAAAGGGTTGTACGAATTTTTGAAATTCAACAATTAACAATTAACACATTCCAAACACCACAACGCGAACATGTAGACTAAACAAATAAAATATGTTTGAAAACTTGTTGAGAATATTCGTACTAGAAACCGAGCTGAACCGTTTTTGAGTAAAAGTAACATTTTGTCGATGATTTGTTGCCATGTGCACGCAAAGACAACTATGAAGTTTGAACGGAAGCAATAAAATTGAAACTGAAAGAATTCCAATATCTGTGACGCAAATACCAGGGTGGAGACAAACTACGCTGTTGATTGGCTAAAATAGGATAAGAGAAGATGTTCGAATTACATTCAAACAATCCCAGCATATTTCATATGAACGAATAAATGTTCTTCAAAAATAAATAGCAGATATTGAGAAATATTCTTTTCCATAAACTTCAAAAAATGCTTATTTTTTAAAGGAGACAAATTACGACAAAATCCTCACAAATTTGTTGAATATTTTTGCACCATTGTTAGTTTTTATTTTTGATTCTTGGAGTGTTATAAATTTTTATCCGGTGTGTGGTGTGTGTTTAATTAACTGAACTCGAACGTAATACATTTGCTAGGGTCAACAAGGGATCTGACATATGGAGACAACGAGTTCTGTGGTCCAAAGCCAACACTTATATCCATAGATCATCCCTCGTATCGCCATATTCCTTATTATGTGACACTGTACAGATGTGGTGGCTCCGTTAATTACCAATCTCCTAGCTTCAAGATCTGTGCAGCTAGTAAAATCTGTGACGTTAGCATTCAGCTGCGGAACCTGGACACAGACCAACGTAAAACTATCGTTGAAAAAAACCATACTTCATGTGCACCTCAGTGCGCAAACAATAAAAGCATGTGCAATCTGGTTTTGGAAGAATGGAATTCGAGGGAATGCACGTGCGATTGCAAGTTTCCGAATGGTCCGCCCGAACCATGTCCAACTCGATTTAAGTAAGTTTTAATAATTGGGATTTGTGGATTGAGGGAATTCACCAATTAAGTGCAATTTGTCTTGTCTCTAAATTCGATCATGTTTTTAATCAAGTCATGTAATTTCTTGTGCATTTCGAAGAATAAATTGTTTTGATGTTATAGATGGAGCCCTTCCACTTGCAAATGTCAATGCAATAATGAAGAGAGTCAGGCATTTCGATGCAGCGAAGAAGGAAAGGTAAGTTTTGAACAAAGCAGACTGAAGTACCACCCATAACCATACACAATAAACACCTTGATGATCTTCGAGATTTTAGTTTCATGCATAAATGAATTGGCAGTGATTCCTGTGATTTTTGTTAATGTTGTTGTTTTGTGAAAATCGTGTTTAGTCGTGGAGTGCTGAAAAATGTGCTTGCGAATGCTCACCACGCACCATTCAAAGATGTTTACGGACAGGTAGAGAGATTGATGAAACTACATGTCGCTGTAAAGCAAGAAATCCTGTGTTTGGTTTCCAAAAAGCACGAGGTACTAAACTATAATTAGGGTGTAGTTGTTTGGTGCCCAAAAACCACGAGGTACAAAATCATGTTTATCATTTGTATTTGGATGTGATGTCAGGGACCAAGTTCGTAGATTACTTCGAAGTGTCGATGCTCAACAGTGCATGTAATCTCCAAAAAATATTTTTGCAATGTGGGTTTTGTACTGTACGATTATTGGGCTTAAGGAGGGCGGGGGGGAATATTCATACATGCATGATATGTCATATTAAACTCTTTTGAAATCCATTGTTTTTCACTGATTATAAAATAAATATCCCCCCCCCCATTTTCGTTCTGACTACGTGACTGTCACTTAACAATAATGGAGTCTCACATGAGCACATCTCGTGTACTTTCTCGTTTTGTATATCGCTACAGGTGAAGAGAAAGGAATCTCAAAGATTGTATTTGTCTCGGCATTACTTGGGGAATTGCTGTTGCTAGTTTTTATATTCGTTTGTCTATTATGGAAATTTGATTTTTTGTCTCAAATACGAAATTCCATTTGTAAATCAGATAAAAGAGGTAAGAAAGATTATATTCTCTTGAATCTTGACGTAAAATAATGAGAATAAAAGTTTATTCCAAGAACGCATTCTGGTCTTGAAAACGTCACGTGTCTTTATTTTATCTGTAGGCGAATACACCGTCGACACGGCGCCGAAAGGCGTACAAGCAGAGGACCGTGTATAGAAATAGTCTAGAAACGGGATACATTATCTCACATAAAGTACTATTTATTTAATTATGAAATATTTATGTGATATAGGCAAAATAAGAGAGTTTTTGCGTTTAGCTGTTGTGCTTTGACAACAAGATGTAACGAGTCAAACGCGAAAATTGTAGCTAACTCAAAACCTTATTTGTGACTTATGCCTCTTCGCAGGCACGAAGTTAGGGGTTGTCCATTTATTTACGTAAAGTGTTGAGGGTTGCTGACCTATTGTTTCGTACGATGACATTTTGGAATCAAATTTTTCCCCGAGCCCACATATTATTTGTACATAAATTATTCATGTCAATTTTTTTTACCTAAACTGGCTAAAATAACAGCAATTAATAAACTCAGCCTCAATGGAACATTGTTTTTTTATAAAACAAGATGTGTAAATTTGATGTGGCGAAGTACATTTCAGTATGAAGGGAAGGGGTAAAAAACATGTAGAGTAGAAGGGGAAGGGGGGGTAGCAAAAACATGTACATGAAGGAGAAGGGGGTTAGCAAAACATGTACGTTAGAGTATGAAGGAGAAGGGGTAGCAAAAACATGTACGTTAGAGTATGAAGAAGGGGTTGAAACATGTACGTTAGAGTAGAATGTGGAGAGTGTTGAAATTGGAACTCAGTCTTGTCCTTCATAAATAATTCTTCTAGCAATACTCCTGAGTTCAAACAAATCATTCGCATTCTTTCCAACACTGACTGACGAAGCAGCCTCGGATTAGAGTAGATTAGAGGTTTTAGATTTGGTTGTGTTAGGTTATTAGACAAATTTATCAACAACGAAGTTCTATCAAAAGTTCTTTTGAAGTACAAGTTTCATGTCGCAGACGTTAAATACTTCTCATTATCTTATCATTGTGTTTATTGAATTCAATTCCACAATGATTACCTTTGAAGTTTGAAGAAACCATCTGTATTTTATCTGGCACTTAGTTGTATGTTGAAATTTACGCTCAACTCGCCCACATACAATGATGAAATACATGTATTATTTATGTTTTCATATTATAGAATATGCTAATACTAACCAGATGTTTTCAATAATTCGCAGTTATCTTGTCGATGCTTCGAACTAAAGATTTGTACTGTAAAAAGGGCAAATTATAACATATCGCGCGAGCTAGGAAACTGTACTCGAAGGCAATCAATTGTTCCTCGGTTTGTATGAATAAATATTTAATTTCCATAAGAGATTGAACCTTTGTGCACGGAAGTATCTAAAATCCATCGTTTGAAAGTGTGATAAATGTGAAGACTCTAACATGGGAAGACTTGACTTGCTTAAAATCTGCTCGGTTTGGTGTACGTGTTATTTGATCAAATCAACATTGAAATTTGATAAGCTCGTGAATGATGACGATGCATCGCTATTTATAATATTACACATTCATAATATTGCTTTTGAGTTGCTTCAAAATACAAATTCATTTCGTTTGTCAAGTAAACGTTTATTTTTTACAATTAGTTTCGTGAAACAGTCACTGTAATGGACGATACATTATCTTTATGACTGGTCGACATTAGAGGGAATTAAACAATATTAAAATCGTCTCTGAGTGCTTATTTACGGTGGCCCGTATGTGCAATTCACAATTTAATTTGTCAATGCACAAACATTGCCTTAAATTCAAAAACAATATATTTGATACAAAAATAATGTGCTGAATGCAAAATGATTTTGTTTGCGATGCAAAACACGAACAATGCAAAACAAATTTGATCAATGCAAAACAAATTTGATCGCAATGCAAAACAAATTTGATCGCAATGCAAAACAAAGTTACCGCAACCCAGAATTTTGCACTGTACTGTGGGCGGCAATATGTCGAATATTTAATAGAGTGGGACAATGTATATTAGATTTCTTTCGAAAATATCTGCGTTGGTTTGTAATGTTTTTGAATTTCACCAGGAATGTATTGTCCATTTTGCGGTCAAAATATTCAGGTCACATTCCAATATTGCCCATTTTGCGGAAATCACTTACAAGGCTTTCGAAACGCGGAGGAACAAATCCCTGGAGGAGACGATACGTGTGACGAACTAATCGCGCATTATTTCAGAGAAGGCTTTGCATACGAGAAGATTATGCAATTCCTTGGCAAGTTTCACGGCATTAACATCTCCTTACGAACACTTAATACCAAGCTAAGATCTCTTGGTCTTCGTCGAAGGAACAAGGAGTATGATTTAAGTCTAATTCGACAACGAATACAGCACGAGCTTGATGACTACCGTGAAATTGGCACCACATTGGGCACCACATTCAACACAACATTCATCACAACATTCATCACCACATTCAACTAAAATTTATCATTCAAAATGATAAATCAAAAAATCGTCTTTAAAACACGTTTTCCATCAAATACAACAGTAAAAAATAATTCTTAACTGTTTATTACTATTTTACAGTCCTTAAACATCACAAAAAATGTATAAAAGTCAAGAAATTGAAGAAAACACTAAGATTTATATTACAGTGTACTTTCCATTTCTCTTAAATAGCCTATAATTTAAAAACTACACGGTAGAATTTTTTTAAACTTGGCCAGAATATAGATAATTATATTGTCTAAAATATATCCAAAATCTGGAGGTGGCACAAAAAAATAAATGATAGAAAATCATCGACAAAGTCGGATGACACGAATGCGCGTAATATAATCTTATATAATTAACTTCCTATATCCATGTAATTTTTCAAAGAAAGGCCTATAAATAAAAAACTACACGGTAGAATTTTTTAAACTTGGCCAGAATATAGATAATTATATTATCTAAAATATATCCAAAATCTGGAGGTGGCACAAAAAAATAAATGATAGAAAATCATCGATAAAGTCGGATGACACGAATGCGCGTAATATAATCTTATATATTTAAGTTAAGAATTCCGGTTCTTTAACAAACAAAGCCTTATAAATAAAAAACTACACGGTAGAATTTTTTTAAACTTGGCCATATTGTAGATATTCTTATTGTCTATAATATATTCAAAATCTGGAGGTGGCACAAAAAAATAAAAGAAATAATATTCCTTGAGAATGTACTCTGGTATAAACCGTGAAGTTGGCACCACATTCGACAAACAGCTCTATAGCTAAAAAACTACACGGTAGAATTTTTTTAAACTTGGCCAGAATATAGATAATTATATTGCCTAAAATATATCCAAAATCTGGAGGTGGCACAAAAAAATAAATGATAGAAAATCATCGACAAAGTCGGATGACACGAATACGCGTAATATAATATTATATAATTAACTTCCTATATCCATGTAATTTTTCAAACAAAGGCCTATAAATAAAAAACTACACGGTAGAATTTTTTTAAACTTGGCCAGAATATAGATAATTATATTATCTAAAATATATCAAAATCTGGAGGTGGCACAAAAAAATAAATGATAGAAAATCATCGATAAAGTCGGATGACACGAATGCGCGTAATATAATCTTATATATTTAAGTTAAGAATTCCGGTTCTTTAACAAACAAAGCCTTATAAATAAAAACTACACGGTAGAAATTTTTAAACTTGGCCATATTGTAGATATTCTTATTGTCTATAATATATCCAAAATCTGGAGGTGGCACAAAAAATAAAAGAAATAATATTCCTTGAGAATGTACTCTGGTATAAACCGTGAAGTTGGCACCACATTCGACAAACAGCTCTATAGCTAAAAAACTACACGGTAGAATTTTTTTAAACTTGGCCAGAATATAGATAATTATATTGTCTAAAATATATCCAAAATCTGGAGGTGGCACAAAAAAATAAATGATAGAAAATCATCGACAAAGTCGGATGACACGAATACGCGTAATATAATATTATATAATTAACTTCCTATATCCATGTAATTTTTCAAAGAAAGGCCTATAAATAAAAAACTACACGGTAGAAATTTTTCAAACTTGGCCAGAATATAGATAATTATATTATCTAAAATATATCCAAAATCTGAAGGTGGCACAAAAAAATAAGTTGTAGAAAATCATCGGCAAAGTCGGATGACACGAATACGCGTAATATAATATTTAATAATTAACTTCCTATGTCCAGGTAACTTTGCAAACAAAGGCCTATAAATAAAAAACTACACGGTAGAATTTTTTTAAACTTGGCCATATTGTAGATATTTTTCTTGTCTATAACATATCCAAAATCTGGAGAGTGCACAAAAATATAAAAGGAATAGTATTCCTTGAGAATAAACCGTGAAGTTGGCACCACATTCGACAAACAGCTCTATAGCTAAAAAACTACACGGTAGAATTTTTTTAAACTCAAGTATATTATAGAATTTTATATTGTCTAAAATATATCCAAAATTTGGAAAGTGCACAAAAATATAAATGATAGAAAAACATCGGCAAAGTTGGATGACTCAAATGCGCGTGATATAATATTGCATAAATAAGTTAAGAATTCCGGTTCTTTAACAAACAAAGACCTATAAATAAAAAACTACACGGTAGAATTTTTTTAAACTTGGCCATATTGTAGATATTTTTATTGTCTATAACATATCCAAAATCTGGAGGTGGCACAAAAAAATAAATGATAGAAAATCATCGACAAAGTCGGATGACACGAATACGCGTAATATAATATTTAATAATTAACTTCCTATGTCCAGGTAACTTTGCAAACAAAGGCCTATAAATAAAAACTACACGGTAGAATTTTTAAACTTGGCCATATTGTAGATATTTTATTGTCTAATATATCCAAAATCTGGAGGTGGCAAAAAATAAATGATAGAAAATCATCGACAAAGTCGGATGACACGAATGCGCGTAATATAATCTTATATAATTACGTTAAGAATCCGGTTCTAAAACAAACAAAGCCTTATAAATAAAAACTACACGGTAGAATTTTTTTAAACTTGGCCAGAATATAGATAATTATATTGTCTAAAATATATCCAAAATCTGGAGGTGGCACAAAAAATAAATGATAGAAAATCATCGACAAAGTCGGATGACACGAATGCGCGTAATATAATCTTATATATTTAAGAATTCCGGTTCTTTAACAAACAAAGCCTTATAAATAAAAACTACACGGTAGAAATTTTTAAACTTGGCCATATTGTAGATATTCTTATTGTCTATAATATATCCAAAATCTGGAGGTGGCACAAAAAATAAAAGAAATAATATTCCTTGAGAATGTACTCTGGTATAAACCGTGAAGTTGGCACCACATTCGACAAACAGCTCTATAGCTAAAAAACTACACGGTAGAATTTTTTTAAACTTGGCCAGAATATAGATAATTATATTGTCTAAAATATATCCAAAATCTGGAGGTGGCACAAAAATAAATGATAGAAAATCATCGACAAAGTCGGATGACACGAATGCGCGTAATATAATCTTATATAATTAACTTCCTATATCCATGTAATTTTTCAAACAAAGGCCTATAAATAAAAAACTACACGGTAGAATTTTTTTAAACTTGGCCAGAATATAGATAATTATATTGTCTAAAATATATCCAAAATCTGGAGGTGGCACAAAAAATAAATGATAGAAAATCATCGACAAAGTCGGATGACACGAATGCGCGTAATATAATCTTATATATTTAAGTTAAGAATTCCGGTTCTTTAACAAACAAAGCCTTATAAATAAAAACTACACGGTAGAAATTTTTAAACTTGGCCATATTGTAGATATTCTTATTGTCTATAATATATCCAAAATCTGGAGGTGGCACAAAAATAAAAGAAATAATATTCCTTGAGAATGTACTCTGGTATAAACCGTGAAGTTGGCACCACATTCGACAAACAGCTCTATAGCTAAAAACTACACGGTAGAATTTTTTAAACTTGGCCAGAATATAGATAATTATATTGTCTAAAATATATCCAAAATCTGGAGGTGGCACAAAAAATAAATGATAGAAAATCATCGACAAAGTCGGATGACACGAATACGCGTAATATAATCTTATATAATTAACTTCCTATATCCATGTAATTTTTCAAACAAAGGCCTATAAATAAAAACTACACGGTAGAAATTTTTAAACTTGGCCAGAATATAGATAATTATATTGTCTAAAATATATCCAAAATCTGGAGGTGGCACAAAAATAAGTTGTAGAAAATCATCGACAAAGTCGGATGACACGAATACGCGTAATATAATATTTAATAATTAACTTCCTATATCCAGGTAACTTTGCAAACAAAGGCCTATAAATAAAAACTACACGGTAGAATTTTTAAACTTGGCCATATTGTAGATATTTTTATTGTCTATAACATATCCAAAATCTGGAGAGTGCAAAAAATATAAAAGGAATAGTATTCCTTGAGAATAAACCGTGAAGTTGGCACCACATTCGACAAACAGCTCTATAGCTAAAAACTACACGGTAGAATTTTTAAACTCAAGTATATTATAGAATTTTATATTGTCTAAAATATATCCAAAATTTGGAAAGTGCACAAAAATATAAATGATAGAAAACATCGGCAAAGTTGGATGACTCAAATGCGCGTAATATAATATT